TTCTCACACAGAGAAGTAGTCGCAAACCAGGTGCGAGATTGACTACAAGTGCTACCAGGCGTAGACGAGCTACTGTAGCCACGCTACTTATGCGCTATGTGCAGATGATGTAGCCGAGCTACTGCAGCAAATCTACTTATGCGCTATGCGCAGAGGAAGACAAGCTCAGAGAGCTTCTACGTCTCTCAGGGTGCTTAACCCTCCTACACTATCTCGTAAGCTTTTGCCTATCGGTTGTTATAACCGCGTCTCAAAGAGACTAGTATCAAAGATACGATTCCTCAGGAGGAATAGAACGCTCAAGCAGTGGTGCTTATAGAGCAGGTTTGAAACTGATTTATGTTTATCTTCTAACACTAAATATAGAAGCACCCACTCTATACTTAGTGCTAGTCACTATTTACTGGCTCTATAGCCTATTATTATTATACAAACATGCATAGTCACTATACTTTAAATAAGTATAGTGACCACGTGGCTCTCTCGATGCCCCCTTCGTACTTCAGGTACGGTCACATCACCTACTTGTGTACCTAAGGTACAGCCACACCACATTGGTGTGGCAGGTGCGTATGTACAATACACACCTTCGTGTAACCCCGTTACACACTTTGTTCATGGCTGCTCGAGGTATGTCAGGATCTTTTTTGTTGAGAGCAAGAGCAAAGTTTCTAGCAAGTTGAAAAAGTTCCATGTTCTGTACGAAAACTAATGGGTGTAGCGTGAGGAATGAGGGCACTCAGTTACGATTCTAAGTCTTGGTATAACCGGGATGCGAACAATTCTGAGAGCGTTTGGTCCGACCAAAAAGGAAAATCTAGCACACCAGGAAGGTAATAGATACAATGCGACAGAAAGCTTGAACCTCGATTGGATCATGATATAGCCAGAGCGTGCGTCTATAATATAGATCAATTCATGCATAAGCCTTGGCGAGGTGTCGGTAAGAATCATCGGGGACTTAATTGGCGAGGATGTTGACCTCAGACGCAGAGACCTCTTCCCGGTTGTTAATCCGAACACGAGGAGGGAGATGGCAGTCCATTCCGTGATATATGGACGCGATGGAGGAAGGTTTGATTCTCTCCACACGGGTTCAAAAGAGAAGGGCTGGCATGCAAAGGGGGGAAGCTAAGCACTGCGGATGATAAAAGCCTAAACGGTCTACAATGGGCTATCAAAATCTGAAGCATCGATGATTGAAAAATAGCTCACTTGCCATGATCGCATCCGGATCTGTTTCTTGCTGTTCATTATGACCACTTGCAGAGCTTTTTTTATAAATATAACATTTTGTTGCAACTATTCGTTTGAGAAACAAAATTTGCCTCCGAAAACTTGTACCACTTTTGTTTTGACACTGCCAACATTCATCTTGGATATACGCTGCATTGTCCGTAATATAAATGAAGCTGTCAGACTTTTTTTGTTTATCGCTCCACGAACTTCTTCTTAGGTTAAGTAGACGGCGCGACAAAGTGATCATCAGGCTAACTTAGGAAAGTAAGGTCCTAAACAGCTTTAGGTGCACGGCGTCAATAACTCCGAGCGGTGGAGGGTATTCTTGGGCAGGGGACCGACCTAGCTGAGACCTATGCACCAGGAACAAGCAAACCACTCGGCGGTTAGAAACGGAAATTAGAAAAGTTTCGAAGTTCTCGTAGGAGCTGCGTCACACGCGTTTACTGCTGCAGCTCACTGGTACCAGTGAGACCATAGCCGACGTGTCTTCACTGGTCGACACGTCTGCGGCTCCTATGACGACTGGAAGCGAGAGGGTGGCTGCACGCGATGCTACTGTGCATTGTCCATTTTGCATTGACTCCACATTTTTTGATTCAGCTTAATCCTGTTATTCGGAATCTCAAAAACAAAAATGTCAAAAAAAACATTTCGAAAACAGTATAGGGAAAGAAAAAGCAATAGCGTAAGCGAGGGTACACTTAGTGCATATTATATTAGCCTTGTAAATTAATGAGTCAACCTACCTATTTTATTACAATATAGACAACCTTTCAACTGAGACCTATGCACCAACAGCCGGGAACAACAGTACCGGAGAGTTGGCCACAACATACTTAGTAACATAAATCATACAGTCGGAAACGCCCGTGATGGGTTCATCGAAGTCATGGATACTAGATCTAAGCTCAAGGAAATCGAGGAAATAGAAAACTCAAACACCAACCGCTCGTACGGATCCTAGGTAGAGGAAAAGTCCACAGAGGCGGAATCGGAGACAGTCGTATTCATGCGACTCATGACGCAGACGAATTCACACAGGAAGTGCAACGCCTGGTCCCAAGCGGAGAACTGTACAAAAAATGTTAATGGACAATGTAGCACGTACCAAACAAGTGCTCAGACGAGAGGCCAGACTGAAAATTTTAGCTTGTCCCATGCGCGCGTTGCACTTTGTGCAGCGCAAGGAAATGCAATTCTTGACTAAAGCCTGCCAAGTACAAGCGTCCTCGATGTCTACGAAGAACTCATCCGTCGACTCCTGGTGGGCTGGACGACCAAACTGGTCTCTAATTCTTGGCGCGGGCTCGAAGCCGGCATCTGGCAGGAGCGATGGGTTTAGCGGATTGGCACCGTGCACGAGCTTGATTTTGACGCATGTAGGTTGCGTTTTTAGCACCGTCTGTACCCTGCACCAACACGTGTGAACGCCGCCTTAAATTTGACGCTGCAAGTGACAGTCGATGTCGATGGTTATGGTCTTGATAAAAAAGACGGGGTTTGAGCTTACAAGCTACAGCTTAAGGTGATGGCTAATGATGCTTTATTTTAATCAACTTTTTTAAGAACCTTAAGGTTCTTTCGTTCCCAAATTATGTTTGCTACCTCTAAGACCATTGGATACTTCACGACAAGCTAATAACGCCCTACCAGCCTACTGGCTACTTTGCAGCAAATTTATCATCGCTTATCACTCGCTACTTCCTTTCAAACAGTCGTTACTACATCAGTTACTGCAACAGTAAATTGCCAATCGTTATCTTGCCTATCGTTGAACCAGGCTTCTTGACAACACGGCTTGCATTGCTGTTTTATACCACCACCTTTGATCTAGACTCCATCAAGATCAAGATCGGATTAAGTCCACCAAGGATAATGCAACCCGCCCAGTCGACGGGTACACATGGTAAGGAAGAACAACTATACGGTATGAAGAATTTTCTCCGTCAGTCGGCAGTTCGGGCGCCAGTGGAAGGCTGTATCACAGAATGTTTATGGGATCACTGCTCCACCACACTACGCTGTCTACCAATCAGTGCAATATTTCCAGCGTTGACGAGAAACCCTTTCAGTAACATCAATATATTTGTTGCTGTTATTAATGCTGTCTTTCTATTACTTCAACCAAATTTTCTTAGATATATGTATCATAGTCAACTAAAGTCATATCGTGCTGGATCTGCTTAGCTGATTGCACTCCGTTTAATATTTCTGAAATTGTGCTTGTATTTCTGCTTTTGATACTAAGATGTAGAAAACAGATTTAGTGCAAATTGCAAAAACAATGTTTTTGTGAGCGTCGATAAGGCGAGTTGGAAGGGTCAGTAGCAATCCTGGTCTACAAATTGACGCGAACGAACGAAAGACTATTCATGCATCCCATAAGAAAAGGATGCCACACTTAAAGCAAAGCCAGATCTTGTTGTAACGCAAAGACTGGTCTCGTTTGCGCAAACTTCCAACGAGATTGAGTCCCCGTATATAGTGTACACCCCAACATATTATTGACATTCCACCTTAGCATATGTAATGGCCATGTGCCCGTTACTCTATTTGGTAGGCACGCCGAGTCGATAATACAGGGCAAGTAGACAGTAGATCTTGGTCATGAGGAACTGCAGCATGTGCATGTAATTTTAAATACTTGCTAGGCAGTTCTGTGGTGACACGTGCTGTACTGAACTACATCAACGATAGGTCAATTGAAATCACGTACACATCAAGCGCAAGTGCTACATAGTCGTGCATCAACAACTGCAGCGTCAGCCATGGCAAAATACCTGTGTTGTCTGCTCACAACCTATCCCATCTTGACGCTGTCCTGGTGGAAGCCAAATCTTTGTTCATCAACTTATCATCATGAAGATGCTTGTCAAAGCTTTTTTGACGATCTTTGCTGTAAATATTGAAAGGGATGTTGCACTTAACAAGGTTGTGGAGCGTATTAACATTGTTTTGTCTTAACTAAATGTCAATCCTACACAGGTTAAAAAAGTTTTACGCAATTTTGTCACAATCGATATAGTGCTGAAAGTAGCAAGTCACTAAATTTGCGCGTCTTATTGGTCAATATCTCAGCTTCATCACCTTGGCCTTCTGCTGGTACTGCAAACATCAGCCGTGGACAGGCTTGATTGTAACATGTTGCACATGCACGTGTAGGAGCAGAGACTCGGTTACAACACTTACATGTGAGGTTTGTACTATTGCACGAGTGCAACCTTACTTGATTGGCCAAACTTGTTGACAACTTAACAAATGGAACAAGGAGACATGAAGGCTACATGAAAGAAGGCGCTGAGGTCATAACATAGGACAGGGTAATGTAGACGCCACATGGGACAAGAAGCTAAGGTCGTTACATGCAACCGAGCAATATGGACTCTGGTATACAGCTTGACCTGGTCCACTTGCAGTGCAGGGAATTGCACGTTATCGTGTTGATTCGAGATAGTTAACATTGAACATGTCTACTTATACTTCGACACATCTCCGCTCACACTTGCTTTCTACACAGACGCATCCGTAAGCGTCACACCAAAAACAACAAACATGATTGGTAGAAAGAAGTTGCCATTTTGGAGGGCGAGAACCAATAATTGTTGCGTTGCCTAAACTATACTGGCATAGGGTGGTACAGACTGTGTACCCAAAATATCCTAGAATTGTGTGGTACATGCTATTTGACATAAAACCAGATTCACCGTTTCATAAATGTTATTCTAGGCTTATAATACGCATCTAAGCAATTGATCAGCTTATAACGATATATAGCTTCGAAGCCGCTCGTCTGATGACAATTGACATTGCTGAGTCACACGCTCGATAGCAGCAAGGAGATTCGTAACCGCCCACGTAATACTTATCCCATACAAATCTTCTTGCCGACCTAACGGTACTTGACCAAATTGTTCTTCTACCACAATATCATGGAACGCCGAAGAGAAGAAACGATAGGATCTTAGCTCGATGGACGGTGATAGCCCGACATTGACGGTAAATAGAGTATCAGTGGTAGCTGCTTTTGTCCTCTTCAAGAGCGCTATGCGAATTGTCTGGAGATACGACAAGACGAGCGCAGCTAAATTAATCAGCTCTAGCATCGGTTGGTGCTCATTAAATGCAATTGCTTCACACACGATACCACACAATTCGATCACTAACACGCAACTGCATTCATCAACGATATAATCAGAAAACGAAAGGCTTAACGATACATGAAGCTATGGTCATGGCGTACCTGATAGCGTTGTTGACTGCTTCTTCACCAGGCACTAGCTTGATTAGGCATGCGACCATCCATTCTAAGCATGGCTGAAGCTCACTCAGCTGAAAACCTTGATCTGATGATGTACATTCAAGAACTTGGTTGGCGCGATGGACATTAACGTTCAAATTGGCGTGGTGAAGAACACTCCGTACAAACTGGCATAGAGGCACCATCGTTTCCAACAAGGATGTCACATCTTGTTGTCGCGCAAAGACAAATGTCTCCTTCATGAAATCATTCAGCACAAAATATCGAAGATGCTGGAGGCGGGTCCACGACGAGGGTGAGACTTCTGCATCAGTATGCTCGAAGGGTGATCGTGTGCATCTACAATCGAAAAGACCACACGACAAGTAAAATGCTTCACGGCGAACTATCCTCACATCGGTGGAGTCACCAGAAATCCCACAGTAGCTATGAATTCCGAGAGGCCCGTCCGGATCCAAGATGTTCACCAATAGCGTTCTGAGAGGAGAGCGCTGCCATCCATTCTTGAATGTTTGGTAGATCTCTGACGTCTGCAAAAAAATTGATATATTCTCATCAGTTCATACCAGATAAGCGAACAATATACAGAACAAGCGTACCCGTGCAAACCAATGCAGCAAGCTTGGGTACTTCTGCTGCGCGAAAAACAGCTGAACACTGTCGACAAACCTTACAGCACCAGGGCAAAACTCTTGACGTAGATCGTCATTTACATTGCGCATCCCTTTTCGGTGGCTCACTAATCGTTGATCCTCTAGACGCTTTAGCGCCTGTGGATACTCGGCGCTGTTTACTTGACGGAACAGTATCTCCATTGCGTTGAAAAACAGATTAGTCTCTCCGATCGCCATATCGCCACAGTAGAACAGAAATGCATCCATGCATTGATACATGAACCGAAACATTGTTGTCAACCCCGTAAGCCTTTCGTCAAAAGACCTAACCGTATTGTCCATTTCGTGGTACGACCGTCCATTGGTGATGTCGACGTCTACGTTAGCTTGGCGAAGAAACAACTCGGCAAATGAATGCCAGTTGTGATTCATCTGGTCAATCTCCCCGCAGGCTCGCCTAAAATTTATTTTGAACGCCCTGTCACAACACAAAGCCGCATGATCATCAGTATGGATAAAGAACGTTAGACACTATCAATGCACTCACTCAAGAAACGATGTAAAAATGCCAAATTGACAGTTCACCATTTTTGTACGAAACTGATTCATCTCGTCTCTGTGTCTTGCAGGCGAAGCATTGTACAAACACCATATAGTACCAGCACTTCTACAGAATGACTGAAATACGTCTAGATGTAAATCATATAACTTCGTAACATCGTAAATTCCACTTTCGTTCGCAGAGACTTCTGCTGGAAACTTGCACGTAGATGCTACACCACGCAATACCTGCCATATGTGCGGATCCATCGAATGAAACTCAGCTGCCTCTTTGCAAAGCATTTGATAAATTATTCCATCTGTAAGCATGACCCAGGAGTCGGAAAATCTAATGCTGGCAACAGCTGCCGCTGTTGTATGAGACGACCTTGAAGTGATAACAGAAAAAGGTACATCACCCACCTCAAATGTAATCGGTGCAGGATTTAGCGAGGAAACATCCAATGTTCCCAGTAACCACGCAGTGGCAAGTTCTCGATCGGCTCCACTTTCTCTTAAAAAGACACTACCAAGCCATTCCTTATCGGCATTGTACTTTAAAGCAGCACTCAGCACACGTGATCCAAGATTCTTGGGTTTTACTGACGTGGATGTCACATTGCTCCAGAAAAACTGTACCCCGTTTGTAGAAATGATCCTACCCAGCAAATCAATTGCATAGAGTTCGTCAAAAGCTGGACCGTCACGTGGTGGGTAGTTGAGTACAAGCTGCTGTAATACCACTCGCAGATTGCGTGTGATTAGCTGAACCACCTTGGCTTTGCACTCCCCCACTGTCCATGCTGGAACAGGTGCAGACTCGTGGCCCGCAATCACACCTTCCAGGTCGAAGGTCGCCAGCGCTTCGTCATTAAAGTCATCAAACTCACGTGCAACGCACTGCTTCGGCTCATCCGGTAAAGGTGGAAGGACAAGATAAAATATCTGCATAGCAACCTTCAAATCATTAACTGCAACCAGCTTTTGAATAACACCGTTCAAGCATGCCTCCATGCCAGAGCTGAAAAGATGCTCCAGACACTTCTCAACAGCAGGTCCGTAGGTGGGTCCGATTCTCACACCGGATGAAGGTATATCCAGCATTTTCTTGACCAGATCACGCATTTGGTACAGTGACGACATGGCAGCACCTAATAAAAGCCAGCAACCTATTAGTCAATAAAACTTTCGTAAGTCAAATAGAAAGCCTACTCTGATATCGCCGGCGACGTCTATCCATGTCACGTGCTTTAATGACGTTCATTTTGGTGGCTGCTGATTGCTTCGGAGAGACAGAAGAAGAAGCAGCCTGTAACCTCTTCATAGAAGACTCTAGCCTATTATTAAGAGCCCAGAATACTGCAGGGAATTCTGTAGAGCTTTTTTCTAACAGCAAAGCACCTAGTGCATAGAGCGCTTGACTCGCAAGCACTTCACATTCAGGCTTTCCTAATGTCCGACGGAGAATTTCCTTGCAATAAAAATCCACCTCCCGCTCCATGTATCGGATGAACTTGTCGGATCGCTGAATCGGAAATTGCGGCTCATCGCCACACTCTAGACAGATTCCAACAATTGCAAATGTAAGCAGCACTACTGTGCTCATCCGATCCTGTGCACCGGACAAAAGTAGAAATAAATTATTATGAGAACAACCGAGATGGGTACAAGCCACATGGATCAACAAACCTTTTCGACACCAGAACTCGTAGGAACTCGTTCCGACACTGTCATCAATTGATCGGTCGACTGCATCCTAGCCGATGTGCGCTGTTGTGGGGCCCAATTCCAATCCATTCCTGCTTTTGTTGATTGAGCTGATACAGATCGTGCTACTACACTACATGTAGAATTGTCGCGGTTGTCCGAAAGGTCTGGGATCGCGCTGAGAACTGAACGCTGGAAGCGGCTACGATGTACACGCTTTTCAAGCTTCAAAACTTGAATCTACAATCATCAAATCACGTTCAATCGATGCTATTAAGAATATAATGACATCCAATCTTACCCAGATAATCTTGCACAGCATTGTGGTCGAGTCTGGGTAATCGTGACTGGACCCTCCAGCAAAAGTAGCTAAGCTTGATCTGGAGTTTCCAAGCTCTTTGCATTGCATGACATATTGCTTTAGAAGCTGGGGCAGCTCAACAATGTTATCTGAGTGATGTAATACATCGTTGTCCCACAACTGGCGCAAAATAATCTCGATTACCTCTGCTCCATAATACAAGTTTTGTAAGGATTAAGCTTACTACCGCAAATTGCAAACTGACAAACCTTCGCAAGGAAACCACAGCTTTGAAAATAGAGTGATGCGCTGTAATACGTGCTGCTTGTAAACATCTGTCAAATATGATTAGCGTTCTCGAGTCGCTTATGAACGGTAAGAGACTCATAACCTACCAGCACGCTGACGATAACCTGACTGCAAATTGGTTCGTGGTCTATCAGATAGTTTAAACGGAAGAAAATCTAGGTTGTCTGAGTGAAGCAGATCCTTAACAACAGCCCACTTTGCGTCACATCTGCCCCACAACGTAAAAAACAGTCAGCATATACCTTTCGACGAAAAATCCAAAGTAGCTGGACAGCATATATCTTACACGGCTTTTTGATGTTCATTGTCGTCATCATCTGCAAATATACGTGTTAGCACAGCCAGTAAGTTCCAGGTTGCCTCTAACGCCAGCAGCTGACTCTTGAAGACCTCGTTACAGTTTTCGGTTGGTGTGCTGTAGTCGGTAGCTTTTGGCGCAGAGTCTCGTAAATACCCTCGGCACGATTCACTTCGAACAAAACACCAGGCCAATTCATCGAAATAGTGTTGTCGGTATGCTGCTTGCAGTAAAGCCCAAAACTGTCTCTCCTTCGACGCGGATGATTCCTGCAAAGGCTGATCCAGGCTAATCGAACTCGTATAGCAATTACGAACCAGCAGCCACAGAGACAGTGCTGGAAGCTGACCACTCAATGATTCCCCTCTCTTCTCCAAGACATGAGACGACGGGAGGTAGACATACAAATCAAACAAGAACAGCACCACAGCCAATGTGACTCGGTTGATCGGCAACGTTGTCCGAAATATACGTTCAATCTCTTTCTTAATCGTGGCGTGTGGTCCAAGCAAGCGGTCACATCGAGATCGAATAGCCATAAGTAGTTTGAGACAATACCAATATGTGCGCGAGACAGCTGTCAAAAATGGTGTCGTCGATGCATCTACGTATGCCACCTCAAAATAAAAGAAATACGCTTTGCAACCGGTGAATAATGAATCGCAGTCGGGTAGCTGTCGGATAAAGGCTGCAATTTCATCCAAGATTACTTGGATGTGGTTTGCCATAGCTGTTGGAGAAACTGCGGCCAGAGCTTCCACCACTTGAACAGCAAAACTTGCGATTGCGGTATGATATCCTTCTTCAAGCGAGACCAATGAAATCCATTCCGGTGCGTCTTCACATCTCGCTTCATGCACAGCGTCCAGGTCTACTCTTGATATAGAACTCATAAAGCTGTTTTCTTGCAACCGAAGATCATTCACAAGCTGGCGAAGGCGAGCTACTCGTCTTTTGACATTGTCATGAATGCCGTCGCAGTCTTCAAACGCATACTCTTCGTCGAAAGATAAATGATGCGGGGTTAGTGGACCACAAATTTCATAGCCAAATGCTAGTAGCGTCATTTGTACTTGACGTGGTATTGTAGCAGCATTTTCTCGATAGCTCAATGTGATAGGATCATCAAACACAACCTCAAACACAGTTTCCCAGTCTATCGGTAGTTGCGTTAAACTGCCTGAATGGATCGTTGGATCAGATGGTTCAGCTTTCCGCAACGACTTCGCTGGAGCACTGCTTTCAATAAATATACCAGCTGGGTACACGTATTTGCTAGTGTTACCCAAGCTTTGTGAAGATAGAAAAGGCTCACTCAATCGATGCTGTGATGGCTGCGCACGAAATCTCTTGTCACGAAAGTGCATTAGTTGCCCTTGAACAGACTTGCTGCCACTACAGCTCAGCACATTTGTTAAGCGCTTTTCTAAAGTCTTGCAAACGCTTTCAAGACCACCAGAAATACGAATCGGCGACGGCAAAATTGCTCTCTCAACACGATGCAAGTTCTTTTTTCGAGCCATTTTGAGCCAATTCCAGCGAGGATCAGACGGAACAATTTTCTTTTGCCTTCCAACGAGTCGAACGTTTGACGTAAACGTATAATGAAATCCTTGCCGCCGGAAATAGTCGTCAAGGATCGTATTTCGCACCATTTTCTTCCGGGAATAAGCTGACGGAGGTTTCGGTACGCGCAATTTTCCTTGTGAGGCGCGTTTTGATTGACCTCTCGGCTGCTTTGAAGCATCGTCCTCCTCTGCTGATGGTTCATAATCGTACGTAAAATCGACCTCGTCATAGCCGGAGTGCAAACTATCCACGTGCGTTATCTCAGACGAGAGACTTGTTGCGTCATGCTCGTCCGTTTGGTAATTTGACTCACCACTGTCCGATAAATACGCAGCCTGGGCTTCATCCTCTTGCGGTATATCTTCTCCACGCCTTGCAAACGCACTTTCCACGACGCTCTCCACATTCTTTATCCATGAGGAGCATTCATTTAGGTCAATCTGCCATACATCAATACTGCACTCTAGATGCTCGAGCGCACTAGGCTGAAACAACAAGTGCATGTAAGAAGCCGCCACGTTTCACAATGTACAACGTCGACCACTCTACCGGTTTGCCACGCTTCACATGAAGAGTATCGATGATCTTGTTCATCGCGTCTTCACCTGCGTTAACCAGCGTTTTCGTCACAAATGTTCGCAATTCGCATATCTTAGCCCACACAATAAACACGGTAAGAATGAAGTCTCTGCGCGGCAAATCACATAACCAATCCCACCTTGTTATACAGATCACGAAGATCAGCTGAGGACATCTCTGTCAGATTCTTCAGCTGCTGAGTAACCCTATTCTGCTCGTCGTGAAAGCTTGCCATGTTTTTCTGCTGCTGGGCAAATATGTCTTCAAGCTGATCCATTAACTCTTTCTTCGTACTCGCTAGCTTCAGTCCTGTTTCTCGTATGACATCTTCAGGAAGCTCAGCTGGATCGCCTTCCGGCTGAATGAACATGGCATCACCATCTTCGCCATCTTTCTCATACCCTCCGACGTAGCGCCGTCGCTTTGCTTTCGGTCTCTTCCTTCGTGGTTTTCTATCGCGACTGACTTGCACACTCTCTCCTTCCACAAGTAACTCGTTTCCTCCCGTATCGGCACGTTGCACGGGTTCAGGTCGGTCAGTACTTGCGCTTTCGTTGGCACCTGTGTCATCTTCATCACTGCTCTCTTCATCACTGCTGTCCAATATGCGGTTTCGCCGTCGTGTAGATTGCTTCAATGAGAAGATCTCTGCCATATCAACTATTCCTGACGACTTCGGCATTACACTCTTACCAAAAGGTTGACTTAGTACTTCACGTGAGCTATTGGATCCGTCCGACAGCACAAACATCTCCTCATCAACCTTGGACATGTGTTGTTGATTCTCATCAGCGTCATCCTGATCCTGTTGTGACTGATCAGCCACTTGTTGCACACAAGTCGAGCGTTTTCTCTTATTCTGGTGAGACACTAGTGTGTCACTCAGTCCAGTCCGAGTCCGAGTCATCAAGCGCTGACGCCGTTCCTCTGCCTCTCGATGTGGTTTGTTAATATAATTATCTCCATAATCCAAGACACAAGAACATTAAGCACAATAACATGTTGTAGATAAGAGGAAGACACACACATGGACATAGACAAACACACAAATGATTGATCGTACCGTGGTAATAATCTCGTCCGACTTTTTCACGATTTGACTGTTTATTCAATAGCTCCGAAGAGTGAACCCATTTGCTCTCGATATGCCGCTCAAATCCGCCAAGAACGTAGCGAACGTCGTAGAAATATGTGTCAGCGTCGTCATCTGTTAGCGTTTCTGTATAGACTCGTACTATCCGTCCTGCACCACCCAATTTATTGATACCAGGCCATGTACGAGAGTCCACGTCCACTAGTGTCCCTATGTCCAGCATATTCTCCTTATTCTCATAATCTGACTTATGCTCTTTATCTGTAAGTTGCACTTCAACTTGCTCGTCAACTGTTTCGTCGTCAATGTACTTGTGCTCTTCAACTGTCGATCGCTTCTCAAAAGTCTCAGTTTGCTCATGTATCTGTGTAGACTCTGAGAATGCATCTTCTTCATGTTTGTGTGCATCATGTCTGTCTTCTGTTTGTATTTGCACGTCCGAGATCTCCTGCTCGTCTTCTTCTGATTCTGCGACAAAGTCAGTGTCGTCCATGTGCGTCAACACTTGTTCATGTAGCAGGAGTGATGGTCAGAAATACCGTTTTTCTTACCGGTATAGTTTACTCTAAATATTGTGAAACGTTTTGACAATTTAAATGGAGTTTCTTAAATATAATATTAGTTCTTACAAGTAGCCTCTAATACTACATACAGCTGTAAGAATCTATTAAACCAGTTAAAAATTAAAACAACTTGATTATGACATCACGTCCATCATGGCTACATGTATCACCAGCATTTGCCATCATCATCTTTGATTCCTTCGCCCATGAACATGGAGAATGTTCATACGTTTACTGGCCTCGGGATTTACTCAAACCGTCACATTGCAGCACTAAACTCAGCACCAAAACAACACTTTTCAAAGGACCGTATTCACAAAAGCGACATTACGTTCGGGGCTTACAATTGAAGACGCCATTGAGAGCAGCGTGACTGAACCAGAGACGAGAAATCTACCGGAAGAACGAGTTGTGACAATTCGTGGAATTATGATGACCAAGGAAAGATGAGCACCGATCATTGATCGATTAATGGACCACTGGGATGTCAATGCACGACGCAAGAAGCTGCAAGTCCTCGGCTTTGATAATCGAGGTGTTGGTGGCAGTGATGCCCCATTAACACGCTATACGACGAGTCCAATGGCTCAAGACACATTGAAATTGCTGGACCATGTTGGATGGTACTCGGCACATTTTATAGGTGGAAGGTGAAATGAGCTAGATGTTATGAGGTTTGCTTGGTCACTGTTTTGTTTCTTGACTTGGTGTTGCGTTGCGTTGACTGTAGCATGGGTGGTATGATTGCTCTTAAACTAGCAGCGAGATGGCCAAAGCGAGTGCGTTCGTTGACGCTAGCGATCACAATGCGTGGGGCGTATGTGCCACATCCAAGGGCGTGGAAACCTTTCCTTGGATCGATTCTTGGTAGATCAATGCACTGCGTCATGGAGCTTCTGTACCCGAGTACGATCCTTGACAAACCCATTGAAGATTGTAAGGATCTTAATGTGCAAGATGTGCTCATAAATTACCACGCAACACCGCAGTCTGACAACGCTTTGCCTCCGCTGTGCGCGCTGATTGCTCAAGGTATGGCGTGCTTGACACACTACGTCTCGGAACTTATCGCCAAGTCGGGCTTTCCGATCTTCATTATCGGAAGTAAGCAAGACATTTGATCCCACCTGAAAACTCGGTTGCGCTGACTGAGCGGCTAAAGGGCGACCATGTCCAGACGCTTTTTTTCGAAACGGGTGGACACGGTGCGATGTTCCAGTTTGCTGAGGAAACTGCCGACGGCCTTGCACGAACTATCAAACGCGCTAAGCTCTGACGACTTGAGTTGTCAAAGATTATGGAATCTAAGCAATGTCACTCGTGTAAATACAAATACTGTCTATGAATACATAGGACCAATGTGTTGATTATTCCAAGAGGTATTTCAACACTACAAAGCGTACGCGCGATAGACAGGCCGGAAGATTACGTGGTTATTGGTGTATACGCAGACACTTGGCGATTTGCTTGCAAGGTCAAACTCTGACAATGTCTTTTGAGCCTGAAGTCGTGTCTGCTCCAGGTATTTGTACACAGCGTCAAGTAGATGCGTTGTATGCTGCACCCAAGTATTTTGGTAAAGGTGTAGCTCAACAAGCAATTATTGCAACGGGAATTACAGTCAGCTATGCTGTGCTAGAGTGGCCACCCATGAATGCAGCTGTTGGGGTCGAAGAGGTGGTGCTTATTGCTGGTTTCATGCAGCCCAAAGACACATGGGCACATTTTATCGACTCAATGTTGCCTCAATGGAATCAAAAGCAGCGTGGTGTTGGTCTGAGTATTCTAGTAATGGACAACCGAGGTTTTGGTGGGACCGACGCACCCTTTGGAATGTACTCGACGCGTATTATGGCAGAAGATGTTCTTGCACTAATGGACCATCTTAGCTGGCAATCAGCGCACATTGTTGGTGGAAGGTGCGTTAGATGTAGCTTGCACTGTGATTCAGTGGCTGGTTCATTGTTCAAAGTGTTGTTTTCGTGTTACTACAGCATGGGTGGCATGATTGCTCAGGAGCTAGCATTGCTTGATCTTCGACGGGTGCGATCATTGACACTTGTTTCAACCAGTCGTGATAGATACAAGGCGAGTGGACGGTCCTTGGGATTAATGGTACGCAAAACATTCTCATTTACGGTGCCAGCGAAGGCAAACAGCATGGTTGAGACACTATTTCCACAAGAATATCTAACCAAAACAAGAATAGCTGAAACAAACGAAAGCGTACGTGGTGCAATAGCTCATATGTATGAGTTGCAGTTACAGCGGTGGCCGGAACCAGGTCTCAGCGGTGTCATGGGCCAGACTGCCGCAGTCCAGACGCATTACGTATCGGACGAGAGGCTACACGATATCAATAACGCCGGTTTTCCCATTCTGATCGTCAGTGCCATGCTAGACGACGTTATTCCCGCGGCCGAGTCCATTGTGCTTAAAGAGCATCTAAGTGGTGATCACGTCCACACGCTGTTCTTTGACATCGGTGGACACGGTGCAATCTGCCAATACGCAGATGAAATCGCTGATGAATTGATCGAAACAATGAAGCGAGCGTTACCGCCATTGTGAGGATTCTATCACTTGAAAATCCGTACGTCTTACTAGCATCTTAACTCATAAATGACTAATGGGTCAATTGAATCATCGTAGCCAAGATCTGTTAGTCTTGGTTTGACCAAGTGCAGGGCACGCCACGATGATCGCCTCTTGGTCCAAATCAAATGAATATTGTAAACGCTTGGGTAACTGCTTCCAAAATAGTGCTTTGCTGCTGCGTAGGACATCAGTCATCGATTGAAATTGGAAAAGCCACTTGACGCTTGCGTTCTGCCTGGTCTACATGTTGTTATACTATGTGACTGGCACGGACAGCAGTTGTAAAGAACATAGATACAAAACCTAAGTTGTCTTCAGCTGCATTATCAGTCGGCAAATGAGCTAGAGGTACAGGGAGGCGGCGAAGACAATGTCACGCTTGAGCTTTTTGCCTCCTTCGTCAAATTTCTTCTCAAGCTCGACGTCACCGATCGAGTGCGCAGCCAGCGTAAGCTGGCGCAGCAACTCCTCTAAACGACGCAAGCAACGGATGATTGTGCCCTCGAACGCGTCCGACATCTTGCAAATCTGCGAAAATTTAGCACCCTGGCACCAGGCAATAACCACATCTACGAGGCTCGTGTTGAAGGCGCCTGCATACTCGTCTACATCAATGGTGATTTTGGCATCCTGCATCACCTTTGCGATGCGCTGGGCCGTCTCACGCAGCTGGCGGACGGGGATCTCTAAGTTCTCGGCTTGCGGCGGCTTATCGCTGTCCTTCCTTTTCTCCGTATTGATCAAGCAGCTCAACAGCGCAACTGTGTCACTAACTGATAGATCGTTGAACTGACCGTTAAAGATCATCTCAGTCACCAGCAACTCGTCCGTCGTTGAGACCTCACACGCTGTACGGCCCTTTTGCTGTATCACACCCTCCTTGTCCACGAACTCTAGTCGTCGCAGAACTCTCCGGCGACGACGAAGATCATCACGCAGCACAAGTGACTTGGACTCCTTGATCTTGCGCTCTAGCTCTCGCATCTTTGCCTCACTCTCCATCTTTAGGTTGTATAGCGCAAATCGCGCCTCTTTGTCGGCTGCATTATGGAATACCGAGCTCTTGAGCTGCTTCTCAACTTCGAGCGTTTTCTCAATCACACGCAAAAATTGCTCATCCTGAATATCCATATCTTCACGCGGGTCCAGCAGCGGCACACCTTGAGGAAATCGCCGCAACACTTCCCTCACCGACTTTCCTACTGCCTGTCGGCTATCTATTGTACGTAGGTCTTTCGGGATGTACACACGCAGCGAAGAAATCAGATCTAGCATCTCTAGTGGCACGGGACAAATCTTCATTTCGTAGCCGCAACACGACAGACCCATCATACCTTCCGGCGCCGGTGTCGGCAGTTCCGCCTCAGAATTGCTGCTGGTGGCGTCATTTACCTTCGTTGTAACATTATTTGCCACGCAGTTCAGCAGCACGTGTACGATCGTGTCAGGCGCCGCCGAAGTCGAATCACTGGCATTCTTGGTCGTAAAATTCACAATGACACCCCAATCCCACTTGGGTTTCGCCATGCCATCATCGCTGTCTGGACAATAGAGTTTCACTAGACGACCCCCCGTTGAGAAAGCGAACAACTTGTTCAGGCTTGTTACGTATAGCCAGAAATTCCTCTTTAAGACGCACAAGAGACCTGGACAAGTAGTAGTACTGCGCCACTTCCTCCTCGTTTTTGATCACAATCTGGTCTTTCTCTTCTCTAGCACGCTCAAGTGCTTCCTCCAGCGCTGGAGCAGCCTGCTCGTTTTGGAACTGGTGAAACGACTGTTTGATCATGTACTCCGGGTCGGCATCTTCCACACGCATCAAATTTAACAACATGTTGTAACCAAGATGAAACGTGCTGAAAAGAGGGTCAGCTTGGCCGTACAAAATGTCCTTTGCAACCTGCGGCTCCATCTCTTTGCTTAACATCTGAATAACGATGCCACGTGCATCAAGCGAACGACGACCAGCACGCCCGGACATTTGAATGTATTCGCCTGCAGTAATCCACCGAAAACCCTTGCCATCAAATTTACGGCAGTCAGTGAATACCACAGTTTTGGCAGGCATGTTCAGACCCATAGAGAAAGTCTCTGTGGCAAAAAGACATTTTAAAAGACCTTCACCAAAGAGGATTTCGATCACTTCCTTTAAAATAGGCAGCAGACCACCGTGGTGAATACCAATGCCACGACGAAGTAGCGGCAATATCGAGTCTACTTGGGGTAATGCGCGATCATCGTCCGATAGCGAGTCCATCGCGTTCTTAAAAAGTTGGTCCACAGACTGCTTCTCCTCTTCGGTATTAAAGTCAAGCTTAGACACCATCAATGCATACGACTCGCAATCACGCTTGCTGAAAGAGAAAACGATCACTGGATCGTACTGGCGCTCCATGATGAGCTTCACAATCCGAAACACATCCGAGCCTACTTTTTTTGCTGGGTTGGTCTTCTGCGTTTTGCGTCGCTTAGTGTTGCTACCATACGACGCTAGTTCCGACGCCGTATCATCCGTCGACGCTGACAATGTCGCAATCGCCTTTTGAAAATTATCTTCACGAAACTTTCCCTTCTCGTCTACTACCAAATGCAGTCCATTACCTCCCGCGGGGAACAGATAGTGCTGTAAAGGTGTCGGACGATAGTCCGTATACACAACGTGGCACGGTTGGTGGTGAATATGGCAGATCCATCCAGCAAACTCCTTGGAATTTGGGATCGTGGCTGATAGGAACACAAATCGTACCTTGTGTGGCAACAGAATAATGCTTTCTTCCCACACAACACCACGTTCCTTATCTCGCATGTAGTGAATTTCATCGTAAATAACCCACGCCACTTCACGCATTACTTCCGAACCCCGGTACAACATACTACGGAGAATTTCCGTAGTCATAATTAGACATGTAGCTGACGGGTTGATTGTAATGTCTCCTGTCATTAGACCCACATCACCAAACTCTTCTTCCAAGTCACGGTACTTTTGATTACTCAAAGCTTTAATAGGTGACGTGTAAATAACACGTTGCTTGTCTCGTAGAGATTTTGCAATAGCGTATTCCGCGACAGCTGTTTTGCCTGCTGATGTATGGGCAGATACCAGGACCGAATCACCAGCTTCAATATAGTCAATAGCTTGTTGCTGGAATGGATCTAGAGTAAATGGGTACGTTTTCGCAGGGTTTTTTGCAGCAGCTCCAGCTGTAACTTTTGTCTCATAGTCTGAAGGATAAACTGAAAAGGAAATGAGATTTTTCTCTTGCGTACCAGTAGACACAACACCATTAACAGAATGCGTGTCACCATCTACTGGTGTTGCATCAATGCGTTTGCCTTCAATGACTTGAAGTGTCGTGGAGACTGGACGACCTTCATGTTGTTGTTTCTTGGCTGGTGGAGACGCCGTTTTCTCGTCATTTACAGCAAATACAGGAGCTTCTTTACGTTTTGTAGAACTAGATGATATTGCACCTTGTTCCTCGGTAGTGAGCGTTGTAGTGACGTTATCAAAGGCTCCAAACAAGTCCAAGTCATCCTCATCGGCCATAATTGCTGGAGCTGAGTAAACTTGGAAATGACTGGATAAAATAAATGGAACGGAAATAGTGTGGACCACAAGAATCGACGAACGTGGTCCATTCTCCTCTTTCTCACTCAACAAGTATGATATTATGTATGGAAACAATGGCCACATGCTTTCATCGAGGCATCCAAGGGTATTCACATACATTATGTGGATGTAGGCCCTAGAAATAGTCTACCTGTAGTAATGGTGCATGGGTGGCCTGATCTTTGGTTCGGATGGCGAGTACGTTTCAAAAAGCTTTACTTCTATGTGAATGATATTAACTTTGACAGGTCATTGTCCTTTTTCTTTCATCGTTTAGAATCCGATCCAAGCACTGAGTTCGATGATGTATCGCCTTATTGTACCGGGTACGAAACGACTGTAGTTTAGTATGAACCATGATGAAATCGATTCATGTATGTATATGATCTTATTAATAGATGTTCGTGGATTTGGACAAAGCTCGACCCCACAAAGTGTTGAAAGTTATGGCGCCAAAAATATTTGCAACGTTTTAATTGCTTTACTAGGTACATCTTTGATTTATTTGTATGTATCGTGTAATGAAGGTTATGATCTAGTTTATATGCTATGGGTGTTTATTTGCAAATGTAGATGCACTAGAAATTGCCAAGGCGGTATTTGTAGGTCATGACTGGGGTGGCCATATGGTTTGGAGAAATTGTCTTTATCATCCGGATCGAGCTATCGCAGTATGCGGCGTTTGTAATACATATGATCCACCACGGAAGAAATATTTGCCATTATGGAAGTAATAGTGGAAAAGATACCGCAACTCAAGTATCAACTATGGCTGGCCAAGACTGATATTTCTGGAAAGGTGCTAGACGCCTCTCCACGTCGAGCACTCACTGCGAAAACTTTCGGAAATGGGTCTTTGATCGACTAGTGTCCCTGTTAGATACATTGATGGCCGTAGACTCAAATGTAGACCACCTGATGTTCACTCAAAGATCGACGTTGCTATCCGAAGCGGAGCTTAATTACTATATTGAGCAATACTCGGCTAGCAAGTTTTTCAGTACATGCCAGACCTACGCAACGAGCAAAATTGAGTTTCAGAACGAACAGGGATTGCCAAGTGTGATCAATCATCCTGCACTATACATTGGTGCTGCCAAAGATGAGGTGCTTAGACCCAAGATGGCGAAAGGCATGAATGCCTAATTTGGAAACAAGGGTGATTCAAAATGCTGGTCACTGGGTGCTTTGGGAACAGAAGAAAGAAGTAAATGCGATCTTGTCGGAATGGTTGGTCAAAATTGCCGCAGGCATAACCGGCACTAATCCAGTCGCGAAGCTGTAAAGCTAGCTTGCATAACTGGACTGTTCCAAAGTCAAGTTGGCTGAGCAGAATCGCCTTGCGATATTTTGCTGCATTAATGAATTAATTTGAATATGCAATCACATCAGCTGGCTCATGATTTGAAGCCCGTTTTTCGAGTCGTTAAACTCGATAGGTGGCTCTTACTTGATTGATGCCTGGCATATTTGCTTTGTGCATTCAGCTTCCATAGGCCATGTACATCCTCCGGCAAGGCCAGCATGGACAGGCCCGGGCTGCTCAACATGCCGAAAAAATGTCTCGCGTCTTCCACAGTTCCGTCTGAAAATCTTGGGATCATTTTGGCCATATTCGTGGCGACTTTGGGTTTTCAAAAAGAGCCTTTTACGTACCAATGTACAGCGCAGGATGCTCGATTTTTGCCCGAGAGAACCTCCAAGTTGTGCCTTTTATTGGCGTGCACGCAGTTGGTGCTTGTGACTTGCTACATATGTACTGCTCGGCGTCGTATTGCCATTTGTCCCTCCAACAGTATTTCCGATCGCTCCTTGTATCATGTGCCCAAGTCTTCGTTTATATCTTGAGATTCACATAGTGGCAACAAGCACAACCTTCTCTTTGATATCGAACTCATTTTGCCCAAACATCACAGTCACAAAGCGACTGCCTTAATCAAGGTCTTAGCATCCACAAGAGCAACAGTACTTCAACTTTGTGGCATTTTGTGCACAACCATGATGTTTGCGTGCTGCAAAGGTGTAATTCCTGAAAACTCGTGTACAGCAAGCTTCTTCATGAAGGTTATCACCATGTTGTCCGGCACAGCCTAGGATTGCTGAGCATGTTAGAGGATCAGGTGCTTAATTATTTTGCCTTCAGCGTCAAAAGAGTCACAAGGTAGCGACAACATACGCTTAGCGGGATATTGCGAGGTGTGATGCCGTAGCTGCAAATGTTGGCATTATGTCGGTGTAGTGTTTATCATATGTGTTAGTTTTTTTGTAGTATCATCTAGGACATCTAATGCATTCTTGCATGACGGAGAAACCAAGAAACTTGAGCTGGAGGCACCACGACCAGCTTTGATGTCGACTGGAGTCGTGTTTGGCAATGATTGCACCACTTGTGCAAATTTTCTGATCCGCTTCCCCGATATTCTAGCGCTGTTTACATATAAGATTATACAGGACAAAATAAAAATGAAGAGTCTATTGCATCACATGATCTTACTCGTTGGTATTAAGCTCATCCATTCCACGCTCCAGCTCAGCTGTTGTACAGTCTTGCGTCTTCTCCCCGGCACCATATGGATGACTACGACTTCGTGGATATTGCGTGTTGAATCACATGCAAGGCCATTCAACGTCACGACGCCATTTCCTTCCCTCCCAGTTCGTCAACTTGAAGTCCCTACACCGAGTCACTCGGGAGACCATGAACCAAACGACAAAGAAGAGTAGGCGAGCGCTCCTATAGATGTAATTGTCATGCACAGGGAGAAGTTAATCCAAAACTAATCAAATTGATCTGGAGGGGACGTACTACAGATGATGTTTTCGAGTGGTTCAAACTTCACGAAGTGAAAGAAGATATTTTGGCCGCGCCAAACATAAAACGCTCCAACCATGATTCCGACAGCCAAAAAACCACGCCTTCAAAACCAGTGAAGCGTGACTACGGTAAGGAAGACGACACACTTTTCCCAGAGTCATTGCCGTTGGGAAACAGGACACTAAAATAAAAAATGGCCAAATTACTGGAGTGGCTGCATCAGAGAAAAAGTCTAATTTCGTTTGTAAACAGATCAGGTTGCCGTCGCCCATGGCGGCTATGGCGCAAGAAGTGGTTCGCAGACCAAAGCCCATACAGATGAAAGTCGATAAGCTCGACGGCAAAGACGGTGATAACCTTATGCGGTGGTTTCGACAGGTTGAGTCGGCTATGTTTATAGCCGACATCACCTATGAACCGTACCGTGTGGGCTTTGACACGAATAAGTTGGGTGGTTTAGCCAGACAGTGGGCATTAACATCTAGTGCATCACTGCAAGATGCATTTCCCACATGGGCCAATCTGAAAGTTCAGATGACCCGGCAGTATGCACCGCCAAACCAAGCACACCGTAATCGGTCGCGATTTTGGTGTGTCGCCAAGGCAAGCGTAATCTTGCGGCATATGTGCAAGAGTTGAGAACTCTCATTGCTGCCATGGTCATAGACCTTATGCCTGAGGCAGTGACCGTCACGGTCTTCATGGAGGGCCTCCGAGCTGGTGTAGCCAGAACGGAAGTCTTCCGAGTAAGTCCGTCCTCGTTCGAGGAAGCTGTTGGAGTGGCATGGAATGCCGAGACCAACTTTAAGGCCGCTAGGCCTGCCACTTATAACTACTCGTCTGATGGGTCTGTTCCCATGGACTGTAGTCAAGTGGAGGACGAAGAAGCTGAGATTCATGCTGCGGAGCAGCAAATTGTGCGCAGATGTTATATCTGCAAGATCACAGGCCATTTGATGGCAAAAATGCCCCCGCAAGAAAGGCATATTTGGCCTCGAAGGGCCGACGCCCCATGGGTAAACCTTCTGGTTTGCCGTGGGGAAACGGCGGAACCCAGTAGGTGCGGGACGCTATACTGGGGAAGAACTGAGTTGTGTTGAACCTTTAGGAGGTAGAAGTAAACAGGGTCCAACCCCAACGAGATCCGAACTCTCAAAAACGGAACGAGAATGCAAGCCAAGCTTGCTGGTCGTCGAAGGGACGGTTAAGGGATTTGATAAGCCATGGATCATTTTGATCGATTGGGGAGCATCGGGCAATTATGCCCGCCGTGCCACCGTGGAAGGTAGTCAGCAGTATGCTGAAGCGCTTGTAGCGCGTGAGAGTGACACAGTCACGGTTTGCTTAGCGACTGGTACGCGTACCCAAAGTCCCGCTGAACTTTGCGAATGTAAAGTTCTTGGACTTTAACAGCATGGAACGCTGCTGATCTTAGACCTTGATGCGAGGTATGACCTCATCTTAGGCATGGCATGGCTAGAACGTCATGAGCCATGGATTGATTGGAGGTAGAAGACCTTAGGCGCAACGCGCAATGCTCTGGTGGGGCTCTGGAGAGTCATGAACCCACCTCTGCTAGATAGCAAAAGCGCTTTTGGCGCGGATATTGGACCCAGTAGGTCAATATGTCGGATGTCGGGTTATCCGACTTTGTAGACTTTGTAAGTTTCGAGAACAATAGTCCCAATGACTGTCAGTCGTGTGGCTGAAAACCCACTAGATGACACATATGGCATGTGACATGAGAACGATGTTACATCATTACACACCATAAGTGGTCTATGTAGCTTCGAGCCGAAATGTCAGGATAATGGTTCAAGCGACACAAGCGACGAGGTGCTGACCCTGGAGGCTCGGGTAAAGTCACCAATGTACGTTGTCAATGAAAAAAACGAGGTGCATGCACCTAACGACGAGGTACTGGACCAAGAGGGTCGGGTGTGCTTGAATAGCAACGGACACTCTCTTGACCATTTTAGTGATGTGGCGTAACAATTTGTTACGAGACCAACTGACGTGAGTTCGATTCCCGCCGGGTACGAAAAGATGATGTCTTGCTGAAAGGCAGCCAGGAGAATCAGTAAGAAGTGTTCAGGTGTCAATTGAGGGGGGTATTGAAATGGAAATTGACACTCTGACCAAGAGGTCTTGATCATTTTGGTGAAGTGGTGTAACAATAGGGTGAAGTCACAAATGGATGTTGTCTTTGAGGACAACAAGATGCAAGCACCTAGTGACGTTGTGGGTTGGGTGAAGTCAAAAATGACGGTTTATCATAACAATGAGTCGCAAGTGCTTTATGGCGAGGCATTGACCCGAGAGGGTGGGATGCAGTCAGTAAACGGAGTGGTCTTTGAACTTGAGGTGTGTACACCTGTGGACGCTGATGCGTCGGATGCTGAGAGCATCATGAGTAGCGATGATAATATTGTGAGTGGCGATGATAGCGAACATCTGTATAAACTCGTCAATGGTTTGACTGGGGATGTTGAAAAGAGCCGATGGCTCTTTCAGCTATACCCGCAGCAAGTGCTCTGTTAGAGGTGGACGAGTTGTCCTTTGCCGAGTTTGGCAGTGCCTTACAGGCAGGCGACATCGCTGAAGTGGTCGTTGTACGACCTGAGGAGGAGTTGAACTCCTCATCGCTTTTAAATAAAGTAGTTCTCGAAGCTACCAAAAAGACGCTGAATGCGTGAAGTGGATCACAGATCTTGAAGAACCTATCGGGTCCTTACTTTCCTTCGTTGAAGGAGTATGGCAATATTGTTTCCAAAGCACCTCCTACGAGGTTACCTCCGGATAGAGGTGTACGTCATGAGATTGACTTGGTTCCAGAAAACAAATATTGTATGACGTGACAGTGGCCGCTACCACGAGAACAATGTGATATCATTAATAAGTTATTTCGGGCAAAGCACGCGGCTGGCATGGTGCGTGAGAGTAAGACTCCTCACTCTACGCCCATATTTTGTGTGCAGAAGCCTAATGGGAAGTGGCGAATAGTGTATGCTTACAATAAGCTGAGTGCAGCCACTATCCGGCTCAAATACCGATTCCTTGCAAAGATTTTCTTCAGAACAACATGGTGAGATGTACGATGTACAGTGCCCTCAACTTGGTCGATGGATATTACCAACTGCTCGTGCGAACTAGTGATATTCCGCTGACAGCGGTCAGCATACCGAGCGGTATGTTTTGGGGAGTGATTAGTGATGCAACAAGGGCTTTTTAACGCACCTGCAACGCTCAATCGTCTGGTGACGCAGTTGTTTCGGCCCCATAGGGCGTATGCACAGACATACTTTGATGACATATTCGTCTATAGTCGAGCCAAAAATGGCAAGACTAATGTGGAGAATCACATCGAGCACCTGCGAGCTGTGCTCGGTTGCATGAGGATGCATAAGTTATATGCATATATTGACAAATGCATCTTCGGTGCGGAAGAGATTCCCGTTTTGGGGTGCTTCATTGGTAAGCGAGGAATCCGGGCAGAGTCCCGAGGCATGAATTCGTAATCACGACGTGATACTGTGTGTTTATGTCGTGGGAAGGCGGTACTCGGGCCTCGTCATAATTTGACGACGCGGTAGCGGAAAGAGGGCTGGATACCTACCCTAGAGCGGTAAACGTTGGCGCTTAGAGAACGCAGATGATTCCTTGTAAAGAGGACACGAAGCGGGACCGCCGTCTCTCGTTCGGTGAGCGTGGTGAACGTGGGGTTACTATGACCCACCGGGGACTCGTCGCCGCTGGCCCTAGATGCAACGTCACTGTCATCGACTTTAAAGATGTCACGGCGTATTGCTTCATCCATGATGAAGCAGTGCAACTGCTTTGGAAGCCGACTAAAGCGTTGCAATACTCTTCACGTATATAAATATGTTTGTTGGCCTTTACTTTGCCTTGGAAGATGAGGTGTTCCTCGGTCTTAGGGCCAAGGATAGAGAGCAGCTTTTGCAACCATTCCTGTTGTTCCTGTGACAGGCCAATCACGGACATCTATTTGATGTTCATTCTCACACAAAGAAGGTGCGGGATTGACAACGAGTGCTACCAGGTGTAGCAGAGTTAGCGTAGTAAAGCTACTTGTGCAATAAGTGCAGAGGAAGACAAGCTCCAAGAGCTTTACATCTTAGGGTTATTAACCCGCCCAAGGCTAGCTAGCTTAGCAAGCTTGTACCTTCTGGTTATCAATAACCACCAACTAAAACATTTATATGGTTTAACGTTTATCTTCCTGCACTGAATATAGAAGCACCTACTCTATACTTAGTGCTAGTCACTATTTAATTGGGCAGAGCCACGTGGTCATTATACTTCGTTTAAGTATAATGAACACATATGTTTGCATATTAGAAGGCCGATGCAAACCTTTGTACCTTAGGTACAGTCACATCAACATACCAGTGTACTCACACCACAATGGATTGGGAACAATGCACACCTTTGTGCAACTATGTTACAAAATGACTTGGATATAGCTTTCAATATACAGATCCTGAATTCCAGTTCCTTCATGCCGTCTTCACCTTACTCACTTTGAGGCGGAACTTCCTTGCGTGGATGAAAACACGTGTAGTACCCTTTTAGTACGACAGAACATCAGCTTTTCCACGTTGAGTGATCCGACTAGCGCATACGTGGAGGCTCAAAGCACAACTTGAGAAACCGGTATAGGGCTCTTAGTGGCGTCTTCACCATGTTCAGTAGTCTTCTAGTAGTAGAACGCTTTTGAGACGTACAGGCTTCACAAGTGCATACAGGACGCCGTGTTTCGTGTGTGCTGCGTACAACTTGTCCTAGACACAGAAACTAAAAACGCTCGTGCGCAATTTACGTGGTCCAGTCACTGTGTGAAACAAAACACCACTCGTGCATGCTGTTGAACGTTTTGCGCTGTCGCATTTTTGCAGCACGAGATTCATTAGCCACAAGGTCACTTGTTTACGTAGGTGCTTCAACAGTGCAACGCAGCATGAAAGCGAGCTGGAATCCAGTTCAGCACAACGGGTAAGCTGAACTCGGTAAGATTGCATTTACAGTCATTTTGGTGAATACAATAGCATATGTAAGTAGTGTGTGATATATGACGAGATTGAACGAGTGGATGTGCGTACCACGCACCGTGGCATCTTCAATCAATGCATTGGAACTTTATTTTAGCACAGCACCCAGTCACATCGAAGTATCGGATGAATTATCACGGGAGTGGATGAGCTCATCGGGGTATCTGAAGCCGTCGTTGCCACACAGATGAGGCCGCAGTGCTTATAATACGATATGGAAGCATTCTCAAGCACAGCCAGGTGTGGGAGGTTGGGGTCAAAAGTATGGGGTCCGCAACCTTGATTTACGCTCTGTGTTCGAGAAATAGTGGCGCAACGCCACTCTTGCACCTCTTTGTGTTGTGTTTGCCAGTTTAAGCAATACTATCGAGACACCTCATCGGACTCACACAAGAGATTTTGAATGGCTACAGCGCAAAGTTGATCGTCACCATGTAAAAGCTAGCAACCTTCATCGTCGTTAAGAGTTATCAAGAAAAAAGGAATGCGAATGCCACACTCTTTCTCCAATTAAGTCTTGCCCGTTCTAACGCTCAGCGTGTCAACACTTCATCTCTCCATCTTCTTTGGCCTGACTGATGACTTATCATTGAATTGCGGCTGCTTACGCTACATGTTTCTTCAAAAAGGGACCGATTGCCAAATGCGTTGACAAGTAAGGTATACATACCTCTCGTCTTGCCGCATTTCTTGATGAGACCACGACATTAGCCACTTACAGCATTATACTTTGCTATTGCTCCAATACCACGTGCTAATGATTCAACCCAGCACCATTGCACGCGCGAGCCTCAAGCAAAATTTTCGTCCTATTGAGATAGAGATTGAACACACGCACAAAGCCTCGCTTTGTGGTGCTACATTTCAAGAATTTGATGTCTATCTTCTCACAAATGATCGTGTTTTCTGTATTCCTTGTGATTGCGATGGCAACGTCTCCGAAGGCTACAGTGAATTAAAGCCGGGTCTTCACTGCTATCAGTGCCGTTTCTAAACCTGACTGCATCTATTGTCACCGCAGCATCAAGTCTTTAACGTCCATTCATCGTCTTATCCCTCACACACTTCAGCTGCTAAAGTGATGATCTGAAGGTAGATCCAGTGGAAAAGCTGTTGAAAGTGACAAAGCTCTGTATGCAGAAACAGGTGAGCTCTACATAACCAAGCAGAGCAGCATCGCCATGTACATGTGATAACACTATGGCACACGCAAAGTTAGGTTCAATAATATGAACAATGATGAGCTAGTGAACTGTGATCCTACCATGATACATCGACTCCTTCATGGACACTTGAGCACGGTTTGTTGCCAGTAAATAGATATCTAACGGCAAAGCCTGATCATTTCTTGATCCATAAGAGCGACACTAGGTTGCAGACTTGCCAGGATTCTGTCTGAAACGGCGTCCTATTGGAGGAGCACGCCATGGCTTGTCCTAATTGTTAGGAACCTAACAAAGAGATCAACCAATCCTCTAAAATCTCTAAACCTCGTGGAAAATATCCGATATTTTTGATACCCGACGGTCATGCGACATGCAGCATTCGAGAATTCTAACAACTGGTGAGAATCATAAACTGGACAGTCTTTTGCAAAAAAACAAAGTAAAAGACACGAAATTGGCTAAAACGGTGCTATTGATTGTAAACAACGTCAAGACAACCAGTAGGCGCTTTTTATATCTGCTACAACAATTTTTTGTGTATCATAACGTGTGGCACAAGCAGTCGCTCGTTCCATTTCATTTCACGCTTGTCCAATTTAAAACGAATACTATCAACAATACGACAATTCTATCGACGAGATAGCCTCAAAGTGTGTGAATAAAGCCGTTGTTTGTAAATCTTGGATCGGCCAAGTTGCAAGCGCAAATTGTTTACGATCCAAACTGGTCTCTAGGAGGTCCTATAGCACGATTATATTTGAGCATAGCAAGGCAGATTTTCTTTCTTTTCCACTTAAAATCGTTTTTTTATCTGATTTTACCGAATCGTATAAATTATTTCGACGGGTTATACACCAATCATAACACTTTCTAAGATCGAAATCAAGTCGAATCGTCACCACACACACTCGAGTCGGTTTCCACACATCGTATCGCCACATCATTTAAACTCCCTAAAATTTTAAGTTTCCACACACTCATTAAACAAAACAGTTGCATCAGCACAAGTGAAGTTAGTTGTCAAAAGGTGAATCAAAAATCCATCTGATTATCTTTTTTTTTTGGTCCTCACAAAATTATGCGAGATACTTTACAAAAATCACGCATGACCATGTCGTTAATGAATCAATCGGATTCAAATGAACGGGAATTACGTCTCTGGTTGCTATCAGCGAATACATATCACGGTGTAACGTATTATCGTATTGCTGGACGTTTTACTTCAAGTGGTCAGACGTGGGAAGTCAGTCATCGCTACTCGGAGTTTCTGAAACTCCGTGATCAATTGGTGAAATTCCTGTCATCATCGACGGATAAATGTCCAGGCTGTCGCAATTATTTGCATTCAATCCAGCGGTTTGAATTTCCCAAGAAACATCTTTTTGCATCAAGAGCCCCACCAGTTGTGAATTACCGCGTTAAAGCTTTGCGCTCGTTTGTTAATTTGTTGGCTTCCTGGGCCTTTTCCAAGACACCCAAGTGCCCAACATGTGGAGGGTATGCCTTTGATGTCGTACGTAACTTCGTGCTAGAAGGTAATGCTTTATCAGCCGACACGGACATGAACTTGATCAGGGAGTCGGTGAATGTCAAAGCATTTGCAAAGCACAGTTTATCCTGTTCAAGAGGATCGAGGACTCCGAGCTCGATAACGACAAATTCATTTGGAGACCTGGACATTACACAGAGTATGTACACACCAGAGAGAAACACGCAGTTTAGGCTGACGCAAGAACCGACAGTGAGAGAAGCCCCGCTCTCACAATCGAGACAACGTGAGAGGCCAAGCGGGACGCAGTTGGCGAGAGCTCAGGAGCGACAAGAGAAAGCAGCGTATTACCATCAGTCATCAGATGAGCACCGTCACCAGCAGCAGCGGAGACGCTACCAAGACGACGATCCATACGATGCCTTTAACGATTACTTGCCGGAGAGGCAGTCAAAGATCAAGAAGGCAACGCAGTCGAGTATGGAACAGAAGATCCAGCGTGGCAAGTTCACGTCGAGACCACTGTACGAATCGATCGAGGAGAGACGACAACGGCACCAGCAAGAAGAAGAAAAGGCCAATGCGTACCAGCGAAAGTTGCGGAAGCACCGGAGCGAGCCACAAAACGTGGCAGCACATCATCCACTAGCGGAAAATGAGTTGTCTATGGGCACCAACACCTGTCGAAGCCCAGAGTCTGGCAAACAAATGGCAAGCCGAAACACCTCTAATGGGGAGAGTATCATGTCGGACGTGAGCAAGGTGGCCAAGCCAATCTTTTGTGATGGTGACGAGCGACAACGCTACGGACATCGTGATGAGGAGTGGGAAGACAGAAGTGCAATTAGCAGTGTGTATTCGGGTGACGATGAGCTTGAGTTGACGGGTGTGACGATGGCGTCGCCCTCGCATGTGAACAATAAGAGCAGCATTGACAATCTATGGGAGCCATGGGAGCTAGCTCGTGTTGCCTAGAGGGTTTGGCTTTGGAGTACGGTCATATTATTTGCTACATATACTGGTCAGAACCGAGTTGGAAACATGCTCCAAGATGATTAGTAAGTACATGATGACTTTTAGTAATAAGGACCGCTGTCGTCTGCGCTGAGAACTTGATTGATTGACCTGTTCAGAACAATTGGATCGGTCTAGGATAATCTGGAGAGACAAGTGGATATTTTTCACTCTTTTATCCACACAGTAAGTGAGTAAATAGATAAAATACTGGTCGTTTTTTTTGCTCCAAACAAACTCTGGAATGACAACAGTTGTTACTTTCTTTAGTTTCTATAATTATAAAGATCAATATAATACGCCTAAGTCAACCTTTTCTCTAATCTTACTGGATATTCAATCAAATATTGCAAGCACATGGAAACTCAGGATTGAAATATTTCCAAAAGATTGCAAAATAAAATCTCGAAAATAACAAGTTTAAAAGCACCAACTCTTGTCATTTGTAGTTTTATCTCACCATATTTTTTGACTAAATCGGACCAAAAAGCAAGCAACCCCCGTGCGTATAAATAAATACTCTTTGCCAAGCAAGCCGCACTATCCCCTGTCTATCATATCAATCATATCATACACCGTTGGTCTATTATTTCACACGTCTCTTCATGCTGACTAGAGCATAATCCTGATCTGCCATGTAAATTACTTGATAAACTCTATCGACGTTTTTCTTTAACTACATTTCGGTGATTACGAAAAGTAGTTTACGTGTAATATTTTGCTCTTTAAATGTTGTTTTTTGCTCTAGAATAGTATCGTAATTTTTACGCAAAGATCCGTCGAGCTTGACAACAAAGGCATTGGTATACTTTTCATTTACATTACCAATGTGGTTTTTTTATTTTAGTTGCCATTGATATATATATATATATTTATATTACCGTCTGAAACTGACACAAACTCTCTTTTTTCGTATACAGGAGAGATAATCAGTAATAAATAACGTGCATGGAGCAACAATTTATGATGAAAACCGATGGGACACGAACTGAGAGGCATTTGTGGTACTGGACGCATGGAAAACAGAGTGGCACGACGGCCTCAAGCAGCATTATAGGTTTATCCTATGATTCGACTCATCAATTGATGAATTGTAGTAGCAAAAGTAAATCAGGAGCTGCTACTTCTCCGTCCTATGAAGTGCAGTGGCAAAAGAAGGAAGTTACAAGAGGATCCAAGGAAAGAATGGACTCGACTGTATCTGCATCTCTTCTCGCCTGGTCTACTTCTCCTGATGCGAGACGTAGTTTGTCTTCTCAGAAGTTCTTGTCGCCTATAGCAGCATCCTGCAGCTCTCGAGCTGCAACTGTTTCCACGAAGAAAAAGACGACTACGTCATTGCTTCCAAGTTGTGGACATCGAGACGGTCTTGGGATGAAAAGTTCGGTCGAAACATCTTCGTCATCTTCGGTGTTTATGTTTATGACACATGATGAGAAACGCGCAGCTTCGTCCGAGAGGTCGTGGTCTATGGGAAAGAGCAAGCGATCAACACCCAGAAAAGAGAGGAGGAATAGCAAAAGTTCTTTGTCCATGTTGTCAAACAGTCGAGTAGGGACGCGTGTTGTTGCAGCGTGCAATACTCACTTCTTGCTCAATGTGAATGAAGAATCGGAAGTGGCAGGGCCAGACGCGAGTACGAACATATTTGCCTTCTCGACGCATCGAAATAAGTCAAGTCGAAGTCTGGCAAGTAAAAAAGGCTCAGGTGCTGCCTCGTTTAGGAATAAAGCGACAGACCAAGTTCCTGCGGTGGAAACGGCCGTGTTCGACTTTGATAAGAATTTCTCGAGAGATAGCCCGCCAACATTTCCAGTATCCTTGCCCTCGACCGCAACAACGTGCGCAGCGCCGTTTTCCTTCGTCTCGGAGTCGATTCCGACCGTTGACCCACTTGTGAACTGCGCTCGTGCTGTTTTACAAGACTGCATCAGAACTCGCAAAATGGAACAAAGCATGGCTCGTAAACGCTCAATCGAAAGGTGCATTGATGGAGAGGTGCTGGAAAATAAAGGATGGCACTATGAGTCTGTCTCGAAACCCTGGCAGTACGATGTTGTGAGCCCTGGTTCATGGTGAGTATGTAAAACCTACTGGCTAAAGCTACATTCATGTTTTGTCGCCTGACGTTTTTTTGCGTAATTGCTTCATACAGCAGCAGCAGTGACGATGAGCTCAGTGAATTGTTGTCAGCGAACCAGTCATTCTGGTGCGTTTTGTGATGCATTATGCCGGTATCACGGGCACTGCTTCTAACGGTAGTGTCATGTTCTTTGTGTACACTGTAGCACTGACAAGTCCGAGCAGGGTTGCAATAGCAAGCTGGCTAAGGAAGAAATATACCGTCAGATTTTAGCTGGCGACAATGAGCTGAGCTGCAGCCCCGAGTTCCAATGCTTCAGTCCCTTGATTGAAGAAAAGTGTGTAGATATTGTGTAGATGGTGTTGTGCAGTAACTAATTATCTTCACTGTTTGTGGTTTAGGGGAATACCCATCGAGGTTCGATACCAGCTCCCGTTGGCACTAGGCACAGCAAACGAAACCAGCAAAGAATGCACAATTTGCCAACTTCGCTACGGCATAGGTGATCACATCGTAACGCTTCCATGCCAGCACTTTTTCCAGTACGTTTTTGATACTATTGGTGAAGCATGATGCGCAAAACGAGCCGAAGCTTACATCTAGTGTCCATGTTTGTAGTGCGTGTTGTGTCGACAAGTGGTTGTGGAATCACACTTCGTGCCCACTCTGCCGCACAGAAGTTGCTCTTGACCAGGAAGCGGAAGTGTGCGCTACGAAACACAATTTTACAGAGTGTTCTCCAGTAGATCAGGAGCGAATTCGTTGCCAGATGCGCTCTTCCTCGCAACATGTAGACTTCCGGCCTGTCATCCCAGGTATAGCATGTGTGCGCGCTACAACATGATATGTGACGTATATGCTGACCATTTTCTCCGCAGTGGAAAGTAATCAACTCGAGCTGGAAATGTCACGCATGGCAATCGACGAGGATTTGGAGGTTGAAGACGAACCGAGCTATATAGTTTGGTACGTTTGTACGACTCTGCCTTTGGTTGTTGTAATGCCCGTCTCATGTCCTTGTCTCGTCCCCTTCTGTAGCCCGACACCTCGTTTTGCCTCAAGTGCTCAGGACAAATAACTGCATGCAGAATGGAAAGAGCTCACCAGCAGTTTACCAGAACGGTCACTTTGCTCAGAGATGTCTGTTTTGCACAAAAAAACAACCACGGATTTAAAACGATCTCGATGATCTCGATGGTCTTGCTCCAAACCTCCTGGATGCTTCGTGACAGCAGTATATTGCACGCTCAATGACGGACGCCTTATCAAAACACCATAACAGTCCCAAACTAATGTGGCTCTTTCTCTCTTGGCTTTTTTGTATCACTTATTGCTAGTATACTTACTGAAAGACAAGAGACTAGGGTTGATAAAAAAAACAAGAAGAAATTCAATTGGGCGTACAATACACATTCAATTACCTTCGTGCAACCTAAAGCAGATACAAAACACAATAGTCACAGCTAAAGAAACAAACGTCAGCAGGTCATGAACGCTGATGATGAGCCGTCTATTGCGTACTTCGTGCGCAATGACATCACAGGAGACTCAGTACAGAAGAACAAGTATGGTTTACGCTATCTATTCGTATCGTATTTGTCTTTTATCTCTTCGTGTAACATTAAGTATTTGATCTCTTACTTACGTCATTTCTTCCTAAATAATCTTAATTTGAATGTAGTCATCTCAAGGCAAGTTTTGGTCCCATTGGTGGACGTAATACCGCCGTGACAGTTATGCAATCAAGAGCCATATGTTCTAGGAATGAATCAGTGGCTTTCTCAGCTTTTGCCGCTTCAAATGCGAAGAGTGACGTGGATTTTAATGGACTGTATACTCGACCACGTGCTTCATTGGAAACATTGCTTTGTGGTTCAAGTAAAGGCCCTGTGTTGTCCCATGATTCCACCAGCTTGTTACAATCAGATTTAAGTGGAGATGTGTACACGCTACAAGCTTCCAGAGACTTTAGATCCTGTGGGGGAACTATTTCAAGCTCAAGCAATTCATTTGGGCTTTCGAGGCCTTTTGAGTCTAGATTTAGTGGTGAAAAAGCTACTGAAGATGCTGGAGCTATCATGTCTCCGATTTTGATGTTGGATAGACAACAGGAGGCTGCTGAGGGTTTTGCTTTGCATGGAGATACCAGGAAGAGTATTGCAGCTACGGAGTCTTTTGGTATACAAACTCAGCAGTTGTATCACGGAAGAGAAATGTCGTCTGATCGGGAGGCTGGAGTGTGTGGTGGTCCGTTTGAATCACGTTCTAACAAGAAATGGCTTTCTTTGGCAACAGAAGCGTCGCTTGTGGGTCGCGTATTGCGACGCCCACCTGGACTTATGGATCCTCCTAGAAATAGTAAAACCGTTGGAATGCAGTCTTGTATTGGAAGCGGAGGTGGAGGTATGATACAGCAGCAAGGGCTCGACTCTCAGTTTCTGCATTTCAATTGTTCAAATGTATTGCCTTTGGCAAGCAAAGGAGCTTCACATAAATCTGTTTTGAGTGGTGATAACCATTATGGATCGAGTTTGCTGTCTAGCTCATGGTCGTCGAAAAGTGTGTATGGGGATAGCTCATTGCGGGACCCGTTTTGTAGTCGTGGTGTGTTGAATTTGGATCTAGCCGAGCTAAACACGCACTCGATTCAAGTGGGTGAGATGGATGGCATGGGCGTTCGGCAAGCAGATGATGCGTCGTACAACCGGACGCCAACCACCTCAAGACGAAATGAGATACAATCGAGTCGGAAAACGCTACGAAGCCCAAAGAAAACTCGCGACGAAAGAAACATGTCTGAACGCCGCTTGAGTCCGAGGGGAGAAGTATTGGAGACTGATAGTGACGCGGTCAATGTTATTGCGCCTATATCCGCTATAAATGCAAAGCGTTGTGATGAAAGTGGTCTAAAAATGGCTCTTACTTTGAACGCGCACTCTCCTTCTTCTAATGAATGCAGCGCAAACGGTAATAATTTATCAGCACGAAGAGGTAAGCGGCGCAATCACGTAGGACATACCGGTAAAGCTTCGTCATTGTTTGGTTTTAGAAGTAACGAGAGCAGATGGAGAGAAACGTCAAACCAGAGTAAAAAGCCTGGCTTTGTGATCAATCGCCCGCCTGGTTTGAAAGAAAGTGACAACCGTATGAAGTTAGCTTTGCGAGAGTCTGGAAAATTGAAGCGCCGAGAGGATGTCGAACCTTCCAGCCGAACCGCCTTGACGGGGAGATATGCTGCACGAGGAAACGATACAATGGCAGGCACCGCTCGTCGTCGAGTGTTTCGTAAAAAGCAAGAAAAGAAGAGCAAGCAAGGCATCCTCTCATCGGAGAAGTCTGCCCCTATTCCTGCTATTGTAAGCCAAAGAACTCAAAAAAGCAATAATGACTCGATGCCTAAGGCAAATTTTCAGGAGCGATACAATTACAGAAGACAAGACATCGACCCTGGTGACGTTCCATTCACGTATGAAGCTGTATGCGAGGTTTTGAGCTCCATTGAAGCGAGAAGCGATGATACTGAAGAGGCGGTAGATAAGTCCGTGGAAAAACATAGAGAAAAACGTAACATCTCAGCAAACACACATGATGAAGTCGCAGAGAAGACTGTTGACGAAATTGGTAGCACGCACACGTTACGTGGTGCACCACCCGAGGATCCAGCATCTACATGTATATATACGGAACGTGAGTCATTTTTGTTGGGTGACACACCTGAGTACAAATCGACAATGGGAAAAGAGCCCGTTGAGCAAGCACTCGATCAACAGCTCATGGATTCAAAGAAGTCGAAGAAAGACGTTGGTTACGTCGAATCTCTGATTGAAAGTAGTGCGTCCGTGACAAAAGCTGCTGCTTTGGATGGTTGTCCTCAAGCTGCTGTTGTTGAGAAGAACCACTCTACAAACAAACAATGCAAGGAAAAGTTTAAAAAGGAAAAGGTGGACAGGAAAAGAGTTACTCGAGGAAGGAAAGATAAGCATGAGGTGACTTTGATCCCGAAGACAGCAGACAAAGTCAACAGTTTTGCAACGGAGGCACAAGACAAGCTGCTGACCGCCTTGGCCACCAAATTTTCTCCACTGTCCGCAGGATTTATCCCACGACTACGCAATGCAGCTTCAGTCACCACTACAGCTGTACTGCTAGCTTTTTCTAGGATACGACGTAGCTGCGTCCGGGTTGCTTTGTGGTTGAACATCAAGGGGCTGTTTGCAACTACGTCTTCATACGCGGAATCAGTGTTGATGGTGGCATCTAGTGTAGTGCTACTTCTGTCATCACACGCTGCGTCGTGGCTTGTTCGTATTCATCGGGATGCTTTTCGTGTGATATATACCCATCATCACATCGGATTCTGTTTCGCTTTCCTATATGGATTTCCTTTTCTGGTCCAGTATGTTTTCCCGTGGGCACCTCCTTGGGCACCGGTGTGCCTCTGGTATGCATTCCTAGTCCAACTATTTTGCACGAATGGATCCACAGCTATGGTGACAACCTTCCGAGTCATTTTACCGCTCGTCTTCCTGATTGAGGGAATATCTCATCACAGCTTCTTATTGGATTTCAACGGTAAATTTTGCGCATACCTACCTAACCTTGCTTTCACAACAATTGCTCATAACTTGATTGGTGTACAGGTGCGGAACTTTTGCTCACTTCATTCATCATATCAGCGCTAAAGACGAGCAACTTGTGCTCCCCAATATTTTTCTTGTCGTTGGCGTCACAGGTACAGCGAAAAAGTGTGCAATTGATGCTGCGATACTATTTATAGCCTTTGTATATGACTGGTTGTGAAGTGCTTGCTTGCTGTTTTTCTAGGCTCGAATCTTATCGTGCAGTGGCTGCAATTGGCACTGGCACTCTACTCATTGCATCTCATAGCAGCGGCCGACAATGAATGGGTGCGAGCGTTGGTGTTGTGTGGCTACCTTGTCTTGTCTTGCCATGCTTAACCCTGTTATGCTTATCGTTGCTGTGTACATATTCAGATGGTAATTGCAAAAGAAGAGGACGATCGTTCGTGTCATCCAGTTCCGACACATCATTCAATTGTCGACTACAACCATCATCTCACACCTCCAAGCGCCATGTCAATCCAGAAAATCAAGGGGTTGGACCGTCGAGCTCTCGTACGCGGACGCAAGCTGCGCTAAGACATGTTTGCTGCGCCTAGTAGAACGACTGCTGTGCAAATTACATGCCAGCATCTTTTTTTGTCACACAACCTGCGTAGAAAGGCTACGTCGCGATTTTGGCACAACGTATCCTTCACGGACAGAGTGTCGGTAGGGTGCCTCGGTCGAGACGTTCTTCGGCGCTTTGGTAGGAGCGGCGGTCTTGCAACTGCACCATATCGAGTATCCTGCGACAGCAGTGCGTCGACTGGGCTGTGTCTATGGTCTTGCAGAGCGTACAAGTCATTGGTGCGCTCTTGGTGCTGATAAGTAAGTGTCCGTGGAATGAATGACACGGGTTAATGCGTCAGGGTCATGGATGCTTACTGCTCACTCTTTCAGTCTAATCGAATGGACCGAATGGACACGTGGAAGTGAAAATGAGCTAGTACGGTTGGTTGTACTTGCAGTTTGTGGAGTAGTCGATTGTCAATTATCATTAAGCATGATGATGATGAACTAGAAGCACCGGCGAAGTGGTAGTAGCTTAATATAGTAATCTTGCTATTCATATGGAAATAGTAGTAGGATTACTATTTATTTCCGTACTTTTATTGTCACAAAACGTGCGCCCAATCAACCTCTCGCTGTGTTTTTTGCAAAAAAAAAACATAAAACCCAATGTCAATGCAATATAAAAACGTCATTTATTGCGCCTTTCATTAACTCGTGTCCAATTTTGTAATTTACGAGATTCCTTCAGCTGGCCGCAGCCTCTTCGCGCTTCTTGAGATCACTCGTGGCCATTTAGCAACAGGTTCTTGTCGCTATTTCTCTGCTTCCATTGTACATCAGTAAACGGCCGTAACGCTGTCATCATCCTTGAAAAAGTGCCGAGGATTTCTATCGCTGTAAGCATCAGGAGAAATACCATGATGCGAGCTGCTTCGTCGCCATTGGAACCTCTGAATAAGAATATATTACTGGTAAAGGGATTTTATTGTTTTTTTACGATTATGTTTTTCATTTTTAGTGTTATTTATTATGAAATTTATGGTTCGATTGGTAATTTACCATAAAATAGGCAGGAGAGATGATTGCGGACAAGTGGAAGATTGGAGAAAAGATTGGCGAGGTAAACAATTACCATTTGGCTCACGTTGATTCCTTGTGGTGGTATTGCTACTTAAGCATATTTTATGTATTGACTTACTTATACGTTACTTCTCATTGTGGTATATTAGGGTACTTTTAGTCAAATTTACTCGGCATACTCGATTGAAAATCGTGATAAAGTAGCAGTCAAGGTCGAAGCACCAAGTTCTCTCAAGCCAGTACTAGAGTGGGAGAGTTTGATTCTTAAAAGTCTTCAGGATTGTTCATACGTATGTAGATATTACTATCACGGAAAACATGGAGACAGTACAGTGTTGGTGATGGAACTGCTAGGAGACAGCATGTCGATGTTGAGAATGTCACCCGACTCGATCTATGGCGTGCCACTGGCCAAGTCTGTTTCTGTTGGATTGGAGATGCTGGATTGCATTGAGGCATTTCATCGACATGGATATGTGCATCGTGATATTAAGGCGTCAAACTTTGCTTTGAGTGCTCTTCCAGATCGTAATCCACTCAGGCAGCAGCGGTACTATATTATTGACTTTGGACTATCAAGACAGCATATTGGAGAAGACCGACAGGTGCTGCCAGCGCGTTTTGTTGCTGAGTTTCGTGGCACTTCCATGTATGCATCGCTAAGCTCGCACCGTCGACAGGAATTGGGTCCAAAGGACGACCTGTGGTCGTGGTTTTATCTTGTAATGGACTTTATGCGAGGTGAGTTGCCCTGGGCCGCGGACGCGCAGCTAAAAAATCGCCAGACTGTGCTCAGTCTCAAAGAATACTACACGGAAACAAATCCAAATTTGTTGGTGGAGGGTCTTCCAGGTGCCATGCAGTTGGTAGAGATGATGGGCTATCTGCAGTCGCTCAAGTACGAAGACTTTCCGGATTACGCAAAAATTCGCAAATATCTTCAAGCGGTTGGGGGCAGTTCTCTTGTTTTGGACAGTAATGACAGCGGTAACGAGGATTTATGTGCTGACAAGAAGGAAAGTCAGGCGGTGGCGGCTGTATCATTGATCGATTGGAGTGCGATTACATCCGAGCGAGAGCGAGCGCTGGCGTGGGTTGATAAGGCAGACGAACTGAAGCACAGTGATGGAGCGTCGGAAGCGCTGCTGACAATTGCTAAGCGATACAAGATGTTCTTTGACAGCGACGGGCTATTGTTTGACGAACAGGTGCGAATACAGAGTGCAGTCTATCGTATTGAGAAAAAATTGCGCGCACGTTCAAGCTTTCTAGCCCCTCCGCCCATTCAGAGTTTTGTGAAGCGTCGTCAGTCTGAGCAAAAGATGCGATCTGATGCACTACGAAAGCGCCGTGAGAAGGATTATCAAGTACGCCAGTCATTGGAGATTAAAAATGAGAAAAAGATGGCTCTGGCTGCCTCTATCCAGCCCTCTAGCGATGCCGTGGATGGAATTGCAAGTGGAGAAGGAGCCTCCGGGGTAGCAGAACGGAGAAAAGTGTAGCTCGCTTCAACCACACAAATCGGAGAGCTCCATGGAATTTTCTGACATAGAAGATACTGGAAAAAGGCGAAATGCCCCAGGGGCAGCAGAAATCACCATTCCTGCTTCTCAACCTCAGGTTCCGATTGTGGACGTACGACCTCCTACGGCTGCAGGGTCGGTGCCTCTTACTCAGCTATCACATTTAGCACCAGCGGCATCCCCAGGATCTCGATGGAATCGAACTCCAAATTACAGTGGAGCAATCCCACCACCACCTTCTCCTCCATGGATTCTTAATCCAGCACAGCGTTCTGGCTTGTTTGAACACCGCCCACCTCCTCCACCTCCATTATCACGGCAGCATCCCACGAAAGGTGGAGTCCAGCCTCCGTTTGTACCGCCTAATGACGTATCTGTGCACCATCCACCACCACTGCATAGCTCTATGCCTGAGAAGCGATACGCTTTAGTACCTGATCAACATTACGGCGTCCCAGTGGAGGTAAGAAAAGATACCATATATGGCTACCAGCAGCCTCTGCAAGAAAGAAACGGCTATTCATCAGTCCGGCAACATAAGTCGGAAACTAGAGAAGATCGCGGATACGGCATTCAACAAATTAAGAAGTCCCTTCAAGACTCTGTGCGTGATCGGCAATACGATGCCGTAAGAGAAACTAGAGAAGATCGTGGCTACAGCAGTTATCAACGGCATCAAAATAAATCTCCACGTGATTCTGATCGACGCTACGATGTTAGAACGGAGAATCGAGAAGATCGCGGGTACACCAGTAATCGTCGATCCCCACAGGAGACCAATGCGTGTGCACTTGACCCACACTATGACGCCCCGATAAATTCGACAGAAGAGCGTGGATACGGGGTGCAGCTACCCCAAAAACCTCAAAAATCTCCGAGAACAAATCAAGAACAGTACTTATCAGGTGGGCATCGTCAAAATAAAGAGCGCTTTTACGAAGGCAAACGGTCGCGCTCTTTCTCCCAGTCACGATCGTCGCGACGTGAACGAGGTCGTTCTCGGCGCCGTTCTTGCTCTCGCTCATCGTCCCGGTCTCGGTCAAAGTCGTATTCTGTTTCTTCTTCCCGGTCGCGGTCACCACGTAATCGCTCACATTGCCACACCAATCGCGCCTACGCTGATGGTCGACGCGAAACAAAAGAGGTTAGATCGGAGAGAGTGCACTCACGCAGACAACGGTCCAGATCGTGTAGCAGCTCGAGGTCGTCTAGTTCCCAATCACCTTCTGCATCGCCGCCCGCCAAGCGATACCGTCGACGTTCGTCAGACCGCAGCCCTTTGCAATCTTCGCGCCGACACTCGTCGCATTCGACATTACGTCATCCTTCTCACTCGACGACAGAGTACCTGAAAGACCATCCAGAGGAAGTTGTAAAAGATTATTTGAAAGAGTATACGAAGGGGTATTCAAAGGAGTTTGCCAAGGACTATTCAAGAGAGTATGTGAAGGACCATCCGAAGAAGTACGCAAAAGAATACGTGAGGAACTACCCAAAAAAGCACTTCTCAAAGAATTTTCCGAAAGAGCACGTGAAAGACTACCGCTGGGACTCGCATTCCCTGGATCCACAGTATCAGCGGCGATCGTCTTCGCAGGATCGGCATCGGTCTCACCCGCGAGACTACGACCGAGAGGACGAGCCAAAGGGCGTGGACGTTCGTTTCAAGCCAGCTCCGGCCCCCGAAAAGCTTCGTCGACCCACCCGATGGCAACCGAGGCCATAATGTGAAGGGCACATTACGGCCAACTTTTGACAGCAAACCGTGGAGTGTATGTTGAGGCTCAGACTTTCCAGCTAACTCTTTGGATAAATGACACATGTACATGTTGGGCATTCAATCGAATGCCATCCAAGGCGGGTGGTAACGGAGCGTATTCAATTACGTGCAGAACCACGTGAGTGAACTAGTCTGCACTAAATGAGGATGCTTGGTACGCGGTAAGCACGTGCTTGCAATTGAATTCGATAACGATGATTGATCGTAGTGATTGAAATTCAAACGAAGTGGTATCGATGTTGAGGGGCGTTTCCAGGATGTTGTTTACAAGCGATTACCATGATTTGACAAGTTTCAAACACTGACCACTACTCGAGACATCCGGACAATTTTTTTCACATTTTGTACACACGTCAAGCAATGAAGCTAAGGTGAAAAGAATGTGATGATCGTATGGAGCTGACGTGTTGGCAAGAAACATCATGAGACTCATGCGTTCCTTTATTCTGCGACTACTCTCCAGTGGATTCCGCCAAGCGTCTACGTTCATCCAATTTATCTCGATTCAATCTCGTCACAAATGAATCTCTCTTCCATCGGTTTAACACATGACTCTCCTTAGCACGTTGAATAAAACGCTCCTGTGCTTGTGTTTCAGCCTTAAGTGCCCAATCCGACGTAACGGCTTCTGAGAAATATTGATCCCATTTATCCAATGCCACTTTCTGGAATACACGTGCAACACTTGCGACAGAATCCTCACGTTCATCATCTTGATTGAACTCAATAGCATTAGCAAACATAAGCAATAGGTCAGCGCGATACTCGACAGGGTCATTATATTCGCCATTAGTAAGTTTCGTATTCATTGTCGCAAGGTCCATTGGACGCGTAATGACGTCAAAATACGTGGGAATATTTAGCACGATAGGATCCACGGGCTCTAGAAATGGCCATGCAAGGGAATGGCGAGATAAATCAGCATGCAGACGGACGCATTTAGCATGGAGATGTGGTAACATGGTTCGATTTGTGCTCTTTCAAACTCGTTCATGGACGAATTAAACCCAGATTTTGATTTTAACCCAAAAAGTAGAGTGGTATTAAACCCATATTTTCGTTTTCTAACATTGGCTCAGAGTGATACATTTGCGGTGTCATCTATTGATTAATGGATGATTCCAGAGCAAGCAATCGCCTTACGGTTGCATTAACGCTTGTATTCCAGATAAACAAGTTTGCTTTTACTATTGGTTTCATTGCAACGAGTAGTCTCTATCGCGTGTCTAGAGTACGCTGGATCAGCATTCCACTAAAACTTCCGGGTAGTGAAGACTCAAGAATGTGTCTGTCTGTAGCTGCTTTGTAACAAGCACTTCTTCCGACCTTTTACAGGAACGTTACTGTAGCAAGTAAGGATGTATATATAGTACATAATAAGACTCACTATTACTACTAATGCCAGTTGCGATCGAACTGCAGCATTAAAGCTAAAACAGCTACTTGAATGAGCAAACGAGCTTGGAATGAGCATTACTGCGAGAGTTTATCACAATGCGACAGTACTGGCATCCGAATATTTCATCAAACACGAATATCTCGTGTATAAGAAATCAGCAGCCGCCTACTTCAGACGTGCCTCAATAAAGTTATACACGCAGTTAACATGCATCAGTCAGTGTAGCTACAATGACGCCGCCTGTGTGAATTGTAAAATAAAGTACGCTATTTTAAACTCACCGACTTTATTAAAACGTGCAGCGATGGGAACCAACCATTTTCCCACATGGTATCATCTTTGAAAGGTTCATTAGAGGACCGTTGAGACCGTGCCTCATACCTCAATTCTCTTGCTTCCTTCGTCAGACTTAATCAGAAAATGGTGCGTTCGTATTTTATCGGTGGTAATTGGAAATGCAATGGAACGTTAAAATCAATTCAAGATCTTTGTACGTTACTGAATAAGATTGAAATCAATCAAAAGACTCTTGAGGTTATCATCGCACCTTCGTCTCTCCATCTTTTCTATGTCAAGTCTCTATTGCAAAATCATGACATTGCAATTTGTGCACAAAATGTCAGTCTTACAGGTATTGGGGCATATACGGGTGAAATTGCAGCAGAACAATTGGTTGATATGGGATTAAATTGGACCATCACGGGCCATTCCGAACGTCGTGCGTATTATCATGAAACCGATGAAATTGTTGCACAAAAGACCAAACGTGCACTTGATGGTGGTCTTCATGTGATTTTTTGTATTGGCGAATCACTTGAAGAACGACAAGCCAATGAGACAATGAATGTATTAATTCGTCAGCTTCAAGCCGTGTGTGATATTATCTCTCAAGAAAATTGGGCACATCTTGTCATTGCCTATGAACCAGTATGGGCCATTGGGACAGGTGTTGTTGCAACTCCTGCTCAAGCACAGGAAGTTCATCAAGATTTACGTGCGTGGATTGCTCAGCATGTCTCTCGTAATGTTGCAGATCGTGTTCGTATTATATATGGAGGTTCAGTCAAGGGTGAAAACTGCCATGAACTTATTGCTCTAGATGATGTGGATGGATTTCTTGTTGGGGGTGCTGCACTCAAGCCAGAGTTTAAAAACATCATTCAATGTGCTTTGAAGTGATTGGTTGTTGATGAGGAAGCGGAGGAGAAGAAGAATTGATGATTAATTGGTGGTTGGTGGTGATTTAAGACACTTGATGTCACTTGGGTGTGGCAGTTTTTTTTTTGACAAGGTTTGTGTGGTGTTTGGAGCTTGCGAGATACTTTCTGTACGCCGACCAAGGACGTTGATTTGATTGATTGGCATTTGCTCGTTGCTAGCGTGACAGTATGGAAGTAAAACAATCCGTCAATCGGCATTTATTGATTGCAATTCATATGACTGAGTTGTGTGGGGTTGTGGTGTTCATGGCGTTGTTTTGTTGTTGTGTAATACTCGTGAGAATGATTAGCATGAGTCCATATTTAGAATGCTTTTGAGACGTTGTATGATCTTGTTACCATCGTCGAACAGCTTTCTACCACTTCACTACCCTGCATGATCGATAGCCGCGTCCTTGTAAAGCAATTAGTATATGGCCACTACACATCGCACATTCACCACAGCAAAGTCGACACAAGCGTGCCCAGATCTTCTGGAACCGATTTCTTTTGACCTCCGTGATGCCCGTGATGCTAACGGCAAAGTGTGCAATATCATGTGTGTCCCATAATAACCTGTGTAGCATTCGTACCATTGCATAGCATGAAGCTGCATACTGAGTGAGCATACATAGAAGGCGGTCGGTCATCTTGCTTCTACACGAAAGACGCTGGGTCTTGCATGAAAAATGCGGCATTCTTGCCACCAAACAACAGACCACTTGAATAATCACGCAACATCTGACGATCTGCCACCACCAAGTAAAGCTTTCTGAATAAACGCAAAATGAAATGCGATGGGTTCGATTCAAAGTGGATTTATAGTGCCGGAGGTTCTGGAAATGATCGCGCAGCTCGACATCAATGTGGCCAATACACCCATGTACGTATCCAGCGCTACGTGTTTGATGGTAGATGACACATCATCTTACCATGAGCTTGTTACTATGCTGATAATTTCGTGATAGCTGCCTGAAAGCCGCCCACGGTGAAAGCCTGAGAGTCCGTCATTTTCTTGATCGCAACGCTGACTCAGCAATGGCGTACAAGCTATCTGTTCTCGCACGATTGTGCAAAAACACTGACACACGCGTGAAGTGTGGGCGATTCCATTTTCAGATGGTCTACGTATCCAGCTGTATAACAAACCAACCCTGTGAAATACAAGTCCTGCTCTTTCTACTCGAGGTTAAGTATATGGATTGTACAGGCTCGACCTCTTTGGTATGTTCATCTTCATGTGGCTGCGTGGCCCATACCGTCGTTATCGACCCCAGCGTTGACGTCGTCTGCAATTCATGTTCGTAAGCTGAGAGAGCATGAACATTGTCGATAAAGACGACCTTTCCTCCAGCTTATTCATGTTCGTTCAGTTGACCACTAGCACATAACTGCTCTTTGCTTTCTTCGCTGCTTTGACAGACAACTCGAGACAGCACGCAAACAGGTGAAAGCTGAGAGCGTCGGGTGGTCACTGGTTGGCTAGGTATGCGCAAACTTATTGGAGATATGCATATCAGTGATCGCCTCCTGCGCTCCTCATGTTGCAGGCGAGACCTCGGAGGTAGTGGCCAGGACGTCGCTGGCAAAGCATAAAATTCCTCCAAACTTTTAAGCTTCGGTCTGCTAGTGGTCGTAAGATGAGATGCACCTTGCCAGAAGGCGACAACAAGCCGCTAATTCGAGTAAAAACGGCATCGACAAGAAAACAGTGCGCATGTTTGCGATGCACATCGGTAGCCGAGTCTAAATCCTTCAGGTTCGGTACAAACGTTAAAGTCCGAGTTGTTGTCATTGTTGCGCACACGCATGTCAAATTGTCGATCGAGATGTCCAAAGATAGACTAGTGTGCCCCGTTCTTTGAACAATCGAAAAATAACCACACCAAGCCAAACGCCCACGAAAAAGACGCGTGCGCAGAAGCAGCTCCCGACAATCCAAAAAGTCCAAGGTTAGACAACAGGTGCTAGCCCAGAAGTTTGAGTGAAGAGCGCACATACAATAACTGGTCGATCCCATCACATTCGCGCAAAATCACAGTAGCCCATTTTCATTGTCAAACGATAGCATTGGGCTGTCGTTTTCGTGAGAAGCTAAAACACGTCGTGGAATTTTGGACGCGCTAGCTAATACTCAATCTCAGACATCTTCAATGCAAGAAGAAGAGCGTCCTCTTCGGACATGACGTCACCTTGGGCTGCTCCCTTACTGCTACGACGTCCACTTCGCGAGACTGTCATCGTCTTTTTGCATTTTTCAGCCGAGTCAGCTGCCCTGGTCCTTACACTTTTCGGACGCTTGGCTGACTTGTTACCTTTTAAAGTTATAGAAGCTGCAGCACCTTCGCTGGCAAGTCGTACTATCGCTTCTGCCTTCTTCGGTGTCTCCATTTTAGTACTCGGAAATTTTACGGACATCTTTGATTTCGTCTTCGGTGATTTCATCCCTGGAGATATTTTGGGGGATGACTCCTTCGGAGGCGATACTGCAGTAGATGGTACAACATCAAACCCGTGTGGAGCTGGCATTGCGACAGATATTTTACCGTCACTATCTGCTGTTGACATCCCTGTCTGGTCTCCACGTTCGCTTCCATTAACAGGTGAAAATTGCAACCGGCGAGGTGTCTGCAGCCGTTGGTGCAACGCGTCTTCTTCAGCAAAAGCCGCAACTGTGTCGCCCAATCGTGCCATCTCCTTTGCTTTTTTCATCATATTTTGCCTCGTTTCGGAAGGTCCCCTAGTACAAGGTGTAGCTGGGGTCTGTTTTGCTCGTGTCGAAGTTGGCAGTGCTCCACCTGTTGATTCAGACAGAATGTGCAGTTTTGACTGTTCACCACACGAAGAGCGTCGATTGGCTTCTCTTTCGGATAGCCGAACTGCCTGCTTCAACGCGTTCTCCTCGGACATTCCCATTTGATACTCAAGCGCCTGTAGAGCCATTGCCTGATTGATTGCTTTGAAAAGCATAGAACTCTCTTTCTTTGACTTCGTGCTTGCTTTCTTTGCAAACGCTCTGTTCGGCTTAGACTTCGTTTCTTCTTTCTTTAGTATCACAGCAGACGATTGAGCATCTATAGCCACGGGCTTTTTTTTCTCTGCCGTCAAAGCTGGCGCAACAACGAGGTGCGTGTTCGACTCTGGCTCGCCACTGCTGTCAGGTTGCACCTCGATCTTTTGATTTGCTTCAGTACGTGCATCATGGTTACTTTCAGCAACAATAGGTGCTACCTTAGTGCTGGCAGTTCCTCTGCGCTTTTCGCCTTTTCCGGAGTCTGTTACAGGTGCTCTTCTTCTGCCAGTAGCCTTCATCGTCGTCTTCGGTACTCTTGCTTTTCGTTTTACTGTGGCACTAGATTTAGCGCTCAAACATTTCTGCTGTAGCTTTTCCTGTACTACAGGAGTTGATGCAGAACTTGGCGTATCTTTACCGGTATCCAATGCAGATGCAGCCGGAGCATCACCGGCTTGTGACATCTCAACAGCTAGCAAGTAAGCATCCTCCTCGGACAAGTCTAACTGGTACTCCTTCATCAACCGGGCTTCTTCTGGGTTCGCATTGGTTGCTCTCATCTCTGCTTCCTCTTCAACGTCATCATCTGAGACACTCACACGAACGTCATCCGAGCTGTCTCCACCCATGAAAGAAAGATCGGACTCATCTTCTTCCTCGTCTTCCTCTTCAAATTCTGATTCCTCTTCGACACTGTTATCCACTTCTACTTGTCCATCTTCATGTATAAACGAATTCTTCTGGTGCCGTTTTATTTGTGACCTTGCCTTAGCTTTGCCTTTGTTTTTGTCTGTATTCGGTGGCTTTTTGTATTTGTTCAAAGCTGTGTGCATGCCTTTAGCTTTGGCAAAACTTCCAAGCGTCCTTGCTTTTCGTCCTGCACTTATCGCCCCTTTCGCTATGCCTCCAGTTTGCTTGCTTGGTCCCTTCTTCGGCATGTGATGACCACCTACTGTTGCAAATATCTTCTTGGGTCGACCAATTTTCTTAGAAGGTGCCATAAAGAATTTTGTTACCAGCGTGTCAAGCAACTCCTGCGCCTCAAGCAAAATCACTAATCCAGCATGGCCTCCAGCAGCCAGGAAGCACGGATAATCACCCGTACTACACGAAGATAGACGTAAGCGGTGTAAAGCAGCATCCCGTTCACAAAATTCCCTCGTATGCTGACTCCCAGACTCTCCCTTCCCCAATACTGAGTGCTTCTCAAAAGATACTGTTAACGACTTGAAAGGCTTCTCAATACAAGAGTCCTTTTCACCGGAAAGGCGACATATTTCCACGCAGTTCTGTGGTGCGCGATATAACCGTTTGGCTGGAGCAGCTCGAATGCTGCCCGATGCGCAACACGAGATAAGCAATGGCACATCGCCACGACGAGCAAACTGCAAATCCCATATAGGTGTGTCAATCTGTGGGTGGAAGTGCAGCTTTTGATAACTGCCACTCTGTAAGCACCGCATAAAACAAAATGCATTAGCAAGATGACAATGCGAAGACGCATCATCGCCAGTATAAACAGTTCGTACCAATATGTCGTACATATAGACAAATCCTTGGTCGCCAGAAATCTGAATCGATGTTTGATCCATCCACTGAAGCGCAAGACCCCATGTAGAGCGTATTCGGTGTGACCGAAGGCAAACGCGAGGCTCACGTACATCCCATACCTTAAACACTGAGTCCTGTGGTGACACAGAAAGGTGAGGATCGAGATCACCCTGAATAACAAATAAATCTTACGTTTCCAGTGGAGGCGAAGATGTATTCGTCGAACGGAGACCACGCAACGGCACGGATTGCAGCCCATCCACAGCCCCAGTCAAATGCCTCTTGCTTTCCAATTGTGTCGGCTGAACAGCACTCGTACATCGCAAAGTTATAAGTTTATACTTGGAACAATTGGGCGTTACAATCACCATCCTTACCGTCCTGAAAGCGCCGTTGTGGTTCTATAGGCTCTAGTTGTTCATGATCAATTCCTAAGCTTTTACTTTCTCGAACCGCCGTTTCAATATTCCACAGTGACACAGAACCTGCACAAAGATGCAGAAGAAATGGCACTACTGAGTCAAACTGTACACGCCATAAGAAAACCAAACCAATCTAGAACCTACCGTCAGAACCACCCGTCAGAAGCATGTTCCATTTGTGTGGCGACCAGTGCACGCTCAATTGCATAATACGTGGTACCCTGCCCGCCACAATAAGAATGTTCTTTTCCGCAACACAAACTGCTTCGTTGACCAGCGTGGGCTGTAACCTTTCCTCCAGAATGGCAGGGATTTCAAATACTTTCATGCTTCCATCTCCAAAACATACTGCCAAGATGCCGAGAATATTTTCGTGACGACATGCTTTGGGAAACTTTTTCACAAGCGGACACCATTGCAAATCCCATGCAACGCCGCTTTCGTGATCGATTGCATAGACAATTCGTGGCTTCAAAAGCTTCCTTTTAGCAGGCTTACCTCTGCTAGATTGTCCGCTACTTGCAGGTATGTGTCGTTGCACTGGCACCGCCCAAATCTGAATCAAATTTCGCGCACTCTCCTGCGTATCGTAATAATGGTCTGGCGGCGTCGATTTCACCACTTTCCCGTCTTTCACTTCACATGGCGGATGCGTCGCCAACGCCAAAAATCTCCACTCGAACTTCAAGTCTTCCTCTATGTCTACAGTACCATTAGAAGCTGCTGTCTTCTCTCCGTCTCCTGACGTCTCTGTTTTGTTGTTCTCTTTGCACCTAAAAGCCTTTCCAGCACCTGTTTTACCAGCTACAGAGATTCTTCGAGTCTTCTTCGGTTTCGATGCAGTATCATCATCAGCAACATCCGTTTCTTTGGCTTCAGTCTTGGAAAGCAACCAGTCCATAGCCCACACAGGTCCACCAGCGTTCAGTACCATCTGTTCGCCATGATTAAAACATTCACTTGTATAAGGAGGTATCACCGTAATGCATTCTGTCTTGTCCATAACCTTGACGCCATTTTGAGCGGTTGCAGGATCCACTGAAGCCTCTAGATGCTGTGAAAACGAATGAGTTCCGTTCGAAACGGTTTCTACAGTCTTGGGGCTCGTGTGGTGCAGATTCTCGTCTTTTTCAAGCACTGATTCTTGGCTCAACGATGTAAATGTATCTTGTCGATCGGATCCCACTATTTTCAAGTGAATTGACTGCAAATACGCGCCATAAGAGACTGCAGTACGCCATGCTTGAAGCTCCATCCTGACTTGCTTAGCTTCCACTCGTGTTTTGGACAATACTCTAAATGTTTGAAGTGGACCACATCACGTTGACACATTGTCCAAAATACAAATGTCACATTGTCGCCACTGCAAAGATGTCTCCCATCCCCTCTACTCTACCAGTATGTGTTAATGTATGTGCCTGTAGTATCATGTGAAGCATTAGTATTAAGACTGATCTTAGCGATAGTATTGAAAAAGCTTTTGGTCATGAAGGACTAGGCATAATAGCAGTAAGTGGTGTTCCAGAGCTTCATACGAAACGAAACAAGCTCTTACCATTGTCATTTACATTTGCTACACTACCAGATTCTGTAAAGATAAAATATGAACGACCTGACGCATATTATAGCTATGGATGGAGTCCTGGAAAAGAAAAGATACAAGGCAAGATCGATCTTGCAAAAGGATCGTATTATAATAATCCAGAGACGAATGAGATGGCACACGAACTTATGGCTACATTTCCATCGTTTTACTCGACGAATGTATGGCCAACATTTGAACTTCCAGATTTAGAACAAGCTTTTATGAATTTGGGACAATTGATTGTGGACACCGGAATTTTACTAGCTTCTCAATGTGATACATTAGACGAAGTAAATGAATGTCCCGAGTATGAAAAGGGGCAATTATATCGTCTTCAAGGAAAATGTGCCAAAGCAAGGTAAGAGCTTGGCATTATTTGTGTGTATGTATGGGTCTCTACTTGAAGAGATGAGGTTATTAAGACAGTGTGATGTTTTGTTTGTTGGTTGGCAACAGATTATTGCATTATTATTCCCTGTCTGAAGATGAGATTGCAGCACAAAGTAAAACCTCGACGTTTCAAGACTCATTTGCTTGGTGTGGATGGCACAATGATCATGGAACACTTACGGGATTAGTACAAGCCATGTATACTGACTCCACGGGTGCGACTGTAACTAATCCAGATCCTACCGCTGGACTCTATGTAAAGACTCGTCGGAATGAAATTGTCAAGGTCAATATCCCACCTGATCATCTAGTCTATCAAATTGGCGAAACATCACAGATCCTCTCTGGAGGTATCTTACAAGCCACTCCGCATGCTGTACGAGGACCTCAGGTGACGGGTGTGAACCGTGAAACATTTGCTGTATTCATGCAGCCGTTGCCAGAAAAAAGGATGGCTGTGCCGAGCTCTATGGATACTCTTGACGCTGGAAAGACCGAGCACCTGCCCAAGGGTGTGCCATCTTTGCTCTCACGCTGGAAGAACAATATGACCTTCAATGATTTCACACAGGCCACTTTCAAGGCGTACTACTAAAAATCTCCATCGCAAACAGCTATATTGATGTAAATAAACCAAGCAATTGTTTCGGTGGAGCTGTGCAGTCTTAATGCAGTGCATATTCCATTACGAATGCAGTACGTAGCTCCAAGTGGCGGTAGTAGTTTTCAACCTGAGCTGTCTTTACAAAGCCTAGAGCTTTATAAAACGCTATCGCCTCGACGTTTCCAGCATGAACATGAAGTCGTATAGCTGCAATGTTTTCTCCATCTCTTGTTTCGGCGTTCTTGGCTTGTTCAATGACTTTTTGCACCAATTGTGTCCCAATTCCTTGGCGTCGGTACTGAGCAAGAACCACAAGTGTACGAAGTTGCACCGTTCGCTGTCCATTGCGTGAGTCCAATTCAAGATCAGCAATGAGCGCACCACTCACAGTACATTGATCACTTATTGTTGCCCACGATAAGTGGTGCGTGTCCTTTTCCGCTCGACGGTAACAGAAAGCAGGGGGTTGCACCGGTAAGATCCCCAAGTTGAGCTTTTGCACAGCCCGCACAAGTCCCACGTTGTCCGTTAAGGTACGTAGCTCCATGAACAATTCCGTGGAATTGACAGATACTGATTCGATTTGTATCGATTGTTAGTGAACAAGAGACAAATGGCAACGACCTTTTCTTCAAGCGGGCGTGCAGCTCTGTGCTTTGCTCAAGATGGACACTGGTTCCAAGGATTCTTAATCTGTTCGTCAAGTCGTACACAGCTCGGTCTAATGGGTGAAGAGCTTCCAGTGGATGATTGGTATCTACCACAAGATGGACTAGAAAGAAAAAAGCGCGTTAGCTCAGTTTTTGTTTTGCTTTGTTGATTCTATAGTGTTGCATGTTTACATGGAGGTTATCAGGAATATCGCCTGACCGTGATTCATTTCGCACAAAACAAAGAGGTGCAAGTGATTGTAAGAAAGACTGGAGGAGACCTTTGTCACTTGGACAGTGACGCTATTCAATTTCTACCATCAATGCTGCTCGTGAGTGCTATCAAAATCTGAAATCAATGGGTTTGTTCTTGTCGTTGACATAGTGGGGATTCTTCATTTCCAGACGGATGACAAAGCTGTCGAAGCTATTGAAACATACTTCCCTAGTATTGCAGAACGGGTCGACCATGATGCGGTACGTAGCCTTTCATACATGCCTGCAACCACAAGTGTATTAATTCTATCATTCCATAGAACTTGACAAAGGAATGCACCGTGTGCTTTGGTGAGATGAAGATCGCCGGGCTTACGTTCCCTTCATGAAAGGAAAAACATTATACCACCAGTGGTTAGCAAGAGCAATATACTTCAAATTTTGGTGAGTTTGGCTGCTGCTCGGCTTCGTTGTCGCAACTCGTAGAGCATCAACGTCCGCGAGCGGCAACTTTATACTTCAGTACATGTCTAGAACCCAACAAGCCAATCAACGTCGCCTGTATACACGCTTCCAATATTCAGGTTTTCTTGGCTTCCGCTAGCTGCAATCTGCTTGAATTCTGATGCAGCCTCGGGCTCAAGTGGTGCCTGGTCAATATAATAATCAACATGAGGTTGTCAGCAACTCTTCTTCATCCAACAAGGAGATCTTATCATTTAAGACGCTCATCATTTACGTACCGAGAACGAGCCCATCTTTGTGGCTTCCCACGCGGTTCCAGCAAAAAACGCGTGCTTCTTAATCGGCTCGCAGGCGCCCGCGCGGACTTCCGAGTATCCGAGACGCTGTCTGAGGTCAGGCCTGAGAAGATTCTCGATGATATCCTTCAGCTCTGCACTTGTGTGCTCAGGCCAAGACAGATGATCCGGGTGGAATGATGCGATGTCATTCAGAATCTCCAAATCGTTCTCGTTTTCTCGAGTAAAGGGCGTCGCACCAGTCAGCATTTCGTACATGAGCACACCAAGTGCCCAGTAATCCGCAGCGATGTTGTGGCCTGCAAAGATGTACGTTAGAATAACGTGTGGTCAAAAAATGATAGCGGCGCATACCTTCGCCAGTAATTTGCTCCGGGGCCAGGTACTCGGGAGTACCACAGACAGTGTAGGTCCGGCCACGACCAACATACTTGGAAAGTCTGCGCAAACAGGCAACAAATAGTACCATCAGATATCAACATTATATGGCAACCGATAGAAGTAAGGGCAATACCTCAAGTTGATCATGCGGAGGTTTCCACTACGATCGACCATGAGGTTCGTGGGGTCAACTGTTCGCGAAACAACGCCTTCCTGTACGTATGGAAAAGAACGACTGTTAGTCATCGTCTTACAAACCAGCCGAAGATGCAACAAAGCGTACCACATGCATGAACTCGAGCGCCATCACTACTTGTGCAGCATAGTAGCGAACGAAAGACTCTCCGTGCGCCTCGCCATCCAAAAAACTTTCCAGGGTGCCCACGATTTGCGTGTCGTACAGCATATGGATATCCGAATCGTTCGAATTCATTCCAAGAAGCTGTGGTACGAGCGCATTCTTTTCGTAAAGAGAGACGTAGATGTCACGCTCGCCACTGACGTGCTTTTGCATACCAGCGTCAACAATTGCTTGCTTGCTCACCGACCGCAACGTCAAGTACTCTGAAGGAGACGAGCCCTTGACTTCCACCAGACGGACAGTATTAATCAAGTCAGATATTACGCTTCCGACAACCTCCAAGTCATTAATGGACTTGGGCATGTTTGTCTTCGTCTCGTTGTCATACTGGACAAACGCACTTGTCTGCAACAATATCAAGCAGCCCACATTTTAGTTTAAACGAGACAAAGAGGTAAGCCAGACTTCAAACGCAACTAACCGTCGCCTCCTTTTGCAACTCAGCAATCCTCGTCTTCCGCGCCCGACGCAGTTTGTCCTTCTCTAATATCAAAGACAACTTGCCAACGGCCAATTCCAGTGCATCTTTTCTGATGAAGAGGCACTCCGTGCGCTCAATAGCTCGGATAGAGCGTCGGCTATACGGATAGCACAAATACAACCAGCTTTACCAAGGAGCCATTCATGCCACTATAAAGTACTACTTACCTGATCGACCGTTTACAAACTAGAGCAATTTCTCCAAAATAATCAAACGTCTTAAGTTCAAGGGGTGCCACGTTATCCATTTTTGAGGTCGATTCAATGCGACCACTGGTGATAAGGAAAAAACCGGGCTCTGTCATTCCCTCGTGGAGGACAACTTGGTTTGGTTCAAACACAACAGCACGCATCTCTTCTGCAACGAGGTTGGTCTGGGCAACAGTAAGTGGGCGTAATAAGCTAATTTGGCGGAGCCTCCGAACAACATCGCGCAGTGGTCGTCCCCGCATCAAAATAGAACGAAAAGCAATTCGATCAAGCGCCCACAGCGTACCCTTTGTCTTTGCAACAATTGTGTCTACGCGAGGCTTCGGGTAAAAAAGCGCCAGCTCACCAAACGTAGGATGGAAGGAATTGGTAGCTCTGTACAATTGAACCACCTCTCCATACATTTCCGGTGATAAACCCTTCTCGAGTGAAACATCAACAATTTTATCGCTGATGTGGCGAGCCTCAAATTCACCGGATTCCACCTAGCATCATACTTCAGTTAGCTACATATACATCAGTCGCTCAACCAAGACATTACACACCAGATAAAACGTGTTACCCGGAACTCCTTGGCGCATCACAATGTCGCCAGCCTTGAACTCTAGTCTTTTCAGTACAGAAATTACTTCGTGGATCTTAAGAGGTGCAACAGATACGATGTGAGACAACTGGTGCAACCAGCAGCATCAACAGCACTTTGAAACTTACCTTTTTATCGCCCAGGTGGTTGAAAAGAAAACTGCCCTGAACAGCCTTCTTGAACCACTCCTCTTCTTCCTCTGACTTTCCGTCGCTCTCAATCAAACTCGGAAGCTTCCCAGGTTTGTCATCATCATCATCCAAAAACGCTTCTGCAAGCGATAAACGAATCGCATCCGTTCCCACAATTGTATTTCTGCGTGTGTGGTTCTTGGTGATACCACGTACTGGTCTTTGCATAGATTGCAGATCCAAAACCTCTCCACCGACGTAAATACTCCCGCGAGGACCATCACGTTCCTTCGCGGGAGTCACACCATCTAGAAAGATGCACACTGCCGTGATGTCATCCGTTCGCACTTCAAACTGAAGCCAACGGTTATATGCCTCCTCGACGAGCGCATGGCACGCCTCAGACGGGTTCTCATACTGCTTCACAATGTCAACGACATTCTGGCTCGTGAGGAATTCGAACACACCGTCACTCGCCACGATAATAAACTTATCGTGCGGATTCAGACTCTTGCATAGAATTTCTGGCTCAGCTGTCACGCCAAGCTCTTTAGACACCAAGTCTCCAATACTGCGTGTGAAAGCAGTTCCCTACACACACGATACAAAAGTCAGGACGAAAACAAGCATAAATCAAAATCAAAAACGTCCTGCTTACGGGGTACTGTCCGTAGGGATGCCAGATACGCGGTGGGTCTCCATTCTCGTCAATTTCGTCACCAAGCGATAAGCCCCAATTTTCGTGAATAGGCTCCAAGCCTTCTACTTGATCCACTGTCAAGATACGCGCGCCACATTTCTTTACACGAACACGCTCGTCCTGGCAAAATGCAAAACAGTCAGTCAAAATGCAACAGTAAAAGCGGTCAAAACTTCTTCAAACCTGGCGAAAGGGCGTCTGGTCGATCGATAGCGGCTTGGCAACCAAATTAGCTTCACCCTCACGTTTAGACGCCTTGAGATTCTCCTGAGCAATGATTGCCCTCGAATCACCGACGTTCGAGACGTGAATTTCATTGCCACAAAAGAGCACGGAAATCGACGTTGTGCCGCTCATCGAGTCGTCAAAGCTTGCCTCATGCATGGCAATGTTAGTCTGAAGATGGGCCTTTGAGAGAGCTGGTAAGATGCCGATATTTTGTTCAAAGTTCTTGATAATGTTCTCTGGTAGCTGCTCGGCTGCAAATTGAGAGCAAATGTCTCCATATTGTCCATGACCGTCAAAAACTGCAAAAAAAGCCTTTTGATCATCTCCAGCAAAGTGCGTCTCGCAGTAATAACTGTCCTGATTTGCCTTCTCTCTCGCTAAGAACGTAACAAAACGTACGACACAAGATTAGTAGCAATTTCACCAAATCTTTCTCCTTTCTTTGCTTCTACTTTCTTTGATTTACCTTCTGGATAATAGCCACGTTTAGAATAGTAGGAATAACGTAAATTATAGTCTCCAATCTTAACGTGATGCGTATTCTCCATGTGCTTATTACTAGGACAAGGAGGTGGGACAAACTCATCCACTTGTGTCTCGTCGTGTGTGTCTACGTGTCTTGAAAATGGCAGGAAAGAAGACGGAGAACGTGACAATGATGATGATGATGATGATGATGCTGGATTCTTGTCCTTATGCAACTGCACACACGTCGTATCATCCGTAGTTGCTGCAAGTTTATGTGGACTAGACGAAAGAGCAGCGTATGGTGCAGTAGTATAGACCTCGTTCTTGGTATTCGAGCGTCGCGTTACGATAGACGAAGCCTCAGTAGAGCAACAGTTTCCCATCGTACTATATATATATATATATACGAACAATATCGTGAGCAGAGTGAAGGTTGTTTGTTTCCCTTTATAGACCGCTCAATGCCGCACTAATTGCCTTTTGTGCAGTCTTTTACTCAGTGCGGAAGAGATGTTGCTGGCTTCTACACACACTCTTGAAAAATCGCTCTGTTGTATTGGGCCGGACGGTTTTTGAAATGGGGAATAAAACGGGCGCATTATGATTGGTGGTCTTTTTTAAGGGTATTTTGGGTACTTTTTACTTGATTTGAAGCTCATATTGGGATAAAAAAGAAACGTCTAGCGTGATTTAAGCTCCTTTTTGTTGTACTAGGAGTAATGGCTGAGCGAAATGGTGTACTTCATATACTATAAGTGATCATGTTTTGTGTATTTATCTGTCACGGTACAAAGCAATTTTCTCTCGTTTGTTTCATGCTCAGCGTAGTATATAATAAACCTGCACAACTTATTTTCTTGAAACTCACATTGTGTTGATCTACAAAAAGGTGTTATTACATCTATAAAATGGTAGCAAAGTAGTCTCATCAACGGATCCTACAATTATAATAACCCTGATGTGTAACACTCATAAACGTGTGTTAGACCACGCTTCTTCAGCCGTAGCTGACCTCTTTGATTTAATGGGTCAGTCCGTCCTTGTTAAAAAATGGGTCATCCGTCCTGTCTATGACATAAATGGGCGTCGACAAGTATGTATATGTCGCTCTGTTGTCATCTTTATATTCAATAAAACATGAATTGATTGCACACCTAGGAGCCGTAAACCAAGAAAGCATCGATCATTTCTTAACAGAACATGCCTGAACAGGGTCACCATACACCTTGCCCTGTCGTCTACGATGAAATAGATACATTTCGAAGCCATTTATCTAGCCGATAAACCTTACTCTATAATGGGTGAGGCGATTAGGGAAAGCTATTCAGACCACTCATGTCGCGCTAAATTTATGTCAGTCACAAAAAAACGGCGCGTCAAGACACACAAATCCCAATGTTTAGTCCCATTTGCAATTTAGTCTACGTCATCATGTTATCCGGATGTTCGTTCGTTCTCCACATAAAAAGATCACCTCAATAATGGCATTAGTGCGGGCTTGGAGCTGGACGCGCATTGATGGCCGTAATGTGCTGGCAATGCCGACACAAATGGAGATACGTCTGTATGATAGTGATGAATTTATTCTCTTGTCCCGTCTAGCGCCGTCAGGTCATTGCTCGCCCGTGGCTTTTGTACGCTGGAGCGCTTTTCACGGCAAACTCGCGTCACTCTCGGCCGAGCGGATCCTTATTCATGCGCCTGAGAGAGATTTACAGCAACGCAGTAGCGTAAAGTTTACAGCTATATGCTGCTATAGACTGGATGCAGTACACATGAATATACGTGGACTCTCGTTCTCGCGTAGCGCTCACGAACTGTTGTTTTGTGGACGAGAAACAGGTCTCGGCAAGCTAAATGTGCGAGCTCAAGGCTTTTGTAATGATCAAGATTTAGTATTGTGGGAGACTGATGAACGTGGAGTCTGTGATGTGGCAAAGTACTCGCCCAATGCCTTTGTGTTTGCAACGTTGAGAAGGAAAGAGATGCAGGTAAAGGTCTGGAGGATGAAAAAGAAGTGGGGCGACTCGGACGAGAACCAGACGTTGGATCGAGTGGAGCTACTGCACCATTTAGAACCAGTGGTTTATTTTTCATGGAAACCGTCTACGACACAGTGGCATTCGCCCCTGGAGTCGGATGGGATGAGAAAAGCACAGTGGTTTGAACCCGCTAGGATTCTCTTGACGTGTACAGCTACCAGGAAAGTCAGGATATGGACCGAGAATGCCAATGTCTGCTTTGAACCTGTTCTTGCGTTTGATCCGACGTACTCAATTGAGAATGTGCGCTGGGTCATATCTAAGAACAGAAACATTAGTGACGAAAATTTCCAGGTAGTGAATGACGTGGAGAGTGACCATAGAGATTGGATATCTGGTGTGGATCGAAAGGGAGTGTTGAGATTGTGGAGATTGGTGGGGGTCATGTCCAAATCACCGACGGTGGAGGAAACGTCGCTTCAGATAAAAGTTAATGGGGAAAATGACCGAGATAATGTAAATTTGGGTATGAGGCTTGGAGAAGTATGTGTTATGGCCTATTTTTCTCAAAACTACTTCGGGATGCCATCAAAACTGAGCATTGTCCTTCAGCGCGAGGATCATATTATGCTGTCTTTTCACGTCGCAGTAGGCGAGGGAGACAGGCCATCACAGGTTTTGAAAAAGTCGTGGTACAGGAGTCACCTTGGCTCTATTTCAGCGTTATCCGCACATCCATCGTTGCCACTGATTGCTAGCGTTGATACACATACGTTTGGACGCGATAGCCCTGCGAAACAAAATGACATTCTTGTGTTCTGGATCTCGTTTTCCGCGTTTTCTGTTGAGTCGCGGCTAATTCCATCCGGTGTGCTGCCCTGTGGAGAGAAGAGCGGGAAGGTATTGTGCATACAGTGGGTGCCAACGTTACACTTTGATGCTACTCCTCTGCTTCTCGTTGCTTTTGAGTTGGGAGTAATCGATGTGTACGGTCGATCGGCGCAAGCCAATGCTGCCGTTGTGTCATCACCGAGAGTGCAAATGCCTCGGCAACATCGAGCAGTCACTCGCTCTGTGACGTTGTCCGATAATGACGTGACAGGCGAGTCAGGTTCTGAATTTGAGGTGGCATGTAAAAAGCCAACGAAGTCAAAACTCGACATTCAGTTTGAGGAGAAAATGGGGAAATTGCTTGTTTTACAGAATAGCTTTAGCAAAAGGTATCTCAGTGACGTGATGGAAGGAGACGAGCTTGTTGGCATTAACAATACGAGTGTTGTGGGGAAGAAAGCGAAGGATGTAGTGAGGCTGATTGACTTAATGTTACCGGATGAATTATTTCTCATGCGTTTTCGATCAGCCCGAGGTGAAAATTGCCAGGAAATGATGGCGTATGGGACCTCTCAATCGGCGACATGCTTTCCATTTAAATTGACGTCCAGCAGCAGTGATTTGCACGCATCTGAGCACACAATTCAGGAGTATGCATCTGATCTTTGCCAAAACGTATTGTCATCGTTGGAGACACAAAGCCTGCAAAGCTGTCATCAAGCTGACAACGTGGTCCATGCAGGTGCAGTGTCCATGTATGGTGGCTGGAGACAAATGCTTCATGTGCAAGCAGCATTGCAACTGTCACTAATTTGTATTTGTCCATCTTACGCGGACGATGGTGAATACGTGCCTGATTCCGTGTTGATCTTTGGTATAGAATCATCACCCGGAAAGCTTTGCGTGTGGAAAGGTGTACGCGATGGTGCATGTCAGTCGTTCAAGTTATCGTCGTTACAAATTCAGGAGCCAGTGATCCAGAAAAAAGCAAACATCACGTCGATTGCCAGTGAAAGAGACTACCGCCAGCGAGCATTTTCGGGTAAGAGAGCACAAGGACGCAACAGTCTAAATTCACTGCTGTTTGTTGGTGATGCAGCTGGAAACATCGAACACTGGCGATGCCAGGCTGTAGCTAACATTATTTACTTTACAATGATGAGTGCCTATCCTGTTTGTGGAAATAATTCTGCTCCATCACGAAATGGTCACGTACTGCGCGAGCTATCAGGGTCGTTTTATCGTCGTGGGTATGTTTTTGCCGATCAAGTGGAAAATTTTAGACGAAGTGGAGATGCGTCTGCGGTGGTAGCTGGTAGTATTAGCCACATTGAAGTGGATGACCCAAACCGCCTTGCTGTATTGCATACTGATCGGCCCGATCAACTGCACGTCTTTGAGGCAGAATCCGGGCTTGGAATTCTGCGTCTAGAAGAATCTATCTTGTCAAATGGCCGAGGGAACATTTTGGGTTTCAGCTGGTGCAATTCGCATGTTGAGTTTAATGTTGATGCACTTGCAGTAAGATATGAATCTGCAACAGTTATTTATCACTACGATACGACTCTACATCGCTGGTTGCAAATTGGAGATGACATTGTGAGCCCGTTACCTCTGTTTGATTGTACACGCGATTCGTCCGCTTTGTTGATTGGAGGTGGCGGTCTGAAGGACTCGCGACCAAATCACCGTTCATTCCAACCAATTTCAAATGAGATGCCTGTCGTAATTGGCAAGTGGGATGAGCCAGGAAGTCTTTTACAGAAGTCAATGGACTGGAAAGCAGTCGAGTCTCCGCAAAAACTGCCTGTGTGGCATCCATTCGTGCTACTCACGACAATATTCGGTATGCATGCGCGCGTTGGAAAGAAAGATACTTTACTTGCTGGCGACAATGCAACTTACGAATTTTCCAGAGGATTTAAAGATGCTACGCAAATGCTAAAGCTGCTTGCGAAAGTGGTTGAGGATAAGCAATCTGCTCGAGCTAGTGCCATCAGTGGGGTTCTGTCGTATGCTGGCCCCGCACAAGCTCAAGACGCAGTTGCGAAACACAATGACTTGGGACGTGCTCCACTACTGAAGTCGGTTGGTCGATACTCAACATCTATCCATCGAAGCGATAAAATTGATAAAGCTGAAAATCTGTTTGCTGCTTCCTTAACTGGAGGCAGTCAAGATAGATACACGTTTGACGAAGTGGAACCCTGTCTTGACGAGGGCGATCAACGCACATTAGCGTCTGGTGAGGCTGCAGCAATTTTGGCAGCAGTTGATTCTATACTTCTGGGCAAAGCACATCCATTGCAAGCGAATGCAGTTGTGCTTTTTGCTTCGTTTAGTGAAGAGCGCCTTTTAGAGATGAAAGCGCTCATAAGCTTTGTAGACGTCATTCAGTCTCTGGGTTTTGATTTGGACGCTTCCGCTGCAGACTTGGGGGCAAAACGTTTTTTCTCGATGTATTTGTTTGCAAAATCGTTGAGAAGCGTAGTGCTTGCTCATTGTAGTGACCACACGAGTAACCCGCAAAACGGAGATTCGAGTCGATTGTCTAGCAAATTAAAATGTAGAAGTTTGGACAGCGAGCATGAGAGTGATTCCTGTCTCCCAAGTCTGGGGGAGATACCTTCATCAGGTCTACTTTGGGCCTTACACTCGGACGCACAACAATTTTTGTGGGAACATTGCATTGAACCTCGTATGCAGTGGGATGATATCCGTCTTCTATGGCTGGGGCTTTGGATTAAAGATGTCAAAGATTTGCGAGCAATTGTGGAAAGGTTGGATAATTAGTTGGTGATTTTGTGACTCAATTCCTGATTGTATCGGTTGTTTGTAGAATTGCGAAAGTCTCCTATACGCGAACAAAAAATGCTATGGATGTGTGTTTGTTCTACGTGGCATTGGGAAAGAAAAAAATGCTCAGTGCATTGGCAAAAATCACACAGTCAGAATCAAACAAGGTACCCCCATTTAAGATAGCCATTGGCTTTGATGAGCTCATGTAATATGAATTGTGTTGAATGCGTATATGATGACAGACTCTAGCCTCGTTTTTCGACAATGATTTCTCTGAGAAACGCTGGACTGATGCTGCAATAAAGAACGCATATTCGCTGCTTAACAAGAAAAAGTACGAAGTGGCAGCTTCTTTTTTTCTTTTGTGTGAGCCGCCACGCATTCAAGATGCCATTCGTATTTTGTCGGTTCGTCTTGGAGATTTAAGCTTGGCCATAATTATTTCGAGGCTTATGGAATACCAAGTAGACGACAGGTTTGAAGACGCATTCGCATCGAGTCAAGCTAAGATAACACCGGCAGGGGTAATAACAAAGCAATTGTTGGAGCAAGACGTAATTCCGTTTTTTCGTCGAAAGCGTGACGTGTGGTTGGAGAGTTGTGCATTGTGGTGGCTAGAAGATTTTGAGCACGCATGGGCTATTCTACTTCCTCAATTTCAAGACGTAGATGTTTCTGGGGACAACAAATTAGTGTCTTTCTCAAAGAAAGACATTGTTTCCAGCGTGATGCGAGCGACGCGCTTTTACATCAATCTCACGTCTCTTACTCTTTACTTTCAGCACCTGCATTCAAGCGTGAACTGCTCTTTGCTAAGCTGGGCCAAGAGAAAACTGCACCAACAAGTATTTCCTGACGCTCCAGTTTCACTAGCCCCGATCTCTTCGAATAAGAGGCGTTTACAGCTTGCTTCAACTGCAGATATTGAGCATGCCTTTTCGTTTGCAGCCTACGTGTGCAAACGAAATGGTCTGAGCGATACAGCACTTGTAGATATGCTTCAAGCGCGACAGTTGATAAATCTTCACGCGCGTTTTGAGATCTCAGCAGTTGCAGATAGCAGTGACGCGCTCAGCGTTGGGATACAAGAGCAAGACTTGGCCAGTTTGTCGGGAAGCTCAACTTCTCCTCGTTTTCAGTCACCGCCAGCAAGCTGGAGACGGGAAAACAAGTTGTTGTGCTACACTTCTCCGACTACTAACCGGTCCCCGATATTAACAGCTCGGAGCACGACGCGGAGACGAATGAGCTTTATAGATGAGTTATGTCTTCCACATATGGATCCACAAGTGATAGGAATGAAATCGTCTCGTTGTCGCTCGCGTGCAAGCTCGTTTTCTTGGTCAAGATCGTTGCAATTTGAAAAGTTGTCTATTCCGACAGTGCCGTGGTTAAAAGCTCAGATTGCTGATATCGAGTGTAGGCGGTGGTCATCATCCGCATTTGTGGGTAAGATGATTGGCATTCGCGTGGCACGCGAGATGATCAGCCATTTTCGTGCCGAGCTGGATATGTGGTTTCGGCACGGCAATGATACTAGTTCTTCCACAGACGCTGTGATCACTACAACAACTTCAGAACAGCGACATCGCCATCGAGTTAAGCTTCACAGGGAGTTTTTGGATGAGTTATGTACCCCGCTTTGTGAGCAATTTCAAGTAGACCGCAAGTATGTCTACGAAGCCGCGCTGGCAGTGATGTATCCACACGCTTACCTTCACATCGTTGAAGTTTGTTTTCTCTTGTCAGAGCTGGGAAGAGTATCAACATTGCGCAAATGGGTTGAGTATGTGTCATTATCGATGTTGCACTCGTGCTCTACATTTGCTTCATGCAGCATCGCTGAGGATGTGTATCGAGACTGGGAAAGCCTCACTATTCAGCTATGTTACATTCTTAACCTTGACGCCCAGGGACAGGTCTGCATCCGACTTCAAGTGATCGCATATGTAAGTGTTGCGGTGCGTACAGGAATCATCTTTTTGGGCTGGGCACGGAAGCGACCAGACATCGTTCGCCAGGCTGTCACCTTGCCGTTTTATGCGAACGGCACCACGAACCGTGTGTCTGCGGATGATCCAAGCCCTACCCTGAGCTCATTTGCATTTGAGACGAACCTACGCTTGTTGTGCTGGATGTTGGAAAGCCCGGTGGTGAATGGGCGGCAAACGCGCACAAGTCAAATATTTGAAGGGAATCTAGGCTACACTTTCTTGGGCGCCGTTGCGGCACGTCAAGAAAGTGAGGACCATATATCGCTTTTGTCTTGGGGCAGCGTCGAAAATTCAGTGTGTCAAAGGCAGTTCAAGATTCGCAAGATGTATACGCTCATTCTTATGGTGTCTGTACTTCGTACGCTGTATGCGCAAGCTACCGTTTTCCTCAGCACGTGCCAAAGGGCTGATGAAGACGACGAAGAAGGCACTGAACGAGACATTGCAAGTTCGCTGTTTATTCCCCAGAAACTATGGAAACCATTTGGTAAAGATCCTTTAGAGGGGCTAAAGCGATGGTATGCACTCATTGAGTCCCATTTGAGATGCGAATTTGATTACTCAGTAAAAGAAGCTCCGTGCCTGTGCGGTCTTTACGGCCTTGATAGCACAACGATTGAAGAAGCTGCAAATAGGGAATGTACACAGCCGAACTACCAAGGCGATCTTAGTGATGTTGGGAAAGAGGTCGTCACTAGTGATGCTGAAGGCGATAGCTCCGTTAAAACTGAATGCGATACCAACATGGATGATACAGCTCCAGCTAAGTTTACAGCCGAAGAAACAAGTTGGAACAACGGTTCAACGAGTTTGAATGATTTTTTGCTAAAGATCGGGATGGACTTGGAGTTTCATTCGGCATTGGTGAACGCGAGTGACGATTACGTCTTGCTGCTAATGCAGAATGCAGAATTTGGTGTGCAAACAACCTCACGACGTTTTCGCTTGGACCCTCGGGTATACGTGAATAGTTTTGTGCTGCGAGATGCGTTTAGCTGGTTTTCTCGCCACCAGATCTTCAGCTGCAATACCGTAGCTGAGACTAACTTACGAATTCACGCGTTCCTGAGTCGCTGTTGCAAGCAACGTAAACTGCGATTGTTAGTGACTCATCGTGGTGAAGACACTCAGATGTTTCCGTCGAATCGTAATCATTTTCGCCCACACCAAGAAAGTGCTGCCGATAGCAGTACGATCTCGGGTCAGCGACGTTTGTCCCGATCACAACTGTTGAATGCAGCCGGATTTTTTTAAGCGATATGTCCCTACCACGATCACGATTTTTAACTAGCACCTTTGAGTCGGAGCCTTGCGACACAGATGCTTTACCAGAGGACCTTTACCAGCAGTCAATGATGTTTGTGAATCCTTGGGAAGTCGAGGCGGAGCATAATGTACGGCAATACATGCATAATGCACAACCGCCATTGCATGTGGAGCTTGGATGGGACCGTTTAAGCCCAATCTGCTTGGAAATCTGCAATGGAATTGTTGACTCGATTTTTAAAGACCCTGATCTGGTGACATTATGGAAAACTACAGGCGGGGAAGGTTGGCTAGTTACGGCCATTACACAATACCAACTGGACGGCCTTCACTCGTATTGTACACTTCACCAGCATAACAAGCGTGGTTTCGCAGGACAAGAGGAGCCAAGAATCCCGTTTCTCCTTGAGATTTACTCGCGAAGCCAGCGAAATGCAATGTTTGAGGAAGCCGGTCTACCCCATCGGTTTATTGGAGTTGTAACTGTGGAATTGATTGAAGCAAAGGATTTGATTTCATGCAGCTGGATGGGTAACTGGAGCGATGCGTACGTGTTCTTAAAGCTAAGTCACTCGAAGGATACACTTCATGAGACGGCAGAAGAGTGGAGTCTCCAAACCTATCGAAGCCCTGTTGGCACAGGCGGCGTCAATCCTCGATGGAGCACAGCAAATAATAAATACGTGTTTCGCTTTGCTATCCCCACCCACGGCAGTCATATAGCTCGTCCCAAAAATGGCGTTTACTTTGCCAATAGTGGCGTTGCGGTAAACACAACGGATTTGAAGGACAGTCGCGTTGCGTTACAAGTATGGAATGCTGATGTTAACGACCGAAATTGCTCTGCAGTAAATGCCTTGGAGGAACTTCTCCCGTCGGTATTTTCAGGTCCGCCGACAATACTGAGGTGCACTGTGTATCAAAAGAACAGGATTTTGAGCCATAAATTTATGGGAAGAGCACAGGTAAGTGGTGATCGAATTTCCTGCACTGTTCTTTGACTTATTAGTTTTGCTTTTTAACTTTAGGTTTCCCTGAACGAACTAACCTCCAGCAATCAGATGGACTGCTGGTTACCGCTTGAAAATATAGCGAGTGGCTCTTTGCACTTGAAAGTATCGCTTTCGTTCGAGCTTATGTGTTCATCCATGCTTTGTCAACTATAATACGGTGAGGATCATTACGAAAAGAGTTGCAGGACTAAGTTTATGTATATTCAGGATGAGTCGAATGCTGAGTCTGTTACCAAGAATTCCAAGCATTGAAAATAATAATGGGGACGTAATGACAGCCTGAGAAAGTGCCTGTGAAGGATGTGGAACAAACGAACGAAAGATCATCAACAGCGGTCGTGAGATGTAAGTTTGCTAAATTTTGGCGAGACCCGCAGTCAGGCGACCACTTGATGCAATGCAACGGTGGCAACCACTTTCGTCCTTAATACAACCTGATACTTGCTGCTGAACAGTGTTTTCTGTATGGCGCAACGTGTTGATTGTGTGTTCAGCTGAGCTGACGAGTACGTAGCGAGCGACCAGAGCAAAGAGATATGCGGTCCGTTGCAACAGTCGAAGCTTATAGGGACTTCTAGATCCTTCGTTGCTGCGTTCAAGACTTTTGAAGAGTGCATTTGAAAAGAACTGTCGCCTGACGCAGAGATGAGCTGCCCGGTACGCGTTTGTCAACGATTGACTTGACCAGATACCGCTATTTCAAAGCAATTGTGGGACAAATACTTCACAGGGGTATCAAAAACAGCAGATGTATCGCTCTTCTATCGAGCATCGCAGTTGTCTTTTCGCGACCAACTGCTCTATTTGTACTGACACTTGCTTGCGGCTTTCATGACGGACTAAACAAAGATCGGTGGCACTGGACGCACATGCGCTGTGAGTAATAAGGCCAACCCGCGTGGGCTGTGAATGATCAAAATGAAGTACGAAAACTAAAGATCTTACGCAGATGACAATCGCTGTTGCATGTGATGTTTGCTGGTCGTTTCTCTGCTGTAATCCTTTGTTAAGGGCTTGTCTGAAATGATCGAAGCTCATATTGTTCTTCTAGTGTGAGAGCAAAGATGGCACGCCTTTGGGCAGGTGTTCGGTCTTTCCAGCGTCAAGAGTGTCCATGGAGCTCGGCACAGCCATCCTTTTTTCTGGCAACGGCTGCATGAATACAGCAAATGTTTCACGGTTCACACCCGTCACCTGAGGTCCTCGTACAGCATGCGGAGTGGCTTGTAAGATACCTCCAGAGAGAATCGGTCGCCAATTTGATAGACTAGATGATCAGGTGGGATATTGACCTTGACAATTTCATTCCGACGAGTCTTCACATAGAGTCCAGCGGTAGAATCTGGATTACTTATAGTCGCACCCGTGCAGTCAGTCAGTCATGGATTCATTCATAACTTACTTTGACACGAGAAAGAAGAGCAAGTATCTGAGTTCTCCATCAAACATCTCAAAACATCCGAAACAAGCATGAAGTAAGTGTCGTGAGAAACTACAATCGATGTCTCCGCCAGCATTGCTTGCTACGTAGACGCTATTGAATTGGTTCCATATACCGCACGGCTCCATCTTGAGCGCCTCTCGTTACAATTGCAAATCCATCAACGATCGAGTTGAAATCCGTCGCCATATTAAGACTAGTGTCCTGATGAATCGCTTTTTGGCAACTCTTGGACGGAATGAGAGTAACTTCAGCACTTGTCACGGCTGCAAGCGCCTTCACACACTTGGGCAAATCATCCTGACCTACACCAAAAAATTCACGCACGGGTGTGCTGAAATTCGTAAACACGCCATTCTGAAGTGAAGAAAGTAGCTGACAAGAAATAAAAGCAGCCGATGTTTCTGTCGTGGTGGTCCCTTTTACCGTTGAAGTCTTCTCACAAGCGGCCAAGTTGTTTACAAAAGTGTGGATCGCAGCGGCATCCTTAAACGTCTCTTTTACAGTAGCGTATGAGATCGCACCAGGAGCGCTCGTATCGGCGTCGCACTGTAGCGAATACTGCTTAAGCATATTCTGAAGAAACAGATCAATTTCATACTCGACAGCATAAGTGTCCATACTTTTAAAACTTGTGCCCATTGCCTCGAAAAACACACCAAGATCAGCATGTCTTTCAACAGGTATGTTCTTGATTGTCATGGGAATCGTAGCCGTTGAAGAGACTTGAAAACCATCATTGCCTTGACAAAAGCCAGTCAAGGCAATGCTCTGGTTACAGCTCTGGACAAACTGGTACATCATGTCAAGTGTTGCGCTTGTCACATCAAGAACGTTAGAAGAAGCATTCCAAAAAAAACGTCAACAACAAAGTTTTCAAGTATACGTACTAGTGACTGAAGAAAATTGGATCAAAAGCAGCAGCTCGAGTCTCGTACACCCCTCCCAAAAGACTGTGCAGCGTAAGTTGCACGGAACTTTGAATTTCCTTGCGCAACGTATCCATGGCTACCAAATTGGGGCGACTTGAGCTCTTGACATGACGAGCAGCATGACGTATCAACTCTACAAACGTAGTTGGTCCAAACTCTAACGATGAGTCTCCAATGCCCCAATCTCCTCGTGGAAGACACTTTTCGCACATGTTGCGATTAGTACAGGCGTACGCAGCAATACTAGCGTTTGCACAATTTCCACTTGGGATCACCTCACCATTTACGACATAAGTGCCTGGTATGAGTTCACGGCCTTGACATCCTCCAAAATCTTGCAAAATTGGTGAACATCCTTCAATACCGTTGCAAGGAGTGTACGTTGAAATGCGTTTGGCTGAATCATCAAAGATATCCCAGTATGGTACGGTCAAGTCCTTGAATGTCGTGTCCAAGGAGCGTAACATGGTTTCATACCCGAGTAGAAATTTACGATACCATGCTGGCGCACCACATGTTCCAACAACGTACTGAAGACTATTTGGATCCATGTAAATTTGTGTAAATAACAAATGATATCCTAATGTCATGGATTTCTTGACTGCACGTAGATACAACACTATTGAACACCATATATTTCATGAACAAGACCAGATATATCATTGCTTATCAGTTAAAGTACTATGACAATCAATAGAAAAACCCATTTTAACACACGAAACTCCTACCCTTTTCATCAGGAGTATAAACACTCCAGCTCTTTCTTACTCGATTATACTTTGCATCGACTTGTTTCCATATCGACACAAGTAGACACAAGTATACAATCAATAGAGTCGTCATCCCCATTCTGCAACTATTACGTGCCATTGCAAACTGTATCTGTTCGTCTACTGAACTCTTTCGAAACCGTTTCATCTTGGATTTCATGTGGTCCACACGACACTCTACCTTCTAAACACCTCTTGAACTTAGTAAGATATCGATATTTACGGTATACCACCGGCGACGGTCAAAACAACACAAAAAAAGAACATGACTCGAAAATACCGGTTGTACCATAATTCCTTGGCGTAACGAACGCTCGAGTTGGATTCGTAGCTGTGATTACAAGATGCTTCCAGCGTCTAATGATCGCATAGCATTGGAAAAAGAAATTGAGCGATGTTCATGTAATGTACGTTTACTTGAGAATACATTATCTAGTGAAAAGGATAGTCCTGTGACGATCGATGACGTTGCAAAGGAGGTGAAAACGCTGGCGGCATTGCGCAAGGAGTTAAAGATATGGAAACAAAAGGACAAGACGGAAGAAAAGACACTTGAGAGAAGGAGCGATAAAAAGATCTTTGGTCAAGCGGATCATAGTGAGGTGATGGAGCATGTGACAAGTGGTGCTACGACAAACGAGTTAGAACTCGTTCAACGCGCTACAAGGCTAGAAGAATTAGTATCAAAAGCACATATGAAGCTAACAATGATTGAGACAGAGTTGGTGCAGATGGAACGCAGTAACAAGGCTTTACGATACTTGGTGGAGCATGAGGAGACAAGAAAAGATAAGGAGACTGGAGTTATGGAAGAAATAGGTATGAAAGACACTATCAGAACGACAAGAAACAAGCAAAATAAATACAAAAAGACCGATATAATGACAGTAAAGGAGGAAAAAAAGTGTGAGGGAAAAGCAGCTGGGTGAGTTAACGGTAGAAGTGAAGGTCAAGCCCGGTCAGGTGAAAGAGGCTGACAGGACGACTGAGAAGCTGCAGACGACTGGCGGTGCACTGAATCAGGAAAGAAGTGAGGCTGTTGCCAAGTTGACGGGGAAGCTGAAGGAACAGCGGGCCAACGCAGAGCATGACAACCACGATCGTCAGCAGAAGGCGGTGCAGAAACTTTTGGACGCAGAGAACAGACTGACGGAGACGATTACATCGATTAGTGAGGAGGATAACAAGAAGATTGCGAAGTTTAAGGCAAAGCTTGAGGAAGAACGCTTTAACGTAAAGCAGACGAACCAGGAGGTGGAGTCAAAAATGGGCAAGTCTGTTGCTATGCGTAAAGAAAAGAAATTGAAGCTAAAGGGCAAGCTACAGACTGTAGAAGAGGTTGCTCAAGCCACTTGCAGAGAGCTGGAAAAAACTCAAACTCGGTTGGCAAAAATGATAAGCGAGAAGGAGACGAGAGAAACGCATATTGGAAAGCTGCAGAAGAATATCGAGGACCTTCAGCTTGCAAACAAAAGGCTTACGAAAAAAAACGCGTCGATTGAGGCCGATGCAAAGGTGATTCGTAATGAGGCCGAAAAGGCCAATGCTGAGCACTCGTCGCACAAGGACAAGACCAGATCTTTGACTGCCGAATTTGCCGCTGTTAAGACTGAGCTCAAAATGTCCAAAATGAAGACAGAGGAGCTTCAAGGCGAAGTTGAGAAGCTGGCAAGCGAAAAAACTGCTGCCAACTCGAAGATTTCGAGCCTTGAGGAGCGCATCCTGATGCTAGAGCAGGAGCTGACGATGGCTCAGACGAGTTCTCGCGAGGTGTCCGCCGAGCTGGAGTCTCTGCGTGCTTCGTCTCAGGACCTAATGTCGAAGGTCGCAAGTTACGAAGAGCGTGTTCAGATGCTTAAAACGGAGCTGGAGACAGCGACGGATAGAGCCAATGTCTCATATCTTGAGCTTGAGTCTCTTCGCACATCGACGAAGGATACGATTTCGAGCCTAAAGGAGCGAATCCAGGCTCTGACGAAGGAGCTCGAGTTGGCTAACAAGAACACTGAAGAAGTATCTTTTGAGCTTGACGTCCTCCGTACATCGACGCAAGAAGCTGCATGTATGCACAAGGAAGACATTCAGAGGCTGACAGCTCACATCTCTGAGCTGCAAACTGCAAGGGAGGAAGGAACAGTTGAAGAAGTTACGGCAGAGCTTGAGAAGGTAAAGAATACTGCAAAGACTGCGCTTGCGGATAAGGAAGAGACCGTTCGCCAGTTGCTAGAGATGAAAGAGATAGTGAATCAACTAAAGCTTGAAAGCGAGAAGGCTCAAAGTCAGGCATCAGAAAAGGATGTACAAGTACAGAAGCTTGCTTCGGACTTGGAATCACGTACGGTCGAGGTAAAGAAGCTGCAGAGTCAGTACGACGAGCTAGTTGCAGAGCATTTGAATTTGAAAGAATGTTTGCGAGACGCGGGGAATGTATCAGCGAGAAATGAAGGCTTGCTTAAAGAGACACGTCTGTCGTTACTAGAGACAAGCGAGGAGCTAAAGAGTGCTCGAGCTAGCACGCTTAAGTGGAAAAACTCGGCGGAGGCAGCCAAGACGCTAATGAATGCTAAGATTGCAGACGCTGAGAGCGCTAGTAAGCAGCTCAAAAAGGCTCGTGTTGATATAGTTTCGGTTAACTTGGCTCGTTCGCAGCTTTTTGCGAGTCTTGAGGCCAAGGAAAAGAAGATTGTGAAAACCAAGCAAGAGCTTGCTAATGTTCGTGCTGAACTCGCCAAAACGTTTCGAGCCAGGGAGGCTGAACGTACACAGGTGAAGCAGGCGCACGCCGCTCAAATAGGAAAGCTTCGCGAGGTTATGGAGCAGTCGATGGTGCAGCTTGACGGTCAGGTTCAGTCACATCGCCGTCTGCTCATGGTTCTTTTACCAATCTTTGTTGCTGTATTGGTTTACGTGAGCTGGAACTAAATCGGAGCAGTCGAAGGCGACACTGCAGAATTCACTGCTCTTGATCCATCCAGGTAATTTCCAGATTCCTTGACATCCAACAGCTTTGCTGCATTTACGTTTTGAGTCGTCATTTTGCTAAAGAAGATGAACGCAGAGTCCAGGACGTTTGCATTATGATCCAGGCGTATCCATGGATAACTTTTTGCGCATGCAGTCAAGAATAGCAACTATTGTGCTCAGTTGAACAATCTTTTACACAGCAGCAAACTCCATTGGTGAAACTCTGTCATCTGCAAAAGAACTCTAGCAATCACGACATTCGTCCACACAAGTGAAGAAGAAGAGATATGACGAATGGATTATTCGTCTGGATTTAGTTTTCCACCACTTTGGTTGCTATGACGACCAAGCTAGCATATATATTCCTAGCTTTCGACGGATGGTCTGGATTATCTCAAATGATGTGGTCTGACAATCATATCTTGCTGCCAGGGTCCTGCTAGCCTTGACGACTGACACAATTTTCATGATTCGATAAGCTAGCTCGCATTCAGAACGGTACTACGATACTACTACTACTACTCATGTGGAATATCGCAAACAATAACCTCTTGGATGCACTCAATGTTTCGCTTTTTTGGGCGTTTGTGCTTCAATGGTCAGGCAAATCAAAACGATGGGAATCATGTTGGACACATCTCAAAGGTTTACATGCCATTTTTCAAGCGTTATCGCCAACTCTCGGTTGCGCAACGATAAATAAAACCACTAGCAGCTACGCACAGAAAAGACAAAGCCAACGACTTTGGCAAATATTTTCTGCAACATCCTGTTGGTGAATGCTGATTGCTGTTAAGGTTGCACGTAGACTTGGGATTACAATTTCTCGGGCTTCGCTCGACTGCTTGATGAATTGACATGGCTACACAAACATCACGGCGTCTTCACGATAAAGTGGTATGTTGGCGCAAGCATTCCTCATGACCGTTTTTCTTCTGTCGTGTTTGCATATACATGCTGTACTCACCCTTATATGAAGATGAAAGATACGAAATCTTGCTTCGTCTTGAACAAAAGCGCTTTATCAAGGACTTTTTGGCACTCACAAGCTCTAGTTTTGGTAGCAGAAAGACAATTCTTTGGTGTCATGAACACCAGAGACACCAAGAATTGTCTTTCTGCTACCAAAACTAGAGCAAATTGTCAGGTTCTTACGCTATAAATTGTGAACAAAGTGGTAAAGTTGTAACTACGAATGATAAGCCGATAAAGTTCTAATGAAATTGTTTACCACATCTAACCTCCACATCTACTTCTTTAGACTGCTTGTGTAACGGGGTTACACAAAGGTGTGTTTTTTACATATACACCTGCCAGTGTGGCGGTACCTTGGGTACAAAAGTAGGTGATGTGACCGTACCTGAAGTACGAAGGGTGGCAGAGAGCCCACGTGGTCACTATACTTATGTAAAGTATAGCGACTATGCATATTTGCATAATAACAGGCTATAGAGCCAGTAAGACGTAGTTTTTCGAGTTTCGTCATCTTCAACAGGTGGTGAACCCCCTTGTCCGTCAATTTGCAGCAACCAGTCTGCCAATCAATACATCCATAGTCACATATCCACACACCTACGAATAAAAATCTTCAGCAATTCTTACCAGCTGTAAGGATTTCAAATGTTACAACGTGGTAAGTTTTCCAAGACATATGTCGTCCAAATTGAAACAACCCGACAAGTCAAGTACGGTCAATTTTGTCGAAAGTATCAACATCTCGATCAATTGTCTCAATAGTCCTGAGCATCCTTGAAACAAAAGAACAATAAGTTTTGGTAACTTGACTGTCTGTTGTTTATCTGATCCTAAATGTTGCAAATGAATGCATCCCGAGACATTAATCCGCTTTACTTTCTCCAGCGTCGAGTTCGGTGTGTGATCAAACCACGAATCTTGGACATTTTGTTCATTTGCCAAGTTCCATTCAAGTGTTAATACTGGTACAAGAGCATGAAATTGAGCCTTCTCCAAGAGATAATAGTGTTGTAAATATTCCAAGACTTTTGAAGCCATTTCGGGCGGTAAATAGACACTAGTTTCCAGTTCATGCATCATGAATAATTGTATACATATACGACGTATAGTTAAATCCAGTAATGAAAGTGGTCTGAATGTTCCTTGTGTCGTCATGTCCAATGGTTTCCTACATAAGGTAGTAGAATACCGGATTTTGACTTGTCGCCATGCGGTATCATCTGTTACTTCTTATCATGCTTCTTTTTCTTGTTCTGATCTGTTTTAATGGATCTCTATTAATATATATTCGATATTCCCTTGCATGGTAAGATTGCCGTTTTTGAATTCTCATCATTAAGCACAAAGCTTCAATTCTGCAACTGCCACCTCCTTCTTTGTGTGTATGCATGTCATTCATACCCTCGTCTTACAACGTCCTCCTGTTTCTCGTGACCGTTATGCTACTGAAACGTTCCAGTGCGGTGGTTCCTACGGTCAAGGCTTACGACATGTCGATGCTTTCGACAGACACGGCAACTGACTCGAGCCAGTCTACTGTTCATGCTAGAGCAGCTCCACCTGGTGCATCTATGACCGACGAAGGAAAAGAAGCGAGAGGCCTAGTTGACAAGATCAAGTCTCTTGTTTCGCTATTCAGGAAAAGTACGAGCGAGAAAGTTGAAATTGCTACAGCAGACGTAAATCGATTGCAAGAGAATTACGTAGCCTCCAAGAAGGCGTTAGAAGCCGGTGGGGGAGCCAACCACAAGAAATTGGCTACGAATGCTGAACGTATCTACACCGAGTTGACACAGAAGGAGGCAAAATTACGTAAGCTAGTGATCAAGCAAGCCGAAGAGGATGTCAAGAAGGCTTTCAAAGAGAATAGAAAGGCAATGAAGGCACTCAAAACAATCTGGAAGGCTTGGGATGCTGCGCACAAGAGGCGTATTAAAAAGTATTTAAAGGATGCTAGGTCGAAGAAGAAAGCCGAGCTTTCAAGCCTTCGAAAAAAGAAGAAATATTTGGAAGGGGAGATTAATTATCTCAGAACCAGCCTTGACAAAACACTTGTAACCAATGCGGAGAGACGTGATACTAACATTGGGCATGCGATAGATGGTGCATATCGTTACATGAAGAATGGACATCCGGACGACCTGCCACCTGAAACTGTTTTAGCGAATCTTGAGGTGCGTAAAAAGGAGCTCGAGGCAACATTGGTGCGCCACAATAAGATAACACGTGATGATTTTAAGCAGAAGATCGACAAACATGTCGAGAAACTCGATATGGTCAACAAGAAGATCGAAAGAGTTGGAAGGTACGAGTCCAACGCAATCAAGAAAGCAGACAAGGAAAACAAGGAAACCATGAAAAAAGATTTAATTACCAAGAAGTCGGAGCTTATAGCTGCAGCTGCAAAGTTGAAGGCTGCAAAATTGAACTTAAAACGCCTTAAGCAAGCTGGCACCGCGAAAGATGGAAAGGACGAAGCTGCGCTTCTGAAGCCGGCAGAATCTGTCATTATGAAAGTTGAAGGGGATGGAGCAGCACTTCGCAAGCCGGCAGAAGCTGCCAGTGCGAAAGATGAAGCACCACTTCTGAAGCCGGCCGGAGCTATCATTGCTAAAGGCGCAACAGATGAAGCAGCACTTCAAAAGCCGACAGAAGGCATCGCCGCGGCAGCCGCGTAGGATGAAGCAGGAATGTTGAAGATTCACCACGGCAATTGCAATCTCGAGCATGTCGTCTGAAGAAGTAGATTCTAGAAGATATCACTTCTTACAGGTTATCAAGCGCTTAAGTTCAATTTCAAGACCTGTTGTAACTTCACCTGATCGCTTACATATGTGATGGAACGAAGAGAGAGGAACGCTACGTAGGCGACCAAGATGAACCGGAAGAGACGATAGACATGTGGACCAGCATATCGAGACGTGCGGACTGGACGCACGCTGTCTGCAACTTGACCAGGTCAAGTTTTCTACAATAAATGCTGTCGACACCTAGGTGAAATATGTGTAAGGTTGAGGGGTTAGATGTGGTCAACAAATTCATCAGAGCTTTATTGGCTTATCATTTGTAATTGCGACTTTACCACTTTGTTTACAATTCATAGTCCAAGAAACCTGACGTTTTTGCTGTCTCTGGTGTTCATGACGCCAAAAATTGCCTTTTTGCTACCAAGACTAGATAGAGGTCGTACGTAAGAACCAAAATGTCAGGGTTGCACAAAGGTGTAATACACACCTGCCACACCATGTTAGTGTGTCTTTGATGTAGCCGTACCTAAGGTACAATGGGTTCACATCGTGACGCATTGAAAAAGTACAATTTGCCTAGGTGAGTAAACTGCGCTTACTGACTGTTAAATACGAGTAGATTTAACCTCCATTTTGTATAAAATCATGACAAATGTCTTAAATTAAGACAATTGTTACTACCTTTTACCAAGTATTTGAAGCTTCTGTCCAGTAATTTAACCACAAACTCAAAACGTTTTTGTTTCAGTTAAAAATGGGTCGACAACGTCAGCCTGGACATCGGCAACGCGGTGCTGGCACCGTCAGCGTATCAAAAGGAGACACGCTATGTCAAGGTGTTGTATGTAAAGAATGGCAGCGTACACCTATGCAGCTATTACATGAGTTTTGTCAGGCCAAGAAGCGGCGTAATGCGTTTTATACACGTGCCAAGACACAAGATATGACCATGTTTCGCATGTGTTGCGTTCTACCGGACGTTAAAGATACTGAAAAGGATATGAGATTCTGTCCGGAACAAGAGTTCAAGACACTAGATGAAGCTAAACATTGTGCTGCTTTACTTGCGTTAAAACACATGGAGCCTTTACGTCCCTTGGAGCGAACGTTACCAGATCCCTATCGGACTTTATGGTTGGCGCTTAGTGTACAAGACGATACAAAAAGTAAATCTAACATTGGACCTAAAATAAAGAGAAAGAAGAGATTAAATTTGACCCAAATGGAGGAGAATCATGGAAACATAAAGGACGACGTGGGATTCAATCTATGGGTTCATGATGATACCAAGCAGGTTGATAAAGAGAAAGAAACAACAACAAACATGCCCGTGATGTTAACAATGGAGCGGAAGTTTGCATCTTATAAAGAATTAGAAGCGGCAAAGATGGCGCGAACACAAGAGAGGAATAAAAAAGTACGAGCACGAGAGAACCGAGAAAAAGCCAATTTACCGGTACAGGTTATGATGAGTGCACCATGTAGAGAATTGGTTGAAGGAATTTTGAAACAAGTGGGAACAGGGCAGAAGGCTTTTATGACGGAAATACAGATGGACGAGGATTTAAGTGTCGAGCAGAGACAATTAGAAGTAATAGAGTTTGAGAAGAATCTTCGACAAAGACTGACAGCAATCGGGTTTACACCGATTCAGATTCAGCAAGCTTTGCAAAATTATTCACATGATCATCTTGTGGACGACAAGACAGATGATGCTCGTATGTCAGCTATCTTGGATTGGCTGTGTCTGAATATCCCTGAAGGAGAACTGCCGAAGAAGTTCAACCCGGTAGGAACACAGCTTGATGTAGTATTGAGCACTTCGTCGTCAGGGTTAGCGGAGCCAGTTCGTACAGTTGTACTTGTTCAACGACTCATGAATTTTGGGTATGACCATCATGATGCTGTTATTGTCGTAAACGAGTTTTTGCAAGAGAATCCTGGTATTAGCGAAGAGGAAATGAAAGCGCCATCAGTAGTGACACTCTTTGCCCTCGTGGAGAAGCTATTCCCACATGTAAAACATCACTATAATTTGGAAGAGTTTGAAAGAGCAGTCGAGGTCGTTGAAGACGACGAGGAGCTGCTGAACCAGCGTCGAAATGAGATATTTGCTTTAGATGCTATATTCGATCAGAAGCTAACGGTCGTAACATTGGAGAATGGATTTAACGCCCAACTTCTGATGTTTGAGGTTACCGATACTCTCGAATTACACATCTTCCTGCCAAGCACATCCAAGTATCCATTTGAGCTACCGCTTCTTGCCTTGACATCAACCGAGACAAAATATCAGCCGCATTTACTTGCTGCATGTGGAGAAGCACTAAGGAGCTGCGTACACTCTATGGGCGAACCAATGTTGTACGATATATACGTTGCAATTGATACGTATTTTCAGGATACGAAACGTCTGTCGACTAGGCCGACTAGAGTTCAGCTTTTTGAAAAAATGATTGCGGTGAACGGGAGTGAACGAGCAACTATCAGCAAAACGGAGGCAAAAGTCGATGGAAATCTTATGTCGCAGAAAAAGCAAAATAGGCGGGAAGGCAATCACAGCCAGAACTCTAGTCACTATGCGCCAAAATGTGTTGATGTCGAAGCTACGCGTCGAATAAGCGAAAACCTGTTGAAGCTTAGGAAAATGAAAGCTGGTCAGTTGGATTTTCAGCAGATGCTTGCTGCTCGCGCAAAACTTCCTGCAGGCAAGGAAGAAGCTCAAGTGCTTAAGTATGTGCAGAACAATCAAGTGGTGCTCATTTGTGGTGCTACGGGTTGTGGTAAGACTACTCAAATTCCACAATTTATTCTAGACGATTATATTACCCGCGGCGCTGGCGGCGAATGTAACATCGTCTGTACTCAGCCACGTCGGATAGCCGCTATTGGTGTGGCTACTCGCGTTGCGCAGGAGCGGTGCGAAGAGATTGCCGACATTGTTGGTTACCAGATTCGTATGGACGCAAAGAAATCGTCAAACACGCGATTGTTATTCTGCACGACTGGTGTCCTGCTTCGACGTCTGTTGAACGATCGGCAACTTTCTAGTGTTTCACATGTAATTGTTGATGAGGTTCACGAGCGTAATGTGGATACCGATTTTCTGCTGTCGATCCTCCGGGATTTGTTACCTCAGCGTCCAGACCTCCGAATTATCTTAATGAGCGCTACCATGAACTCTGAGCTTTTTGTGAACTACTTCTCGTCAAATACTCGCGCGACGTGCCCTGTTTTGGATATTCCTGGCTTTACTTACCCAGTGGAGTGCAATTTCCTGGAGGATATTCTTGACCAAACCCACTACAACGTGCCAAGGTATTTGCTGAAGAACAAGAGAATGAAAAAGGATGGCGCTGAAGGTGAAGATGCAGAAGAAAAGCCAGTATTAGAACTGACGCCGGAGGAGATTGCAGCGCGTGTTGACGATTCTAAGGTTGACTACGATCTCATTGTACGCTTGGTTCGTTTCCTTGTTTCGGAAAAGGCTCAAAACACCGGAAGTGCCAGTGGGGCCATCCTCGTTTTCTTACCCGGAACGGCCGAAATCAAGCACTTGGTCGAAATTCTGAATTACGGAAATGGCGGGCTATCGTCTAAATTGTGGGTGCTGCCCCTTCATGGCTCTCTCTCTGAAGCTGACCAAGCGACGGTGTTTAAGTCTGCTACGGCAGGTAAGATGAAGGTCATTGTAAGTACCAACATTGCGGAAACGTCCATCACTATCAATGATATTACTGCCGTGATCGATTCCGGAAAAGTGAAGGAGATGGTATATGATAACCGTGCGCGTCGGTCCCAGTTGCTGGACTGTTGGGCGTCTCGAGCAGCGTGCGACCAGCGTAAGGGTCGTGCAGGACGTGTACAGGCCGGCACGTGCTACCGATTGTTCTCGCGCAAGCGGTTCGCGATGATGGACGCGCAGCTGTCTGCTGAGATCCATCGTGTGTCACTTGAACAGCTTTGCTTGCAAATAAAGAAGCTGGAATTTGGTTCAATCAAAGGTTTTCTCTCCAAAGCTATTGAGCCGCCTGGTGAGGATGCTATCGATGCAGCTATCCAAGAACTGGTAGATATTGCGGCATTCCGCGTAGTTAGCAATTCTTCCGACAAAAAGCTTTGCGACGGCGTTGAGAATGTTTCCGACGAAGAGGTGGTTTTGACACCACTCGGCAATCACCTAGCAATGCTGCCACTCGATGCTCGGATCGGGAAGTTTCTGGTGTACGGATCGATTCTGCGTTGCGTAGAGCCAGTCGCTATCATTGCGGCCTGCATTTCAAGTCGCAACCCATTCTTGGCGAGCATGTTGGACCCTGAGATGCGTGCAAAGCAGGATGTACTGAAAAAGGAGCTGGATGGTAGCTGGAAGAGCGACCATTTGCTACTTTGGAAACTGGTCGAGCGCTATGTACCTTTGCGAGGCCAAAAGATGAAGCGTGACTTTTGTCGCAACGTGGGGCTCTCATATGACACTATGGAGTCTATCTTGGACCTGAAACAGCAGTACTTACAGCAATTGGATAACATTGGGTTTTACGACATGCGCAACGCTAGGGGCAACCTCAATGAGAATTCAAACGCACCACGCATTATCAAAGCCGCACTTTGTGCTGGTCTGTACGCAAATGTGGTGCAAGTGGTGTACCCGGAACGAAAATACTTTCAAGCTGCTCACGGTGTGGTCGAAGAAGACCACAATGCAAAGCAGCTCCGATACTTTGTACGATCGACGATGACGACAACTACAGGTCAGCGCGAGCGTGTTTTTCTTCATCCCTCATCGTGTAATTTCACCCAGACGCAGTATGATTCACCCTGGTTGCTTTACACGGACCTTGTTGAAACTTCCAAACTTTTTGTTCGAGAGAGTACCATGGTAAACCCGTACGCGCTCTTATTATTTGGAGGTCGTCTCGAGGTACTGCATGAAAAGAATTTGCTCATGCTGGACGGCTTTATCTGTTTTCATGCAGTCGCCCGAATTGGTGTGCTCATTAAATCTATTCGACAACATTTGGATGGACTATTGATGGAAAAACTTGCTGACCCAAGTGTTGATATTGCAAAGAGTGAACTGGTGACGGCCATTAGCCATTTACTGAAAACTGAAGGAATGTCGTAATTATCATCAGGGTTTGAAACCCGCATTGATATTATAGGATGTCACAGACTTGTAGTATGCGAACTAACAAGTTATTAAGAATAGCAGGTTTTTAAAACTTTTTGACAAGGAATAGTCACTATTTACAACGAATAAAACTCATGTAAGTATCCATCCATATACTCTATCTTGTTTATGTTTTCAAGTGTTTTACTCAGAAATTCTGACTTACCCATTTGTAAATACAGGTATCAGAAAAATGGCTAAAATTCGTATGTGCCCAATTGTCTTTTTTTGTTTTATTTTGCAATATCAGCCAATCCGATTCGTACCCGCTTTTCCCACGCGGCATTGGGACAAAATAAAACGCAGACGACAAAAGTGTCGGCTCTAGTGCTAGAGACTATCAGCAAGAACGCTGTGTTACCATTCGGAATCGGTACGTTTGCTCACCTAATACAGCTTTCTTTCCTCTTTCTTTTCATGTGTAAATTGTCTGTATTACCTTCATTGATGCTCACATACCAATCATTTGATTGTTGTATATTTGTAATTTTACGTGTTTTTGGTAAATAAATAGGTCAAAACGTGTTTTATTTTGTGTCAAAATACGCACAATCTGATTGGTAAATTAATACAAAAATAGGTAGCTGTGATTGGGCTAAAAACGGCATGAAGAAGCAGCTGGATAACGTACGAGTTGACATGGAGACGGTCAGTAGTCAGAGTAAGAAGACTCAGGAGCAGCAAAAGCTTGAGTGTAAGGACGTGGAAGAGAAGGACATTTTGGTGACGCTACAAGACGTTAATGGACGATATCAGACGATGAAACAAGAGCTTGAGGAAAAAGAGAACGAGGGGCCGATTTTTATGTCAAAGGTAGAAGCTTTTGACGTGAAGATGCAATTACAGCAAGAGACAATGAGTGAGATTGAAGAAAAAGATGCAATACGAAGTAGTGAACGAAATGAAAAGGTACAAAAAGCTGCTGTTCGATTGGCACAGGAAGAAGCACGTGTCCTGATGTTTCAAGAAGAGAACAATCGACTGATGAATCAAGTAGCAGAGATGTTGGAAAATCAACAACAACAGGAACGAGATATGCAAATTTTGATGAAGGAAAATGAACGTTTACAATTGAAAATGGGCGAGTTGAGGCAACAACTTGGACGAGCTCAACAAGAGCAACAGGATACAGAGCAAATGTATTTTGAAGTCGCGTCGAATCTAAATCACGCACGAAGGCATCTTGACGAGCTGAAACAAGTGACAGGACACGAAGATGTGGGTGAGGATGTTGACCGTGTGCGCGAGTTGAAAACGCAGATGGCGAACTGGGAGCCTGAAAAAGCTGCTAGTGCGGAGAAATGGATGCTAGAGAAGCAGCAGCTTACACAGCAGATCGAGTCGCTCACGTCTGCGAATGAGAAGGCTAATGCAGAGCTAGTTAACGTGGCGCATATTCGTGAACAGTTACTTGTAGATGTTGGCATCGATCTAACGTACGAGAGCATTAAGTTGCTTTTTGATACGAAAAATAATGAGATTCAGATGCTCACAGATCAGCTCTCAACTGCGGATGATTTTCAGGAGCAGGTTATTTGTGAGGCAATTAGTGCTGGCGTTGCTGAAGCAGAAGCCCTACGGTCACAGCTAAAGACTCTCCAGACTCAGTATACTTTTGAAGCTTCTGAAAAGCTTGAGCGAGATAAGACAATCGAGGAACTTCGCGCAGATTTGGAACGGGTGGCAGAAGAACACTCATCCTTGCTTTTGGCTAACGAATACGAATGTCGACGTGCTTGCGAAGCACTTGCGGAAATTGAGCAACTAAGGAAGCAGCTCAAGAAAGAAAAGATAGAAAAGGAGCAGCTAAGCGACGATTTCTTTGTGATTGAGTCCAAGATCGAAGCGTTGGTTGCTGTGTTGCAGGTAGAAAAACGAACATTTGCCGATGTTGATACCAAAATCAGTGACCATTCACGATTAGGGATACTTAAGAAGTACTTGGACTACGTTCAAGAACAATATGTTAGTGCAGTGAAAGCGAACCAAAGGCAAGATGAAGCAGAATTGCTTCAGAAAAGGATACATCGATACGAGGTGGAGAATCAGCTTGTATCAGCGAAGCTGGAAGAGTGTGAGATTGCACTCAAGGCTAACGCTGAGAAGTTTGCTGTAAGAGGGCTAGGTACCAGTTTTGACGCGGAAAAAAAATATGCACTTTTGGGTGATGATGCTGGCTCCGTGATATCAGCTGGCAAAACTGGTGAGAGTTGTAATGGAGATTCTCCCGGTCTTGAGCGTGAACTGGAGTTAACGAGGGCTCAGTTACACGCGGTTGAGGCAGAAATGGCTGCGTGCAAATCTGAGAATTTGCGAATGATTTTTGAAGTAGCCAAAACAGCAGATAGTGTATCGAGGCTTAAAAAGGATCACGAAGTATTGCTAGGGACACATCGAGAGAAATCGTTGGAACTGCAAACGATGATAGTACAATATATGTCAATGGAATCTGTAAACCAAACGCTTGCGTCCGATCTCACGAGCAAGTCGGATGATCTGCAATGTTGTCTTGAGGCCTTTGCGATGCAAAGAGAAGACTTCCAATCTATTATTGCTGACCTGAACATTAAGGCCGAACAGGAGTACAACAAGATAAAGCGTGACATGGAGGATATAAAGGCCGAAAATGATGTTTTGGAGGAACGGATGAGTGAGTTGCTTGCCATTGCCGACAGCAGATCTGAGCCAGATGAGCGGCAAGAAAAGAATCGCGAAGTCGAAGAGTTGAGGTCTTCATTAGTTCAAGCTAAGGTGAACTTTTTGGAACAAAAGCAGCAGCTTTCGGCTCTTGAAAAGAAGCTTGTGGATGTGTCAAAGCTGGGCAGTTCTACTTGCACAGTGAACAACGTACTGGACGCTGAGCGACGAGAATTTGAGGCCGCTTTGATTGAAATGATTGAGATGGAAAAGAAGCTTCAAGTTGCCTATGAAGCGAAACAGTGTCTTGAGTCTGCGCTGCAAGAACGTATGGAGGCAAAGGCAGAACTTGAAGATCGGCTGTCTGTTGCAGAGGACAAGATTGCGGAACTGGAGCAGCAGCTGGAACAGAAGGTTGCTCTTATTGCCACAATTGAAGAGCAATTGCGGTCAGTTGAAGAAGAACGAGAAAAACTAGCTGATGAGTATACAAAGACCAAGTCGAAGCTAGAGCGTAGTCGAGGAAAGCTGGAGGAGAAAGCAATCGAGTTGGAGACATTTAAAACAACGACAAACATGCTAAAAGACGAACGCACTCGGTTGTTCAACGAGATCGCCCTGCTGAAGGACAAAATTGCGAAATCTGAAGTCCAAAAGGCTGAAATGGCTGATTCACAGGAGCTTGCAAATGAGGAGCTAGAAGATCAGCTGAACGAACTTGCCGATAAAATAGCCGAGATAGAGGCAGAAAAGCAGGATCTTCGTGCACGACTTGAGGACACTGTTTACCAGTCTGAGGAGGATATTCACCAATTGAGGGAGCGGCTCTATATACTAGAGGAGGAAAAGTCGGGCATGGACGATGATAACTTGAATCTTGAGAGGACCATTGAAGATTTAAAAGCAAAGCTTGGTACTCTTGAAGAGCAAAAAGAGAAGCTTGAAGCAGCAAATGAGTCAAGCTGTCATCAGCTTATTCTTTTGGAAGATCGAGTAGAGAAGGCTACTAGTGAAATTGCAACGTTGTCTGTTGAAAAACACAATCTGACTGATTTGCAGCAGTCACTTGAGGGAAATTTGTCCGCGCTTCATGACGAAAAGGCGAAGCGCGAGCAGACACTGGAAGAAGCTACTTTGAAGCTACGCGACGAACTAGACCAGATGATTGTACGAGTTGGAACGTTGCAGACCCAGCTTACGCAAAGTGTTGCTGAAAAGCAAGAGTTATCGATAGCCTTGACGGGGCTTCAAGAGCGTTTTCAGACAGATAAATTGGCTCACGAAGAAGTTGTTGCAAAGCTTGAGCTACAGACCTCTGAAAACAAAGCTTTTGAGAACAAGATAAGAGTTTTGAAACAAATGGCGGAGAAAGCGTTACAGTCTGTACAGGCTAACCACGACAAGTTATCTGAAGCTGAATCGCGCGCGGCTGTTCTAGTCGAAGAGCGTGATACGGCGGGTTTATTGTTGCATGAAAAAGAGCTCGCAAACAAGGCTTTGGCTACCCAATGCGAAAGCTTGCAGCAGCAGGTTAACAAGCTGAATAGTGCGTATGAGATCTTGGAACGCAAACAACTAGAGGAGGCAGATGCAGCTAAGGAGACTATTTGCAGCCTGACGGACGCTGAGGCCAAATTAGTGGAGTCGATAGAGTCGCTAAAACGAGAAATGGCCGAAGCTGAATCGTGTATTATGGTATTGGTAGAAGAACGGGATGAGGCGAGAAAGGATCTAACCACTAAGGACTTAAAGATCGAAATGATGACAGCCCAACAAGGAGAACTTGATTTAGCGGTTGAAAAGCTGGAGAACGAACTAAGAATTTTGCAAGGTCAACACGCAACAGAAGCAAAAGCGGCCGAGGAGGTAATTTGCAATCTCAGGAAGTCAAATGCGCAAGCAGAGACAAGAGTTGATGATCTGAACGAGTCACTGCTTGAAGCAGGAAGGTCGCTTCAGTCAATTCACCAGCAGCTAACCGAATCTGAGCTACACGTTCGAGCGCTAGAGAAAGAACGTGATGTTATCCGATCCTTTTTGACTGAAAAGGAGTCGACACATGAGATATTGAGCACACTTCAGGAGGATTTACAGAAGAAAATGGATGTCTTGGAGTTGGAATTAAAGGAGTTACGCGAAACTAGTTCGGCAGAGCTGGCAGCTGCAAACGACACTATCGCTTGCCTACAAATGCTAGAGGTTGACCAAGCAGAAAAGCTAGCTGTTGTTCGTCAGGAGCTTGCAGAAGCTGAAGGATGCGTATTGGTTTTAGTTGAAGAGCGTGATGCAGCGAAGAAGATGCTCAGCAAACGAGAGTTAACTATTGAAGTTCTTGGCGCTGAGCATGGTGAGCTACAGTTGAAGAGTCAATCTATGACTACTGAATTGGATGCTCTACGAAATAAAACTGCAGCGGAGGCTCGAGCTGCAGAGGTGTATGTACAAAATTTGAAGGAGGAACTAAGATGTGCAACAGAGTCATTGAAATTAGCTCAAGAGGAGGTAGCGGCGTCAGAATTGCGCTTGGCCTCACTGACTGCCGAATTTGAGGCTGTTGGCAAAACGCTGAGCGATTTCGACACTGAACATAAGACCTTGAATTCTCAAAAAAAGGATCTTGAAGAGTGCATCGAGAATCTGAAAGCCAAGATTGAGAATCTGGAAACTGATCATGCGGCTTCGTTAACATCTTCCGAAGAAGCAGTTCATATGCTAAAAACATCTGAAGCTGAGCTAAAAGAATTACTAGAATTGCTTCAGAGGGAACTATCAGACTCAGCGTTTCGCTCACAGTCTTTAGCTGATGAGTGCGATTGCTTAAGGGAAACCTTGAGCAAAAACGAAAAAATAATTAGTTACTCTACGCACCAGACTGAACATTATCAGCAACGAACCCTTTCATTGGAAAACGAACTACAACAGATGCAAAGACAGCGTGAGAGCGATACGCTGACGGCAGAGGAGACGATACGTAGCCTGCATGAGTCGGAATTGCAGACCGTGGCGACACTAGAGGCGACTCGCCAGGAGTTATGTGAGACCCAGGCGCGAGCTGTGTCCGCTGAGGAAGAACGCGAGGCTGCGCGCAAGGCTCTAAGCGAGTTGGAGTCGCACCGTGAATCCCAAAGCGCGGAGGCGGAAAGCCTGCAGAAGCGTATCCAGTCACTGGAGAGTGAGTACAAGAGCTGCGAAGCCAGCGTGAGAGCGATACGCTGACGGCAGAGGAGACGATACGTAGCCTGCATGAGTCGGGATTGCAGACGTGGCGACACTAGAGGCGACTCGCCAGGAGTTATGTGAGACCCAGGCGCGAGCTGTGTCCGCTGAGGAAGAACGCGAGGCTGCGCGCAAGGCTCTAAGCGAGTTGGAGTCGCACCGTGAAGCCCAAAGCGCGGAGGCGGAAAGCCTGCAGAAGCGTATCCAGTCACTGGAGAGTGAGCTACAAGAGCTGCGAAGCCAGCGTGAGAGCGATACGCTGAGGCAGAGGAGACGATACGTAGCCTGATGAGTCGGAATTGCAGACCGTGGCGACACTAGAGGCGACTCGCCAGGAGTTATGTGAGACCCAGGCGCGAGCTGTGTCCGCTGAGGAAGAACGCGAGGCTGCGCGCAAGGCTTTAAGCGAGTTGGAGTCGCACCGTGAAGCCCAAAGCGCGGAGGCGGAAAGCCTGCAGAAGCGTATCCAGTCACTGGAGAGTGAGCTACAAGAGCTGCGAAGCAGCGTGAGAGCGATACGCTGACGGCAGAGGAGACGATACGTAGCCTGATGAGTCGGGATTGCAGATCGTGGCGACACTAGAGGCGACTCGCCAGGAGTTATGTGAGACCCAGGCGCGAGCTGTGTCCGCTGAGGAAGAACGCGAGGCTGCGCGCAAGGCTCTAAGCGAGTTGGAGTCGCACCGTGAAGCCCAAAGCGCGGAGGCGGAAAGCCTGCAGAAGCGTATCCAGTCACTGGAGAGTGAGCTACAAGAGCTGCGAAGCCAGCGTGAGAGCGATACGCTGACGGCAGAGGAGACGATACGTAGCCTGCATGAGTCGGGATTGCAGACCGTGGCGACACTAGAGGCGACTCGCCAGGAGTTATGTGAGACCCAGGCGCGAGCTGTGTCCGCTGAGGAAGAACGCGAGGCTGCGCGCAAGGCTCTAAGCGAGTTGGAGTCGCACCGTGAAGCCCAAAGCGCGGAGGCGGAAAGCCTGCAGAAGCGTATCCAGTCACTGGAGAGTGAGCTACAAGAGCTGCGAAGCCAGCGTGAGAGCGATACGCTGACGGCAGAGGAGACGATACGTAGCCTGCATGAGTCGGAATTGCAGACCGTGGCGACACTAGAGGCGACTCGCCAGGAGTTATGTGAGACCCAGGCGCGAGCTGTATCCGCTGAGGAAGAACGCGAGGCTGCGCGCAAGGCTTTAAGCGAGTTGGAGTCGCACCGTGAAGCCCAAAGCGCGGAGGCGGAAAGCCTGCAGAAGCGTATCCAGTCACTGGAGAGTGAGCTACAAGAGCTGCGAAGCCAGCGTGAGAGCGATACGCTGACGGCAGAGGAGACGATACGTAGCCTGCATGAGTCGGGATTGCAGATCGTGGCGACACTAGAGGCGACTCGCCAGGAGTTATGTGAGACCCAGGCGCGAGCTGTGTCCGCTGAGGAAGAACGCGAGGCTGCGCGCAAGGCTCTAAGCGAGTTGGAGTCGCACCGTGAATCCCAAAGCGCGGAGGCGGAAAGCCTGCAGAAGCGTATCCAGTCACTGGAGAGTGAGCTACAAGAGCTGCGAAGCCAGCGTGAGAGCGATACGCTGACGGCAGAGGAGACGATACGTAGCCTGCATGAGTCGGGATTGCAGATCGTGGCGACACTAGAGGCGACTCGCCAGGAGTTATGTGAGACCCAGGCGCGAGCTGTGTCCGCTGAGGAAGAACGCGAGGCTGCGCGCAAGGCTCTAAGCGAGTTGGAGTCGCACCGTGAAGCCCAAAGCGCGGAGGCGGAAAGCCTGCAGAAGCGTATCCAGTCACTGGAGAGTGAGCTACAAGAGCTGCGAAGCCAGCGTGAGAGCGATACGCTGACGGCAGAGGAGACGATACGTAGCCTGCATGAGTCGGAATTGCAGACCGTGGCGACACTAGAGGCGACTCGCCAGGAGTTATGTGAGACCCAGGCGCGAGCTGTGTCCGCTGAGGAAGAACGCGAGGCTGCGCGCAAGGCTCTAAGCGAGTTGGAGTCGCACCGTGAAGCCCAAAGCGCGGAGGCGGAAAGCCTGCAGAAGCGTATCCAGTCACTGGAGAGTGAGCTACAAGAGCTGCGAAGCCAGCGTGAGAGCGATACGCTGACGGCAGAGGAGACGATACGTAGCCTGCATGAGTCGGGATTGCAGATCGTGGCGACACTAGAGGCGACTCGCCAGGAGTTATGTGAGACCCAGGCGCGAGCTGTGTCCGCTGAGGAAGAACGCGAGGCTGCGCGCAAGGCTCTAAGCGAGTTGGAGTCGCACCGTGAAGCCCAAAGCGCGGAGGCGGAAAGCCTGCAGAAGCGTATCCAGTCACTGGAGAGTGAGCTACAAGAGCTGCGAAGCCAGCGTGAGAGCGATACGCTGACGGCAGAGGAGACGATACGTAGCCTGCATGAGTCGGAATTGCAGACCGTGGCGACACTAGAGGCGACTCGCCAGGAGTTATGTGAGACCCAGGCGCGAGCTGTGTCCGCTGAGGAAGAACGCGAGGCTGCGCGCAAGGCTCTAAGCGAGTTGGAGTCGCACCGTGAAGCCCAAAGCGCGGAGGCGGAAAGCCTGCAGAAGCGTATCCAGTCACTGGAGAGTGAGCTACAAGAGCTGCGAAGCCAGCGTGAGAGCGATACGCTGACGGCAGAGGAGACGATACGTAGCCTGCATGAGTCGGAATTGCAGACCGTGGCGACACTAGAGGCGACTCGCCAGGAGTTATGTGAGACCCAGGCGCGAGCTGTGTCCGCTGAGGAAGAACGCGAGGCTGCGCGCAAGGCTCTAAGCGAGTTGGAGTCGCACCGTGAAGCCCAAAGCGCGGAGGCGGAAAGCCTGCAGAAGCGTATCCAGTCACTGGAGAGTGAGCTACAAGAGCTGCGAAGCCAGCGTGAGAGCGATACGCTGACGGCAGAGGAGACGATACGTAGCCTGCATGAGTCGGAATTGCAGACCGTGGCGACACTAGAGGCGACTCGCCAGGAGTTATGTGAGACCCAGGCGCGAGCTGTGTCCGCTGAGGAAGAACGCGAGGCTGCGCGCAAGGCTCTAAGCGAGTTGGAGTCGCACCGTGAAGCCCAAAGCGCGGAGGCGGAAAGCCTGCAGAAGCGTATCCAGTCACTGGAGAGTGAGCTACAAGAGCTGCGAAGCCAGCGTGAGAGCGATACGCTGACGGCAGAGGAGACGATACGTAGCCTGCATGAGTCGGAATTGCAGACCGTGGCGACACTAGAGGCGACTCGCCAGGAGTTATGTGAGACCCAGGCGCGAGCTGTGTCCGCTGAGGAAGAACGCGAGGCTGCGCGCAAGGCTCTAAGCGAGTTGGAGTCGCACCGTGAAGCCCAAAGCGCGGAGGCGGAAAGCCTGCAGAAGCGTATCCAGTCACTGGAGAGTGAGCTACAAGAGCTGCGAAGCCAGCGTGAGAGCGATACGCTGACGGCAGAGGAGACGATACGTAGCCTGCATGAGTCGGAATTGCAGACCGTGGCGACACTAGAGGCGACTCGCCAGGAGTTATGTGAGGCTCAGGCGCGAGCGGTGTTCTTTGAAAGCGAATATAATTCGCTGGTGGTGGTCGTAAAGGAGAAGGAGGGTGTGCTGGGTATGCTGCGTGGTGAGAAGTTTACGTTGCTTGGCAAGGTACAATCTTTGGAGGCTCGCATTGCTGGTCTTGACTACGAGCTGGAAGAGAGGGCAAAGGAGTTGTCGATTGGAGCTCAGCAGATCGAGAGGCTTGAAAGTCAAGTGGGTCAGACCCAAAGACAGCTTGGTGATCAACTACGAACTTCTGAAGCTGCCTCAGCAGAAGAACTTGAGAAGTTGAAGGATCAAGTAGCGTCGTTGTCCGTGGCGTCCGGCTCGGCCATCAAAGAACTAAGCTTCCTTCGTGAACAAAGAGTGGCTGAGGAAGAAAGCTATGCCGCAGGAATTGCTCGAAAGGACGATGTGATTTTGACGCTGAAAATGAAGCTTGAGGAAGTGATGGGGGCGTACAAGCGGCTAAAGGGACACCTGAAAGAATTACAGGACCGATTGACGCAACAAAGCACAAGCAACGCCTACTTGAAGACGTCAAATGATGAGCTGAAGGCTCTGTACTCTGCTTCTACGATGGAGCTAGATGCGTTAAAAGCCGAGTTTGCTTTGTTCCGTGCACAACCAGTTGCAATGGAAGAAGAACTGCGCCAATCAAATGAAAAAATTGCACAATACGAAACCCAGATCGAAGACTTCAAGAAGCGTGTAGTAGCGTATGATGACGAAGTTGCTCAGGTGCAGAAGCAACAGGATATGGCGTTGCACGATCAAAAAGAGAAGCTACTGATGGCTTTTGCTGCGCGTGACGAGGCCGCGCAATTGAAGGTGGTGAAGCTAGAGAAGTCACTTGTGGTGCTGACTGAATCTGTTGAGCAAAAAGAACATGAGATACAAAGCATGGCAGAACGCTTGCGGCATATTGAACAGGAGCAAGTCAAAGCTGGAAGTGACCAGGAGGAAAAAGTCCGAAAATATGAAGCCGAACGGATGGAGCTTGTAGCACAATTGTCTTCTGCAAGTGAGACCATTGAGAAGCTCAGCTTAGCAACTGACGCTAGCGTTAGTATAGAACGTGAAACCATGTCACAGCTTGCTAAACAGATTACGCAACTTGAATTGGAAGTGAAAGTTCAGACGGAGGGAGCTAATGCTGCACGTGTAGCACTTGAAACGTACAAGAAACGCGCCCATATCGCATTAAAGAAGGCGTTGAGTGAAAACAAGCTAAATTTGAAGAAGGCTGCCGAGAGCGCGATGAAGTTGGAGAACGAGGTACTGTTGGCAAAGGGTCGAATAAGCATCCTTAAAATAGAGTTGGAGGAGGCACGAAGACGTATGGTGGAAATTGAGAGTGCTGGAGACATACTTGCGCAGAACACATGCAAAGCTCTAGAGGCTGACAAACGTTCTCAGGAGGCTGTCCGGCAATTAGAAATTGACAGCCTCAAGGCGGAAGTGAGACAGTTAAAGGAAGCATTGGACAGTGAAAAGGTGCGTCTTGAGTTTCAAATGAAGCAGCTCACGGAACGCAATGGAGCTTTGAATAACGAGATTGCTTCACTTCAAGACGAAGTTCGTATTCAAAACACTGTTGCTGAGGAGGCCGTCCGAGCGAAGGAAAAAGAGATATACGACTTGTCAAAGCAATTGCATGCTGCACTTGCTGCTGTCGCATCTCTCGCTAGCAATGAAGCTGGAGGACGTCATTCGAGCTCTCCTCCTCCTTTGTCACCGATTGAAAAAGAGAGACGCTCTACGGTATCTTCGACGCACTCGTTTGGATCTGAAAGAAACAATAGTTTTTTCGAAGAGCAGCGTAATCATCACCTTGCTGCTGCTGTTGAGGATTTGTGTCCTATTTCCCTTGCGTCAAAGATGACAGGTCCCAATTGCGTGGAACAGCATTTAACGGCTCCAGTGGATGATGACAACGACGAGATTGTGAGCTTGAAACGATTACTGCAGGAGATGGAGTCCAAGTCCATTGTCTTTCAAAAAAAGGTTCGTCATGTTTGGTTTGTTCTAGTTTTTTTTGTATCCTGGTGTGCTGGATAAACCAACCAACCACTCATGTGAATCTTGTCCTGTGCTGTAGTATGAAGACGCATGTGCATTGCTAGAACAAGCCCATCGACAGAACGAGCATTTTGGAAAGCATTCGGCACAGGATCTGAACATTGAGGTATGAAAAATGCATTCGTTTTTCACCCCTTTGTTTTCTCTTCTGTTCAATTGCCCCACAGTATGGAACTCATAATGAACGAATCTATGTGTTTTCGTATAGTATTTGAAGAATGTGGTGATCAAGTACATTGCGAGTCAAGTCCGGAGTGAAAAAGACCAGTTAGTGCCTGTTATTGCGGCATTGCTTCATTTTAGTCCACAAGAACATCATCAAGTGATGGTCGCACACCGAAAGACAAGTGACGAGAGTGGAGGATTATTTGGTGGTGTGTTTTCTCTGTTTGGAGCAAGCACCATGACCACATCAGTGCCAAAACCTCTACATTATTACAAGCCTTCTTCGTCTACAATTGGAAGCGACAAGATATCCGAAACTGCAGTGGACAGCAAGGAAAAGAATGGCATTCTTGCATCTAGTAATGCTGATCCAAGTGATGACGAAAACTTTGTGATACCTTTGAATCCATTTGCTGTCTAGTCAATCAGTCAATCAGTCAATCAGAATACTAATACCGTGTGGGAAAATAAGTAGGATTACCTATTTTTGCCATTTTAATTACATTTTGAATAAAAAAGAGTAGAAAGAGACACACGAACGAATTTCAAGTGAGACATTAAATGGGTCTGTTTTATCATTCTAAAGAACAGAAAGTGTATATTGTATTGCATGTAAATAAAACGTCTTATTCAGTTTTTTATACTACAATCGCTAATAAAAAACCAACAACACAAATCTTATCTACAATAGTGGAATTGGCATCCTAGCATCTATTTTGCGGTAAGACGGACCATTTGTTTACAAAAGCAATGTCCATCTTTATCACAATCTGAATCGTCGAAATGGAGCGACTGTACCTTTGATAGGATGCCCATTGCGACATGTTGTGGATTAGCCGCACGCACCTTTTTTTGCCAATACATTTGCCATCACACGTCTCCATTAACTAAGTTTGTGTGTTTTATATATTCCGACGCTAACAGTTTCCATCGTTCGTAAGACAAATTGTTTCTACTATGTGGAACGCCTCCCCCTGTCCAGGCAGTATTTTGCCAGCAACATCGAAGAGCTTATTGAATGAAAAGTGGAGACGAGTTTAAACAAAATAAAGTATTAGTCAATTCTTTGACACAAGGTCGAAAGATTTCAATCCATTGAGTACTGATTGACCACGTGGAAAATATTAGTGCAGGGTTGTGGATCTTCATCTCCATCGAGGATCATGCGTTGAATACAAAGCATGTTCACTCGTTAAAGTCGGACGTAAAGTACTACCGATAGAACTTTAACAAAAGGCATATGAAGCTTTTTATCATGAGATCATTTCGCATTCGTGCCAAGCCCATCTCCATCATCCCTCCCTTTTTATCTCATGAGAGCTGCAGTGTCTTATCTTAACCAATCACAGCAGCCGAAAGATAAAAATGTAAGAGGTAAGAAAAAGATAATAGAAAATTATAACCATACATTATCATTCCAGTACATAATACTCGCCTTTACAGTACCTTTAATCACAAAAAAGTAACACCACAAGCTTGTAGGTCTCACATGTCCGCCATAAAGAGCCGGTATTTTATTTATGTGGAAAACTTGACCCGCTTAACGGTTGGAATAGACCCATTTAATTCATTTCTATTTCTTAACGGTCAACCCGTGTAGATTGCTTCCTCCTGACCGTTATGCTAAAAATTGTACCACTCGTCGTAGAACAACCGCTGCTATCTTGCAGCTCAATTAATGAAGCGTTTCTAGTGATACTGCGATCATCAACTGATACCAAAAAAGGAATGGTGATTTCACAAGTAAGCAAGAATTAATACCATTATGATGTACACGTGTATTGTATTATTGCTCCTACATTGCTCTACTTTTTATGTAAAAGCAGCTGCTTTTGATACGAGTAAAAAAATAGCCTTTATGGTCATAAGTTCAACTTGGCTCAACGATCTTATCAGCCAATCAAACAAATCCGTGACCTCAAATCCCTTTACAAACCGATTCCGTATCATAAAATATCATTTTCTAATCGTTTTTGCAAGGGAAAGCAGGCATTCCTTTTTTTTGAATCGTCTTCATTTGCAATTTAGTATCAAAGAGCGCACTACTCGAAACCCGAGCTTAAATACAACAGAACTCGTCGTTTGCCTTTAGTTAAAAATGGAATTTGCCCGTCGCTTTTCTCACACGAATGAGATGCTTCAGGGTTCATCATACAAGGATGCACGGGGGCAGTCTCTGAGTCTGCACGTGGAAACAAAGACGACAAGTCAGGAGCTCCACCCTGATTTGAATCCAACAACGAGCCCCGTTCTAAGTTCACGCTCGGCGCCATTGTCTACTCCCCGTGACGATTCACAGCGTCGTCGTCGCAGCAATTCGGAATGTCTATTGCTCGCAAAGACGCGCAGTGGCCAGGAATTACCAGGCCCGTGCCAGGAATACATCAGCAATGTGAAGCAGATTTTAGCTCGTAACGATGACCAGCTGATGCATTTGAAGCGACGCCGCAGTATGAACCTCAGTCATCCAACACTGTTTAAGTGAAAATTAAGTTTGTACGAAGAGCGAAAGCGAAGAAAGAAAGAAAGATAGCGAACACGTTAAGAAGAAATAATAGGAAAAGAGAGACTGTACGTGTATTGACTAGTTTTAGTGATTTATATTATTGTATAAGCATCGTTTGTATTTTAATACGAAACTAGTACACTTTTTTTCTATGGAGAATTTCAGTATCTTTCCGAGTCATTCATACAACCTTGGCTCGGTATCTTCTACTGGTCACTCTTGTTATTTCCATGGACAGTCGTAGCGTTTGTAGAGATCATTCTACAGCTCTACATACGGCCCGTTTTGAGGACAACAAGTAGTCGCATTGCCCCTATCGTGGTCAGCACGAAATTCGTGCGAGAAACACTTAAATTTGCTAGTGATGGTACGTACGACCTATTGAAAGATCGTGGTATTTCTCAAGTATATGACCATACGATCCCTTTCCCATTAAAATACGACACCAGGCCCTTTCCATTCTTACTTTTATGTCGTGTCGGATACTACTTTGGATGTGTTTGTCACTGGACTCGGACCAACTTTACCAAACCGTCCTGTGTGTTGCTATTAAACTCTTGGGCAAGTAACTTTGTGCGTAGATAGAAAATGACATGGACAATAGATGTAATCGTAGCAAGAAAAAGTGTTTTTACGGATATAATAACAATACAGATAACATGATGATTGCTATAAAACTAGTCTTTGATCTCTCCATGATTGCGTCCAAAGAGGTATGTGAAATAAATTCTTCTCTCAATCACAACTATGAGCGCAGACATGTCGAAACTGTTAGGCAAACTCATCGCACAGGTAGTACTGATGAGTGCAAGAAAGGTGTCCACAGTATTGTACAAATCTACTTGTACGCTGTGCATGAGGTACGCACAGGAAACACCGGTACAATTGCTGCCTTGACAGCGATATGCAAAGAATCAAATGCTAAAGCAGGAGGCACGTAAGATCACAGCGACGTGAGTCCATCTTCCCAAGGTGCCCAAGCACTTCATAAGATAGTTTAAAGCCTCCAACCCGTCAACGGGCGCCTCTTTCTACCTGCAGTTTAACATTTCTTGAGCTATGCAGACGAAAAAGGGATCACCAAACGAAAAGGCAAACAATATGGCGATAACGCAAAGAGTTGATTGCACTGTAGGAAGCCATAACGTATCCGGTACGACCAAAAGTTCTAATGTCAGAAGAGGAGCGGTTTCCACGACGTTGCAACCCGTATCCATCACTAGTATAGAATCGGTCGGCGACACTGATATGATTGCGGGCCAAAGATACTTATTTGTTGGTAAAGGTTATCAATTAAACTTAACGGTGCGAAAGCTGTCTACACTCCATTTACTTCGTCGTTCAAACAGGTTACTAACCATATTTATATTCATGCATAAAGCAAGTCTTCTGTGGAAGAACCAACGACGGATATCTGCTGGGTCGCCGCCCTCCCAGCGCTTTGTGCATTTTTTCCCTCGAATCAACTCAAGTCGTCTTGGAATCTATGGTTATGATCGATTAATTTGTTTATTTTGGATTCTTTTCATCCTTGCGGCTAACATAAGAGAAGAGCATCTGATCTCAAACACTTGTTGACATGTTTAAAGCGTAGCTCTAAGCCAGTCAGTCAGTCAGTAAGTAATGGGCAACGATCAATAAACTTTCTTTTTTCAACAGAACTGAAAGAGTCACAAGAAGACGAGCTGGCAGTCGACACAGCAAATATCCATCGTCTATCGTCGGTTTGGAACTTATGATATGACAACTAGAGCCAGCTTCAGCTGCTAAGAAATTTCGACCAAGATGGTGCCATAGAACTGTACGACTATGATATTGCTGCTAGTAGAGGTTATCCTGTACACAACATCTCTTGTCTTTTTAGTGCACTATTTATTACCTTCATGCTTATCATTGCTCGCTAGCATTGATAAGCGATACCATCAGAAGATAAAAGCACTTTATCAGCTGTTGCAATACAAACGGTGACTTATACGAAAAGAAACCGTCCTTTATATCTAGGAATTGCCATGTCCGTCCTTCCACGTTTGTAACACCTCCTCGATTCAAGATGAGAAAAATACACTTCGACATGACAATTGGGTCTGGCAATATATATTTGATATTCCCTTGCATGGTAAGATTGCCGTTTTTGAATTCTCATCATCAAGCACAAAGCTTCAATTCTGCAACTACCACCTCCTTCTTTGTGTGTAAGCATGTCATTCATACCCTCGTCTTATAACGTCCTCCTGTTTCTCGTGACCGTCATGCTACTGAAACGTTCCAGTGCGGTGGTTCCTACGGTCAAGGCTTACGACATGTCGATGCTTTCGACAGACACGGCAACTGACTCGAGCCAGCCTACTGTTCATGCTAGAGCAGCTCCACCTGGTACATCTATGACCGACGAAGGAAAAGAAGCGAGAGGCCTAGTTGACAAGGCCAAGTCTCTTGTTTCGGGATTCAGGAAAAGTACGAGCGAGAAAGTTGAAATTGCTACAGCAGACGTAAATCGATTGCAAGAGAATTACGTAGCCTCCAAGAAGGCGTTAGATTCCGGTGGGGAAGCCAACCACAAGAAATTGGCTACGAATGCTGAACGTATCAACACCGAGTTGACACAGAAGGAGGCAAAATTACGTAAGCTAGAGATCAAGCAAGCCGAAGAGGATGTCAAGAAGGCTGTCAAAGAGAATAAAAAGGCAATGAAGGCACTCAAAACAATCTGGAAGGCTTGGGATGCTGCGCACAAGAGGCGATACTTTTTTAAAAAGTATCTAACGGATGCTAGGTCGAAGAAAGCCCTTCGAAAAGAGAAGGAATATTTGGAAGGGGAGATTAATTATCTCAGAACCAGCCTTGGCAAAACACTTGTAACCAATGCGGAGAGACGTGATACTAACATTGAGCATGCGATAGATGGTGCATATCGTTACATGAAGAATGGACATCCGGACGACCTGCCACCTGAAACTGTTTTAGCGAATCTTGAGGTGCGTAAAAAGGAGCTCGAGGCAATATTGGTGCGCCACAATAAGATAGCACGTGATGATTTTAAGCAGAAGATCGACAAACATGCCGAGAAACTCGATATGGTCAACAAGAAGATCGAAAGAGTTGGAAGGTACGAGTCCAACGCAATCAAGAAAGCAGACAAGGAAACCAAGGAAACCAAGGAAACCATGAAAAAAGATTTAATTACCAAGAAGTCGGAGCATATGAAGGCTGCAGAATCGAACTTAAAACGCCTTAAGCAAGCTGGCACCGCGAAAGATAGAAAGGATGAAGCTGCACTTCTGAAGCCGGCAGAATCTGTCATTACGAAAGTTGAAGGGGATGGATCAGCACTTCGCAAGCCGGCAGAAGCTGCCAGTGCGAAAGATAGAGGAGGTGTATCAGCACTTCTGAATCCGGCAAAAACTATCATTGCTATAAACGCAACAGATGAAGCAGCACTTCAAAAGCCGGCAGAAACTATCATTGCTATAGGCTTTAGGGATGAAGCAGCATTTCTGAAGCCGGCAAGAATTATCATTGCTATAAACGCAACGGATGAAGCAGCACCTAAAAAGCCGACAGGAGGCATCGCCGCGGCGGCCGCGTAGGATGAAGCAGGAATGTTGAAGATGCATTCACCACGGCAATTGCAATCTCGAGCATGTCGTCTGAAGAAGTAGATTCTAGAAGATATCACTTCTCACAGGTTATCAAGCGCTTAAGTTCAATTTCAAGACCTGTTGTAACTTCACCTGATCGCTTACATATGTGATGGAACGAAGAGAGGGAACGCTACGTAGGCGACCAAGATGTCAAGATGGATGGGACCGGGAGAGACAAAAGACATGTGGACCAGCATATCGAGACGTGCGGACTGGACGCACGCTGTCTGCAACTTGACCAGGTCAAGTTTTCTACAATAAATGCTGTCGACACCTAGGCGAAATATGTGTAAGGTTGAGGGGTTAGATGTGGTCAACAGTTTCATCAGAGCTTTATTGGCTTACCATTTGTAATTGCGACTTTACCACTTTGTTTACAATTCATAGTCCAAGAAACCTGACGTTTTGCTGTCTCTCCAAAGATTGCCTTTCTGCTACCCCAAGGTACAATATTTCACATCGGGAGGGGTGGCTTTGGTATCAACTGCATAAGCTTGGAACCTATGAGCCTTCAAATCACTCTGCACTTTCGGAAAAGCCTAAAGTCTACCAAATTGGAAGAAATAAGAACTCACGGTACGATTTCGAACTGAGAAAAAACCTAATTTCTATGGAGTGCATGCAGTAGGTTAAAATTTCATTGCGGATGCGTCTTCCTTCAGCTGTTAGCAAGGAAATGTTGTTGCACATGGCTTCCAGCCATGTGGATAACAAGTTGGTAGTGGTGCTCTGCAACGCTATTGAGCAGCGCTATGAGGTCAATGTACACTGACGTGGTTTAGCTGAGTTGGGGAGCCTGTAGATAATCTAATGGCGAATGTCCCCGCCGTGGTAAGGCGTTTGTGCGAGGCGCTCGAAGTGGACCAGCCAAGAGTTTGACACTGGCGTATAACTGATGGTAGCCTTTCCGCTGAATGCAGAGGAGTGCTCTCTCCAAAAAGGAGGTATTGTAGCTCATGGATACAAAGGTGCTGTACCGCACGAACTTTTTCGATCCAGATGCCCTGGTGTAGCTCAGAGGAGCGTCGCTAAGAAGTCTTGCCATGGCTCGGTTGTCGAACGACAAATTGTAGTAGCCCGCCTGAAGCGGATCAATCAAGAAGCGCCCAGTTTCTCCCGCCACCTTCTTGGCTGGATCCGCTACGTTCTTAAGAATACAATTGACGATGGTATAACTAGTGACCTGCAGTTGTATTGGACAGACTTTGTTTCTGGCAATGACACACCGCTGCTTTATGTATGTGGATTCTTACAGCACTGGAGAATAAATTTGTAGCCACGAAGACAGCTTTAATATCCTAGACAGCAGATGAAGAGTCGACTTTTAAGATAAATAACGCTATGAATCTACAAACAGTTGTATTTCGTACGCAATAGTCCTAACTGTAAACGATGGGAACAGTGAAAGTACTGGCGGGGTATTTACAATTTTCGATTTGACACTTTGTTTACAACTTAGCCACCGAAAACCTACAATTTCTTTTCAATGGTGTTCACGTCGCCGAGACATACCTTCCTGCTACCAAAAGTAGAAGTCGTGAGTGCCAAAAACTCACGACAGCTTGAAAAGCGTTTTACTTTTCTCTGGACCTCGGCGCATCATTTACTGTCCACAAGTAACGTACTGGCCAACCATATGATGTACGTGTCATTATCCCCTACATCTTTGTTTAAACGTAAAGAATCTTAACAGCGCGTCCGAATGTATTTTTAACAGCGCATCTATGATGCAGCTAGCAAGAACAAATCACGCGCAGTTACCACAGTCAGTGCTAGACTTTATATGTGAAAGCTGTGGTGGGTTGCTGGTGCCCAGTGTGTCGGCAAGCGTGCGTATCGTGCCCCAGTCCCGAAAGTCTCCAGCCAATCGTCGACTAGGTCGACAGCACCGACGTGCACAGCTGGAGAGTGGCATAAATGGAGCACATCCTGTCCGTGAAACCTTGTCTACAATCGTGGTAAGTTGATAAGAGAGCAGATAGATAGTACAGGAATTTGAGTTTTGACATGGTCTTTGTGACGTTTGTATCAAAATGCTGCAGAGAGTGACATGCTATCGATGCCAGCATGTGAATGACCGACCTGGCGCGTCACAAGTTCACAAGGCAAGGATGAAGAAACGAGTGAGAGAAGAAGAGGAGCAACCAACGACGACTACTGTTCTAGGTACGAAGAAAACTAAAACGGACAGTGAAGAAACTGCTCAACACGACAAATTAAAAGTTGCAAGAAGTTTGGCTGCTCCTGTTGAGCTATCAATGGCATCTACAAGTCCATTGGCGCCAACACTATCAAGTCTACCAAAGAAGCTGCTGGATAAATCAAAGAAAAGAACAAAGAAGAAGAAAACACAGTCGGACGCAGCTGTAGTTGCTGTCAAAAATAACCTGAGTTCTTTCTTGCAAGGTTTCAATGCGCGGAAATAAATAAACAGCAAGGTTATGTCAACGTGCAATTGGGGTTTTCTGCTATGGTAGACGGCTTCTTTTGGTGTGTGTGGATCTGTTACATCGTGACGTAGGCAGCGAGAACGACGCAGACAAGAGTCAAGGTTAGGAAGGTGCGTGCGAAAATCATCGGTGCTGCTATGGAGGTTTTAAAATGTATCTGGTATGGGATATCGTGCATTTATCGAGACCAGCTCTGGTTAATATGACTGTCTTGCCAGAGCGGCTGGACAAGAGCTCTTCTGTTGTTTTCTAATATTTTAAGCTAAGACCAATGGTATAGGAACGCCATGTCCACCAAGTATTTCGTTAGGAATTGCGCGTTTCACCTTCCACCTCACAATTTAATTTTGGTTTGTCGTTTATCTTACGCTTAACAAAGCACTTGCCTCCAAATCAATGCGAATCCAAATGTGATATGGAGGTACTGGGAATCCTTCTTGACACAACTACTGCGGTCTTATGATCCAAGCGCGAGCAAGAGAAAACACGTGATGAGTGGACTACTACATGTTGTGAGTTGGGATTAGCCAGCACTGAGTTTGCCGTTCTTTTTGCTCAAAACATGTCGGAACGTTAGCAATCTAGCAAACATGCTACTTACAGATCCACAACACAAGACCAGAAGATGCTAGTGGAGAACTCTCGTTTGGATGCATCAAACTTCATCAGGCGTATGTAGACTTACAAATTCATATTATGCATCACCCCGTGTTCGTGGCCCGCTGATCGCGTAAGTTTCGAATTGCAACGTTTGCCAGGAGTAGCAGCGCAGGTGCACTTGCCTGTAACTCAGCCTTCCCACGCTTTGAATAATATGACGACGTCTGCAACGACATCGGCAATGTTGAGCAATTGAGCTTCATTAGCGTTTGAATGGAAGGCGTGTTCAACTGCAGACTGTCCATCGTTTTCCGTCGACCAGGTTCTTGTGACTTGTGTTGATTTCCTCTTAACGTCAGCATCATCTTATCCCCTTCGGAAACTGTCTTCATGTTGGCACTCTCGTGACGAAGCCATTGGGGATTTATTTTCGTCGCAAACTTCTTTCTAAAATACCATACCGGAAAGTTTTCGAGATTGCGGCCGTGCGTACGCTTCAAAGTCTTTAGACGCTGCCGCAGTGCCTCCTTAGACTTCTTTGTACCTTTCATCTGCTGGGTGATTCTGTCCCATAGAATCTGCCGTCGACTGCGTGAAGATATCAGCGCTAATTGAACTAGCTGTCGATCATCGTCATCCGTGAAGTCGGACATAGCGCCCCACCCTCGTAGTTTTGTAACCGTGGACCGAGACATGAAGAAAACGATGTTTTGGTGACACTCGATGATAGAACATGACCAGACGATGTCAATCTCCATCAGAAAAAACTAGAAAAAGAACATAGCAATGACTCTCCAGACGACGCAAAGTGCTGCTGGATAATATAAAGCAAGACCTGACGCTGAAGTGGTTGTCCTCTACCATTTCTGATTGGCAATCGCAGCAAAGTATCTTGTTGGAGCCGAGACCATCACGTTTTCCGGACATGTGACGACATACTACTGCATTCATAGCATTCGACTGTGCTCCATTATTGACGCTGTCAAAGCGTGAAGTAGCGGGTCGTTCAAGAATGAGATCCGCTACACTGAACACCATTTTCCATGTAATTCTACATTTTCCCGCTGTACAACTTGCATTGGTTAACAAGAACGAATACTTATATGAACAGAGTCTGCCAAAGCGAGGGCTTGACCCAGTTGTAATCATCTTGATGGACAGCCTGGCCGTATAATGGGTGTTAAAAACTAGCAACACATACTGCGCGTAACTAGTGAAATCACAAATTCGTACCTCTTCAGCCTGGGAAAGCAGCTTCTGCAGCACAGCACGGTGACCGTCGGGAAGCGACGGAGGCTCCGTAGCTATACCTGATACGCGCTCTTTCTGCTCTCGAATTTTCTTTTGTGCACGCTCGACATCGAAGAGGGACTCAAAATACTTGAGCTGGGTGTACAACGCGCTATCAGGATATTCAAGACTGGTTATTGCTCTACACCCTACCGCAGAGCAGATATTGCCGTTCCCACGAAGTGATTGCTTTTGAGTCCGCGTCTTGCACATGACATCAGAGCAAATTGTCCACGCCTCGTAATACTTCTTCGCTGCTAGGCGCGTTGCATTGTGGAGGCGGTTCGAAAGCACCGCCTGTAGATCATCACCTACATTTCCGTAAACACCCTCCTGGTCAAAACCCCAAAAGTCCGCCTTACACACTGGGCAAAGCAGTCCACTAGAAAGGGAGCTGTCCTTGGCTGTAGCAAATACGCCAGAGAAATCACTGGCTATCTTGCATCGGTCACAAGTAATCTTCAGAGGAACACAATCCTTGAATCGATCCGCATCGGTTTGCAAAACGCTCGGAATGGCACTACCGCCGTCATTCTCTTCGCTAAAATGATTGGCAGAATGTGAGAACTTGGCTGTATCAAGACCCAAGAAGTGTGCCAGCTGCGAGCTTGATGTTCCTTCAATATAAGCGCAAAGTCGGTTTACTGGCGGATGAACTTGCGACTCAAGGTACCACTCAACGTCAATATTGAGCTTTCCATTAGCCCGCTTGACCTCGTCCGGATGGTATGCACGACGGCCACTTCCAGGTTCTTCCTCTTTGCAAAGCACGTACGGAATATGCATACCCACGCCAACCGTCTTTCCTAGACCACGCAATGCAATCGCTACTTGCACGTGGTATTGCTTCGCACGATCTGGATATTGCTCAGGTTGTTTGTTCAAGCTCTTAGTGATGACGTATTGCTCAACCGGCTCCTTTCCGGAACGCATACGTTCCGCCACTTGCTCCAGATGCTCGTGAATGCTCTCCACCACATCGTCACGAGAATTTCCGGACAAGATAAAGTCAAGTATCTCGTTACCGACCGCCTTTGAGATTACACACCAATCACGGCGCACCATATCAAGGCCTTTTACCTCTTTCTCAAAGGTAGGCTCGCAATTAGGCTGCTCCTTGAGTACCAACGCTGCGTACTTCTTTTTGTTCAGAAGCAAAATCCGCTTGAATATGAAGTCTACCTCGAGTTCCAACAATCTGAAGTGCTTATTACACTGAGTTTGGATTTCACGACCTATGCGCTTGGCCTCCTCAAGGCTATCAGTGCGCGAATTCACCATGATAGAATCCGTATCACCGTAAATCACATCATAGCCACATTCTTGCTCTGCCACCTCCTTCGCTCGCTGCAATGTATGGCGACCTGTAGACGTAATCAACGCAGCAATGGGCTTTGCGTAAAATCGCGAGAACCGAAAACCCAAGCAGCCATACATCGAGTTTGCCGTCAACTTAATCGCTTTTTGACGAATATCGAGGAGATTGGCCTTCTCCATGTTGCCCGCCTTCTGTTCAATTTTCAGTTGCTGCTTTACTTGCTTACGTGACTCTAGCAAGCGTTTGATCACAGCTGGTAAAATACCAGGTTCGCTAGCGCTACTTGGCAAAGCCGGGATTTCGGAACCAGCAGTGGCATCAGCGCAATCAGGATTTTGATCTTCGTCGTCCACGACGTCATCATTCTCGGGTTGCGGCACTGGCTTCAATCTCGATTTCGTCTTATTCTTAATGGCCAAAGACGCTCCAGGCACGTCCTCGGCTATTTGTCGCTCTACAGTGGTGAAACAGATGTTGTATTCCTATATTTCAACATCGCGTCAGTTAGTTATAGCGTACATATACGTATCCTGTCTTATGTTTAGGCAAATGAACACGTACACGGATGATAGATGGATACAAACTCATGAAATCCAGCAACACCACATAGTTGTCATAAAGACCCTTCTTTGGCGCAAATACCATACCACCTGCATAAGACGCCTCGCGTCTCTTATTCAGCTTGTCAGCCTCAGATCTTGTTTTAAACTTCTCCGGTACAATAAATTTATTTTTCGACCTGCTAAACTCGTGCAACAGCAGATATTCAATCCGCTCAGCGCGCTTGTTTGCCTCCAGCGTGCGAGTCCACAAGTATCCACACAAGTTGGAAAGCTGCTTTGACAGCGGTAAAATTTCAAGCTTGTGCATTAGATGTAACACAAACATGGCATCATCCAGCGTGTGACGCAGGAACTTTACGAAGTTATCGGGGCCACCATGGAGAATGTGAGGAACCTCAGTCATCTCGACATCCAGTCGCTGCTTATGTAGGAGTCGCTCCACCAAATATGAAAGCGTGTAGTTATTCTGTGAAGGTAGCAGTTCCTTTGACGACACATATGTATCACAGCAAAGTCGTCCATTAACCATGTCGTCCATCCTATACTCGTTCCAGCCTTCTCCCACATTCATCGGATTTAAACGACCACGACGAAGTCGCGTCAGCTTTGACCATAATCCGCCAAGTTTGAAGTTGTCAATACGCGAGATTAGCAACTCTAACGCATATTTATGTAAGTTATGACCAACAATGACGTCCGGGTCTTCGAGCTGAACCCGTGTGAGAAAGTAGCTCAACATCACACGCTCGTTGATTTCCACGCGCAAACGCTCATTGCTAATGCCCAGCGCACCACTTTCCATCTTGATCCCAAAGCGATCATCTTTTTGAGCTGCCTCAGCGTATGACTGGGGGAAACCGCTACTTCCATCCAAAGGCCGAATTGCTGTAAAATGTGATAATGTATGACGTACACCATTTGCGCCCTTACCAGATCCCTCGGCGCTAATACCAGACTCCAAGATTGCAGAAAGTGCAACTACTTCGTGCTTACCTGTATTGGGGTTGCAAACGCTCTTGAGACTGAGACTCATCACTGTAAGAGGAGGTGGGGTCATTCCACCAGCAGTGGAACATACGTTCTTTGGGTCAAATGTCTCGAACTCTATCTTGCAAAAACTGACACCCTCGCTACATTTGCGGACATTTTTGATTTCGATCCATCCCGGTCCCAGAAGCCGGCGAGTAAGCAGAAAGTTTTCCAATGGTCTCGTGAGCGCTCCACAAATACGGGAAAAGGTTTTACCTCCATGCGAGCAAATGTCCGATGGAGGTGCAGGGTATTTGGCAGAATATTTTACCTTTAAGAATAAATTTTTGCCACGCGGAATGTTTGCTTCTTCAAAAGCGTAGTTGCGTTCCACAAGTTTAGTCCTAAAAATTTCCTGATCGCGTTTGCTAGTGATACAGGAAGGAATCAAAATGTTGTAGATTTCTTCGTGCATCTTCATCCAAGTCTCCTGTCGTACATTCTTACTCAGTTCGATCAGTGGAGTGCCTGTAGGAACAAGATACATGTATCGCTGCAGGTTGTTTACAACCACGCAGCAACTCCTATACATGGGCTGCTCGTTCAATCCGTCTGGGCTCAAAGTCTTCATCTTTCCGATAAGATAGATCTTACCCGGACGCTCACGCACTTCAACCGCGTCCATCCAGTACATTTGGATTGAATCTGATGCGGTAGGTGGTGCTTCACATTCCCCGCCACCAGCTGCAGAAACGTCCTTCATCGTAACATTCAAATCGTCTTCAGCAACCTGCCACCATTCAGCCACTTCATTCGACGGGACAGAACGCATCACTACATTTTCTGATTGATTTACAGGAGCAGCCAGAGTTCGAACAGCAGGTGCCGATGTCTGCAGTCGCGCTTCCCGAGCTTTTTGTAGCATCATCTCTTTTTTACTTGTGACAGTTTTAACCGCTAGCATTTGTTTCTTCTCATTCATCGTGGCATCTCCATCTCCATCTCTTTCTACGTCACGTTCCATCATATCATCTCCATCTGCACGTGCCTTCTCCATCAATTCATCTGCATCATCAAGCTCGTATGAGTTATCATTAAACTCTACCGTTTCCTCTTCATGTTCGTCTTTACTCTGTAACGTCGAGTTCGTCGCAATAGGAAGAGGTTTCCTCATACTAAATTCCGACATTCCACTCGAGAACGTCAAGGAACTCGTCGTGTACGACATGGGTTTAACATAGGTCTGTCGCGACTCTGTCGGGTTGCTTGTTAGATCGTCCAACAAACTGTCCAAATCAATATCTCTCTTAGCACGAAGTCTTCCTGTCATTCTTCCTCCTCGAGTATCTCCATCAGTTCCCATGGTTTTCTTTCCCGTAGACGTAGAAAAGAACATGTTTGTAATCTTTTGTCCTTCTCCTCCTCCTCCTCCAAGTTTCGCCCTCTGCATCTTTTTTGCTCGTCGCACATAAGATGAGGACAATGCTCCTGCACTTCGTTTCTTGCTTGTCGTGTTATCATCATCTCTCGCTTCTGCGTCGTCATCGGGATCCGACTCAAAGAATTGTTCTTCTCCATCGTCATAGTAACCCATTTCTCCATCATCATTCTCCACAAATGGCAAGCCTTGACGTCGTTGCCGCACTAGATCCTCGTATTCTTGCTCCGTTACTGCCTTGTAGATACTCTCCTCTTTTGGCTTATACTGCGCCAAGCGAGAGCTCGACGTGACAGATTCAACTGCATCACCCTCACGCATACGCCTAATCTCCTCAAGTGCCTGCTTTCGGGTAGAGACACTGGTGCGCGTGCGTCTTGAACTCATCTTGACGTCTCGTAATGCGGAATGGTGGTGGTCCCAAGGGAAACCTCTGACATACCAAATACCTGTCACTTTATGATACTATCGGTTTTAACCGGTATAAGGAATTGATGCTGTATGAAACTTTATCAAATTGTATGTCATAATTCGATTATGAGATATATTAGCCAATCATGTACATTGGCGGGTAAATAGTCCCATCCTTGAAAACATGGCTTCAGTTATAGCGGCGAAAGGAATATATAGCGCTTCAAAGGAACCCAGTAGAAAACATTCGTGCTGCATCACTGGAAAAGAATATTCTTGAGTGATATTACGTGATTGCTGGGACGAACGACACGCCATACGAAGGTGGATTCTACTATGGTAAGCTCAAGTTCCCACCGGAGTACCCTATGAAACCTCCGTCCGTGATCATGTGTCACCCAACGGCCGCTTTAAGATCAATCGTCGCATTTGTTTGAGTATGTCGGATTCTCATCCGGAGACATGGAATCCACTCTGGGCTGTTGGCTCTATCCTCACGGGGCTTTATTTGTTTTGTACTGAACTCTGAACTGTACTTTCCATTTGCGTTAAATGAATTTTAAATGCCTTACGTGCTCAATTTATTGCTGTTTTTGATATTGTAGCTGGAAGACACGATCACTACTGGTAGTATAACGACGAAGAAAGATGTAGGACCTAAAGATTGTAGGGGTTTTATTAAAAGGTGAGATTCTGACTCGTGTAATTGGTTTAATGTAGAAACGAGCGTATGCTGCGGCTTCTCTCCAGTCAAATTGCAAGGACAAGAACTTTTGCACACTGTTTACAGACTTGGTAGAGATGCAACGGTTGATGGATAAAGAAAAGGCCAGTGAAGTCACTGCTGAAGTGTCGAATTAATCCAAATTGTTAAGAGTGCCGACTCAGGTATGCTACAATATAGATTTGCTTCCCCGTGCACGCAGTCTGTGACACAGCATTTTTTAGACTCTAAGACATCCTCTACATTGTATTACACTTTTGCAAGCGTCTTATAGTATCATGTATCAACGAATCGGTGATTTTTAGCGGAAATTTGCATTAATTGCTTCACGTGCTATTCAAATATTAACAGGTATAACGAAGAACGTAATTTTGTAAAAATACAGTTCGGTATACTTACTCATTCTACCGGTAGTTCTATGCTACATTCGTGCCACATATTCATGTAGCCATCGCACAATGATCAATGGGTGGTCATCGCAGAGCTTAACGTTGACAATTGTACTCCATGGCATCGACTTCTTCGTCCTTGGAGCTGCGCAAAGCTTTGTCAAAGTACGCACTGCCCAGTGCCAATGAATTGAATCACTTACGTGCTGCTGATCCAACGACATCCTACCGCTCGTCTTTTTTCGCCTACAGATCGATGAATTGCTGGCTGCCACAGGCCGCAAACTCAGCGCTAAAGCCTCGTCAAGTTTGCAAAAGCTTTTGTTCCAGGTGAAAGAGATCTTGCATAATATGCAGGATCATCAGGTTACGCAGGACGCATTGCAGGCTCGTGGTCTATTAATTCGCAATCACGTGAAGCGCAAAGAGATCGTCCTGCCCTTTCAACGTCCTAGTCGTTTGGACGTTGTGGGCAGCTACATCCTACAGACAATGGCTTATTCGACTAAGAATAGTAGTGTCAACTATGGTGTTTTGACCGTCGACATAGCGGCTGAAATGCCCTCAGCCTGCTTTTTACCAAAAGACTTCGGAAATTTTCGGTACTTTGACAAACGGAACTTGTACCTTGGGGTCCTAATGTCAGAGTTGAAAAGTCATCAAGAGTTATTTCAGGACGTGATGCTACAGACATGGCATGGTGAGTATGAAAAACCTGTAGCCATGGTAAAGATCAATCCTGAGTATTTGCGTGAGAGTAGCTTAAAAGGGATTCAAGTATGTTTGCGGATCATTCCGGTGGTCACGACGGATTTGTTCAAGTTGGCCAAGTTGGCTCCGTCAAGGAATAATATCAAGCATGAACCGAATATGACGGAACAGGAGATGAAAGAATGCAGTACGCCAATATACAATAACTCGATTCTAGAAGACATGTTGGTGCGACAACACACGCGAGAGCTGCATGCAGTACTGAAGGAGGCCCCACAGTTTGGTGAAGCGTGCATTTTGTCCAAAGTATGGCTGAAACAGAGAGGCTTTCATAAAGCCATGGACTCGATTAACGGCTTTTTAGTATCGATGCTATTGCTCTATCTGTATCGTATTAAGCGGATCAGTGCACAGACGCCGTCGGACCAAATGTTTAAGGTCCTGATGCAGTATATTGCTATGCACACGCTCGAAAACGATCCCTTGCAGTTTCCACCGACTGAGGATGGCGTGGTGCTTACGAATGAAGGGATGCAGATATTCCGCAAGTCATACGATCTAGTATTCTTGGACTCGTCTGGTCGTTTGAACTTGTTTGGTCGTGTGACGCGGAGTGCATGGAAGGAAATCCAGAATGCTGCTATAGAGTCGGTGACGCTAGTGCAACGCTGCACGATGGATGACTTTCGATCGCTCTTCATCAAGAAAAATGAGTTTTGGACGCGATACGATCAGTACTATTGGTTTCCTGCACCTGCCTCTGTGGACACCGCTAATGCAGAAACGTACACGGTAGAGGAGAAGCGCATTATTAATGATATGGGAATTTATCAGTTCTGGTTGCGCAAGCTTGAATCAGTGCTGTCGAAAGCGTTGACGGATCGTGTGAGTCATGTTCGTCCCATTACTGAGGAAAGTGTCGCGTGGGGCATGCAAGATGACTCACTCCCGACGCAGCGCAAGGTGGCAGTTGGATTACGAATAAACTCAGAAAACGCGTGGAGAATCGTTGAGAAGGGTCCATCGGTGGACGACAAGGTCGCTAGCACTCAATTCCGTCAGTTTTGGCGTGGCAAGTCGGAATTGCGTCGGTTTAAAGATGGTGCCATCATTGAAGCGGTCGTGTGGGAAGGTTTTAGCAGCGAAAACCGTCACCGGGTGCTAGACGCTATTGTGAACTTCATTGTACCTGCGCACTGCTCCCAGGTCGCTTCGCCGCAGATTAAAACTTCTAGCGCTGCGTTGTACTCGGCACTTGACGTTAAGGAGCCGGAAGGATCGAAAACGTTGAGTGTCTCCAATGCGCAGTTTGAATCTACAATGAATTCGGTGTCGAAGCTATGGGCCGTTTTCAACAACTTTGTAAAGACGTTGCGTGACTTGGACTCGCTGCCGCTGAAGGTATCGGACGTACTTCCGGTGCACCCTGCTTTCCGCTACACAAGTTTGTTCCCCGTTCAGCCTCACCCACTGGCGTACTCCAAGGGTGAGAAGATCGATGCTGCGCCGATGGCTCATGTGAATACTGTGTTGGAGCCTTTAGTACTGCACGTTCGGTTTGAGCGCTCATCGGCTTGGCCGAACGAGAAGAAGGCCTTACTGCATGCGAAAACTGGCTTTTACGTGCACATTGGTCACGAACTTCAGTCTCGCCTCAATATCCGTTGTGAAGTAGCCAAGGACTGTGTGGATGTTTTCATCAGCGGCTACGTTTTTCGGCTGATTATTCGCAGTGAAAAAGAGCTGAGTGTCGTAACTGGTGCTGCTGGTGTGAAGAAGCTTGCTCTTGTACACTCACCCGAATATGTGACAGTTAAGCGTGAGGCTGATTACCTGTCGAAGCACGCAAGCACAGTACATGCACTGCACACGAAGAACACATCGTACGGCCCTACGGTTCGGCTTGTCCAGCGGTGGTTGGCCGACAAGTCACTAAGCAATATGCTGCCCATCGAAGCAGTTGAGCTCATTGTCGCCGACATATTCCTGACTTCTACATCCACGTCGATTCCTCACTCGGTTTTTTCCAGCTTCATCCGATTTTTAGAGCGAGTTGCGAGCTTCGACTGGCAAAACATGCCATTCATTGTTGATTTGAATAGCTCCTTAGACGATGACAAGCGTCGTGAAATCACGAAGCGATTTGAAGCGTCCACTTCAAGTCCGCTTGTTCATCCCGCAATGTTCATAGCCGTGGATTACGAGGACATGGACTGCTTGTCGAGTTGGACACGGTTTGCTCCGGATAAGGTGGTGGTGCAGCGCTTAGTTTGTCTAGCTCAGGTGTCGTATAGCATTTTGGTATGTTGGTTAGTTTCAGGAGCGTCGTCCTCTGGCTGGAAGACAGCCTTCTCCTCGTCAAGAATCGAATTCGACGCCATGTTACAGCTTGCGACAGAGAATCTTCCGACTAAAAAGATTCGTGTCGATGGTGACAAGAAGCATCCTTTTGTGGCACCGGTGTACAAGAATATGGACCTTACCGCAGTTCCGGTCATGGTCGGGTTTGACCCAGTGCGTGAATTACTGCAGGATCTTCAGCGGATGTTCGGCCACCTTGCTTTCTTCTTCGTAAACAGTGTGGAAACGAAAGAGATCCTGGTCACGTGGAAACCACAGGCTTTCCTGCCTGCCAAGTTCCGCGCCATTGCCGCTAACTATCAGATCCCACTACCTAATGACGATACAGCTGAGGACGAAGAGTTGACTTGCTGCTATGCAGTACCAAATATTTTTGAGATTCTGTCGGACATGCAGAGCCTTAGCCATGGCATGGTCATTGGTGTTGCACTGCAGCCTTTTGAAAGCTCATAAGGCCGATGCTGCAATAGCCACCAACAATTTAGATTGCATTTTGATTCTCTTGCTTCCCTGTTGTTTCGATCCATTGGGTTACAGACCATTCAAGGGCTTTTGAATTGAGACTATGCATTGATGAAGACGGCAGTGAGGTAGAATACAATGGACCTGTGTAAGCAGCATTCGCAAGGTCGTTGGACATTCTCAAGTCCTCAGAGGCGAAGATTGCGACCATTGTCATGAATGAGTTGGCATCACACGGACTGCCGCTCATCCAAGCAAGAATTTGAGACGTCCGGATGAATCACCAACGAAACTCTCGACCTGACGAACAAGACAAGTGCTTGTTATTGCTGTCACCTGGAAGCTCAATCAAGTGACTTTGTGAGACAGAAACTGAACCTGCTACAATATTGACGGATTGACGGAGCGAACAACGTCTGAAGAACATTTGATTGCTTGCACCGACCTCGTCTTAAAAGAATGAGCAGCGTAATACATTAAGGTTAATTCCGTATAGCCGGCATTTGGATGTCTTGCAAGTGTGCGCAAGACAGCAGAAAGCAGTGCGATGATTGGAAACGATTAGCATTGATTAGCACGCAAAAAAGCAAAGAAACTGCATCAAAGCTGTATTTTGAGGGTTACGGTGCATACTCGTGCCGAAGAACATAAGCTGACTCGCGCCGGAATGTCGCTTCATAGTGAACCATTGCCGCCTGCATACACCGATATGCCCATTTCTGGTTCAAAACCTGACGACGACTTCGCGTTATGAATCGTGACTTACTCACTGCCGACCGGATGCTGAAGATGATGAGAAGAGATGATGTTGCTGCAATATCTCTTGAGGAGTTAGATATGTCAAAAGCCTATTGATCAACAGACTTTTTAGCTGCAAGAGACTGGAGATAATCGATATCGTATTGATTGCGGTCAAACTCGCATTTGTCCGTCGCTTTCACAATCGTACTGAGCATTTTCTCGTGTCTTCCTTCAGTCACCCCGGAGACAGTAACAGGAAGCACAACTTTTGCCATTTCGTAACATTCGAGAGCCTTTTTGTAGTTGTGCAGCGCGTGGTACAGCTGACCCATGCGAAAGTACGCAATCACAGAGTTGCTGTCCAACAGAAAAACTTGCTGACAATGGGTTATCCCCATCGCGTAGTTCCGCTGCATTTCGAGACAACCGCTCGCGATATTCAAGTGGCATGATATCTCAAGCTGCAGGAATGCATGTAGTTAAGAGATTAGAGCTCATATGAACAGGATATTGAACAGTACTGGGACTCACGTCTCGAAGAGCAGGCAAAACAACGTCCTTGTTCGTAACCTCTGGCCGTGTTCGCAATGCTTCCAGACATCCTAACACAACTTGAAATCGTGTCGTCGAGTAGTAGAAGAAGCTCTCGACAGCTAACACACAGGCCTCTTGAAACACCAACTGAACTCGTTCAAGCACCTCCTTCAATGTCCTTCCTTCCGTGCATGCAGATATCGCACTCTTAAACTTGTTATTGTCTCCTGGGCACCAAACCGTTCATGACAAGATCAAAATTTGCGTCTTTCAAAACATATACCTCAATTTGAACGTACCGTTAGGAGCTTCACCTTCAACAAGTAGTTTAGTCTTGACTCGTGCCAAAGCCTTGCTTCCCATTTCATGTTTTGCATCCTAATCAATAATGCAACATCACTTAGCACGAACAAAAGAACATATTGCAGATGCAAGCAAAGACGTACCAAGTTTGTAATCCTATTATAATGCAACATAGCTAGCAATGGAGCATCCATTTTTTCAAATGCTTCACCTCGCTTGAGCCATGATGTCAAATGCCCATCATCTCTTAGGAGTACCTCCTTGAATGCTTCAGTAGCCTCGGCAAATCTTTCTTCTTTGAAATCACACGTCCCAATTCCTACGTAGATGTCCTTGTAAAACATTGTAATAATAGCCACGAGGTCATTAGCTTTGGGCAGTATCTCCTCTGACTTTTTGCACGCTTGTTTGTCATCACGACTCCCACTTTCATGGCCCTTGTTACGACACTTAAACCCTCTCTTCTGTCCAGACACAGGACACTTGATTTCCTGTAACGCTGTCGTAGCTCCAAGTAATTGATCTTGCTCTTCCTCCATTTGTAGCAGTACTGGTACTACTTCTTCAAGCTTTTTTGTAGCATCTAATGCATTTTGATACAATCGCTTTGCCTCGTGCCAATTCGTTTGCTCTTGAGTCACAATGCTGTCTCCAAGTCGACGATTTTCCAGAATCCGTTGCAATAGTTCGTGTTTCAAGGCAAAAACATTCGCCCGCGTCTGTAATGTCGCCGCCTTTTCAATCTCCACGTCGTCTACTATCGCTACAATCTCCTGATTCACTGCTTTTCCCTTGCGTGTCTTGGTATTCTTTGCCTTTAGAGCTGCTACTGCAGCTTGAGCTGCAAAGATAGCAGCTGATTGCTCTGCCGCATGTGCCACGGAGCGTTCAATACTTTCCTTGACTTGAATCTGCTTTTGTTGCTGTTTCTGTTGTATCTCACGCTCTTCCACCTCATCCACACGCTTGAGCTCCTTCTCGACGTCAAACGTAGCCCATTTCGTATAGGAATGATTATAGCTCATCACCGTCGTAGATACGAGAAGAAGAAGAAGAAGGGTCTGATTATTTAATGACACACATTTAACTAGAAAATACTACAAATCACGGCATTCTTTTGCTAGCAAAATGAAAGCTCATTTATTAAGATTACGGTAAGCTAACACGTTCGACACATCAAAGAGGTGCTACATCAACTGAGCTTAGCTGCAATTCGAGTATTGCTACACACACGACAACGCTCCTCATCCCGTTTACTCTCCCTTCTCTCTTCTTCTTCTTCTTCTTTTTCTTTTCTCTCTTTTCTCTTCTTCTTGCACATTATAGCATGACGAGTTACTGAGCAGCAGAATCCACGATTCTACTAGCAACAGCCTTGCTGACATCTCTGCCAATATCCTTTGCCACGCAACTAATGTCCGCAATAACAGTCCCACTATTGTTCACAGCTTCCATCATTGCACGATCAATACGAGACTCTTGTGATTTAAGAAATGGTGCTAAAAAGTGTAGATACAAAAAGGATGCACCCAATGTCGATGGCATGAAGAGCCACAACAGAAATCCAAGCTTAAATGCATAGTAGAAAGGAATCCAATACAGTAAAAAGTCGGCAAACACCTCGACAATGTTAAAACAGGCGTATACAACCCAATACGTAAGCCACTGTACATCATCCTTCTTATCATCCGACTCAATCGCCTTGAATGAACAAAACGCGGGGTAGACAAAGCCCACAACATTGCAAATAAGACCGGCACCAAATCCTACGAGCAAAAGCAACAGCAATAGTGCCCCACCCCCTGCTGCTAGATACAATTTCTCCACACCTGTAGCATCCTGTGCTGACTGTAGAATGGGAAACTTTTCCAAATCCTTGGCCCATTTATCCATATAAACTTGCACTTTTTCCATCCTCGCCTTCTCTATTCTTTGACGTATTTCTAAATGACTGGACCAGTATAGTTAACAAGAACCTGTCAAATTTAATTCACCTGGTGCACTAATTTCAAATTCTACCTGCCAACTTGCAATCTGATTTGCAACATGCGAATATTTCTCAGCTTACAAAACGTCTGCAAGATATGCGGGGAACCTCGTTGGTGATAAATATAGTGCGTGACGTGTATACTCAAAAAGTCAGGCCAGAACCGGTACCTTCTGTCGCTGACTCGCTTGTGTCACCGATATGCGTAGGAATTGTATGCTATATATCTCCTGATTGCTCGCTCATATGAATGTCTTGATGCTCAATGAAAGGCAACAAACACGTGGAAGTACAACAGACGAACAAGACTATAGCATTGTAAGATGTAGACGGTGATGCGAGAACAACACGTTGTGTGTTCTTCTTGTATATATTCCTTTCATTCTTTGCTGATCAAGCCAGTAGCTCAAAAATCACAACATCGGCCCTTACGCTCCCAGTCTCCGAATCTCGTAGGCTCTTTCAGCTTTCCACCACGCGTAGGCCCACCATACTCTACTCCTGACGGCCCAATTGTCACCATGTCTTCATCTTCTTCGTCATCCTCGAAATCGTCGCTCGTAGCGATTACAGGCGCATTAACAACTCGAGGCTTGCCAATTGGAGAGAACGTCACAATGTTCACGTCCTCCTTAGTCTTGCTTGAGTAGAAACAACAAGTGTATTGAGGTCGTTTCATCGCCTGGAAGAACGTCGTGGAGCTCCCAGAGAGCATTCGTCGCAACGCCATATTCTTTTTCACAAGTGAGGGATTTCTAATTGGTTAGAAATGGGAGATTCGGCTTTTTATTCGTCAATTACCTTCACTTCAAGTTAGTGTACAAATGGCTTCAAACAAGCTTGATAGGCAGATCAACTTTGACGACATGACTGTGCAAAACACTCAGCTGCACACATTTTTGCGTCAGTCAGCAACGGACAAGTTGAATCGTCACTACGTGGTATATTCGGAAAGATTGCTGCCCTACTCAATTGTCCATCTGCGTGCTCAACGCACATTCTACGATATCTAGAATATTTAGCTCATACACTTTCACCACTTCACAGATGTCAAGACAGCTATCGATGCCTGACATAGCTATCTACAAAATGACGAGGCCGCTTCCTTTGCCATGTCGACCAAATAAAATTTTCATGCCCTGAGTTTGCGTGGCCGTCAGGCCACAATACGCCAGCAAGAAACTTTGCCTCGTCAGGGGTCATTCGTTCCACGCCTTATCTTTCCCCTACCTCTGACTGCACAGTAAATGAAGACGCCATCAAACGTCGAGTCTACCACCACTAGAACAATAAGACACGTCAATACAAAGCAGCCATCCATTTTACCGCTTTTTCCTACTTTAATCGTCAAGGAAATAGCTTATGACAGCCAATAAACCGTCAAAGTGGCCATCACAACCATACCACCGATCAAGCACATTATCGTAGACCATTCGTTTTCAGAAGCTGTATCCCCTTTCGTACTAGTACAAGGTGTCATTCCATCTCCTGTTGGTGCAAGTTGTCGTAGCAATTCTCGATTTTTCTCACGTTCTTCATGTAATGCTACCAGATCAGGAAACAATTTTCGAAAGGTAGCATTACTACAATTCGTCTCCAACGACGCTGCCGCATACTTTTTCTTCTGTGCATCGGTAGTATTAATACTCCCCAAAGTTGCTTGATGTTCCAGCTAAATAATAGTACAAAAATATGAAACATAGTTTGATCTAATTTAATACAATTCTAAATAGATCCATTCATCAAAATAGTACTCATATAACTAGTATTCCTATATATTACCATAAATGAGTATAGCCCTGTGAGAATAGAACTGACGGACCACATGGGGTTCCATGTCTCGGGGTGGAAATCCGACATACTAAGACAAAGTCTTTGATTTGTCTTAAATCGACCATTAGGTGTAATCATCAGTACAGATGGAGGCTTCATTGGATACTCAGGAGGGAATTTCAGTTTACCATGATAATAACCGTCTTCATACGGTGTGTCCTTTGTACCAGTGATTACATAGTGCCATTCAAGAATATTAGACTCTAATGGTACTGCCTGAATGTAGTCTACGGGCTTCCGTTGCATAGCCAAGTACTCTTTACGTAGACGCTTGGTCGCCATTGCAGACGCCATAGCTTTACTTTGAATAGTGTAGTTGACAATGGTGTGTACTGGAAAGATTACAGCGTTCGGATTTAAAAGATGCTGACTATATTTTACCTTTGTCTAAATATTGTTATCCGAATGACGACTATTATACTCAATAGCTGTCTAAACGTATTGTCACTATTTTACGCATATTGTCCTGTACTTTTCGGCAATAAAAGCTGCTAATAGCTTTATACACTGTCTGGGACAAAATCTAAGGTGGTTTATTTATACAGTCTGTAACTATAGTGCTCAGATATCAATAAGAAGTACCATGCAAGGTTTCGGACTATCAAGCCACGGACAATATGGACGTGAAAATAAGCGCATTTTTGGAAAGCTTTATAAATTGTCGTGTAGCAGTGGTAGCAATTCTTTTCAGCATTGCCACACATGCTTCAAACCTTGAGATCAGACAGTCACCAAACGCGGTGGCAAATTGCTATTGCTGTCGTCGTCTCGTTCAGCGACCAACTTTTCCTAGTTAGTCATGAAAGCTCATCGACGCGATTTAGCCTGGCACTTCATGAACTCCATGGTCAAGAAAATTATTAAAAGCTGAACTCAAATGTCACTCAATCATCGGCTGCTTAGCAACGGCTTGGTTGTGAGCATGGTAACAGAAGCCACCACATTACGTTCGTTGGATCCGATACAATATTCTAGAATTGTAGGTCTGTCTCAAGCAGGGTAGGTATCAAAACCTGAAGCATGAAAATCGAGATGACACGTGACCAGGAAATGCTCTCTGTTGACTGAATCTAGTCAAAACAATCCGTCTGAAAACTGAATGAGGTTGAACGACAAGTAGCTTTTACACAGTAGACCTGTATTTGCTCTTACTCTGACGATACAATTGCAGTGTAGTGGTAGTTAGCACGTTTCCACCCTTCCATTCTCGTACCGTGTTGTGCTTGTTCATTACTTTTGTTGCTTGGTGCAAGTAAGTAGAATCCTTGGACCTCTATTTCAAACTTAACTTAACTTGAACAAGATGTAGACATTCCAAGTATTTCGAGAAAGGTCCTTCAGGACTTGAAGTGGGACAAGAACGTCCTGTAACCGTTTCTGATCCGAGTTGACTGGGAGCTATTTTCAATGTCGTCTCTATGGATCGTCTACAGTGAGCAGAATAAGAACGATAAAGGTTAGTCAGGCACATTGACCACGAAAGAGCTGCGTAAAGACGGAGAAACGCCTAAAGGCGTCATGAGGCGCAGAATGAGAGCTAGTTTGTACAGGCGGTAATGAGAATCAGATCCAAACACAGTTTTTGTACCAGTTCAAGTCTATAGAAAATACAAGAAAAAAGACCTATTACCACGACGTTTGGTCTCGTCTCAAGAATTCCGAGCATTTGCGATTAAACCATTGCCGCACAGTAATGCAAGTCCTCGCCATACCAAATACTCTAGTCCGAAACTGTGTGTCACGTGCGTGCAGGTCAAGCCGGAGAAACCATGTTAAGCAAGTTCAAGTCGGAGATCCCGCGTGAGGGAGTTTCTTACAATCCCGGGTCAGGTGTGTAAGGAACCTCTCGAAAAACTTTGCCGATAAGCTGGTCCAGCTAAGCAGTGTGCGGTTACTAGGAAGGAATGCAAACAGATTAGTAGTGACGAGACGGACGAGCTGCCTACTACGGTATACCGTGGTCGAATGACACGATTATAGTAGCTACACAGTGGCAACAGTATGTAACAAATAGTAATTCGTCTTCTGTCTGTAACTCGACCTTTGAACTTAGTAACCTTGCATCGGAAGGCAAGACTGCCGCGTCTTGGTCCAAAGCGTGCCGTGTCCTCATGCACGCCATTGCGTTCTTGATACAAAAAGAAGGTTCATAGAAATCATCTACAACCGTCGGACCGTGTCGCCCTGTACGAGAGAAGCTCGCAAGGCGGTCAGCGATGCTCTACAGCGTCAAAGCAGTTCTGCCAGTCGCGCATGGGTGATGGCTCATCGTTCGGCGCAACCATCTCGGATGCAAGGATTTAAAATTTTGCATTGCGACCACGATCGTTGAAGGGATGTGTGAGACCTCGTGGCCGGTAGAGCTCACGCGAATCTCGTAGTTCTGTCAGGACAACATCGTAGCCTGACAGTGAACCTAACACCTTTAGGCTGCTCTACGTGGAGGTGGCTTACATCTACCTGCCGGAGGCGGCCTGGTTTGGATCAGGGTGTAGTACGTTTGTCAAGCAGACGAGCTCAACGAGCCGTCAAGCTAGCAGGTGTGGTTGTTTGTTTCTCAACCTTGAGAAAGCTTAGCATGTGAATCGTACGTTTGCCTTCGCCGATCAAATTACCTATTGCTTGCCACACATGCTGAGGTCGGTTGTTATACCACGATGACCAAGACTAGGGGGGTCAGTCTCGCAGTAGTGCTGGTCCAAGATTGAGATTTGTCTACCCCTTTAAGAGTACAGCTCAATTTCATGACAAATAATGCGGTGGGCAATCACGTCCACCACAAAAATTGAGCTTGACGATGATGGAGAGGTCAAGTCTTACTTTCCAAAAGCTCTGGCGTGGCTAAGCGACTCGGCATTTATGAATAGGACGCATTCGGCTCGTGGTGTGTTGGTGTATGAAACTTTCCTACACAGCAACACTTCGAGAGCAGTCCTATCGATGAAAAATAATCAGTATGTATTGTGTCTGCATTGTCATAATTTTCCAGTTGACTTTGTTAGAATTGTAACTTCCATTTTGACATGCAATAGTGCAGCGAGCGCAGTATTCATAGTTCTTGACTTATGCTTGTCAGAATGACATGAATGCAATTTTTCATTTACTTTGCGTCCATGCCAGTCCAGATAGCTAAAAAAAATAACGATCTCTACATTATACAGTACAAACGATGAGATGCAACAATGGTCAGGAGAATGGCCAAGGAAATAGCCCAAAATGCATGCACTTCACCCACTGAATCTGGCAAGACACAGCAAATTGAGCTCAATTCACGGTGTTAAACTCACTCGACCGCTACTCCTGTCAAGCACAATGCCAGTACCGCCCAGAAGTATCTTGAATCAGCGTCCGACCAGACTTGTTTCGCATTGCCATCGTCATGGTCGGTGCCAGCTTTGCACACGTCACGCTGCAAACCGGCACTTCTGTCTTGCCTATGATCAAGTGCGGCTACAAATTTCAGTTGCGCCAAGATTTAGACGAATGCTTCGCTTGACATTGCTACTTCACATGTTAGCGAAGACAACTTGATGACTGCGACCGTCGTCTCAGCTCTGTTTGGCTGCTGCCGGAAGGCCATCATTCAGCTCATGGGGGAGTGACGCCTGGATAACATTGACTTTCAGCTCCATTGATACTGCCAGCTGCATGACTAAGCTGCTCTTTTTTGAAGGTTGTTCATCAGAAACATCTTGGCATGCAAAGCCAAGACTACCAAACTGCAGAATGCTCGTGAGTCGCCATGCCGCCGCATTGAAGTGTTACAAATGTAAATTGACAGAGAATGCTTCGCGCAATGCATGTGTTACTGCGCTAACCATGCTGTTACTGGGTCTATTTAGCGCTTACCATGCTGCTAGTGGGTCTATGTAGCGCTTATCATACTGCAAGTGGGTCTATTTAGCGGTTGAAATGTTGCTAATGGGTCTATTTGTCGCTTCAAAATGTAGCGAAATGCTCAGGCATTTGCATCCGGGTGGATGGATGGCCGAACATTGCCAGTGTGTCATATTGACCAAACGATACCGGTATCAAACTCGATGGACCTCATTCAGGAGACAGGAGGTGCATCAACATCACTACGCCTGTCGTGCTGTTAAACAATATACTATAGCTATCGGTCTCTGTCTTTTCCGACTTCCTTCATCATTCTAGACAAGTGTTGGTTTAAGTACTTGAAAGTCCATCCTCTAGGAAACATAAACTGCAAGTTCTTTCCTTTTTATGCGTAAGACAGCCTGCTGTCTGCCTGGTGAGCATCATGTTCTATTCGTCTGGGGTGCTTCAGACTTTGTTTGTGTCAGTACTTCAAGTTGGCGTCATAAGATGGTCATAGTCCCATTCTTGCCATCTTCAATTGCAACCTTTCAATCCGCCTCAATAAAACATTGCTACCTACTGTCGTGATGAAGAGGATGCAAGTACATGTCTATAAACTGGATCATATGCTAAGACAGAGCAATTTAAAGGCGTTACTATCGGGTTATCCTTACCAGAGTTCACGTTTTGAATGATGTGGGCTTAAGGCCGAACGCTTCTAGTTGTTCGTCTACTATTATCAAGTACACCTAGCGTTGTATTGAGCTGAGCCCCACGGGAATAGAGGTGTCAGCGACGAACCCCGACATACTGCAGCCCATTTTTTGCGACGTCTGCCAAAAATCACGACGATTTGACTCACCATCAGTGTGATCGAGGCCCACCCGAACAACCTGAGCGCACCAGAAACTGAAAGCCTCAACTCATTATTCTTTTTGCAGCCCTCTTTTCGTATAGGTTTCAGCTACTATGGCTCAGTCGAGATTGACTGTCACCCTTCTGGTCTTGATTGGCAGTCTGGTCAGCACAATCGCTTGGAATGAGAATAAGGATGCCACTCGGTCTCTCAGAGCAGACAATGTGAAAGCACCAGCATTGGGAGCAACACCTTTTGGTACTTCTGAAACATATTTTGTCGACACGACACCTGGATCTTCACTCGACGATTTAATCACGTCTGCAAATGCTTCAGGCTCGCTGAAGCTGAGTGCAAACGGAACAGGAGGTTTCATTGATGTGGCCTCCATTAAGGTAAATGCGACGCTTGCTAAGGCGACGGAAGCAAAGAGTGACATTAAGCCGACGTATCGGAACTGGGTAGGCTTCCGCGCTGTCTCCCCCGACGCTGCATGCTACCGCGAGGCGCATTTTATGGACACGTGCCCTACTAATTTCAATCGTCACGAAGCTACAAACACTTGTTGGGCTGAATGCCCCTTGGCCTACCCGGTAGAGTGCGGCCTTGAGTGCATTCGTCAAAACGACGACTGTGTTATTGAGGCTCTAAACAAAATCGGAGCAATTGGAAACTCAGCTCTGGCCATTGCTTCGTTTGGTGCTGCACATAAATTGTGGCAGGCTGCGAAACATGCGACTCGGGCATTTGACTGCGTCAATATGATGATCGGTACGATGAGATCCATTATCCGTTACGTGCGTAACATCAAGACCACCGATCCGACTGCCTCGGCAGACAAGATTTTGAACATCTTGTACCAGACAAATAACGTCGTGACAGATCTTCCGATTGCCGTCTACTTGTGCATGGGTTGGGAGCTGCCAAGACCTCTTGATATCTCAGGTCGTGTGCTTACGACGATGAATTGGCTCCTTCTGAACGCCATTGCTTACAAAGACGACATTTTCTTGAATTGGGGCAAATTCAGGGCTTTCTTGATTGGTGCCAACTTCACAGAAGCTGCGAGCAAGGTAAACGCAACGGAGATTGGAACGCTTAGTGACGCCCTCAAGTCAAAATCTAATTGTGGGTATGAACTGCGTGCAGTGACGGATCGTACATGGAACACAATTAACCAGCTACGAGCAGACTACCCCGGCATCTCGGAGGATGATCTACGTTTAAAGGTGCAAAACACCCAGGTCGTGACATCAGATATTGCCATCGCTACCAACAACTGTATGGAGCAGTTGATCGAAGAGTCTGATGAACCTACAGCTTACAGGACGCGGGAAAAAATTCGCACAGCTTTCAGTGGCATGATCAACCAGCTTGTCAAGAAAGGCACGAGTAATAATGGTACAAGCGAAGATGCGAGCCAATTTATGTACCTTGCCATGAGCAAGACTCTCATTTCTATTGCCGTCACTGGGTTTGATCTCATTGGTCTCACAGGTTTGTTCGTAACTTTCCTGCAGAGGATCTGCGGCCCAACTAATTTCATGGGTGAGATTGACGACGGCACGGACCCCCAGACGCTTGGTCTGACAACAATTCAAAAGGCTTTTAAAAAGAGCTCTATGACTTGGACTCGCAAGGGCGACGGTTTAGTCATTCTTCACTTCGAAAGCAAGGACACGAAAGACGTGACAGTAAACATCATGTCCGGTGGTGACAAGGTCGACGAGGTAGAGCTTAAAGCTGGTGGATCTCTCCAGTGGAAGTCTACCGTCAAAGCATTAGCTGGCAAAACGCTGTACCTTGATCGATGGCGAGCAAAATTCCTGGGTATGCCTAGCAGATCGGGTGGTTCGCTGCTCTTATGGGTACCCCACGCCTCCGAAGGTGGTCACTTGGAGGTCCAGGTAAAGCTAAATGTGAGCTAACAAATCAACAACAACGTATAGAGTTCGTATATGGTCACACAATAACAAAAAAAGTAGTAATATTGAATCAAGCTGGAAGCATATCCTCAAACTGAAATCAAGTTTTGTTTCCATTAAGCTACTGTCAATTGTCCTACATGTACTCTACATTGTGTATAGTATATGAGCACGGTGTTTTACGCTTTTCGGATAGAAGAAACATGCGTCAACTTTACGTCTTGAAGCTTGAAGAAGTAAATGTGCTGTGCTCAGCTCTTTCGTGTAAACAAACGATTATGACCATGATGATATGGAGGGCATAAGGCAACATTTACGTCCATTCAAGAGAGCTAGAAGGTCAACAGTGAGGCCTGGTACTTGTGCATGTACTAGTACATATAAGCCACCGTAGGTCCTGGACCTGGTTTCGTCTCCATATTACACTGTCCTGCCCAAGTGGGGTAGACCTGAACCTGTCCAAATCGTCCCCTTTTTCCGTGCTTCTACTGAACTGCTTGTGTCTAATGCAAGCCAACGCAACGTTCAAACCACACAAAACGTCACACAACTACAAAAGACAAGAGGTACCGTCGAACGCAAGCATGTCAAATTCACTCGAAGGCTCAATTTATTGGCGCGCCTCAACGTTAGTCTTCTCATTATTTTTCAAAAAGCTCGCCCGGTACTTATCCACATCTTTGTCGCGTTTCATCGTTGCTCCTACAAACGCATTGATGATTTGGGAACTAAACATCTGGTACACCAAGGTCTGGTTGTAGTAGAAGTTGGCATTGCCAGAAGCTGGAAACAACCACAAAAACCACATCACAGGTAACATGCACGTCGCTGCACCCAGACCAATGACGTAAATGTATCGATTCTTGATTGCTGTGCAACATGAAACAATAGACAGATTGAACAAGACAGGCATAAGCATTTTGATGAACTGCGCTTTTCTAGCTTCTCGCACGTACTCATTATCGTTTTTGGATGTATCGCCAGCATCGAGAGGAAAAAACCAAAGTCACCAAAGGAGGGGTACGCCTGGAAAAGAGAAAAAATGCCGATCAACGCGCATGCGTAGGCTTGAGGCCGATGTCTGACGAAATCACAAGTGTTAGCGGGTTTTACTCGTAAGATAAAATTACGCAACACACTACACTTACGCTAAGCGGAGATAGATCGGGATTATGTAGATGACTGGATGCAAGTGCATCACAAAAAGGAAGTACGGGATGAAACGATCAAAGACCTCTGTGAAGAAATACCAGAAAATGCCGATATTCGGGGTCAAATCTGAGAACTTTGCGACCCAAACATAGGTTTCCTTTAGTAGCATGTAGCAAAACAACAACAGAATGAGCACCACCGCTTGTCTTGTACACAACATACGCTTTTGAATGATTCTCACCTCCACAAATGTCCAATCTCCATTTAAACTCCACGACAGGTACAAGAGCATACATAGCCAAAAGCCAAATGTCCCGAGACACTTGAAACCAAACAACGCTTCTATCCCACTTGCTTTATCCTTCACAGTCTTCATGGAAAAAAGTATAAACGCTAAATCATGAGTATCTTCGATGACACTATTATAACCAGATTTCGTCCATGTACCTCGTCAGTATCAACACTACGCAATAGCAGTGCAATTGGTAGCATCAAGAAAAACGGATAAACCGATAGATACGTGCCAATAGCCAGACACATCATCGATGCCACAAGAGCTCCTAAAAGTAGATACACAAACACAGCCTTGAATGAACCTTATCTTCACTTGATTCCAAGCACGTTATCACAATGAATGCTGATCCAGACCTTCTGAAGCAAAAACTAAGCTATAAAGCACGGTGAAATGGGTAAATGAGATGGTTGACATTGCTACACACGAGCTTAATGAATATGGATTGATCAAATAGATCAAAGCTACCGTAGTAGGTAAGATATGAGGTTCAAAAAGAGGTGAAACCGGTACTTGAGTGAGCCAAATGTCCTGTTCTTGAATCTTATACGGGCGTCCTTCTTCGAGTTTTAAAGTGTTTACACAAAGACGAGCAAATCCCATGGCCAGTAGTATGTCTATACTAATGAATAGAGTGCATTTCATTGCGTATTGAAGAAATAGAGGGATGAATTCAAGCACAGGATACAATAGAGCAAAAAGAAGTGGAGATTGATGATACACATCGCCAGTATAAGGTGAGCCGGTGATACGATAGAGAAAAACACCTTCCTGAACACGATAAAAGGATGAAATGGGTGTTACAAGCTCAGGTCGAGATGAAAGAACGTCGTGGAGGGAAGGAAGAGCGAACAGGAAGACGCGAATGCAGGTCCCTAGGAGAAGCACAAGGCGCAGCATGATAGAGGTGTTTAATACGTGCTGAGTGGTTGAAAAGTGCTCAATTTAGACCTCTATGAATTAATAATAAGTAGCTTCCGTTTAGAAACAAACAACATTGACCGTCGGTAAGCTTACGTATAACTAAATATCCTCTTACTTTCAGTAACGCGTCATTGTCTTATCCAGCATTGATGAGATTCTAAATCTACCAGCAACTCTTGATTGTCTTTTTTAGACAATCAAGAGTTTGAAAGCCCATGACGATGCTGGAAAATACAATCACGTCCGCGTCGGACATCAGTACTCTGTCGAAAAGACTGTGACAATTTGGAGTTGAAGTTAACAGAACTTTGTGATGCCTTCAACCCGCAGGAAACGGAATCTTCTCTTGGTGCCATTGTGCAGCACTCGACTTGTGCTAATGGATTGAGGTTTCCTATTGGCGCCAGCTCGTGCTTTTCCCCTGATCAAAAGCTTCGAGTAGGGGCTGCGATGTTGTTAATAGCGACGAGGAGAGCAACATGTTCGGTTTTTAGTCGTCAGTGATGGACTTTTTCCTCTATGAATCTAGGATGACGTTGTTGATCAAGGGTCAAAAGCTGCGCATTCCATTGTAATTTTGACTACCCCTGCTCAAGTAAATTCACTGCCAACCAGTTTGTTTCTTTCCATTCCAACGCCAATACGGAGAAGGCACTTGATGAAAGCGATCCGTCGCCCATACGGAGAAGCACTTGATGAAGAGCGACCCGTCGCCACTAGGGTAACAGCGCTAGATGAAGAGCGATCCGTCGCCAATACGGGGACAGCGCTTGATGAAGAGCGATCCGTCGCCAATACGGGGACAGCGCTTGATGAAGAGCGATCCGTCGCCAATACGGGAGCAGCGCTTGATGAAGAGCGATCCGTCGCCAATACGGGGACAGCTCTTGATGAAGAGCGACCCGTCGCCAATACGGGGACACCGCTTGATGAAGAGCGATCCGTCGCCAATACGGGGACAGCACTTGATGAAGAGCGATCCGTCGCCAATACGGGGACAGCGCTTGATGAAGAGCGATCCGTCGCCACTACGGGGACAGCGCTTGATGAAGAGCGATCCGTCGCCAATACGGGGACAGCACTTGATGAAGAGCGATCCGTCGCCAATACGGGGACAGCGCTTGATGAAGAGCGATCCGTCGCCAATACGGGGACAGCGCTTGATGAAGAGCGATCCGTCGCCAATACGGGGAATCAGCGCTTGATGAAGAGCGATCCGTCGCCAATACGGGGACAGCGCTTGATGAAGAGCGATCCGTCGCCAATACGGGGACAGCGCTTGATGAAGAGCGATCCGTCGCCAATACGGGGACAGCACTTGATGAAGAGCGATCCGTCGCCAATACGGGGACAGCGCTTGATGAAGAGCGATCCGTCGCCACTACGGGGACAGCGCTTGATGAAGAGCGATCCGTCGCCAATACGGGGACAGCGCTTGATGAAGAAGCGATCCGTCGCCAATACGGGGACAGCGCTTGATGAAGAGCGATCCGTCGCCAATACGGGGACAGCGCTTGATAGAAGAGCGATCCGTCGCCAATACAGAGAGGAACAGCGCTTGATGAAGAGCGATCCGTCGCCACTACGGGAGAACAGCGCTTGATGAAGAGCGATCCGTCGCCAATAACGGGGACAGCGCTTGATGAAGAGGATCCGTCCAATACGGGGACGCTTGATGAAGAGCGACCGTCCAATAGGGGACAGCTTGATGAAGAGGATCCGTCCCAATACGGGGACAGCGCTTGATGAAGAGCGACCGTCGCCAATACGGGGACAGCGCTTGATGAAGAGCGACCGTCGCCAATACGGGGACAGCGCTTGATGAAGAGCGATCCGTCGATACGGGGACAGCGCTTGATGAAGACGACCGTCGCCATACGGGGACAGCGCTTGATGAAGAGCGATCCGTGCCAAACGGGGACAGCACTTGATGAAGAGCGACGTCGCCAAACGGGGACAGCGCTTGATGAAGAGCGATCCGTGAACGGGGACAGCGCTTGATGAAGAGCGATCGTCGCCACTAGGGAACAGCGCTTGATGAAGAGCGACCGTCGCCATAGGGGACAGCTTATGAAGAGACCTCAATACGGGGACGTTGGAAGAGCGATCCGTCGCCACTAGGGACAGCGCTTGATGAAGAGCGATCCGTCGCCAATACGGGGCACAGAAGCATCCGTGCCAATACGGGGACAGCGCTTGGAAGAGCGATCCTCGCAAACGGCGCGTGATAAGATCCTCGCAAACGGGGACAGCCTTGATGAGAGACGTAATACGGGGACAGCGCTTGATGAAGAGACCGTCATACGGGGACAGCGCTTGATGAAGAGCGACCGTCGCATACGGGACAGCTTGATGAAGAGATCCGTCGATACGGGACACCTTGATGAAGAGCGATCCGTCGCCAATACGGGGACAGCGCTTGATGAAGAGCGATCCGTCCATACGGGGACAGCGCTTGATGAAGAGCGACCGTCGCCAATACGGGACAGCGCTTGATGAAGAGCGACTCGCCATAGGGGACAGCGCTTGATGAAGAGCGATCCGTCGCCAACGGGGACAGCGCTTGAGAAGAGCGATCCGTCGCCAATAGGGACAGCGCTTGATGAAGAGCGATCCGTCCACTACGGGGACAGCGCTTGATGAAGAGCGATCCGTCGCCAATACGGGGACAGCGCTTGATGAAGAGCGATCCGTCGCCAATACGGGGACAGCGCTTGATGAAGAGCGATCCGTCGCCACTAGGGTATCAGCGCTTGATGAAGAGCGATCCGTCGCCAATACGGGGACAGCGCTTGATGAAGAGCGATCCGTCGCCAATACGGGGACAGCGCTTGATGAAGAGCGATCCGTCGCCAATACGGGGACAGCGCTTGATGAAGAGCGATCCGTCGCCAATACGGGAGAACAGCGCTTGATGAAGAAGCGATCCCCCCCCGTCGCCAATACAGGGGACCATCCCCCCCCCCCTCCCCCAAACCCACCCCCAGCGCTTGATGAAGAGCGATCCGTCGCCAATACGGGGACAGCGCTTGATGAAGAGCGATCCGTCGCCAATACGGGGACAGCGCTTGATGAAGAGCGATCCGTCGCCACTACGGGAGTACAGCGCTTGATGAAGAGCGATCCGTCGCCAATACGGGGACAGCGCTTGATGAAGAGCGATCCGTCGCCAATACGGGGACAGCGCTTGATGAAGAGCGATCCGTCGCCAATACGGGGACAGCGCTTGATGAAGAGCGATCCGTCGCCAATAACAGAAACAGCCTTGATGAAGACGACTCCCCCCCCCGTCCCAATACGGGGAACAGCGCTTGATGAAGAGCGATCCGTCGCCAATACGGGGACAGCGCTTGATGAAGAGCGATCCGTCGCCAATACGGGGACAGCGCTTGATGAAGAGCGATCCGTCGCCAATACGGGGACAGCGCTTGATGAAGAGCGATCCGTCGCCAATACGGGGACAGCGCTTGATGAAGAGCGATCCGTCGCCAATACGGGGACAGCGCTTGATGAAGAGCGATCCGTCGCCAATACGGGGACAGCGCTTGATGAAGAGCGATCCGTCGCCAATACGGGGACAGCGCTTGATGAAGAGCGATCCGTCGCCAATACGGGGACAGCGCTTGATGAAGAGCGATCCGTCGCCACTAGGGTAACAGCGCTTGATGAAGAGCGATCCGTCGCCAATACGGGGACAGCGCTTGATGAAGAGCGATCCGTCGCCAATACGGGGACAGCGCTTGATGAAGAGCGATCCGTCGCCAATACGGGGACAGCACTTGATGAAGAGCGATCCGTCGCCAATACGGGGACAGCGCTTGATGAAGAGCGATCCGTCGCCAATACGGGGACAGCGCTTGATGAAGAGCGATCCGTCGCCAATACGGGGACAGCGCTTGATGAAGAGCGATCCGTCGCCAATACGGGGACAGCGCTTGATGAAGAGCGATCCGTCGCCAATACGGGGACAGCACTTGATGAAGAGCGATCCGTCGCCAATACGGGGACAGCGCTTGATGAAGAGCGATCCGTCGCCACTACGGGTAACAGCGCTTGATGAAGAGCGATCCGTCGCCAATACGGGGATCAGCGCTTGATGAAGAGCGATCCGTCGCCAATACGGGGACAGCGCTTGATGAAGAGCGATCCGTCGCCAATACGGGGACAGCGCTTGATGAAGAGCGATCCGTCGCCAATACGGGGACAGCACTTGATGAAGAGCGATCCGTCGCCAATACGGGGACAGCGCTTGATGAAGAGCGATCCGTCGCCAATACGGGGACAGCGCTTGATGAAGAGCGATCCGTCGCCAATACGGGGACAGCGCTTGATGAAGAGCGATCCGTCGCCAATACGGGGACAGCGCTTGATGAAGAGCGATCCGTCGCCAATACGGGGACAGCGCTTGATGAAGAGCGATCCGTCGCCAATACGGGGACAGCGCTTGATGAAGAGCGATCCGTCGCCAATACGGGGACAGCGCTTGATGAAGAGCGATCCGTCGCCAATACGGGGACAGCGCTTGATGAAGAGCGATCCGTCGCCAATACGGGGACAGCGCTTGATGAAGAGCGATCCGTCGCCAATACGGGAACAGCGCTTGATGAAGAGCGATCCGTCGCCAATACGGGGACAGCGCTTGATGAAGAGCGATCCGTCGCCAATACGGGGACAGCGCTTGATGAAGAGCGATCCGTCGCCAATACGGGGACAGCACTTGATGAAGAGCGATCCGTCGCCAATCGCCCCGTCCCACTTTTCACCGAGATGAAGAGCGATCCGTTGCTAATACGGGGACAGCGCTTGATAAAGAGCGATACGTCGCCACTACGGGACAGCGCTTGATGAAGAGCGATCCGTCGCCAATACGGGGACGGCGCTTGATGAAGAGCGATCCGTCGCCAATACGGGGACAGCGCTTGATGAAGAGCGATCCGTCGCCAATACGGGGACAGCGCTTGATGAAGAGCGATCCGTCGCCAATACGGGGACAGCGCTTGATGAAGAGCGATCTCCGTCGCCACTAGGGTATCAACGCTTGATGAAGAGCATTTCGTTACTCTCGCCATTATTGTCACTAGCACTAGCTATTCTGCGCATGACATCCAAAATTACGATCTTACCACCGGTCTCGTTAGCTTTATCTACTAGATCAAAAGGGACATGGCAAGCGAAGCGCTATTTCGTCCTTTGCGGCTTTTGCAGTGCATTAAATGCTCGGCGTGCATCAGTATCTGCGATATCTCGCTCGTGAAGAGCATCTTCAATATCTGTTTGCTTTCGTCTTTGCAATTGAGATCCGTTTTACAATATTATTGAGGTCCTTTGTACGCCTTTGAGATCCTCTTTGATCTTAGTGCTTTCTGATTCAAGCGAGATTAATGTCTTATCCTTTCTTTCCACGCCTCGGACGCGGTTTTTACGATCCAGCCATTGAACACGTTGGAGGACCGGGTCGCCCTCTGGTAAATCTCCTGTGGATCGCAAAAATGCTTTCTTTATATCATCAGCTTCGTAAATTTTACTTTTATGCTGAGTTTTCATGAGACTATAATGATTCAAACGAAGTATATGCTGATGCTTCAGCTCTGCTTTCGATATTTCCTTCTTTTGACAAGGTCTTTCACAGTATCCTTTTCTCCTTTTGCAAATGCTTTAGCTTGAGCCGCACTGCGTATATCATTTGCAGCTTTTTTGAGCGTTTCAAATATATTCTTCGCCTTTTCATTTGCTTTGACAACCTTCTCGACATTCTCTTTGGCTTGCTCAAATTTCAGGTGATGTAGTTTTGCCTCCTTCTGCGTTAACTTGGTGCTAATACGTTCAGCTTTCTTGTCCAGTATCTTCTACTTCATTCCCCCGCCGGCTTCTAGCATGCTCGTGGCGGCTTCCTGCTTCTCTTGCACTCGATTTACGTCTGCTGTATCAATTTCAACTTTCTCGCTCGTACTTTTCCTGAATCCCGAAACAAGAGACTTGACCTTGTCAACTAGGCCTCTCTCTTCTTTTCCTTCGTCGGTCATAGATGCACCAGGTGGAGCTGCTCTAGCATGAACAGTAGGCTGGCTCGAGTCAGTTGCCGTGTTTGTCGAAAGCATCGACATGTCGTAAGCCTTGACCGTAGAACCACCGCACTGGAACGTTTCAGTAGCATGACGGTCACGAGAAACAGGAGGACGTTGTAAGACGAGGGTATGAATGACATGCATACACACAAAGAAGGAGGTGGTAGTTGCAGAATTGAAGCTTTGTGCTTGATGATGAGAATTCAAAAATGGCATTTTTACCATGCAAGGGAATATCAAATATATATTGCCAGACCCAATTGTCATGTTGAAGTGTATTTTTCTCATCTTGAATCGAGGTGTTACAAACGTGGAAGGACGGACATGGCAATTCCTAGATATAAAGGACGGTTTCTTTTCGTATAAGTCACCGTTTGTATTGCAACAGCTGATAAAGTGCTTTTATCTTCTGATGGTATCGCTTATCAATGCTAGCGAGCAATGATAAGCATGAAGGTAATAAATAGTGTAATGAGCAGACAGTCCTCTTCTACTCTCTTACAAAGTCTCTATGTTTTACAAGCAAAGTTGGAAAAGCTCAGTTTGTTGTCCGATTAATATCATCCTGTCGCCTTTCGTTGATTTGAATGATAAGAAAGAACCAAAGCAGTTGGAAAAGCTGTGAGCAAAACAAAAGTGATTCAAGTTGATGTTCGTTCGCAATACTTTGTCTAGTCCCTTCACTTGACGAACTTACCAATTTCTTCTGTGCAAAATGACTAGGTCTATTTGTACAGTATGTTATCCTTAGCCCTCGACCAAGGGGTGTATTTGATCCTACCAAAAACACAAGAGATGTGTTTTGTATAGGGTAACCTCTACTAGCATTGATATAAAAGTAGTACAGAGTTCTACGGCACGATCTTGGCCGGAATTTAATCAACAGCTGAAGCTGCCTCTCATAAGTTCCATACTGACGATAGACGACGGATATTTGCTGTGTCGACTTCTTGTAGTTCTGTCAGAAAAAGAAAGTTCATGAAGCATCGTTCATTACCGTCGTTGGTTCGTTCTTCCACAAGCAGACTTGCTTAATATGAATGTGCTTTCATGAATAACGTGTTTGAACGACTAAATAAATGCTGTTCTAACATGCCCCAAACCCATAAGTATAACTGATAACCTTTACTTACAAAGAAGTATCTTTGGTCCACAATTACACTGAATTCACACCGTCGCAACCCGCATATTCTAAGTCTAATGGATCTCATTCATCGTCTGTCAACTCAACAACTACAATTGTTTTTGCGCCTTATGGCGACTTCTTCACTCACACACGGTATACGCATTCCAGTTTCTAACTAACGTTCAGTTGGGCCTCAATCTCCAGGTGACCCCCGTCACGTGCAATGGGCACCCACAGCACCAATGAGCCACTTCCTCTACTAGGAATGCCCAAGAAAGATGGACGCCACCGGTCCATATACAACGTCTTTCCACCAAGCGCTTTAACAGTTGACTTCCACTGAGCAGTGCCTCCAGCTTTCACATCCACCTCGTCGACTTTGTCACCACCAGACATGATGTTCACCGTAACATCTTCGGTGTCCTTGCTCGTCAAGTTGACAATGACCACACCATCGCCTTTTCTGGTCCAAGAAATCGTACTATTCTTGAAAGCTTTCTTGAGCGCGTTCAAGCCCAAGGTGGCGGCGTCAGTGCCATCGTCAATTTCGCCCATGAACTGTGTCGGGCCACAGATTGTCTGGAGGAATTCGGCAAACAGAGTCGACAGATCTGTGGGCTCCAGACCGGTGACCGAAGCAAGGTTAAGAGCTGTGTCTGCCCACAAATAAGCGCTGCTCTTCATAGCCAAGGACGTTCCATTGTCACTCGTGCCATGCTTGATGAGGTCGTTCACAATAACCCCAAACGTCTTACGAAGTATTTCGCGCGTCTTATACGCGGTAGCCTCTGTAGACTCGGCGATCATTTGACTCATGCAATTGTTGGTCACCATAGGGATGTCGTACAACATAAGGTCTGACTGGCTTATTTTGAGGCGGATTTCGGCCTCACTGATGCCAGGGCTCTTCTCTCTGTACTCACTTATCGTCATCCAGACAAGATTCGTCGCTGACCTCAAGTCATCACTGCAAGTCGAGTTCTGCTTCATAGCCGTTTCTAGGCTCGAGATCTCACCTTCTGTGATTTTAGAAGCAGCTTCCGTAAAGTTAGCTTTGTTCATGAACGCTTTGAAATGTTCCCAGCCCGAAATGATGTCATCATCAAACGCAAGTACCAAGAGAAGAATGTATTGAACAGTGGGCATCAGACCGCGTGCCATCTGAAGGCTTGGCGGTATCGTCTTGCCCCTGCACGCGTAGATCGTAGCTGGCAGATCGGCAACGACCCAATTTGTCTGGTACAGCAGCAGAAGAAGTTTCTCTTGCGATGTTTGCGGGTCCAATAACATTTGGTTGCGCGTAAAACGAACAATCGCTCTCGTTGCCGTCATCAGCATGTTGGCACACCTGACAGCCCATCCCACTTTCTTTCCCAGTTTTGCCAACTCTCCAAACACACCGAACGTTGCCATACTCAAGGTAGACATGGCTACAGCGGAAATCTTGGCAATGTCCTCACGAAAACAGTCATTGTTCTGTGGAACACACTGCATGCCACACTCGACAGGATAATCCATCGGGCATTCCGTCCAACAGGTATTCGTGAAGTCGTTGCGGTCGTAGTTACTCGGACAGACATTCATGATGTGAGCTTCACGGTAACATGCCGAGCTCGCGGCTTGACTCCAAGGTCCTACCCAGTTACGGAATTTGGGTTTAAAGTTGCTCGCGACTGTCGAAGGTGTGGCAATATCATATTCAGCAGGCATTCGAGACGGCGATTTTGTAAGTGGCGTGGCCCTGACAGTCTCAGCCATCAAAGATGACGACGAGGACAAAGGAGGCTTTGCGGTAGGCGGTTTGTCAGTTTCAGCTGACAAGTCTCCCGATAGAACCAACGACTTGACGCGGTCCATGTAGTCGGACCCCATCATACTCGTGAGAGCTTCAGGCGACAATATCTCAGTATCCGTGACGGCAGCGGGCTCAGTGGTCGAGTCCCTGTCATCATTCCAAAATGTCCAGTCGATGGCTTGTGCAGCAGTGGCAATAACGGCAACAAGAACAAGCGGTATTCTTGGTCGGATCATTTGAAGCAACACGTAGTGTTTGAGAATGGAGCTCAAACTTGGCTTTTTCGTCTTTGGCCGCAAAAAGAAGAATGAAAAAATGTCGATCTTGAAAATTCCCTTGCTGCTTTTGGATTGCTGCTGTTGGGACTTAGCTGGGCTGGGCTATATATCGACAGGTTGCAGGGGCGATTTGCGGAAAAGAGGTGATGGTCTACGTTGCATACAATCAAGCCTGTCACTCAAAGCCTGTCACTCAAAGCCTGTAGCATGAAGCTACGATTTTTGAAATACGTCAGAAAGGAGGGTAGTGGACGCATTGGTACTCTCAATAAGGAGCTAAGGTTTCAGTTTAGCCTCTCTCGGATCGTTACAATATTGCAAGTTCTTACACCACCTGTGAAAGCAATCATGACTTCACAATCTCAAGTGCTATGTTAGACTTGTTTCGGTAGCAAATGGTCGCATCTCAAGCGGATGTGGCTAGAGAATGGGACAAAAAGCCGACGATCGTGTGGTTCCACTCTGGCCAAAACCACCTTGCCGGTCCTGATGCTGTGTGCGTCACGAGCGCATCTTTTGTCACCGCCTTGTGGTGATGCAGGGCTCGTAAGCTACCACAAGGCGTTCATTGGTGGACTGAAATGGGCTAGATAGGGGAATCAGATTACAAACGGATTTCGAAACATATGTCAAACCAAGTCTTGGTGCATTAGAAAGAAGTCGTGAAGAAGATACGACATCGACCCCAAGTGAGCGTTGCAAAGCAGTATTGGCTACTTTGTTGTCCATTTTGCATATTGTGCTTACTTCCTGAGGTATCACAGCACAAGCTACGTAGCTTTGGCGCATCTTTATAGTGTACATACTCATACTTCTTGGTACAAATACATTAGAACATCCTTCAGCATAAACACATGACAATGTCCTGCGCCAATGAGGGAACTCAAATGCCTCGAGAAGGCTGCGTCACAGGGGATAGAATCCAAACAACGGCATTTCAGATTTATATTATCAGTCGAGTATGAGTACGACGTACATAGACTTTGTGCGAGAAAAAAGGTCGGACTGTCTCAAACTACTACCAAGACGCTACCCCGGCACACGCTTCAATGCGGCTTCCCGACTCATTCTTCGCCATTGAAAGCAGCAGGTCATGAGGGTCACCGCTTTGATGATAGAAATTGCCATGGTCCCAAATACTGTTCAAGCTCACAGCTTGAGCATGAATCTGCCATTTCAATTTCCTTAACTCGCTTTTACATCGAGTTGCTCCTGCTCAGATCCAAGATGCTGCGTCCGGTGATGACACATGTAGGATCTGTTTGTCGATGGTGCCACGTCCTTGTTTGCCCATATTCGTCTGGTCTCATCTGATGCTATGGGTGTCGACAAATTTTCGCAAACGAATTGGCCACGAGGAGACAAACGCAGAAGCAATTTAGATGAAAACTACACCGTGTCCGGCCCGCGTCCTGTCAGTAGTAATTATATCGAGTAGCGCCACTGGATTTATAGTGTGTCAAGTCTAGCCTCAGCGCCTTCAACACTGGTCATCCGATCTTTCGTAGCACAATATGTGGGGTTCCGCAGCTATGTATTGCTTCACCGTCACGGGAATATCCTTGTAATGCAAGTTGAGCAGCTGCCAGGAGTCCTCTGTTTTCCAGGCCAGTCCATGCTATCAGGATCTCTCGCTCCGCCGACTTTCACTGACACTCTTTAGAATCAGCAACCATGAGAAAAGATGTCTTGGATAGCCACGTGTCTGCTCACAAGATTTCTTTGCTAATTCGAAAAGACGCATTCTCGTACATTTGATCCAGAGCGAATCACTGGTTTAGATAAGGTGCGCTATGTGTAAGCATGTTAGATAAATGTAGTAGGGGCTGCAACCAAGTCATCCAGATCATTTGATGGTTTCGGGATGCTAATGAAAGGTTTTACCAGGAGGGTCCACGTATATGTCTGGATGAATAACTCGGTTTTGTCCATCTAATCGTAGTTTGTTTTCACTACAAGCAATTCGCTAATCGACTTTCTTCGGTGTCGTCTTCTTTTCTCAAACCTTGAACAGGAGGGCACAGTTTCCTGTGCAACTTGTGTCTCCCTAGCTTATCGTAGAACTATTGCGGTCAATGCAAGCGGCCACTTGCGCTTCTCCACCATAACCAGGGGGGACAGCAATGATCGAGTTCCCCCCCCCCAAAATTTATACGTGCGTTTATGAAGACGCAAGTACGACGTCTTCATTAATAACCGCGCCAAGCACGGCACATCGACTATATAGGTTACAAAGAGACTTCATTGAACGATTCGAAACCTGCGTAGCCAAAATGGGGGTACAGTCATGCTGCAGTCGATGAACCTACTCCAGGACAACTGCTTTACTGCTCTTGCACTGGACGGCAGTAGCGTGAGCTCACACGGTATACGTGATACGGTCCTACGCAACAATACGCAGCTTGCGATAGCTGTCTCCTTATCTCGCCCGAGGATGAGAAGGTGACTTCTACAGATGTTTGACACGAGATGGCTTACTCTGTTCAATGGCCGAGCACGGGAGCAAGCTATACGTACATACAAAACATATATATATCCTTAGAGATCGCTAGCTCCGCGTGCTGATACAGCATACTGGAGGCTATGGCTTGCGAGCTAGAAGACATTCTGTCACTACTTACAATATCATAAGTCTTTCGAATTACTGTGCTGTTTGTTACATTGCGACACTTGAGTCGTGGCAGTTAAGAGGTGATGTAACGTAATCGAACGACGTGAAAAAAGAATGGAAAGAGCTGAACGATGTGGAAACGTTATGAGCTTTTCCGACAATTGAACATTGAATTCGGTTTTATATTACAACTAGTAGTTTAGATTGCAGTCATGAACATGCGTTTTGATTGCAGTTATGGTGTTTGACATTTTTTAGTCATCAACACTATTATCAAACATTGAGTTCTTTTCACGCGTATAGAATATATCCTGTAAGAATAAATAAGTCACTCTACAGTAAGATGATAATAAAACGGCTGAATCTGTAAAATGACTTTATTTGTTTTAATCGTTTAGGACGTTTCAACTTCAAAACAAACATGCTAAACTCTTTTCAGCTAATTTTATGAATCGCTATCGCTTCGTGTCTCAAGGCTTAGCCACGATATAGTAGGTTGTACCAAAATGGAAGCGGTATACAGTCTCTACTTCCAGACCGGCCTCCTTCACTAGCATCAGAATGTCTCGATTCCAATGACAGCCCCACTTTTGAGCATGCAAATCTGCAAACTTATCCAAAATACCCGACAGCCACGTGTAGCTGCTCCGACCATGCTCTAGCAATAGTATTCGACCGCCGTCTTTCTTACACACGCGTTGCATCTCCCGCAACGTCCGCAACGAATCGTCCATGCTACAAAGTCCAAAAGTATCCACCACCGTGTCAAAATGATTGTCAGGAAACGCTAGCTCGTCTGCGCTCATTACACGCAATTCACAACTAGCCAGTCGCTGCTGCTGTGTTTTTGACACTTGGTCTAACATCCCACAACTGAAGTCGGTCAAAATCGTCCGAGAGGTGGGAGGATAAAATGCTAAGTTCCGGCCCGTTCCAGCGGCTACCTCAAGGACGTATCCCCTTGCCTTCCTCAATAGGAGACGTCGCATGAGTGAGATACCCATAAGTCGTTCGTCCCAGTCCACTTCCTTGTCGTATTTTGACGCGTTGGTGTCAAAAATGTGCAGTCGCTTGGCGTCATTGACAGGTATTGCAGCAGAAGAATGAGCAGTGTTTTTCCTCGGATCGTATAGCGTCACATAAGTAGCAAAGGTTACACCTGCATAGAGTGCTGCACTGCCAAACAGCACCCCTGGTCGACGCCAAAACGACGCCATTTTGACGACCAAGTAATTTATGACAAACTGGTGTTGAAAGGGTACAAAAGTTGTAGCTTTTCATTGTTGCGCTTACTTCAGTAGAAAAAAGAGGTCCAAATCAAATACGAAAGGATCGAATTTTGTGTACCAGTGATTTCTATCTGAGATAATTACGCTAAAACGTCAAAAATCTTAATACTTAGAAATTAGTTAGTATTGACTTTTGCTTGCTATAAATCTTAAGACAGCGTCAACGCTTTCGATCGAATTGCATTTTCATAATTTTTGTGTCCGAGCTGTCAGCATTCTCTATTTTCTATCGGTTTTAAGGGCTTTTTTTAAATTTTTATATTGTATTGTATATTGTATTTATTTAGGAGAAAAAACATTTATTAATCATATACAAAACTAGCCATGTTTTAGCCCTAGTTTTATGTTATCCGGATAGTCAAATTAAATTTAATACAACTCATCTCATGGAAAAACGTGACCTATCTTCGCTGCTATTGGCCTCACGAGATGTTGTAAATGTGCCCGTTCTGGACGAAACATCCTTTCACTTGGGACACTACTGCGATGGAAGTTTGCTGAAATTTCACGGCGTAGTACGCGACGTGCAAGATCCAGAATTGGTGCATCTTGGTGACGATATATCTCTTCTTGAAAACCAGGCGGCATTGGTGGAGCGACTGCCTCTTGTCGTCACTGTATTCCCTCATATCAGTGACTGGGCTAAACGTACCTATCGTGCAAAAGCAATTGGCGATCAGAATGATGGTCATTGCAGTGAGAGTGATGGTTGTTGCAGTGGGAGTGATGGTCCTGCAACTAACAAAGGCACAAAGCGCTCCAATACTGCCGTGGACAAAGAGATGGATGAGTTATCTCAACAGGACCAGGAAGAAGCTCATGTGAAAAAGTCTAAGCCTGTGGCGATGCAGAAACAACAAGATTGTCGACTAGTACCTCAGGCTGTCAACATTTACGTCTACGATGGCCAATACAAGGACATGCCACTGGATGCTTTCAAGGTAAATGAGGCGTTTGAGTTTGTAGGCATCTTGGACTTGATGGTACCTGGTACTAACACGAAGAAAGACATTGCTGGGAGTGTGCAGAATGTCACGCAACTCGAGGAGCTTCAGATCTCCGACTGCATTGAAGAAATGCAGCACAAATGCCAATCGGGTGTCGTGCTGCACTGCTCTCACGTCAATAGACTGGAAGATGTGCATCACGTACGCCCTCATGAGTCGAGTGAATATTACAAGCAGATTCAGGTGAGTAATGACACGAGAACAAAGTTTTGCTTGGACGAGTGGACGAAACTAGGGCAAACAGCAGATGTGGATACGATGCGCAACCAGATCGTTGACTATTTGACACAGACAGTGTGTGGAGATAAGCTTGCAGCAGAGTACTTATTACTGGGTCTAGTATCACATGTGTATTCGCGAGCGGATCCATCGACACCGCTTGGTAACTTATCACTTAATTTGTCCCTTGCTAAGTCATGTACGGAAGAACAGAAGCAAGACTTCATTGCTCGAATTCTACAGACGTTGAAGTCTTTGATGCCTATGGTGGCGCGAGTAGATCTGTCGCTGGAGGAGTTAAATTCGACCAAGTTTATGCCGCACAAGGATTATGAGCGAGAGATCCTACTGGGTGGTGTACTGCAGGTGGCAAACGGGACGACAGTGCTTGTAAATGAAACCGCGTTGACTGCGGGAAAGCTGAATGACCAAGGTGTAAAGAATATTGCTGCTCTGCAGTCGCTAATTGACAAGATGCTTCTGCCGTATGACTTTCACTACTACAACATGGATTTTCCACAGGACGTGGCTGTGGTTACAGTGTCAGAAGGCAAAAGTATCTTGCCCGTTACTGTATCCGTACCTGTCGTATCTCCGGCTGGTACTAATGCCGTGGTGCAGCCTTGTTTATTACCTGAGGAACATGTACTAGAGTGCTTTCGCGTGTTTCTAAGCGTACTGCGGTCGTTTGTGGTCACTATCGGAAACGAAGAAGCCGAGATAGCCGAGAAGCACTACGTCGAGTGCCGAAAGTCCCAGCAAAAAGTGGCGGTACATATTTTAAAGCGGTACTTTGCGTGGTGATGAACAAATAACAAAAGCTGACAAATATTTATGTGTATGATGTACTGCAGCTGGAAGATCTTCATCGCTGGTTGCGGCTTGCTCGTCTTGTAGCGCTCAGTCGAGGAGAAGGACAGATTTCGAAGGGCTCATGGAAAGCAATGCTGATGCTGGAGACTGAACGACTTGCTCGTCTGCCTACTGAAAATCCTCAACTCTAGATTTTGACGCAGATGCGCGTGTAATGAAGATTGATCAGAAGGATCAACTCACGACCACTTGATCGTGATGAATGTTGCGCGCGTACCTGCCTCAGCCACTCGCATCGGGTGATGATGTCGCAGCACATATCTCTCTATGCCATTGTAATATTTGATGCGTTTGAGCGTCTCCTCCACCTCGGTCGGTAAATGGCTCAAAGAAATAGGGCGAGATAGATTTATAGGCATGTGAAGAGCTCGGATATTGACGGTACTTTGCAACACGTTGAGAATAATTTACCAGGCGACGTTATGGTAGTTGCCAATGCAAAAGACGTCACAAAACCTACGTCACCAATGCATCAGTCCACCCTAAATTGGGTACATATTACCAGAATAATAACGATTAGAAACTGATTGGATGAAGCTGCTGCAACGGTATGACAGTTGGTGGTGCAAGTAGTAGTAAGTTGTATGAGTGTTTTGGTTTACCTCATCAATCAATGACTGGGTTCCGACTACTGACATAATTTGATCCATACAGTGAGTATATTTCGAATCTTGGTGTCATGTGCAGCACATCAAGATTCAGTTTACCTTTTTTAAAATACTTCAACAACAAGAGATTGGCAAGAGTGGAATTGAAGTGTTCGGAAAAAAGCCAGGCCTGTTGGAGGAAAAAAAATGCTGGTATTTGTTCCTCTTACAATTAATATCTCAGAGATACAAGATGTTGCTTGAAAAACGATGCGCTTAGAACTCTATGCGCTTATAATTTATTGACGTGTATTCTATCTTAGCTTACATTGATGTCCACGTTCATTTCAAGATGACCACCTTCGGAAGACCTTGGTACCCACAATAAAAGAGAACCACCATTTGAATTAGGAATGCCCAAAAATCCCGGACGCTTTCGAGTCAAGTACATGGTCTTGTCCTGTAATGCCTTCACGGTCGTTGTCCATATGACAGTCTCACCTTGACAAACATAAACTGAATCAAATTTTTTACCTCCCGAGTGAATAACCACAGTCACATCCTTAATATCATGGCTAGTAAAGGTGATCTTCACAATACCGTCACCCTTCTTGGTCCACATTCCTTCACTGCCGAGGAAAGCTTCGTCCATGATTGTGAGTCCTAGTGCATCTCTAAGGTTTCCATCGTCAATTTCACCAATGAATTCCGTTGGACCACACACTGACTGCACGTAGTTGAATGTCATGTATGCTATACCTGTGGGATCGAGCGCTGAGAGAACGAGAAGTCCCAAGTTAGATGTTGCAACCATATAATCCTTCCTTGCCATAGCCTTGCCCATGTCTGTGGTCGAGCTTGCAATCAATTGATCGACAATTACCCCAAAAGTTTTCCTCAGCGTATCTCGCGTCTGATACGCGACATAAGGCTTCTTCTTCTTTAACAATTCACCCATGCACTTGTTCGTGACGGTCGGAACATCCTGCAAAATTATAGACGACTTGATCATCTCGGTTCGTATGTCTTCATTAGTAGCGCATGGATCCTCGTCACGAATGTCGGCAATTTTAGCAATAACTCGGTCTGTAAGTCGTTTGAGATTAAACCCACAAGAAGAGCCAGAATTTATCATCGACGTGAGACTCGCCACACTCTGAGCATCGAGATTTTTTACCGACTTTCCTGCTGTAGTATTTCGAAAGAATGACATAAATGCATTTGCCGAGCTCATAATCATATTATGGTTCATCACCAGTTGTTTGACAAAAGTTTCCGCGGCGGTCACGACTGCATCAGCAAAAGGGGCATACGATGGAACAGTATAGCCCATGCACGCAGTCATAGCAACTGGTAGATCGACAAGAAACATATCCGTTTGAAAAACTGCACCAAGAAGCTCCTCTTGTGTCCCGTTTGGAGTCGTGAGTCTTCGATTTCGCATGAAACGCGAGATGCCTTCCGCAACATTAAACACGCTGAAGGCGCACATGACCCCAGTCTTGGCAGTCTTAAATGAAGTGTAAATTGCGCCAAACACACCGGCCGTAGCAATGTTAAGTACTACGTAGCCCGGGTTCGTAATCTTGGCCATGATTTCCAAAGTACAATCGTCATTTTGAGGAATACATTCTGAGAAACACTGAACAGGATACGAAATCGGACACTGCGCCCAGCACTTTCGTCTCTTTACGTCATAGCCTAAAGGACACTCACCTCGTGAGTTCTGTTTATACTTTTTTCGGTAGCACGCCGTGTCGATAAAGTCTCCAATACTTGGACCTACCCAGTTAGGAGGTTCCGTACCGTCTATTGGAAAGTTTAACGTGATCTCTGGAACCAACGTGTAAGATAATTTTGGCTCGTTCAAAGAGTTTTCAGGCTCAAAAGTCTTTGCAGGATTCGAAACGTTTTCCGAGGTCGTTAAACTCGATGATGCAGTGGTATTGCTGCTAGAAAAGTCGTCTGATGATATAACGACCTTAAGTTCATGCGTTACCACCACATAATGAGCATACACAAGCAGTAGGCAGAACGCCAGCCGCGTCCTCAACATTTTGGAGGCACCTGCCTTGGAGCCGCAAATTTCAAAATGAAAAACCCAAAACCGCAGGATGGGTGTCTCTCGTTGGTTTAGTGTTATAGATTGTACTAAAGGTTTTCACTGGGCGTCATGATAATGTTGTATCACCAGTGAGTGAGAAGAAATGAGAATGTATACGACTATCTACTGATATCGTCCGCACAAAACAAGGAGCTCCAATGGTACAACTGATGCGATCAGAGCAAAGCTAGAAGGAATACCGAAGGTTAGGGATGGTAAGAAACCTTATACAATGAATACCATATATACGATATACCATATAGTTTTAGTTCTTTAAATATCCATCTGCAACGTTTTAGTCATACTATTCACTCTTACGACGAGCAATATTGTAAATGCCTTGTCTTTGTTGTAAAAGTCTTGTCTTTCTCACGCCATATGGTTTAGTGAGCTGTTCTTTTGGAACGTTCTGTAATGCGCGGGTATGTGTCACAAGACAAGGGTATCTTAACAAATGCTACGTCCTTGAGTTTGATAACGCCTTATACATACAAACTTTGCATCATAATTAAGTGTCAAGGACCTCCTTTATCGCATTCTCCGCCTAGAAGTAGTAGATATTCTGTCCAAGTTACTAGTTGCTCGTGCATAGCCAGCATGAGAAAAAGATACTTTTTGTTTAGAATCTGTGAGATGGCTATGCTTGAAGGATCACAAGCCGGGTCAAATGCTCTTTTTGTTCACGTGCTAGGGCAGAATTGAAAACGCGATGGTGCAACACGCATCGTGTACAATGACGAGACGAGTTCGACCAAGATAATTGTATTACATAATTCGTAAGAGTATCATTCAATACTGATCTGCATTGTATTCTTCTAACTTCTTACTGAAACACTGTCATGGATCAATCGATTTGTCTGTGGATGCATGATCCTTACTGCGGACCACTATATATAACTTCAGTTGTGATTAAAAACTCGATAAAGTGTGAGTTGCCTTCTTCATCTGAAGCACGAAAATGAATTTAGTTGGTATGGTGTGTCAATCTTATTGGCCTAAGCGAGTCGAGGCAGCGGTCTCAAGCGACATCAACGTCATTGTAGATGTCTACCAAAATAAACAGATTAAGGCAGAGTTTTGCTACTGAAAGAATGGTACGCAAAGCATTCGTAGCGATAAGAAGGGGCTGGCAAGATGTAAGAACACGACACAAAGCAATCTCTTTCATAACACCGTCAAAGTTATTTACAGCATGTTGGATGTGTAAAGCGGCTACCGCGTCATGTTTTTTTTCTACTGTAGCTTTACCTTCATAAAAGCAAATAAGTAGCGCCAAAACTCTTTTGCTGCGACTTTGTCCAAATGCCGCTTGTCGGGATGAATCTGTCGGGGCAACCCAATACAACCGTAAGACAGATACAAATAAACAGAAAAACACTCACACATACCATAAGCACTTTCACATCCCACTGCTTAATGTCAGGATTTAGCTGAGAACCTTGATTGTAAATGTGAACTCCGCACACTACACCTCGCAGCATATACACCAATTAGCAAATACCAGCTTGCACGCCTATGCAAAACGGCATACCTTTCTTAAATACTTCAAGAGGAAATTTCCACTTCCACCCCTTGAACTGCCACGACTGCCCCGACACAATTACACCAACAACGGAGCGCCTAAGACATACATCCAGCACCAAAACACTCAATACGCCAGCACAACATTCGATACACTAAACACTACGCACCAGTCCTTGTCACGAAAGCGATTAACAGTGTCCACCACCTTGAACGTGTAAAGATGTCCGTCCTCTTCGTGCGTAATCATCATAGACTGTTGTTTCCGGTTTCCCTCTGCTTTCTTCTGCATATTCGACACATACACGCCTTCCTCAAGAAAATCTTTGGCGTTTAGCATTGTAAACAAGTCCGAGAAACCTGCAGGCACTACAATAATCGGAGTGCCCAGAATCTTCTCTTTTACGAGTCGATGCATAGGTAATTGCTCTTTTTTCGTTATCGTTGTCGCTACTAAAGAAGCTTTCGTGGCCTTCTCAATCTTCTCCTTGGTCTCTGCATTCACCAGCTCGAGCAACTTCATCACATTATCAAACTTGGTCGTATGTGCATCCAGCACTGTCGTTCTTGTCTTGATGACGTATTCCTTGTCCATAATTCTCTTCATCTCAGCTTCCACCTCCACTTGTCGCAGTGTCTTATCCTGTTTCTGTGGTCTCTGCTGCTCCTGCTGTTGCTCCTTCTCTTGCGCCATCTTTTTTATCTTAGTAGCTCTTGTATCCTCTTCTCCTTCTCTCGGTTTCTTTGCTACATTCCGACGATCCTTTTCACCTCGTTTTGTCGTAGGTTGACCACTAGCGTCTAAAATCTGTGGACTAGTCTCAATGTCCCCTTTCAAATACGCCATCAATTCCTTCTTATCTACAGTCGACACCATAGCAGCCTTCTTCTCTCGACACTTGAGTACGTAATCACTAAAGCTCAGTGTCTCATACTTGAAGCACGTATACACAGCCAATAGGTCGTAGCTCTTGTCCAGCTTTTTTGAATGGTATGCGGTCGCATTGTGCTTGGGAAGACGCCGAATCTCCACACCTCCAACGTCATAGAATACCAGATCTTCATCTTCAACGCCCACAGACTTACCAGCAATCAAGTGCTCACGTAGTGCGCGCAGTGTGGCAAGAGGAGTGTTGGTCATGGACGCCATTTTTTATTATTCGGTGTGAAGTGGACAAATTTGGGTCTGTTACTTTTCAAATGGTCTTTGTAATTGGGTAAAACCTACCCGCAGCTGTTGACTTTTATCTTTTTTTCTTAAAGTTCCTTTGTCTCTCTGATCCTAAAAAACATACCATTTAGGATATTCTAGATTTAGGATTAACTCGATGAATAAGCCTTATGTCCTGCTCTACTTTGATGTGAACAAGGTTTGTTTATTGTAATGAATACATTGATTTATTTCTAGGTCGTACTATATTATATGAATATGTCATATGATGATTTTTTGTGTATATCTATAGACTATAATTATGCATGACCAAGTGCAGAATAAGACTCTGCCCCATGTCCTAAACGACCTATTAACAGAACACGCTTTAGGACGAATCGACGGCGAGTCTCATCAGGTCTGGAACTGGAATGGAGAGAAAGCTTTGGATACAACTCGAGAGAAAAATAGTGTCAACTGTGTCTCGTATGGAAACTTTCTGAGAGCTCAGGTGCGTCATTATGACCAATGCAGTGGATTGACGACTCGATGACGCTGTGTTGTGTTTGTAGTTTCCCATTCCAGATGACCCAAATGTCGCCAAGAAGAACAAACACATGAGAAAAATGCTGCGTCAGGAGTTTACGACAAAAGGGAGTCCAGGACAGGGTTTAACATCGCAACATCATGCACTACTGCAACATATACTGCTACCTGATACAGCAGCAAGTGAAGCGCAATTGGAAAATGTGGGACTTGGAAAGTCATCTTACTGTTTTATTGTACCGGCATTCTTTAAGCTTTTGCAGTATCTTCAGAGACACGAAATGTCATTCAATCTCATTTTTAGGACATTTGGTGATGATCTGCATTCGGTAGCGAATGAGTTCAATAGTTTCTGTGAAGGACGACACCCGTGCTTTCCGCTGGCTAAACCTATGGATGGATCGGATGGAGGTATTGACCGTCGCATACATCTTGATAACATATCAAATGGGAAAATGCCTCAATTTGGAACCTTTTTGCGAGCGGAGGGAACGACGGCGCTCATTATGGGCACTTTCAAGCAGCCTAAATTAGTTGATACAGTGGACCCTTTGACATTTTACGCTTCTCAAACGGACTCTATTCGGATCATACAAGGATTGCCAAAGATCCATACTTTTCTTGCTCGGTATTGGCGACAGTCGCAAGCGACATTAGCGTTGCGTGACTTTTACCCGCATTGGTTCATTAACAAGGAAGATGCTACTGCTGGAAAGTTGTTGACGTTGGACCCAACAGATGAGGCTGAAAATGTCCATGCCATTTTTTCGATGACAACATCTTGTCACATGACGCGCATATTGTAGATGTGCGGTTGGCACATACTAATGATGCTGTAGACTTTGAGGAAACGCGTGAGCTGCATCTCATGCGTGTTGAACCACTTGATGTAATCCAACGCGACACGTACTTTATTGAGCGCTTGGAAACTTCGTTGCAGCGATGGAAATAGAAGCAAACGTTGTCGGCGTAAAAAGCTGGCATTTTTTGCATATCATGTTAACTTTGGTAAGCTGCACTAGACGACATGAAGCGAGTGGTCACATGGATATGGGTTTGCTTGGAAATTATCATGGGCGTTTATTATAACCAGGAGCGCTATTTTTACGATGGGGGGCTACTTGACGATTTGGGAATGTAATTGATTTAGGAGCTCGTTTAACTTGCTACAGACGATAGCCAATAAAGCTACCGTTTGATCATTGTGGACTCGTGGGGCACGATCGTAGTGGGATATCGGGTATGATAATGTTCGTCACCAAACACTAGTTCTGTAGCTTTACTTTACCACGAAGCGGCCATAACCTTGAATTGTGTTTCGCGAGACCGACCACCAGTATATTCTCGTTGACGTACTCCAAAGTTGACTTTGTCGTCAAGCAGAGTCTGTAAGACTTGGTTTTGTCGGTAGCAGGACATCACCATATCTTCATTCTAAGCTCAGCTTAAGGGTTCAACATATGCAGACACGTAGTTTGCAGCAAAAGTGCTGTCCAGTCGAGTCCCATGATCAGCACATTGCTTAAAGCACAACATCAGTAAAATACTGTTAAACTTCTGACAGCTTTGCAATGTTTCATGCTATGACGCTTGAATTTATTGTCCACATAGAGGCTTTGAAACATAGCTTACTGTCATCTGCACCATCCACTAATATGATAGACATCACAAACGCACGGACGCATACGCACGCTTGATCAGTTCAGTCACTTCATTGTATAGGACTGGTCCAAGTGAGACGGCTCAATTCATCATTCATCCAAAACCGTTATCAAACTTTTTCCTGAGTAGTATCGTCAGACCATGTTCTCAGCAGATAAACCGGACCCCGGTTGTTTTTCATTCCAAATCGCAACCGTTTGAAGACGGTGCTCGTCAAATATCATCTTGATGTAGCACAATACAGCAATGTGCTTGCTATACCAAGGAGTCACGTGTATGTGTTGCTATAAGTGGTTTGGCACTTATAGCAACTCTTAATCGCGAGCAGACGGGTCTTAAGTTACCAAGTAGGTGTAGTAGTAGCGTTTGTGTTGTATCCTGCTTGGCATGGCAGGGGGTTTTGTAGGCGACACGACGCCTTCGCCAGCTGCGGCGTATCGGTACGGGCATTATCATGTGAGGACTGTTTTAGAAGCAAGTTCAAATGGCCAGCAACAATGCGAGGACAACTTGAAGACACATTCAAGTTGTCCTCGCATGGTTGCAACGAATTTGCGAGCAGAGGACCTTATCTAATGCACTTTGAATTCTAAATTTGAGTGATATACGACCTTAGTTTATGCTGCTACCCTTTCGTTGGCTACATGATGCTCCCAATTGCGGGTGTCAAGTTCTACGAGTGATTATCGTCTGCTCTTTCGTAGACATGAACGGTCCATGATCATTGAAGCATCGAACCCATAGATCATCGACTTTTGCAGCTAAGTAGTCAGTCATGTCACTGCATCTCCAAACATGCGTTGCACGCGTGATATGCTTGTTCACCAGATACGGAACGTAAATGGTTGTTCCATCACATGCCTCTACCCGTCACTAACAACTGCTACATTCACTACGTGACCTTAAAATACCGGTGTGAGTGCCTTCCTGGTGTGTTGGAATCACTTCATAACTTCGTGATGTTGCTACCGTGGCACTGGAATAATTGGCATTGTAAAGTCCTACAAATTCATGCAGCTGTCGTAATATCCTGTAGATATAGATTAATAATCACCATTGGTGACTCTCGCGTTGACCCCGACGGCGCAGGTCGGGTCAGGTCGCCAAACGATAAAGATGAAGGCTCGACTTCTGCCTTCAATGTAAATGTGCAGCACCAAAATGCGCTACTTGCTAGACCTAAATGCTTTATATTGCAGGTGAGACTTAGGTCGATGATTTCTGGACGTGACCACATTGTAAACTCGACGTCATTCTACTGATCAGTTGAGGCTCTATTCGTCTCATACTGCTAGCAGCAAAGTAATCGTCTTTTTGGGCTTGAAGGGCTTATGAAAGCTGAACTTGTTATATGACGTACGTCTGCGCGATGAGAAAGCGGACGAGAATCGTGTGTACAGATAAGGTCGCGTATGTCAAAGTATGCTGTAGACTCTACATCGTTGTGTCACCAGTCACGCCCCGATGAGGCCATTTGCGCTAGTGGGAATGGCCGCCCCAACAGGTTATTCACACAATGAAAATGTTTTGTCGTTATATACGTTGAAGATGTCATTTGCAACATGCTTACGGAGAAGCATAAACAAACTGTAAGCTGAAGCGTCGAACCAATTGCAGGATCAGTCGAACCCTGGAAAGCCTTCGTGGAGGTCCTTGCATGGGCACGGACGCATAATCTACCTCTGATGTCGATGGTGTCAACATCCACATCATGAGCGCTTCATGTCAATCAACGTCGATGTTGACACCATCGACGTCAGAGGTAGATTATGCGTACGAAGCTCATCACCGCCTTAGCTTGATCGAGTAAGTCATCTGCTTACCGTTTCTGTTTAGTGCGTCCCCTTGGCATCTGTACATCATCGCTGACTGATTGTTTTAGATGTCGCTATGAGTGACTCTTTTTGGATTTCGGATGTTTGCGTAGTAGACCAGGAAGGTTTGACTCGCAACAATTTGAAAAGCATGTAAAAGATTCGCCACGAAAGAAGCGTTTTCATTGCAAGAGGGACGAACAAGCAAAGAGTTCGGCTTTTGTGTCTTACCTTGATTGCACTTCTTGTAACTACCAACATAATTCCAACACACTATTCTCCAAAACGTCTGTCACGCTTCGCGTAGGAGAAATGCTGAGGACAGCATCTCTCTTCTGCTTTCAAACTCGCTTACTTCCTTACCTTAAATGCAGCCTTCACATATCAATTTATTGCAAAATTATCCATGACTTCTTCGGTTTGTGCCGCCACTGCAGACGTATCGGACAGTTTGTCAACTATAAATGAGACCGCGCCAACCAAGCAGCTGCTAATACAAATTACTTTGTCATAAAGTTGATCGGCGTCCATATTGCAATGCATGAGACATTTGGTTGCGTACGATCAAAGCACATGCAGACCGCAGCTGACGAAATCGTGTCCAACGGTACGTCATAAGAGCCTTATGTGCGATGTGGGCGATATCTTACACGGGTGCACAGAGACCGCTGAGCTGACTGACACCAGGGCCTCAGGCGTTACAATACATAGAGGCTGCGCGGTGCAAGAGCTTTGAATACTATGATCCTTTTCGATTTACTGTCTCTGGGATTAGCCTGAACTGTTCCACTGTGAATGGTTTTTAGAATCCTCACAAACGCAGATGTCTCTACGCTATCAATGTCTCCAAGTAAACTTCCAATTTCGATGAATATCGTCAATATTCCGCAGAGGAAGCTAATTCAGAGTGCTAGAATGTTTTGGAAGCACTGCTGAGGTGAAGCAGAAGCAATGAACAAGTCCAACTCGATTTGGAATGTACTTCATGAGCAATAGTGTTCTTGGCTGATTTTGACAGGCTCATCATAACGAATCGTCGGGGGGTTAAGCTTATAACGTATCGAACTGCACGCAAGAATGAACAATGCGATTGCCAGTATACATGATGTAACGCATGAGTCATGGTCATTCAGTACAAAAGATACCAAATACCAACGGTATGATAGCACGAGAGCTCCATCTGACTAACACTTAAGCTGGACTACAAATACATTGCCCTATAGCTGTATGACGATGATAAACTACATTCGTAGCCCGTCTCATATCTAAAAGATTGCACACCCCGAAATGTCACGATACTGCAAACTTAATGGCAATTTACTCAAATTTCGATTTTCAGTGAGATTTTTCTCTCTTTATAGGGGACAAAACATTCGATGTACTTCCATATGGGCTAGAGAAGGGAATGTTTTCTTCCAGAGTAACCATGTCGCACTGTTGCAGAAAACTGGATAGTCTGGATACATAACAGGCTTTGTCCTTAAATTTTATTTTAAACATATGGAAATCTAGTATTGTGGGCTTGTAAAGGGAAAACTTACGTTATATTGTCAAAAAAGACAGTAAGAGGAAATACTGAGAGCTACAAATCTGCATAAACATTTACTAATTGTATCGCACCGATTTTGTCAATCAACTGAATAATGATGTCTGAGCTTACAAGGGAAGCTCCGTCTATGTACGATTGATACGATGTATTGTCAATTTCTCGATAGAGCTGACAAAAGTCCTAATAACATTGTTTCTTGAGGTAGGAATGCAGCTATACGAGCTGAAATGCATGATGAACATATACTAAATGGACTTGTAAGAGCATGCACAAACATTCATATAACTGGTTGAATGTCACTTGAAATCGTAGTAAGGTCCTTCTATCAAAATTAGAAAGCATCTTTTTCGTACGTCTTGTATCGATAGTTGTGAAAGATTTGAAATTACTAACTGTTAATGCAAGCTTGACGTCTTGTCGTAATGCAATTGTACATATCGATTCTAGAAGTTCGAACGTTGATCGCGCAGAGGATACATTTGTAGTTGTTGCTCTAATCGAAGACTCGCACGGAAACTTCATCTCTCAAAACAACAAGCTGACTAGTCAAGACTTGTATTGAAAGAGACAAATGTAAGACTTTAACGGAAAGAGACAAATGCAATGTAACTTTTTCTTGGTTTGAACGTGCTCATGACTTGAATGCATTTATGGCTTGGTTGACGCGTGATAAATCTTTCAAGTTCTACTCCAAATCTAATGAAGGTTGCATGCTGCCACGAGTCAGTTACATGCAAGTTAATCAGCAAAAAAGCCGCATTGGTGAACGTATATCAGAGTGTTATGGTGATATTTCGGAGCGATTTGGGATTACCGGATGGTGGTTTGCTATTAGTAAAATGTTCCGTCTACATGTACAAGCTATCAGCATCCTTTCACCAACTACGACGTGAAGGCTGTAACATCGACCGTCTATCAGTTGCAGAATTTCATGAGGACAAGTAATGTTTAGACTGAAAGTACAAATATCTCAATAGCAGCTCCATTGTTCAAATTCACTGCTAAAATGAATCTCCTGCGAAAGGTATTCCATCTTGGATTACGTGCAGTGCTGTGTTGACTAGACGGGTAGGGGCTGATAGAAACAGCTTACTGTGCAATAAACATGCGAGAGTTTCGTGGACAAGCCATTTTACAACGTGAAGTGAGAGCTAAAGAAATGCTCCTGGACGTTTCAACCACATGAAATTTGCAGACCTAAACAATCCTGAGTAACAGTAGGCTCTGAGTTGTAAGAGCTTCTTCAGATGCTTCTTTGTATCCATAGATGTCTAGTAGAAGAAAAGTCGTTTGTATAGGAATCAAAAAGAATTGACGGCAGCTGTTTACCGAGATCGAAGTTATCAAGACCAGTCGGACGACTGAATATGACACTCAGTGTACGAGGGAAAGGAGTGCACCAACATCCGTTCATCAAACCTCATGAAAGGCTTTTTATTAACAACTGAGACGACCATAGGAGTGCACCGACATCTGTTCATCAAACCCGTACCTAAAGTTCCGTCAGGAACCCAGCTATGCATCCTGATGGCGTTGAAACTAACAGGCTACTATAGATCTTTAGACTGTAAAATGATCATCAATTGTAGTCCCTCTATACACGCTGTGGCCAACTGAAAAAAAAAGCAAAGACTTCATTCATTCATCCTTACCTCTCACGCCCGACTAGTAGACTCAATCATTTTCCTTTTTGACAATACGTCATGACCCGATTTCAAATAGCGTTGGCGGTTCTCCTTGGTTTTGCTGGTTTCGCAGCTACAGAAGGTATTGACTGGACCTTTTGGAACGACGACGATGATGATAAGGATGATTTTGTACCTGATTCATCGAAGACAATGCCTCCTACAACGACAATGACCTCGGGCAACAGCCACGATAAAAGTGTCGTCAAATCAACTTTTCGCAACTGGGTAGGTCCCTGGAGCATGTCGCCCGATACCGCGTGCTATCGTGAAGCTCATATAATGGACGTATGTCCTGACAACTATGATCGCAATGAATTAACAAATACTTGCTGGACAGAATGCCCAGTACAGTATCCCGTTGAGTGCGGCATGGAATGTATCCGACAAAATGACGACTGCGGACTTGAAGTGTCCAGCAAGGTTTCAGCTGTGGCGATGACCATTTTCAGCAGTGCCACCTTTGGCGTGTTTGGTGAGTTATCCAAGCTGGGCAAGACAATTTCACGGGCTGTTCAGTGCACCAACTCACTGATGCTGGTGATGAGAGGAGTAGTTCGATACATTCGTACCATGAAGACAGAAGATCCGCAAGCTTCGGATCGAAAGCTGCTCATTTTGCTTTACCAAACTGGTACCGTTGTCACGGACTTGCCTATTGCCATTACCGTTTGCTTGGGTAAAGCAGTGCCGCCAAACCTTCGAAAGACACAATATTTTGTGGCTACGGTGCAGTGGATGTTAATGCAAGCCATCGCACATGATGATAGTATCATTTCTAACTGGAAAAAGTTTAAGGGATTCCTCACAGGAGCCAACTTTACCGAGGCTGCTGAAGAAATTACGGAGAACGAAATCTCATCGCTCGAGACAGCCATGAAGCAGAACTCGACCTGCGGAGGAGATCTCACGTCCTTGACCGGACGAGTCTGGACGACAGTGAACGGGTACAGGGAAGACAACCCCGGTATCACGGATGACGAGATTCGACTTAGAATCAGTAATTCAGATCTCGTCAAGTACGATGTGCCCACAGCGACTAACAACTGCATGCCCCAAATGGTCTCTGAATCGAATATCGAGACTGCCTACCACACGCGCGAAACATTACGCAAAACCTTCGGCGTTATCATCAACGACCTGATAAAATCTAGGAAAAGCGACAACGGGACGTCATTGGAGGACAAGGAACGAGCATACAAGGTAATCGACATGGCATTTTCAACTCTCGCCGCGACGTTGATCGATCCCACGCGCATCACGTTACTATTATCAGAGTTTATCCAGACAATCTGTGGTCCGACCCAGTTTATGGGCGAGATTGATGACGGCAAAAAAGCTGCTACACTGGGCTTGAATACATTGGGGGATGCCTTTAAAGGCAGCAATAGCGTTTGGACAAAGAAGGGTGACGGTGTAGTCATCATTAATTTCGCTAGCACTGACAACAAAGACGTGACCGTCAATATCAAGTCCGGCGGAGATAAAGTTGTTAAGGTGGACGTCAGAGCTGGAGGCACTGTCGAGTGGAAGTCACACGTTGCAAAGTTGGGGGGCAAGACATTGTACCTGGACCGTTGGCGTCCAGGTTTCCTTGGTTTGCCAGGTACAGGAGGTGGCTCCCTTTCTCTTTGGGTACCGAAAGCATCTCAGGGAGGTCATTTAGAGCTTGATGTGAAAATCAACGTAAGCTAGATAAACATGTTAAGTCGATTGTGTCATAGTGTAACGTGTAAATAGAAAACCTGTACAATTGGGTCTCTTTCAAAGAGAGGCTCATGATATGTTCTATGGGTGCACGCGCGAAAACGCTGGTAACGTGAGGTAATGCTTCTTTTATAGTCGATAGTGGCTCGTAGCTCGTTTAGCATGGATGTAAGCGTGCACCACTGTCCATCACTCAATGCAACACGGCACATCTCGTCTCTCACTGTCTCAATCTTGTAGACGTTCCACCTCGCTTGACGTCTATTATCTTGGCAATATCACCGCAAAACATACGCTTTTCTTTGCTAAACGACAAAACTGCTATTTCGGTCGGTTATGACACATACATGCGGTTTTTTCCTTATGCATTCAACCTCCTTGCCATCTGCAATCGTCATTCAAAAGGAAGCTTTCAGCATTTTTCAGAAAACGACTATATTTCAAACGTTGGTCATTTGAAAAATTGCGCTATGTGTGACAAGTGATTACCCACTAGATATCAAAGTTGTCGCATTGCAATGGTTCCTTGTCACGCTGACTGACTATTGTCGTACGTTTGTTTTCTTTTTCTTACAGTACATTTTGCAGATAAAGCACGTAAACCTTTTGTAAAGAGAGAGCTTAAACCATTTGACCACTACACTTCTACGAAAAACGACATTTAATTGATCTTTATTCGTTCCACATTTATTCCTCTTATATGGACCTCCAAGTAAGTCTTACGATTTCAAATTATCGTTTCTGTAACATACTTACCATTCCAACTAACGATGACGATCAAAAAACAGAATGCTGCAAGCACTATGCAGTTTTTATGGCTCGTAGAATTAAAACAGTTTTAAATTGAGTTGTCCTCAACTGCATAAAACCATTTTAACCGCTTTACACAACGTTGATATGAAGTAAGTGAAGTAAGTAACCACCATGAATCGGCAGTCTCTTATGTTGCACATAACATGTGAGTTGCTACTAGTAAAGTCGCTCGAGCTCACGCAGTGCTTCCAGACTCTTTTGTGTTGCGCTCAAATCCGTTTGCAACTGTACAAGGCGTTGTGCGTCTTGTGTTTGGACGGATGTTGGTACTTTTGTAGCATAATGCGGTCCTTTTTGACGATTCATGAGCGTTTCAATAGCAGTGGTACACTTGAAACACCGTTTCTCCAGTCGCAAGATTTCGGTAGCCACACGCTGCGTCGTCTCCGTATCATTGGGGACAGGAAGTAGTACTATCGACAACATTTATGTGTGGGTTCATTATGTTAGAAACGTTCCCGACCATACAGTAAATGGACTCATATGAACATTAAAAAGACACAAACCTCGACATGAGTCCGTTATAGAGTACGTAAGTACGTGGGAGGACGGTAATGTTGCAAACGAACCATTGCTCTTGTCAGCATATTCGATATTCACGCGGCATTGTAACTCAATGTCACGCTGTGCATTTTTCAGCCTCGAGAGCATTATTGCATTGAAGCACATGATGCCAACAGTAGGAAGCTCACTAGAAAACACAACATCAAGATGGTGAATGGATTAGTGCAAATACCTTGTGATGTATCAATTCAGCAAGTGATACGAAACTTGACACACCTGTCACTAGGAGGAGACGCATTGGGGGCCAACACTTTGACGGTGTGGCATAGCGAGCGGATTCCATGGATCACATGAATGACAAACTGAATAACACCAAGAGGCCAGAGGGTCAGATTTTGTTGCTCAGCAGAAATTACCGAGTGATGAATGAGACTTACCGTCATGTGCTCTTCAGCATCCGCATCGATCCACAGACGCATGTGAGACTCTTCCGGATACTTTGAACACAATATAGACGTTTCCACATCCCGTTTGCTTGAAGATGAGTTGAGAGGATCAGCATCCCGAATACGCTGCCATAACTCTTCCGTAACGAATGGTGTGAACGGGTGCAGTAGACGCATCGAGTAGTCGAGGCATCGGTGCAGTGTTGCTTGAGCACTGCGTTTTCGTTTATGTTGTTCTTGGTCAGACATGGCGTCTCCATCGAGGCGGTTGCCGTACAGCACTGGTTTGCTAAACTCAATGTAGACGTCACATAGTTCTTGCACAAAAAATCTCTGGATAGCTGCAACGCTTGTTGCAAGTTGATTTGCTCCAATTCCGTCATTTACCTCGGATACTACAGCAGCCTACACAACTCCATGGTCAGTCACTTGGTACTGCATAAATCAACATGACATGCTCAAGCTTACCAGTCGACTCATGATCCAACGATCTGCGAGACTCATATCATCACGCAAAAGAGACAGGGTTGTTGGCGTGAACGCTTTTGCATCCTTTGCATCGTCAGTTGTGTTTGACAAAGGTAGAGCGTACCGTACAGCATTCCACATTTTATTGCAAAAGTGACGATATGACACAACACGCTGCACGTCCATGTTGATCTGTCGGCCTTGCTGAAGGTACGAGGCCAATGTAAAGCGCAGTGCGTCGGCTCCACAGGTGGGAATACCCTTTGGAAACTCTTTCTTCAGCTCTTTTTCCGCTGTTCTCATTTCATGCGGTCCGACATTTCCACCCTTATCAAATCTAGCACAGTTAGAACTCAATACACTGAGAGCTTTCAGAATGCTTCGTAAGATTGATTACCTGTAAGTCCAAGAGTAGTTGATCCAGACTGATGCCATTGATTACATACAGTGGATCAATCACATTACCCAAGCTCTTTGACATCTTTCGGCCAGCCTTATCACGCACCATTGGATGCAACAGCACTTTTTTGAATGGTACACGCCCTGACAACTACAAACAGACAAATGTCAGCATTGTGATGGCATTTCTAGCCATGGTCTTTCTCACCTCTTCACATAACATTGCCATACGCGCTACCCAAAAGAATAAAATATCAGAACCAGTCTCCATTACATCCAGTGGGTAGCTACAATCCTGTACAGCAGCACCATCATTGCCAATGTGAGGCCATCCCTATTGATGCAAACATGTCCAAACCATGAACGTTTACACCCCATAATATCAGATACTTACAAACAAATACTTACAAAAGCTGATAATGGAAGTAAAGCCGAGCTGAACCAAGTGTCAAGCACATCCGCATCTTGCTCCATGTCTTCGTCCTGCAGCGTACACCCTAATTCAGCCTCAGCCTTCTGTCGAGCCTCACCGACAGAAGCCGCGACGAACCAATCATCGCTTGCTTTAGAAGCACTTGTGACTCCAGGTTTCACACGATACGCCGGAATGCGATGACCCCACCAGAGCTGGCGGCTTACACACCAGTCTTGAATGTTGTCTAGAAAGAAAAACCATGTATGCTGGTGCGATTTTGGCTTGATAGTCATTACTCCAGTGCGCACATTATCAGCTGAGCGCTGAGCCATAGTACTGCAATCCACATACCATTGTGGCATAAGCAGCGGCTCGATGACATCTCCTGAACGTGAGCAGATCGATATTGCAGTTGGGTGGTCAAGCTGTACCATCATACAGCAGCGTTATTCGAAAGATTTATTACGCACCGATGAAAGAACAAACACGCACCTTCTCCACGTAGAGACCCATTCGCTTTAGCTCTTCGACAACACGTTGGCGTGCATTAAACCTATCCATACCAATAAATTGCTGGTCGACGTTGCCACATAATTTTCCGTCTTTGTCTATCACTTCACTCAAAGGTAGATCGTGACGACAGCCACACTCAAAGTCCTTTGAATCGTGCGCCGGAGTAACCTTTACAACACCTTCGCATTAAAAATGGCAGTAAGTATGTGATGTCAGTTTTGAATACTGTTTTATGAAAAATGGCTGAAGCATGAGCTAAACCAATACCAGTGCCAAGCTCCATATTGACCAGCCCATCGTCCGTGACGATCGGAATTCGTTCACGTGAAAATGGATGAATCACACATTTTCCGTGGAAGCGTGTATACCTCGAGTCACTGGGGTGCACCGCCAGCGCAACGTCCCCAAAAATCGTTTCAGGTCTCGTCGTATCCACCTCCAAGAACTCGTCCGAGTCTGCAACTTGATACCGAAATCGATGCATGACACCAAACTCTACGGGTTTCTTCCTACCTGGCAGCATTTTCTTCGTCGCTTTTTTCATCTCTTCGGAATCCACCTCAATATCTGAAATTGCTGTCTGCAGCGTCGGACACCAATTTACCATGCTCCTTCGTCGATAAATCAGTCCCTTTTCATATAATTTAACAAATGCGTCCACCACCGCTTCAGATCGTTTCTCATCCAGTGTAAAATACGGCTTTGATTTTGTTACAATTGCACCTAAACGATCAATTTGGTCCATAATCTTGCCTCCATATTGCTCGTTCCATTGCCACACTTCCTTGATAAAAGCCTCTCGTCCTAAATCATGACGGGACAAACCCTTCTCCTTATAAAGCTTTCGTTCTACAACACTTTGAGTTGCAATACCGGCATGGTCCAATCCAGGCAGCCACTGGACGTCAAAGCCTCGCATACGATGCCATCGGGCAATTGCATCTTGAATAGTGATGGTCAGTGCATGGCCAATGTGTAGAGCGCCAGTCACATTAGGTGGTGGCAGGAGCATCGTAAACGCCTTATTCGTAGCAATGCTCTTATTCTGTATATTCGTACATAATACTTTTTGCCAATAGTCTTGCCAGTCTTGCTCTACAACTGTAGGATCATAAGAAGGAGCCAATGGTGAGATCTTTACACGCTTGCGCAGCTCGCTAGAAAAAGGAATAGAAGAATATAAAGACATGGGACGAGTTGCAATTGAATGTACATTCAGATGCACCGCCACCCGATGAAAAATACCATATGTAGACCGCAATAGACGCCCTACAATAACACCCTGGAAGCACTTGCGCCGTGCTAGCATTATTTTGATGGCCATCAAGTAGTTTGACTTCTTTTCAACCAATCTTAGAGCAGAAAGTGAAATAATGTAGAAAACACAACAAGCAGGTGGTCCACGTCACTAAACGCTATCATTGTTTTTTTAGCCAATCAGCAGCCATTTGTCAATGTCCGTGTTAATAGAGACGACACTAGGACCGCTCGTGCTGGACTTGTATGTGGACGACTGTCCAGTGGCCTGTACGAACTTCCTGAAGTTATGCAAGACGAAATACTATCATGGATGTTTATTTTTTAATGTTCAGGAGAATTTTATGGTTCAAACAGGGGATCCCACGGCTACGGGTACTGGTGGAGACTCGATCTATGGCCAATTGTATGGAGCCCAAGCTAGATATTTCGAGGACGAACTACCCAAAACAATTGGACGATCTCATGAAGATCGTAGTGGGCTAGTAGGTATGGCGTCTAGCTCAGCCAATCAGAATGGATCTCAGTTCTATCTCACCACACGAGCACAAGATATGGCATATTTGGATGAGCAGCATACGATTTTTGGTGAAGTAGCAGAAGGAATGGATGTGTTAAGTCAGATTAATGCATTATTTGTGGACAAAGACTATCGACCGTATCAGGATGTAAGAATAAAACATACGTACGTATTAGACGACCCTTTTCCAGATCCAAAAGGTCTAGAAGACCTCGTTCCACCATCGTCACCGACACGAGAGAGACCAGAGCAGGAACAGGTAGAGGAACGACTTGCAGCTGATGAGAAATTGGACGATAATGAAGGCAAGACAGAGCAAGAGATTGAGAAAGCAGTTCGTGTAAAAGAAGCCAAATCTCGTGCGGTGGTGCTTGAGATGATTGGCGACTTACCAGATGCAGACGTGAAGCCACCGGAAGAAGTATTGTTTGTGTGCAAATTGAACCCCGTAACGGAAAGCGCTGATTTGGACATGGCATTTTGTCGATTTGGGACGTGTAGGTCGGAGGTGATTCGAGACCAAAAGACGGGAAATTCCTTGTGTTTTGCATTTGTAGAATTTACGGATCGGCGACATTGTGAGGAGGCATATTTTAAGATGAATAATGTGTTGCTGGATGACCGTCGCATCAAAGTGGACTTCAGTCAGTCGGTATCAAAATTGTGGAATAAAGTCAAGAGACGACCGTGGGAGAAAACGAATAAGCGCGATGGAGACGCGGTTTCTGGTGATAGAAAAAGTGGCAGCCGTAGTGGCAATAATAGCGGTAGTGGACGTCGTGAACTCGGTGGCAAGTTGAGGTTGAAGTCGCGTGGCGCTGACGTTTTTAAACTTGTAGAGGAAGAAGAAGTCGCATCGCCATTGCGTCGATTGAAACCAGCTTCTATTCGCCAGCGAAGTCGTAGTGCTGATAGGCGGCGACAGTCGCGTAACGAAAAGGAGTCGGCTCGACTGCGGCAAAAAAGAAATCGCAGTCATGAGCGTCGTAGTGATCGACGTCGCAGCTCAAGTCGTGAACATCACGATCGACGACGTCAAAGCCGTAGCCGAGACCGCATGCACCATAAGCGAAGTCGTAGTCCAAATAGGAGTCACAGGCGTGACCGGAGCAGTGATCGTGGTCATCGTTCTCGACGGTAACGCGGCCTTGAACGATAGCTGCCTGATACACACTGATCGCCAAAACATCGCGCACGTCTATTAAGTAGCGTATAGTCGTTCTGTTTAAGGAGTATAAGTTACGAATAGAAAGACTACGGTAATAGTGCGTGGAGAAGCCTATAGGCTGCTACATGTAAAGTGCGTGTTGAGATGATGATGCCGTGCTGTTTCAAGTTTGACTACTCCTGTAGATCATTTGATAGTTTGAGAAAATGACTCATTCTCATTATACACATCATCACTGCCTATACATATCAAACAAATGTAATCTCGTGCCCGTTACACTAAATGTACGCTAGTTAAGTATACATTAACCACCAGCCATATTATTCCTAGCAATTTTTTGGTGACTAATTAATTGGTTATTGAGCATTTATTAAGAATCATATAATTATTGCTTATATAAATTATTGCTGATAGATAGTTACTGCCTATAAATTATTATTACCTATAAATCCTGAAGTTATGTACAACACATACTAAAACTAAGATACCTAATATATCGCGGTAGTAAAGTTCCACAAGCTTTCATTTCATGCCTCGAGGCCGCAATTGCAGTGCCTCACCTCCTCGTCATCGTAGTCGTCGACGCAAGCATTCATCATCTCGTCCTCACTCTCCTCGTCGTTCTGAGTCACGAAAGTCACGTCAAAATTGGCGTCGAAACCGCGGTAAACATCGCAAAATGGGCAAGAAAAAGGACCAGATTCCCGATAATTGGGTCGATGTGGCTAAAATGGGTACAATTATAGGTACATCAAGATTTGTGGCTCTTCGTGTTCCTCTGGACGATAAATATTTGTCTCAACTTGAGACCAAAAAGGACGAAATTTGGACCCCCACGGACTTTTTAACATTTCAAAAAGACCAAAACCTTAATATTAAGATGATTATCGACTTGACCAATACTTTCAAATATTACAATGGGAAGGATGAATTCAAAAATTCAGAAGTGAAATATGTGAAACTTGCAATCGAGGGGTTTCGAGGACCTCCCGAAGCGCAAGATGTGGCGAAATTTATGAAAATTGTTGATGAATTTATTGCCAAAGAACCTGAAGGAACTATTGCAGTGCATTGTACTCATGGACTTAATCGAACAGGATATCTCGTTGTTACGTATATGGTAAAGCGGTTACATTGCTCAGTGACGGAAGCCTTAGAAGCTTTCAAGATAGCTCGGCCACCGGGACTGATTAAGCACATGTATATTGAAGATTTGTACAAGCAATTAGGAGAAAACGAAGAGGTACGACTACCGGTGCTTCCAAAATGGGCAAGTGCGAAATACAGCAGGAAAGCAGTGGGGAAGAAAAAGCGAGGGTAGCAGCCAAGTCGTCGACAAGCACAAGCGATTTGACGAGATAGCAAAGCGTGGAGCGTGGTGAGGTGAAGGCAGCTGAGGTTTTGAAAGTTGATGGAGCGCACGAGAAAGCCTGGCAGGGTAAGGCGATAATTTTATGTAGAGGCATTGCAGTCATGCAATACTTTTGTGTGTGTGATACCTTGCAGACAGGGCTAAGTCGCGTAGTTTTTTTGGCAGAGTATTGAAGGCATCATGTAGGGCAGCAGGATACTCATTATACCTGCTGCTCTCTTATACCTTTTGGTTTTCTAAGCTGACGATGACCTCAGAAAGACGCGCACGTAAGAAAGGACCAATCTACAACACAAAACAATAAACACGGCCAGTTCATCTGCAAGTTTCATGACGATCGTCGCATACAAGGCGCCAGTGGAAGAGCGTTAATAGCGAAATGTCATTTTAGTCTTTGTAGTATCCGCGACTGTATCTGATCACAACACTTCCAAGGAGTACAAACGTATCGTTGGATAAGCTTCACGCTTATCTACTATTTCACGATACTTTTGTAGTGCTCTAAAGCAGTCTCATTGACCAAGATCAATTACAACCACGTCCCCATGCAACAGCATTTTCTACTTACGTATTGTCAACACGTCCACCGTCCTTACGTTGTCTCTTGTCCCCAAGCTTGACCCGTCATAGCCAGCACTTCGTGAGCAATATCATCGTACAATTGCTTGTACTTGAGCGGAGATGGAAACTTGTGTCCTTCTTCATGCTCCAACTTGACTCTCCTCATCTGTGTAAAACTCTGGACCAACTTGTTCGAATTGGGGGCCAACGGATCCGCTCTACCCACCACATGCACAGATGGTATATCAATGGCCCCGTCAGCTGAAGTTTTAGCCGCATCCAGAAGCTCCTGTGTCTCATTATTGCGAGGATAAAATCCTCCTATGAGTACACAGGCTTTCCAAGGCACGTGACCATAATTCAAGCGGTAATGCGCTGTCAATAACGTCGCAACAGCAGCTCCTTGAGAAAACCCTAAGACCACATCGACAGTGCCTAAAGTCTGAATATGACCCGTCAAAAAGTCTAAAGAGACCTCAAAGCCTTTGTATTGAAACGTCTCGCTGTCCTTATGCTTGATAGCATCCCACCACTGATAGAATGGGCCTATTTCACCATAGAAAGAGCGCACGAGATCTGGAGCTGGACCTGAAGCTGTCCATGGTGCATTTACATACAAGAATTCAGCCTTCGATCCAAATGCTTGACGTAAGGCAGTAGTTTGATGATACAGAATATTGCCACTTGTTCGCCACCCATGTAGACACAAGACGCGAATGGGACGAGTCATTTTGGACAGAGGATGCTGCGTTTGACAAGCAAAGAAAGTGTGGAAAGGAATAAACGAGTGCTGAGTGAAGTCGCTCATTGGTGAGCTTGCTTCAACTAACGACGTGATCATCAATGGATTGTGACCATTGACCGTGTGCTACATGTTTTCTTACCGTTTTCGGATTCGGTTGTGTCTGAAAGTATGTGAAGTTGTGTGAAGTGTTCATTGATGTAACCGAAAGAGGTATCGACATTTATGATTGGCACCATAAAGCCTGGAATGCAGACGTCCAAGCGACATCCAAAGCATTGATCATCAAGAGAAAGAGGGTCACAATTGATCTCGACGCTCACGGCCATGTGGACTAATGCAGGCTGCTTTTCTACAAAACAAGTGCATTGTACTGTGTTTGCTATTGTAAGGTTGAGTGACTTCTTTATGGTTGTTTGATCTGGTATATATAGAAGAATGACTTGTTCATGGTTGAAAACCTTTCTTTGGCTTCATTGGTACGCTTTTGAAGGTGCTTATGTGCATACCTGGCACAGGAATACGAGTGTAGCTTACAATACCTAGCCATTACGCCTACACTATACTTCTCAGATGTCTCGAATCTACAATGCCTGATAACTGTCAACATCAAGCTGTTACGGACACAAGTCTAGTATCATGGCCAATACAGTCAACCACTTAGACACGTCAGCTCGTAAGACGACGTCTCAACCAACGCGGTTGGTAGAAGTGGACGGCTGATTCCGATATTTCCAAGCCTCTCAACATCTTGAATCAAAACACTGACAACATTCACTTTTCATGTGACTGATTATGCAAAGCGATCAGATACATAATCTGCCATGACCAATGAGCAGTCACAATGACCGTGATGTGGCATGACTTGCTAAATCACAACGCAGTGTGTATCTTCGTCGACAGCGTCACTGATTTGTATCACTTCAGATGTCTCGAGTGCGGCCGACTACATATCGGTAGCCCGTAGTACGACTGGCCAATCAGCGGGAATCACAACAATGAGGTGGCTTGACTTGCTAAATCACAACACGATGTGGACTTTGTCGACAGGTGGACGGACCATCACTGACTATGTCTCAATAGATTCACAGTATTTTGAGCCGGAGAATGGTTTGGCCCTGTACATGCAAATCTCTCTTGCTTGGTGGTACAAGGCATCAATCGTCTAAACTTCTTGACTTAGCTCGAGCACCCAGACAGCATTCGTTGCTAGAACTTTTGTGAAATAATGCCAGCAACCAATGCTTAACTGCAAATTCTGTAAGAAATACAGAGGAGTGTCGAGCATAACGCGTGTGAAATTCAGGACTATCATAGCACTAATGGCTACCACACATGGATGCTTTTGTGGCTCTGACACCAGCGAGGCAGTGGTATTAACGTTTTACTAGTGAGATCAATATATGAGCACAGATACCAGCAGACGAGGTTGTACGTAATGCAGTCGATCCAAATGTAAACAAACACCTTTGACATACAACTGAATTGAGGGTCTTTCAATATGCCCTTCATGATGAGATGTCAACAATCGATCCCACTTTCCGCGGTAACTTCAGTGCATGCACGTGTACCATCGCAAACTACAAATGCTGATGTGGGAAGCACTTTCTTACATACATACGCTGAAGCTTTCATGTACGTTTGTTGGATGCAGCAGCAGCATCCAGGGCATTGTTCCAATGTCCTCAAAGCAATACACGTACGTACATGTACATAGGTGGCTTGTATACCAAGATCAAAACTGTTGCGATATTTCTGAATCGAAAAATTCATAAAACATGTCAATGCGTGGCATTTTTTCTCGTTCTTGAGCGAGTACACGTGTGGAACCACGGGAACCGAATCAACGATTAGGTTGCAAAGCGTGCAGACTCTGCCAAACACTAGTCCAATCAGGGCAAAGTACTGTTTTGCGCTGTATTAGTCGAGTCCTCCATTGGCACTGCACAAATGAGCCAGAACTGCATGGAACCGTCACATCTTTTGAACAAAAAGACGCGCTCGGGTCTAGTCGTTCTCCATTTTTGCAACGTCAAACACTATCACATCGGTATTTAAATTACTAGCTAGGCAGATCGATGGTTTGGTGGAAAGTCGTACTGACTAGTGTGGTCATCATGGCCAATGCATCTGGTTCATCCGGTGTCATTGTTGCTAAAAGTGATAGTCTCCGACCAGTCGATGCACCGTCAAGAGTGCGTGTAGTCGTCCAACATGCTGGATCTGCATCGTTTGATTCAGAGTCTGCATCCAATAATGCTTCAACTACCGAAGAGTTGTCAACCTCTGCCTCTTCACCGGCCTCAAAACCCGTTTCATTTGCTTCACTCTTCAACAAATATGCAGCTTCTCGATCAGGGTCATCAAGACTTCCACGCTCGTCGTCTCCAGTATCATCATCGACCGAAAACATTTCAGTCACGGTGGTACCCAGTTCGTCGTCGAACTATTCGGCTTTGATCACGGACGCGTCGGGAGCTTCATACAGCCTTGCTACTCCTCTCACAGCCAAGAGCTCCGTAGTACCGACGTACCGAAACTGGGTTGGTCCTCGCTCAGTCCAAGGTGATGTAGCTTGCTGGCGTGAAGCCCACATTATGGACGAGTGTCCGCCCAACTTCGACCGCAACGATATCACTAACACGTGCTGGGCAAATTGTCCGCTTGAGTTTCCGGTAAGATGCGGCATGGAATGCATCCGTCAGAACGACGACTGCGGCCGTGAGATTTTCTACAAGATTGGCTCTCTCATCAACGTTGGACTTAATGGCATCATGGACAACTGGTTTGGCAAGTTTCGAGCAATGGCAAAGTCGGTGAGAACCGCAACCATGTGTGCCTGTATGGTTCTTGGTGAAGTTCGAGCTATCCTCCGTTACATTCGCAGTATAAAGGCTGCAGACCCTCAAGCTTCGCAGGATAAAGTCTTGACGATGCTGTACCAATCAAACGCAGTGGTCGTTGAACTGCCTATTACGATCAAATTGTGCATGGGTGGCAAAGCTGGTCCCAAGTGGTGGCTGTCCGACCGAATTCTGGCTTCAACTCAATACCTATTGTCCCAGATTGTGGCTCACGATGACGAGCTCGTTGCGAGCTTTGAACGGTTTAAAGGTTTTCTCAAGGGAGCCAACTTTTTGGTCCCACAAGAAATGATCACAGATGGAGAAATTGGCTACTTGGAAGACGCGCTGCAGTCAAACTCGACTTGCGGACACGACTTGCAAGGCTTGGTACAGCGTACATGGTTTACTATTGAGGCTCTTCGAGAGCAGAACCCCGGCATCACAAAGGATGAATTGCGCTTGAAGATTCATGATACCGAACTTGTGAAGACGGAAATTGCAATTGTGACTAGCAACTGCATGGAATTGTTGATCGAACAATCAAACCAAAGGACAGCGTACGCTACACGGGATAAAATTCGTAAGACGTTTGGAGTGATCGTCAATGATCTTATTACAAAAGGTGTGAGCAATAATGGCACGTCCTACAAAGCCAACGAGTATACGTACCAATGGCTGAACCAAGGTCTCAACTTTTGGGTTGCCACAGGTTTCGATATGAGCGGTATTTCCAGTTTTATTTCCGAATACTTCCAGAAGGTATGCGGCCCCACGCAATTCATTGGCGAGGTCGACGACGGCACCCATCCGGATACGCTGGGGCTCAATGCTATCCAGAAGGCCTTTAAGGGCAGCAACTTGTCATGGACGAAGAAAGGAGACGGCCACGTCATCATGAAGTTTGTCAGCTACGACACAAAGAAAGTAACAGTCAATATCATATCTGGAGGTGAAAAAATTGATGAGGTCGAAGTTGCCGCAGGTGGAATAGCCACGTGGAATTCCACCGTGTCGATGCTGGGCGGCAAGACATTGTATCTCGATCGTTGGCGTCCAGGATTCCTGGGACTTCCGTCCACAAGTGGTGGCTCCTTGATGTTGTGGGTTCCCAATGCAGCCCATGGTGGCCATTTAAATTTGAACGTGAGGATAAACGAGAGTTAGGTAGATGTTGTAGTAAGAAAGTAGAGTGAAAGTGTCGACATGAGTAGCACTGAGGTGCCAACTGTAAGCAAATAAATCTGTTTGTCTTGAATGTAACGAAACATGTTCAACGACATCGTTGGGTTTACTTATGCAACGTTTCCAACAAGAAAGAGTCGTCTTCTACTTCTTCATGTCTACATCTTTTACTCGTAACATTCACATCAGCACGCCTGCAATTGTTGAGCATGTTTGTTACACTCAAGACAAACAGATTTATTTGCTTACAGTTGGCACCTCAGTGCTACTCATGTCGACACTTTCACTCTACTTTCTTACTACAACATCTACCTAACTCTCGTTTATCCTCACGTTCAAATTTAAATGGCCACCATGGGCTGCATTGGGAACCCACAACATCAAGGAGCCACCACTTGTGGACGGAAGTCCCAGGAATCCTGGACGCCAACGATCGAGATACAATGTCTTGCCGCCCAGCATCGACACGGTGGAATTCCACGTGGCTATTCCACCTGCGGCAACTTCGACCTCATCAATTTTTTCACCTCCAGATATGATATTGACTGTTACTTTCTTTGTGTCGTAGCTGACAAACTTCATGATGACGTGGCCGTCTCCTTTCTTCGTCCATGACAAGTTGCTGCCCTTAAAGGCCTTCTGGATAGCATTGAGCCCCATCGTATCCGGATGGGTGCCGTCGTCGACCTCGCCAATGAATTGCGTGGGGCCGCATACCTTCTGGAAGTATTCGGAAATAAAACTGGAAATACCGCTCATATCGAAACCTGTGGCAACCCAAAAGTTGAGACCTTGGTTCAGCCATTGGTACGTATACTCGTTGGCTTTGTAGGACGTGCCATTATTGCTCACACCTTTTGTAATAAGATCATTGACGATCACTCCAAACGTCTTACGAATTTTATCCCGTGTAGCGTACGCTGTCCTTTGGTTTGATTGTTCGATCAACAATTCCATGCAGTTGCTAGTCACAATTGCAATTTCCGTCTTCACAAGTTCGGTATCATGAATCTTCAAGCGCAATTCATCCTTTGTGATGCCGGGGTTCTGCTCTCGAAGAGCCTCAATAGTAAACCATGTACGCTGTACCAAGCCTTGCAAGTCGTGTCCGCAAGTCGAGTTTGACTGCAGCGCGTCTTCCAAGTAGCCAATTTCTCCATCTGTGATCATTTCTTGTGGGACCAAAAAGTTGGCTCCCTTGAGAAAACCTTTAAACCGTTCAAAGCTCGCAACGAGCTCGTCATCGTGAGCCACAATCTGGGACAATAGGTATTGAGTTGAAGCCAGAATTCGGTCGGACAGCCACCACTTGGGACCAGCTTTGCCACCCATGCACAATTTGATCGTAATAGGCAGTTCAACGACCACTGCGTTTGATTGGTACAGCATCGTCAAGACTTTATCCTGCGAAGCTTGAGGGTCTGCAGCCTTTACACTGCGAATGTAACGGAGGATAGCTCGAACTTCACCAAGAACCATACAGGCACACATGGTTGCGGTTCTCACCGACTTTGCCATTGCTCGAAACTTGCCAAACCAGTTGTCCATGATGCCATTAAGTCCAACGTTGATGAGAGAGCCAATCTTGTAGAAAATCTCACGGCCGCAGTCGTCGTTCTGACGGATGCATTCCATGCCGCATCTTACCGGAAACTCAAGCGGACAATTTGCCCAGCACGTGTTAGTGATATCGTTGCGGTCGAAGTTGGGCGGACACTCGTCCATAATGTGGGCTTCACGCCAGCAAGCTACATCACCTTGGACTGAGCGAGGACCAACCCAGTTTCGGTACGTCGGTACTACGGAGCTCTTGGCTGTGAGAGGAGTAGCAAGGCTGTATGAAGCTCCCGACGCGTCCGTGATCAAAGCCGAATAGTTCGACGACGAACTGGGTACCACCGTGACTGAAATGTTTTCGGTCGATGATGATACTGGAGACGACGAGCGTGGAAGTCTTGATGACCCTGATCGAGAAGCTGCATATTTGTTGAAGAGTGAAGCAAATGAAACGGGTTTTGAGGCCGGTGAAGAGGCAGAGGTTGACAACTCTTCGGTAGTTGAAGCATTATTGGATGCAGACTCTGAATCAAACGATGCAGATCCAGCATGTTGGACGACTACACGCACTCTTGACGGTGCATCGACTGGTCGGAGACTATCACTTTTAGCAACAATGACACCGGATGAACCAGATGCATTGGCCATGATGACCACACTAGTCAGTACGACTTTCCACCAAACCATCGATCTGCCTAGCTAGTAATTTAAATACCGATGTGATAGTGTTTGACGTTGCAAAAATGGAGAACGACTAGACCCGAGCGCGTCTTTTTGTTCAAAAGATGTGACGGTTCCATGCAGTTCTGGCTCATTTGTGCAGTGCCAATGGAGGACTCGACTAATACAGCGCAAAACAGTACTTTGCCCTGATTGGACTAGTGTTTGGCAGAGTCTGCACGCTTTGCAACCTAATCGTTGATTCGGTTCCCGTGGTTCCACACGTGTACTCGCTCAAGAACGAGAAAAAATGCCACGCATTGACATGTTTTATGAATTTTTCGATTCAGAAATATCGCAACAGTTTTGATCTTGGTATACAAGCCACCTATGTACATGTACGTACGTGTATTGCTTTGAGGACATTGGAACAATGCCCTGGATGCTGCTGCTGCATCCAACAAACGTACATGAAAGCTTCAGCGTATGTATGTAAGAAAGTGCTTCCCACATCAGCATTTGTAGTTTGCGATGGTACACGTGCATGCACTGAAGTTACCGCGGAAAGTGGGATCGATTGTTGACATCTCATCATGAAGGGCATATTGAAAGACCCTCAATTCAGTTGTATGTCAAAGGTGTTTGTTTACATTTGGATCGACTGCATTACGTACAACCTCGTCTGCTGGTATCTGTGCTCATATATTGATCTCACTAGTAAAACGTTAATACCACTGCCTCGCTGGTGTCAGAGCCACAAAAGCATCCATGTGTGGTAGCCATTAGTGCTATGATAGTCCTGAATTTCACACGCGTTATGCTCGACACTCCTCTGTATTTCTTACAGAATTTGCAGTTAAGCATTGGTTGCTGGCATTATTTCACAAAAGTTCTAGCAACGAATGCTGTCTGGGTGCTCGAGCTAAGTCAAGAAGTTTAGACGATTGATGCCTTGTACCACCAAGCAAGAGAGATTTGCATGTACAGGGCCAAACCATTCTCCGGCTCAAAATACTGTGAATCTATTGAGACATAGTCAGTGATGGTCCGTCCACCTGTCGACAAAGTCCACATCGTGTTGTGATTTAGCAAGTCAAGCCACCTCATTGTTGTGATTCCCGCTGATTGGCCAGTCGTACTACGGGCTACCGATATGTAGTCGGCCGCACTCGAGACATCTGAAGTGATACAAATCAGTGACGCTGTCGACGAAGATACACACTGCGTTGTGATTTAGCAAGTCATGCCACATCACGGTCATTGTGACTGCTCATTGGTCATGGCAGATTATGTATCTGATCGCTTTGCATAATCAGTCACATGAAAAGTGAATGTTGTCAGTGTTTTGATTCAAGATGTTGAGAGGCTTGGAAATATCGGAATCAGCCGTCCACTTCTACCAACCGCGTTGGTTGAGACGTCGTCTTACGAGCTGACGTGTCTAAGTGGTTGACTGTATTGGCCATGATACTAGACTTGTGTCCGTAACAGCTTGATGTTGACAGTTATCAGGCATTGTAGATTCGAGACATCTGAGAAGTATAGTGTAGGCGTAATGGCTAGGTATTGTAAGCTACACTCGTATTCCTGTGCCAGGTATGCACATAAGCACCTTCAAAAGCGTACCAATGAAGCCAAAGAAAGGTTTTCAACCATGAACAAGTCATTCTTCTATATATACCAGATCAAACAACCATAAAGAAGTCACTCAACCTTACAATAGCAAACACAGTACAATGCACTTGTTTTGTAGAAAAGCAGCCTGCATTAGTCCACATGGCCGTGAGCGTCGAGATCAATTGTGACCCTCTTTCTCTTGATGATCAATGCTTTGGATGTCGCTTGGACGTCTGCATTCCAGGCTTTATGGTGCCAATCATAAATGTCGATACCTCTTTCGGTTACATCAATGAACACTTCACACAACTTCACATACTTTCAGACACAACCGAATCCGAAAACGGTAAGAAAACATGTAGCACACGGTCAATGGTCACAATCCATTGATGATCACGTCGTTAGTTGAAGCAAGCTCACCAATGAGCGACTTCACTCAGCACTCGTTTATTCCTTTCCACACTTTCTTTGCTTGTCAAACGCAGCATCCTCTGTCCAAAATGACTCGTCCCATTCGCGTCTTGTGTCTACATGGGTGGCGAACAAGTGGCAATATTCTGTATCATCAAACTACTGCCTTACGTCAAGCATTTGGATCGAAGGCTGAATTCTTGTATGTAAATGCACCATGGACAGCTTCAGGTCCAGCTCCAGATCTCGTGCGCTCTTTCTATGGTGAAATAGGCCCATTCTATCAGTGGTGGGAGAAGCATAAGGACAGCGAGACGTTTCAATACAAAGGCTTTGAGGTCTCTTTAGACTTTTTGACGGGTCATATTCAGACTTTAGGCACTGTCGATGTGGTCTTAGGGTTTTCTCAAGGGGCTGCTGTTGCGACGTTATTGACAGCGCATTACCGCTTGAATTATGGTCTCGGCTATCTCTCCCCACTAAGCCCTTGAGTGGCAGGGGGGTAGCGTTAAAGTAATGCGAGGGTTGACCATTCACATAGAATAAGGTGAAGCCTGTCGAGGCATGCACCGCGTTGTTCAACGCAAACTCGACCAGAGGGAGCATCGCGCTCCATTGCTTGTGTGTCTCCGCACAAACACTGCGAAGCATATCGCCAATAACGTGGTTGACGCGTTCAGTCTGACCATCGGTCTGCGGATGATTCGCCGTGGACATGTCCAGTCGAGTGATTTACCACATCAGTCTTGCCATTTTTGGCTAGACTATGAACGAATATATCGTCAAAGTATGTCTGTGCATACGCCCTATGGGGCCAAACAACTGCGTCACTAGACGATTTAACGTTGCAGGTGCGTTAGATAGCCCTTGGGATATCACTAACCACTCCCAAAGCATACCGCTCGGAGTGCTGACCGCTGTCAGCGGGATATCACTAGCTCGCATGAGAAGTTGGCAATATCCATCGACTAAGTCGAGGGTACTGTACAGCGTACATCCCACCATATTTTTCTGAAGAACATCCTTGCGAGGAATCGGTGTTTAAGCTAGGATAGTGGCTGCATTCAGCTTATTATAAGCATGCGCTATTCGCCCCTTCCCATTAGATTTTCTCACACAAAATGTGGGAGTAGAATGAGGAGACTTACTTTCACGCACTATGCCAGCCGCGTGCTTTGCACAAAAGAACTCGTCGATGACATCACATTGTTCTCGTGGCAGCGGTCACTGTCGCGTCACATAGTATTTGGTTCCTGTAACCAAGTTAATCTTATGACGTACACCTCTATCCGGGGGCAACCTCGTCGGAGGTTCGCTGGAGACAACATCTCCATATTCCTTTAACAAAGAAAATTAAGGATACGAAGGGTCCTTCAGTATCTGTGATCCACTACGCGCATTCAGCGCCTTCTTGGTATCTTCAAGAACTGCTTTATCAAAAAGCGATGAGGAGTTTAACTCCTCCTCAGGTCGTATAACGACCACCTCGGCGATGTCGCCTGCCTGTAAGGCAATGCCAAACTCGGCAAAGGACAACTCGCCCAGCTCTAACAGAGCACTTACTGCGGGTATTGCTGAAAGATCCACCGGCTATTCAACATCCCCGTCAAACCATTGACGAGTGTATATAGCTGTTCGCTATCACCGTCGCTCACGATATCATCATCGCTACTCATGATGCTCTCAGCACCGACGCATCATCGTCCACAGGTGTACACACCTAAAGGTCTAAGACCACTTCGTTTACGACTGCACTCCACCCTCCTGGGTCAATGCCTCGTCATGAGGTGTTCGCACCTCGTTGTCCTTAAAGACACCCGCCATTTTTGTCTTCACCCGAACCTCTTGAGCCAGTACCTCGTCATGAGGTACTTGCACCTCGTTATACTCAAAGATAACATCCATTGATGACTTCACCCGACCATCCAGGGTCAGTACCTCGGCGTTAGGTGCATGCACCTCGGTGTCCTTAAAGACAACATCCATTTGTGACTTCACCCGGCCCTCCAGGGTCAGTTCCTCGTCACCCATGTCACTTGGACTCACGTCCTGACATCTTGGCTTGCAGCCACCAACACCACTCACAATGTTTAATGATTTAACATCATTCTCATGACACATGTCATATGTGCCATCTAGTGGGTTCTCAACCACACTATCGACAGTCATTGGGCCTCGCCCAGGACTATTGTACTCGGCATTTACATTGTCTACAAAGTCGGATATCCGACATCCAACATATTGACCGACTCGGTCCAATAACCGCGCCAAAAGCGCTTTTGCTTCCTAGAGGTGGGTTCATGACTCTCCAGAGCCCCACCAGGAGCATTGCGCGTTGCTCCTAAGGTCTTCGATCTCCAATCAATCCATGGATCATGACGTTCTAGCCATGCCATGTCTAAGATGAGATCATACCTCGCATCCAGGTCTAAGACCAAACAGCGTTCCAACTGTTAAGTCCGAGAACTTTACATTTAAGTCCATCGGGACTTTGGGTACCGTAACACGCGTACCCTTCGCTAAGCGAACTGTGACTGTGTCACTATCGCGCGCTACAAGCGCTTCAGCATACTGCTGACTACCTTCCACGGTGGCGCGGCGCACATAATTGCCCGATGCCCCCGAATCGATCAAAATGATCCATGGCTTATCATAGCTTTTAACCGTCCCTTCGACGACTAGCAAGCGTGGCTTGCATTCTCGTTCCGTTTTTGAGAGTTCAGATCTCTTTGAGGCTGGGACCTGTTTGCTTATACTTGCTAGAGAATCAACAGAACTCAGTTCTTTTCCAGTAGGGCGCCCCGCGCCTACTGGGTTCCGCCGTTTTCCCGCGGCAAACCAGAGGGTCTACCCATGGGGCGTCGACCCTTTGAGGCCAAATATGCCTTTCCTGCATGGCATTTTGCCATCAAATAGATCAGATATAACATCTGCGCACAATTTGCTGCTCCGCAGCTTGAAGCTCCGCTACTTCATCCTCCACTTGGCAACAGTATATGGGTACAGACCCATCAGACGAGTAGTTAGTTATAAGTGGCAGGCCTAGCGGTTTTAAAGTTGGTCTCGGCATTTCATACCACTCAAACAGCTTCCTCGAATGAGGACGGGTTTGCCCGGAAGACTTCTGTTCTGGCAACGCCAACTCGGAGGCCCTCCATAAAGACCGTGACGGTCACTGCCTCAGGCATAGGGTCTATGACCATGGCAGCAATGAGAGTTCTCAGCTCTTGTACATATGCCGCAAGCTCACGCTTGTCTTGGCGACACGCCAAAAACCGCGACCGGTTACGGTGTGCTTGGTTTGGCGGTGCATACTGCCGGGTCATCTGAACTTTCATATCGGCCCATGTGGGAAAAGCAATTTTGCAATGATGCACCACATGTGAATGCTCACTGTTTGGCTAAGCCACCTAACTTGCCCGTGGCAAAGCCCACACGGTACGGCTCATAGGTGATGTCGGCTATAAACTTAGACGACTCAACCTGTCGGAGCCACAGCATAAGGCTGTCACCTTCTTTGCCGTCGAACTTATCGACTTCCACTTTGTATAGTTTTTGGTCTGCGAACCACTTCTTGCGCCATAGTCGCCATGGGCGAAGGCGCAGAAGAAGGCATCTATGCCTTTACATGCACGACTAGAGCTTTATCATATTCATCAAGCATATGAATATTCTTTCTGTGCCCTGGGCGATGAGGTATTCTACGCCCTTAGGACCAAGGATAGAGAGCAGCTTCTGCAACCCTTCCTGTTGTGCCTGTGACAGGCCAACCGCTGACATCTCATCGATGTCCATTCTCACACAGAGAAGTAGTCGCAAACCCAGGTGCGGGATGGACTACAAGAGCTACCTGGTGTAGCCGAGCTACTGTAGCTATGCTACTTATGCACTATGTGCAGAAGAAGTAGTCAAACTACTGTAGCAAAACTACGTATGCACTATGTGCAGAGGAAGACAAGCTCAGAGAACTTCTACGTCTTAGGGTGTTTAACCCTCCTAGGCTAGCTCGTAATCTTGTGCCTATCGGTTGTTGTAACCGATTCTCAGAGAGACTAGTATCAAAGATACTGATTCCTTAGGAGGAATAGAACGCTCTAGCAACTAGTGCTATACAGAGCAGGTTTGAAACTGATCTATATATTCATGTTTATCTTCTAACACTAAATATAGAAGCACCTATCCTATACTTAGTGCTAGTCACTATTACTGGCTCTTCAGCCTTTTAGTTACTATGCAAATATGCATAGTCACTATACTTCAAATAAGTATAGTGATCACGTGACGATGTGACCCTTTGTACTTCAGGTACGGTCACATCGAGCCTACCATTGTACCCAAGGTACAGCCACACCACATTGGTGTGGCACGTGTGTATGTAAAATACACACCTTTGTGTAATCCCGTTACACCATCCATGATGTTGCCCTAGTGCCGGCTAACTACCGCGACTCGAAGCTACTTGAAATGTCTGCGCTGTGTACGAATGACCAGCATGATATCGTTTCTGTGTGACACTAAAGTACAAACGACTCAACAGTTTCCACAGACTTGACAATGTCACCATGTATTCACTTTTGCTTCGACTAAATGTGGCGGTTGTGTGTTCGATCTTGTCCAGTCTTTTAGCGAGCGTAACACCTCGGTTTTGAGCGTTAATATTACATTTAATGCTGAAGAGTAATAGTGACGAAACATTTGTTAACAACAACAAACGAGAAGCAAGTAATCTTGGCAATAAAGTGTAATAGAGCGTATTTGAAAGGCATACGTTCCTCGTGTAAAATCGTATGGATAAGGAATGTACCCAGAGCATACATTCAAATTGTATAAAGTGAGGCAGACAATTCTGTTAGACGTAGTAGGTTGTCTGGTGAATCCTAAGCCTGGCTAGCAACGCCCATTCCTCGGTCGAGTCCGGTGGTTATACGGGACCATGGTCCCAAACTGTTTGAGGTGTCTGCAATAGATCTGTGGTCTGCCATGTACTCCCTTGCGCCGCGACTCGGAGCCCCTGCAAAGTATTTTGCAGTGAACATTCTGAACCTTTTACCGCCAAAATGCTTGTTTCTTTCGTGCCATCAGTACGTGTCTGTCGGCAACGAATCAGGCACGCTCCATAGAAATCCATGAAGGAGTGGATACGTGGAAGACGATGCCACGTGCATCTATTGGGCCCTCTGTAGCTTCTCGCAGACGGCTGGCTGCGATACTCGGTGTTGGTCGCGGCACCGTCGTGATATACTTCCACACATGTGCATGAGTGAGATGCTTTGGGTGACGCGGTACGAGGTCCTGCCGACGTAGAGCAGCTCCCCGATGTCCAAGCTTGGAGCGCTGAGCAAAATTGCGATGCCACCTGCGTCGCAGCTTGTATCTTGGTACTCTGAAATCAGGATTGTCTGCCCGCGAGGAAGTGGGCCAAAAAGCCTCTTCCTCTAATGCCATTGCCGGTGGTAAGGGCATGATGATCGAGAGAGCTCCACCACCCATTTAATCGGCGTCGCCGAGCTTATCGCCTCCGAAGTCGGGCTGGTGAGCGCTTGTATGTACTGCTATTGCTCTCCCTCCTGATCCGCTGGTGATGGGATTCATTAATTGCTGGAGTCTGTCGCCTGCATTCTTGGCTCGCCTCGTTGTTTCTCGACACGGCAATACGCCTCCTGTGTATTCCTGTGTCGCACGACGAAAAAACAAGCCTGCCATGCCCCAAAATAGATGTCTTTGCGCGTTGGTTGAGCTATAGCATGATATACTTCACCCGCTGCGCCTTGCACGCAATGCGCGTAGAGGCCAGACCAACCTTGCCCGCCCGTTTAGGCGTGTACAGCAGCGCTGGGTTGATTTATGACGGCCAGCCTTCGTGCTGGTGGAATGATGCCTGAGAAAATGCCCCTGAAGGTTGCGTAGCAAGGTGGTGTCTTGAAGACTGCCGCCGTGAACTACACTGCTGGGAGCGATGACGCTCGAAAGAAATTCTCTAGTCACGACGCTGAATGCAGGTGAGTTGCTGTTGCAAGTTGCTGTTGCCAGTCGCCGTTGTACGTTTCAAATACGTGCAGCCCAGTTCACATACGTGAGATGTCTTGTTCCAACGGCGTATCCTGAATATCGCACCGTATCGCCATACTGTAGAACCAGTATTCTACAAAACTCCTTCGTTTTCACTGCTGTGTTCAAGAAAGCGATTTTCTTTTGGTCGGTTGGACTGTTAACCAGACAAGCGCCTAAACCACTCCACGATGTTCATCACTATCGGTAGTTGGTGCGCCTCGTGAATAAATACCGTTAAGTTGTTGTCAAACTCCGAGAAGTTGTGTTCCACACCCCTTCCCCGGGGCACGCTGAGGCCGGTGACTCGCTGTCATCTTAGCGCAAGGATTTCCGCCGATGACCAGCCCCAAAGCGTCCCAAACTTCAATAATGTAACGAAATTGCAAGCCAGGCTATCTAGTCGTTGAAGGAAAGATTAAGGGCTTTGATAAGCCATGGATCCTTTTGATCGATTCGGGGGCATCGGGCAATTATGTGCACCGTGCCACCGTGGAAGGTAGTCAGAAGTATGCTGAAGCGCTTGGTGACTTTGCCCCAGCTGTTGCCCCCACTCTGGTGGCATCGCCAGCTTTGTCGATTCCGTCCTTATCGAAGACCGAGTTGTCAGCATTCTTTAAGGAAGCATAGAAGGAAAAGCAACGGTGCAAGAGCGCAGCCTTGTCGTATTCCGGATATCACTCGCTTGCGATTCCGAGAGTTCTTCGTCGACAACACATTGTGCTGTCGTGCAGTCGTGGTTTTCCAGATCATACTCGCGAAGCCAGAAGAGAACCCGAAGCGCGCAGGGCCAAAACAGGAAGTCTCCATACTTCTGGGTCGTACGCTTTCCGAAAGCCGAGCAGTAAGATCGCCCGACTCTGCAATGCTGCCAACCAGGTTCGGCCTTGGCTGTCGCCCGTATGGTTAGCATCATTATCACTATTTTTTTAAGCATCTGTCGTCCATCGACAAAACTTGTTGCGTAGCTCCAATGGTTTGTCCAAGATGCTCTGCATTCGCGTAGCGATTGTTTTCGTGAATACTTTGTGTCCAATTGTAGAGGTGTGATACGGTGGAACTCCATCGCGTCGTGGGAGTCTCCTCTTTTTCTTAGCGGAATAATCAACCCTTCGAGGAATGACTCGGGCGGCTCACCACCCTTGAGCAGCTCAATCCCTAGGGTAACCATCGTGGGCGCCATCACTGCTTGGGTGTGAGGACTTGTCGTTTACTTGGTAAACTGAAAACTGAATCGACATAGGTCCTTAGTGTGCTACCTTGTGTTACCTCTAAGCCTATCATTCTGTGTCCTTCTAGAATGTCCTTAAGGACGTCAGACTGTGACGTCTTGATCTATTCAACATACATTCAGCTCAGTCGTGTTGCACGACTCGGTGGTATGACATCTCCCCGGAGATGACTTCGCGTTGGCGGTCTTGAAAGGCCTGTACCAGTCGCTGCCAATGCGAAACGTGGCGGATAGCTTTCTCAAGCTCTTAAATACTATCAAACTCCGGGAGGCCGTGCCATTTTAATAGCTATTTCGCTTGCGGCTGCACTGACGACGACGAAGCAACTTTTCCACTATGTGTAGTCCACTGACACCCACTACACTGCTGACGTCCAGGCTTGTGGCACGCACAACCTGTCGATGTGACGGGCGCATTGGGCCCCAATACGTAAAAATTCTATCAAAACTGGGTCCTCGTCGTCATTCTCGACTGGCTCCATGAGGGTGCACGCGTCCTCTAGAAAAAGGTTGTTGGAGCGCTGCACTCGCCACTCTCCCTTGTCGAGACCACCGAGGCGGTCTAGCTGTGGGCTTGTCACTCAGGTCGCCAACTAAAACAGTATCTTTTCTTTGCCACGGCCACGGCTGAAGTGTGGAAATCAATGTCGCAGTCCATGTATCTATTCGGCGCGTCCATATTGACTACCTGAAAGCCTTACAAACTACCACCACCAAAATTCAGATGTTCAGTATGATGAATAGCGTAATTAAGTTTAAAAGCAAACAGCTTTTTCAATTACAGAATAGACTTGAGTCCAAGAACTTTCTGCATTGGATGCTATTAGGTTTTAGTTTGATTTATACGACCGAGAGTTTGACACTTGAGCATTTATGACATGTATTGAAAAGATAATTGCTTAGCTTATCAAGCTTACCTTATTCTGTAATAAGCACGACGTTCTCAATATTATCATGTACTATTCCTTTTTCTGTCATAATTCCAACGTATTAGGTGCAAAACCTTTCAAATTCCATAATCAGACACGTAATGTACTACCACAATAAAAAGGATGCTGCAACTGAGGTTAAAGCTGTTCAGTGGCAATGGCTACATGTATCTATATCAGTCAAAGACAAAGGTAGCATTTTGTCACGTACAACTGTACAAAACGGCACAGTACGAGTGTCGTGATGCTATTTGCGCTTAGTGACGACGCATTTTTTTCTTCTTGGACGTACGACGGTAGTCTTGGTCTTCATCTTCATCATCAGGTCCACGCTTTTCGCTGCGCATACGATCGGAAGCCTGTGCTTCTTTCTCAAGCTCGTCCCAGGACGGCGCGTCCTCCTCCTCCTCTGACTGCACCTCGGATGATGATTCCTCGTCCACAATAGACTCCCAGTCCGAGCCGTCGGAATCACTCGATTCACTCTCGTCCACATCATCGTCCGAACCACCCGAGTAATTGCTGTCTCCCGCTTCTTCCTCGTCTTCGTCTTCATCGTCCGAACCTTCCATCTATTCAACACAATACAATTATGTGAGCAATAATATCAACCTCAATGCAGACTTGTAAATGACGCACTTTAAGAAACTCCCATCCAGCCGGCTTTGGCACGCCGTCATCGTCGGTATCCAAGTAGAACCGGTGGTCACTCTTGATCGTGGACATGATACTCTTCCAGTTTAGGTTTGCAGTTCCCGTGGTAAAGCAAATATCAATGTCATCCAACCATTCCTTGATACGTTCCAGCTCGCTCATGGATACAGCACTAATACGCATTGGCATAACATCAAAGTTTTTGAACACAAACACGACATCAAAGTTTTTGGACGAAAACATGACACGCTCGAAGTGGACGTGTTCCACCTCGTCCAGTGAAATGATAAAGAAGGGCATATCCGTGAGACTCACGAGGCAGTGCACTGATGGCTGAAGCAGCACCATTTCCTTGAACGGTGTACCCATGAAGCCGAGTTCACGATACGGAATGTCAAATACTACGGACTTCCCATGTCGTTCCGACACACTTTCCATCTTGTGACAGAACTCCTTGAAAGTCGTGTTTAGCTTCTCACGCAGCGCACGCTCACGGTTTTCCTCGTCCAGTTCATCCGGATCGTACATCGATCGCCGCCGGTTGTCAAGTGTCTGCGATCCTTCAATTACTTCTGTGTAGAACTGCACATCCTTCTGCTTCTTTTTGCCGATCATAATGTGGTTCTTCAGGTGAAAGTGAATCAACACGACAAGCTCCTTGTCACAAGGCTGAAAGATCGCGTGCTTAATGTTAGCGTACAGAATGTCAAGCTTCTGATTCTTGTTTGTCGTAAAACGCACGCCATTCGAGTGCGCCTCCAGCGTACCGTGTGTCTTGCGACCAGTCAAGTGCGGACGAGCCGACAAATCAATAAGGCGCGGCACTCGTCGGTCACGTGTCAAGATCAGGTCCTCCTGTACGACCAAATCGGACTCTTCCTGTTCTCGTTGTTCACGCTGCTTTACACGCTTTTGAAGTTCCTTTATTAGACGAAATTGGTTGTTCAGGTTGTGTGCATCTGTTGAGCGAAAGCCAAGCTCCTTGATAAACATCTTGTTCGGATATTTGGTGATCGCGTTCGCCATGGCTGGTAGGACGTCACGTCCTAATGACGTTCCAGGTACGTAAAAATTGATACGTAAGTACGTTGCCTTGTCCTCTTCAGACTTGCTTACATTCTTAATAGTAGAAATGTGAAAAGGCACTGGAACCCCATTTATAGGCAGAATAACCGCCTCGGCGCGCATGTCCACCATGACCTGGCGCTCACGTAGCTCGGGTGGGTAGTGTTGAGGACCAGAGTAAGCCTTTATGCTTTTCTCCTTCTTTGGGTCATCCGAATTGTCATTGTTTTGCTCCTCCAATCGTCGCATAGCCTCCTCACGCTTCCGGCGCATCAGCTCAGCCTGATGACGATCACGGCGCTCTTGATCTGTTTCTTTGCCTTCGAGCTGCCGCTGCTGGTCACGAAGACGTGACTGCAACACTTGGTTACGCGTACCAGCTAGCGATGTGTCAACCGGACCATGGGCTGAGTTGTCCTTGCCCTTGCTCGGCTTCTTCTCCTGTTTTTCCTCCTCCGCATCATTGTCATCGTCAATATCATACCGCACTTTGCTCCATGCCTTTGGCACCTTCGTGTAGTACTTCGTTTCACTTTCCAACACCACCACAGTATCAGCGAGGAAAACAGCATAGCTATCAAACTTCTTCTTCTTGCGCTGTGATTCCGGGATCGGGATATCATTGAATCCAAATGCCACATTAAATGACATGCCTTCCTTAATTACCGTCTGGTTCTTAGTAGTGAGCAGATTGCAAGACTCACGGAACTCGAGTCCGATACCAAACCCGAGGTTCTTCGTAAGTTTGCTAAAAAGCGTCGCGTTCCTTGACTGAATATATTTGCGTACCTTCTCCACCACCTTGCTCACTGTCTTTCCAGGCTGTAGCTCCTTTACACACAAGTCGTGCGCCTCACGCAGCAGTTCGTACGACCTTTCCATCGAGCTTGTGGGATCAATGAAAAACGTACGCCCAACGTTCGAGCAGTATCCTTTGTACCTTGCGCCGAGGGAGCAAATAATCACGTCATACTTCATCGGGTCTCTATTACTTTGTGCACTGGGCTTCAGATCGTATTTACCTCCGGATTGCACAATCGGCGGGTAACACGGCTCAATATCCACAGGATCAATGGTCACCTTGATCTTAGACGGGTTGTCAAACACGTCCTCAATGGCCATCGAAATCTTTTCGTGACTGATGCTCTTTTCATCGTCAATAATCTGTTCCATATCCTCCATAAACTTCAGCTTAAATATCTTACTCGACAATGCTCCAGCCCATCGAATGTTTTCGAGCTCCTCACTTTCCTTGACCGTCAGCGCCATCTCAATACCCTTGCCAACCTCCACTTGCTCTACATCCGTAGCCTCCAGTGCCTTTTTAAAGCTAGCTACGAGTTCTCCAAGTGGATTTTCCTTCGTCAACACGCCAGTTTTGGGTCCACTGGCCTTCACCGCCTCTGTCAGTACTTTATAATTGGCCTTATTATCATCTGACTTGTTGCGCTTTAGTAGTTCCAGTTTAATGTCCGAAGATGCATTCTCTTTGGCTACTGCCTCCAACATTGTATATTTCCTGCCGCCCGTAAGTACATAAAGTTTTGCAGGTGTAAAGACCATAAGTGTTTCAGGAAATTCAAGAAAACCCAGTAAATAAATCTGTAACACTGCCGACTTGCGGTAGCCTGATTCCTCCTGCTGGGCACGGCCAGCAAGCACACAGAATGAGTTCACTCCACCCCATGCATCGTCATTTCGCAGTGTCTATTCCATCATATTAGATCATACCACACAATATCAGCTAATAAAGGTATAATACAAGCAAAATGATTCAAAAACTAGGATATCCCTCACCTTCCAGGAGCTATAAAGACGCTTAAGACGCCGAAAAAACAAGGCCGTATCAGGACGAGGCATAGTATTAGCTGTAGATAAGGTGGACACCACCTCTTTCTCCGTCTTCATGTCGGTCTTGACATCGTGTTTCACCATCAACTTGTTCTCTGTCATGGGATCAAGACGTGTTAAGTATAAGAGTGTGATGATGAGAATGATGGTCTTTGAGCTATGCGTTTGGTTGGCACCAGCCTTTTTAAGAAACGTTTCTATTGGACATTTTGTTGACCTACATTCTGTTCTTTTTGTGCCTACGACAAAATTTTGACGCCAATTTCACAAGAATGTCTATTGTAACCTTGTCTTAGCTAAAAGCTACTTCAGTCAGGTGTTACATAACCCCTTTCAAACATGTTTTGACCTCGGTTATATCGTTTTTCATATGCTTTTAAATATTCCGACTTAAATATGCAGTTACAGACGCTTGCCTATGCGATCTCAGGTGCTTTCACCTTATTGTCGATTATTCTATCTGGATGGCTTATTTGGACCCATTTATTATATAATCCGTCTGCAAGTATACGTAAACATGTTATTCGTATTCTTCTTATGGTTCCTATCTATGCACTGACATCATATATGGCCTTAGTCTTTAATGAATCCAAGCTCTTATTTGAAACAATTCGAGATTTATATGAAGCATTTGCACTCTATTCATTTCATTGTTTCTTAGTGGAATATCTGGGTGGTCAATCTGTTTTAGCAAGTACAATGCGTTCAAAACCAGAAATGACTCATGTGTTTCCATTCTGTTGTGTTCGACCGTGGTCCATGGGGAATAAATTTCTACGTCAGACAACCATTGGGATTCTACAATATATTCCAATTAAACTCTTAATGAGCATTCTAATGCTTATTACAAGCTTAGCAGGAGTCTATGGAGAAGGTGAATTAATGAATCCATTAGTCAGCTATGGCTACGTCTGTCTTATTCTGAGTCTCTCACAAACATGGGCACTTTATTGTTTACTTCTTTTCTTTCATGGAGCTCACAAAGAATTGCAACCAATGCGACCATGGCCAAAGTTTCTAGCAATTAAAGCAATCATCTTTTTTACCTATTGGCAGTCTGTCATGATTAGTATGTTGGTGAGTGTTGGTGTGATTTCGGAAAAATGGCATATTGGCTGTCCAGACTGTTGGGATGCGCACAAAATTGCCTCGGCATTGAACGACTTTGTCATTTGTGTTGAAATGCTCGGTTTTGCCGTCGCACACCATTACGCATTTGCCATTGAAGACTTTTTGTCGCCATCAGGCACAGCAGGCATCAGTGTCTCGTCTTCAAATGTCAAGGCACCGCTGCTGGCGAATTTCATGGATGCAATCAATGTCACGGACGTGTCCACGGATCTCAAAAATTCACGACATGATATTTTGACCAAGAAACAGGCACTGGCTGCCAAGTTTGAGCGCTTTAATTCTTTGTCATCTGGTGATGGCATGTTCTGAAAAACACTTTGATTTTCTCGCAATAGCATTTGGAGTGCTGGAACGTATAGGAAAGGTAATAATAGCACGAGACGGGAGCGATACAATAGCATAAATCTAATTGTTATATTTGAATTGTCCGTCAAGATGTTTTGTGAAGGCAAAAGAACCAAGAAACCAAAGTGGACAAGCAATGACACTACCCAAAAAGACATATTTTATTTATGCGGAGCGGGTTTAGGCCCCGTCTTCTAACACCGAAAGCTTACAAGCTTGGTCTGTTGCTGCGTTTGCATCTTCACAGTTTCCTCCTTGGTATTTAACTACTACGATTCGTTGCACGTGCCCAATTTAGATCAGTTACGACTTCGTGGTGTGAATGAAATGGCATTCATACAAGGCTCACTATCATGTCCCACGCTTGTAGAAACGCAGCACGACAGGCCGCTTAACGGCGCGTAGTGTCGCCATAGACGAGTGAAAAGAAGATCCACCGATCTCCATAGGGCCAATCCATGTCAAAATGTCCCCAACCGACACCTTGTGTAGCATGGGACCACCAGAGTCCATATCCACTTTTGTCACTTTCGGCACATCGGCATCCGAGCTAAACACGAGCCCAAGATTAGCGTTCTCTCGCCAGATGAGTTCATACTCACGGTCCTTCAGCGATGGTCCACGTGGTAGTGTCTGATGCGCGTCGTCCAACCGTGCTGATGCATATGCCGCAGCCGATGCACGCCGGAAGCGCAATACTGCGGGCTTCGGCAAGCGTGACAGATTCTCGAGAGTCTGCTTGAATTTCGGCTGCGGCACAATGTTCATGTTGTTAGCTGCGAAGAGGATATCCCCAGGCGACACATGCTCAATATTCTTGAGGTTGCTTGTGCCTGTCACGCGTGCCACCACGGGAAATCTTGTCGTCGGGTGCACGCGCAGCGTCAGACCAAGAGCTGTACCCTCAGGCCACACCACCTCATACACGTCGTTGTCCTCTAATTCCGTTAATTTGCTGGCTTCATTGCTTGGTGTATGGGGTGCAGAACCGTGAGAATGGCCACTCCGTGAAAGTGGTTTGATTGGTGTGTCGTTATCAACTGGATCACCAGATGACTTTGCCCGCGGAGATTTACGCAGCCCATGCTCCAAGTTGCGAAGTTTGCCTTGTGCATCCGCGACGCGGTGGCTTCCGTCATCCCAGTGTCCGCTACTGTTATCTGGACCTGATGTCGAACGAGAAGGTGGGCCTTTAATAGCGAGCAGAGATGGGGCAGCAGTGTGAATTCCTCCTCTCGAACCCTGTGGTGAAGAGACTCTCAATGCATTTGATAACAAAGCGTTCGGTTGTCTGCCGTCAACAGCTGATCGCTTCGCTTCCTGATCAGCATGGCCTCGGTATTTATTTTGACAAACTTCCTGTGTAGCATGCTTCGGTGACTGTGGTACATGTTGTTGGTGCTGGTGCTGATTCTGATGCTGTTGGTGCTGATGCTGATTCTGATGCTGTTGGTGCTGATGCTGATGTTGTTGGTGCATATGCTGATGCTGGTGCTGTTGCTGGTGCTGTTGTGGTGTGCGGTTGCGGTGGCGGATGCACCTGTCTTTCTTGATGCTTCTTGTGCTCATGCTGCATTTTTGAGCTGACTGAGGTATTGCCGTTTTCCTTTGAATGATTACTGAGGGCTATGCTCATCTTTTTTAACGGATTTATAAAAGTTCGTGGAGCAGGAAGGGAAACCGCTGGAGGCTGCACAGCTTTTATGGGCTGCTGCACAGCCTTTAGAGGTTGCACAGCCTTTGGAGGCGATGCTGCGGTAATAGGCGTCACATTCTCGATGGCAAAAGAAGACGATGATAACGGTAGTCCTGAGGACGTCGAAGAAGATACTGATGCTATCGAGGATGCCAGTGAAGAGGTTGAAGCTGTAAAAGTGGATGCTGAATGTACATCGGAAGACGACAAAGCAGCGATCGCGTCGTCAGGAGAACCCTTCTTGAACCGAATGATCAGCGGACGTTTTGCTGTTCGCAACTTTAGCAAAGATTCGTGGAATGTCAGATCTTTAATGTTCTCGTCGTTAATCCACATGATACGGTCTCCTGAGCTCACAAACGCTGCCACATTATTCGGCGCACCCTTAATTTTCACCTTAATAGATTTGGCGCTGCCCAAGTCGGCAACGACCATATGGCCAGCAGCATTCGGTCGTACTGTAAAACATAGGGGTTGTTTCTTTTCCCAAATATGATCATATTCATCCTCAGTAGGATCTGGTCGAGCCGACACTTTTTTATTGCCGGGACAAAAAAACAGCGATACTGGTTTCTGCACCTTTTGCAAAAACTTAATCGCTGTGTTAAAGTTACCGTCCGCCGTATTGTAGCTGCCAATCTGCACTAGATAATGCCCTGGCTGTACGTCCTGTACCTGTGGTGAGCGATTTTTCCCAGTAATGCGCGTAACAAGAGGGTACAGCACGTCCTTACTTGCAATTAGACTGATCCCGAGTGGTCCGTCAATCCACTTAATTTCGTACTTTGCATCCAACTTGACCGCCGGTTGTGGTGGAAACTTTTCGTTCTCCGCTGCCCTCAGTTCGTCAAACTTTGCCGCAAGTTTCAATCCAATCGTGCTCTTCACCATTGGCTGAACAGGCTTAACTGCCATCGGATCCGCTGTCAACCGTCGAAAAACAAGTGTGCATGGCTTGGGTACTTCCTTCAGATAACTAATCGCGTCTAAAAACTCCATATCGTGCGTAACTCGATCTCCAATACGTAGCAACAAATCCCCCACATCCACGAGATGAATGCCAAAAATCGAGCTTTTACCTGTAAGTTTCGACACTGCCGGCATCATCATGGACTGTGAGTGGCGCAGTCTCAGTCCCAGCAACCCTCCTTCCCATATCAACGTACACATATTCCCTGTCGCGTTGTTTGACACACTTGATGTACACATAGACGTTAACTGATCCAAGGACGACCGACGAAAATGCACAAAATCTTCTTCCTGTGGTGGTGCGTGTTCATTTGGGTCCATTTTATTATCTGCATCCGTTCCTCGATCTGATCCATTTCGATCTACATCTAGTTGTTCAAGGTATTGTAACTCGTCGCTGAGGTCGTCAAAATCTCCTTCATCCAGTAAATCATTTGTACTACGAGCACGTTCACTACCAGATGAGAGTGTCTCGTCATTTATTTCATCATCTAAATCCATATCTAAGGACTCGAGAATATCTGCAAGACTATCACGTCCACTACTGACACTACTTGATCCAACTGATAGCGTCAGATCATTCTCTTCTTCATCCTCGTCCTCGTCATTCTCATCATGATCGTGCTTTTCTCCTTTTCCTCTCATTTCTTTCCGCGTATGTTTTGATAATGAACCACGTTCAGGTGCAACAGCTCCAGATGAAATCATAATTAAATCATCTAACATATCAAATACATTATCACCAAGATCGGGTTCTACTTTTGCTAATGATGATGTAAGTGATTGACGTGTACCAAGTTGCATACTCATTTCCATTTGTAATTGCATTTGTTGTTGAATTTTATGATGTAAATCAAGTTGATGTGCAAGTAATTCTTCATTACTCATTAATGTAGTCGTAGGAGATGATGATGATGGTGATGATGATGATGGTGATGGGGATGATAATGATTCAGTTGATGTGACACCGTCCGTAGACGTTGCAAACATTCCTACGTCTCTCCGTTATTACTTGGACGTCTAATTGTCTATTGTTATTGTGATTCAAGGGGGAAGACCCGATCGATAACTGTGAGCTCAAATAATTTCAGTCTTTTTTATTTGGACTATTGGGATGAAAATTTGCTATATACGACGTCTATTCGAATATATATATAGTATATATATACCTAAATAGAGGTAGTTTTTTAACTTCTTGATTTATTTTGTATGCAGTTTCAAAGAGATAAGCCAGTTTGTATAGGATTTGAGCCCTAATCATCTTGATAAAAAACTAGTCTTTTTTAACCAATGAGCACAAAACAAAGCTTCTGCCCCCTAGCGTTTGAACCAATGTAAAAAACCGTCTGAATACTACTGTGTTACATACAATAAACAGAGTGTGTGATAGTATGTATGTCGAAATCTATATGTAAATTTGTATGTCGTTTCCGTAGAGGACGTCTTTGTCCCTGCCTTCTTCTTTCTTACTTTAGGTTTATCTATTGAAAAGACATGACACACGATTGACTACCATTTTGTTGTTGTTGTTGCTTCAAACGTCTTGAATTGTCAAGTTTTACTGGAAAGAAAGATACGGTGGGTTAATTGTGGTGGGTAACAGTCTGCTATTTGATTTTATCCTCACGCTTTTATGATACACAGCATTGAGTCTGTAGTGATGATACATCTTACACCTTGTGGTCAGTTGTAGAAGAGAGATTACAACAGCATTAGGTTTTGCTTTGTTTGAACGGTTCTAGCTATGACAAGTAGCGATAGAATCGATAGATATACACGCAAGGTCAAGGGATTTGTAGTTATAGTGTTAGTGTCAGTAAGGTTTTCTTGTTTTTAAAGCTCGTAATGCAATACAGCTCATAATGGTAAAGACAGTAGCGTATCTACCACGTGCGACTTGTCGATGCCAGCCAGACAAAGTGACAACAAAATCAATTGAATGACAAGATAAAGTCTACCTACGCACGTGTGTTCAATTGCAGACAGACACAGTTCAATGTATACTTTGCAATTGCGAATGAAAGGTACCCAATGGTTCGACGTGCCTCATGCTGATTTGCGTTGGGCAACAATGACATGATGTGGCCAAAAGACGCTATTGATACTATCCATCACACCTTGGTAAGAAGGATGCTACAATTGCAAACCACATCCGTGTTTCTTTTCTTACGCAGGCAGATTTCGGTGACAGCAGATCTACTGACTGACATCCAAAGCAGCTTTGCATACTTGTATTTTTCTTGCCGACTGGTTTGGATAATGCTGCAGTATCTGTCCGTCACATCAAATACTGAAGATTTGCAACGGTGTGATTTTCTTTGTGCTGGACATGAAGCGTACAGTCACACCAGACAAAGTTTCAGCTGAAGAAGGTAGTGCTAAGAAGAGTATAATCATGCGTGAAGAAGACGCGGAAATACGATTTAGGAGGAGTGGCAAGAAGTGTATGAAGCTGTGCGTGACGAAGAAGGAGGCAAAGACCGTAGCCAACAAGGTGCAAACGATTATATGCCTGAAACAGTAGATTCAGCTTGTTGAAAGTGACACGTCTACGCTAGGTAAGACTGTCTCCCGCAAAGGTTTTCTTTGGATGAATCTACGCCTCAAGCCTAGCAACCAAGCAGCACGGAAGCTGCCCACCTACAAGAAGTGAAAGGATCAGCTTTAGCGTGATTGGAATCACACAGAAAACAAATACCTTCGCTGAGATCAAGGAGCGGCAAGCGTGCGACATAAATTAAGTGACGGCAGAAAGTAGCAAGGCAACATAGTGAAATAAAGGATGTGGTCGTCATATTGGTGCCAAATTTACGTGTGCCTGTTACAATTGATAGTGAGAAATTGTTCGAGATTGGTTAGTACGATAGTAAAAGTGACCTTTGTCTTTCGTTATACCTTCATCTCTCCTTTCTGTCCGCATATTGTGTCGCACAAAGTATGCACAATACAATCACAAAGTTAGCGGCCGCCATTCCCATCGTCGTCCCGAGCGCTCGTAAGCAATCGTACTTACGAGACACTCTCCTTTCAGCCATGACTTCCGTGCATTGAGCCACGTCGCAGCAACTTGCAGCGTCGAGGGACTTCGGCAACAGGTCCGCCAATTGCAGCTCCGAGTGCACGTACTGGGCCGCGTCTACACCACGCCAGGCGTAGTCGCAGGCAAACTTCAGGTGCACGCCTTTAGCGACGACGCCTCGCCCTCCAACTCCTTCAACGCCGCTTGGTTGTCAACGTGGAATGCCATCGGGAGCATAGACGGCTTCCCGATTTCTCACAGCATCTCTTTGATAACGAGCAGCTCACGCGCTTGCTCCGACGCGGCGACAAGATCGGCCTCCATCGTGGAAATCGTGACTCCTCCCCGCTTCTCGGCTGTCCAGGTCACCGGCATCCCTGATGATGCCACTCGTCAAGTACTTCCTGTCCGGCTTGTCAGCGGCAAAGTCGGCGTCCGAGTAGGACTCAAGCTGCACCTCGCCACCAAACACCCTCGTCGGCTCCATGCGCAGATTGAACTTGCGCGTTACCTTTCTGGTGACGCGAGATCCACTTTGCAAGCTTAAGGTCGTGCAGTCGTGGCTGATGGGTATGGCGCGTTGCTTTATGCACGGCAAACGAGATGCCCAGCCGCATTCAATGCGCTACCCTAAGTACACTTCCGACATGGGATTGAAACGTCCGGATGCTCGGACCCCGCCATCTGCACTCGCACCAAACAGCGCGCAGTCTCCTGACTGCATTTATAGCAGTCCGCCCCAATTGGGTCGCGTCGAGTTTGAATTTTAAAGTCCATGCTCGCGCAATAGCTCGCCTATCTCTTCCGACCGGTCTAGCACGTAGCTGCAGTCGTCGTCTATAGCGACACGCATCCCAAGAAACTTGCTGACGACGTCGACGTCCTTCAAATATAGGCTTCCAAGCTGGGTGAAGAAACGGTCGACTGCTTTTGTGTCAGTTCCAGTGGCATGGGGTCGTCTACTTACACACCCACGATTACCAGATGGTCGTTATCGACCTTCCAGTAAAGGCACATATCCGAGACACACTGTCTGATCCGGCGTCAATCGATCGAGCGTGAAAGACCTGGCTCCAAAGTCATCCGGCCTGCTTGAGGCGAACAAAATTTTGTGCAGCTCAAGCACGACATCCTTCTTGTGCGTGGCGCCGAGTGTTCTTGCTGATTTCCATCGCCTGTGGAATATGCAGCAGGATATCCAAGTGTGCTTCCTTGTCAGCCTTGACATAGGCGTAGGAGATGCCTCCGTGCTTCACCGGCACGCCCTAGATTTCTACAAGTGCCAAAATCACCTTCACGGTCGACATACCCATGACGGCCTCAAGGTTCAATCCCGAAGCCTGTTCGTTGCCTCACTCCACAAGTAGTGTCTTTAGACACCATCAGCATACGTCTTTGTCCTGTAGACCCACTTCGTGTGCAATGCGTTGCTTCCTGTAGGTCGCTTGATTAGACGCCGTACGGCATTTTCTTCCAGAGCTTGTAGTTCCTCTTGCATTGCCGTCTCCCAGACCTTTTTCTGCGCTGCGCATCGCGTTCCAATATTTTTTGGAATTGTGCTCGAAACACATAGACTACCACGTTTTCTTGTTGCACGCCTTCTTGGTCTGCTCTTCCTGACCGCCTGATATCGGCGTTCGCTTCGTCGCACTGGCATCATCTTCGCCGCACGAGTCCAAACTTTGACTTCTTTTTGCCAGCTCGTACTCGCCATCTGTTGCAGGAATGTATGCCATAGGCATTGCGCTAGGCTTAAAAGTGACTGCGCTTGGTGCGTCTGTCGCGGTTGCCTGATCTTTAAGCTCATGTGTGCGTTGAAGCTGACCGTTTTGCTCCGCGCTGAAAGTTTCAACATATCACACGTGCTGTGTGATCGTGACCTTGTTCTTTCCCTGAACCCCTTCGCCTCATCACTGCAAACAATAATGACGCCAACTTGTGCCCGTTGCGCTAGCGAGTTCTTGCTGGGATCTCGGTAAACCATGTAGATCGATTTTTGAGCAACGATATCACGCAGGGTGAGAGCGTGCTTGTTCAGAACCTTCACCGAGGACGCGCGCTTTCCGTTCGCACTAATCGGGCTTCGGTATAGTATATATGCAACATACTCGACTGCAAACCGGCAAAAATCATGCTACGCGCCATGTTCCGCACCGTCCTGTGCATGCGCTACGAACAGTCAGCAACAATGTGCTAATATCTATCCTGTACTTTGTAACTACAATTGTCTGTTTCTTCGTTGAATGCGCTAGCAGTATATACTCGGTGCATCTGTAACACTACTTTTTGCCGTTAATATAAGCGTATCGAGGAGGCTTCGTTCGTGCTCGAAAGAATTGATACCTGGTCAAAATTACGAATACTTGGACTTGAAACGCGCGAAATCTCGATCGTGAAGTGCATCTTCAGGATGGATACATTTAGATGGTTGTGAGATGGCTGGGTCTCGGTCGACTTCACGACTAAATTAGATCTTTTGCTTGCATCATATTAGGGTCTTTGCGATGGTTTCTCATCTACTATATGCGCGAAGAGTCTGCGTGGCTGTCGAAACAACTTTATCTTGAGCTCTTTGTTGTCTTGATTCTCTTATAGCACAGCTGCTGAGGGTGCTGTAAATGAACAACACGCAGGTTGTCGACCGTTGTGGTTCAGGTGTACTGTGTCTCTAAGATTCGACGGCCAGCGATTACTGCCTGAGCTTTCACGTTACCAAGCCTTTCACGCAGCATGTTCCTTAGCTTGAATAGTGTGTCACACTACTATAGTATAACTTGCCGATTATACGGTATCCATCAGTAAGAAGCAAAGTCTCAGGTATACAACGTCTCAGTGCTATCGAAGAGTATAGGAATTGCTGTTCTTGTTATCTAAGCTATTGTTTAATACGTCGTGAGTAGTACATATGGACACCATGAATGTATAAATTACCGTGTTCGTTTTCAATTCGATCGTATCGAAAAAGTTATCAAGATAGGCAAAGCTACAGACGCAGACTCCCTTCTCTAACCATCCTGTGTGTATCACAAGCCTTATCCTAAAGCTGGCTAGAGAGAAGTGGTCGTCTCTGCTGTACCTGCGGCTTCTCAACGTCACGTAAAAGCTTAAATATCCCTGTGCCCAATGGAATTGGAATGCCCATGATAATGCACTCACTGACGCCTACAATCGCGTCCGTACGTGAATGAACTGCCGCATCGAAAAGATGATCAGTCGTTTTTTCAAACGACGCCAACATGAGCACGCTTTCCTTCATCTTTGCAATACCAAAACGTGTAATACCCAAAACTTCGCCCTTGAACGTCATGATATCCGATAACAACATCAAATGACGTCGGTCAATACCGATACCGTAAGCGCTCATGATGTAGTTCACTTCGGAGCTGATCAGTTCACGCGCGGCCTCAATGCCAAGAGTCTTCTCTACCTCGACGATGTGGTTCGAAGTCGTATGAAGCCCATCAACGCCGGGGATACCCATGACTTCAGCAAGACCATAGCCCTCTACCAACAAGTGAAGCGAATTTGATGCATCCGCTTCTTGCACCTCCTCGTAATTAATCACAGCACGGTTCACCGTCGGAATACCTTGCACAATCACACCAGGCAGTTCCGTTTTAAGTGCTTGCAGAGCAAAATAGGCACCACGTGTGTCACCCTTGGCGCCCTTGTAGTTAGGCGGCGCCAGTAGACGCAGCTTGTCGGGACAACGCGCGTTCAACAGCACATGTTGCTCCTTCAGTAGACGAAGCGCGCCACGTGGGCCAATACCGACGGCGTTCAGGATGCTGTTTCGCACCGACCGCGCCGTGATGTTCAGGTGTAGTTGCTCAATGGCCGTCAAGTCCAACTTGATAGAAAGGTACGCTTGATCGCGAGCAAAGACCTCCTTAATGTGCACGGCAATTTCTCCTAGCGTAGTCTTTTCGATTCGTCCCTTCACAATACGCGCGGAGCGTTCATCGGTCTTGCACACTAGCGCTGCCGTGATAATAGGCGTACTAATGGTCTTTGACGCATTAATTATTTCTTTGAGACGAGGAACACCCAGCGTCACGTTCATACTAGCAACTCCGGCGAAGTGGAACGTCTTCAGCGTCATCTGCGTACCAGGCTCCGAGATAGACTGCGCACCAACAGCACCTACAGCCTCGCCGGGCTCCATACCCGCGCGGTTGTACTTGTACAGTGAGATCTCCAGCAGCTTCTCGACCTGTTTTGCTGTAATACGGCACACGTTATAAGAAAGTAGCCAAGCAGCCTCTTCTCTCTCCAAAGTTCCTTCTTTACTTGCACGCTTGCTCCACTCTGCTCGAGCCTTTACGGTCTTAAAGCGAGCGCGTTCCCACTCAGGCAGGCCAACCTTATCCAGCCCTTTTCGCTTGTAAGTCGTCAAGTCCAAACTCATATCCTCGTCCGAATCCTCTGTATCATCGCCCGACTCGGAATGGGGTTTTACCAAGCGACGCCTACCCTGTGGCTTTGCAAGCTCTTCCAATTTCGTAGAGATCTGTATCTTCTTTTTCTTCTTCGACTCACCGCCAGCGTCAGACTTAGACTTAAGCAAACTGGCCGCCTCGTCGTCATCAAACGCTTTTTCCAGCTTCAAGGCGTATGTCTTCACCTCCTTATCCATCGAATCAATACCACACCCCGTCCGGTTCGCCGCAATCTCGCACGCAACAGCGCCAAGGAACTCTTCAATCTCAATCAAAAACTTGCGTCCCGTCGGCAAAATAGCTTGGAACTGAGGGCGTTGCACCGCCTGCTTGCCCAGACGACGCAGCTCAAAAGGTAGTAGTGCTGGAGACTCGCGGTCCGGTAATGTGTTACGAATATGTTCCAGTAGACGGCGAAAGTCAACCGGCCGGTCATCACCTTCCATGTATGCCGGATTCAAACCATCATCGCCGTAGGCAAACTGCACCACTGAACCTTCCGAGTTACGCACAGTTTGATCATACTGACATGATAAATCCTCCAGCGCCTTCATTAGACGACGAGCCATGTAACCCGTCTCAGCTGTCTTGACAGCAGTATCGACCAGACCTTCACGTCCGCCCATCGTATGAAAGAAGAACTCAGTAGCAGTCAGGCCGCTATAAAACGAGTTGGCTACAAAACCCTTGGCAGATGCGTGCAGAGCGTGCGGGAGGAAGTGGGGTAAAGTGCGATTCACAAAACCCTCCGGAACACGCTTGCCGCCTACCGACTGCTGGCCCACACAGGCCATCATCTGAGAGATATTCAGCGCACTTCCCTTTGAGCCACACTCAGCCATAATACGCGGGTTGTTGTGGAATGGCAGCGTACGCATACACTCGGCACCAGCAGTCTCTCGCAGCTTACCTAGTAGACCATTAAGCTCGCTCTCGAGCGACTGAATGGCATTACACCCGGGTTTCAGGGAAAGCTTGCCATGTCGGTAGTCTTCAATAGAATGATTGGCGGCGTCATAGCCTGTCTGAAGAAGCTTTTGTTTCTCTTTGGCAAGCTCTTCTGAAGGGGTCACATCGTCAATACCAATCGAAAATCCCTTAAAATTTCCCAACCAGCGCGCACACAGCTTAGCCAAACGGTTCATACACCGAGCGGCTTCATGAGACCCATGGTCACGAATCAGCACATAGAATAGACCTTGCTTACTGCCGTCACCCAGCGTCTTCTTTCCCAGATTGCCGCATATAAGCTCACTGTTGCGGAAGCACACGTACCCATCTTTCCAGCACATGTATTTGTTGCTCGTGTAGTTGCGCTCCTTTAGCTCCAGATTTGCTAGCACCTTTGTTTGAAAATTAGGCTTGACCAAAAGGCTAATCACCTGTTTCCCAGTCCACAACCGTATCGGGAGCACGATTGCCGGAGGTGGCATCTCAATGTATTCATTTGCATCACTCATGATCGAAACTACCTGGCAAAACTGCTCACGGTTGAAAAATATGTTCTTCTGAGTCAGCAAGTACGAAGCCGTTAGGAAATCCTGCGTTGCTGCAACCAACGGTTCACCATTGCGGGGCGTAATGAGGTTCTGTTCCACGCTCATCAGTGTGATGGCCTCGGTGCGAGCCTCCTCAGTCTGTGGCAGATGCATGTTCATTTCGTCACCGTCGAAATCGGCATTATACGGGGAGCAAACACACTCGTTGAAACGAAACGTGCGCCATGGCATCACTTTCACGCGGTGAGACATAATTGACATCTTGTGAAGCGAAGGCTGGCGGTTAAATAGCACAATATCACCATCTTCCATGTGACGTTCTACGGTATCACCAATCTTGAGTTCGTCCGCCAGGCTTGCGCGGTCGCCATACATTAGATTCTTTGTGAACTTCTGGCCTTCAATACGGATAACATTGGCACCTGGATGCACATTTGGTCCATTCACGACGCATTTGCGGAGTTTCTCAATATTATACCGTGTCACTTTTTCCGGATACGTCATCGTCTTGGCTACATGGACTGGTACACCAACCTGGTCAATGCGCAAGTTTGGATCTGGTGAAATAACGGTACGACCGGAGAAATCCACACGTTTTCCCGACAAGTTGCCACGAAAACGTCCCTGTTTTCCCTTTAGACGCTGACAAAGTCCACGAATGCCAGTTTTTGCTCCTGGTGGTTTAACTAACCCCGGCGTATCACCATTCATAAGCTGCGCCACTTGAATTTGTAAAAAGTCCCAATCCTCCATCACCATTTTCAACGATGCCCCTTTTTCCAGTGCAGCACGTAGAGCAAAATTAACTTGTACAATTTCTTGAAGTTTCACGGTAATATCATCTTCAGTACTCCCCGTTCCTCCATCCATTGCAACCGATGGACGAATACATACTGGTGGTACTAACACGGACGATAGAATCAATTTCTCCGGTCGTCCTGTATCCGCATCAACCCATAACAGTTTACAATCCTGATCTGGAATCTGTTGAAATAATGCTTGAACCATTAATGGACTTAAATCTTCCTGGGCCTTGGATAAATGAACGCCAAGTTCCATATTCTGATCATTTGCATGCTCAAATTGAGCCACAAAGACATTTCGAAGGTCGTGCGTTGTTTTGGCTCGATATTTCTCATGAACTAATTTTAATGTCGTGCTTGTTAGTTTACGTACAGTCCCATTAATTGCATCGCAATAGGGACATGTAATGGTTTTTTTACATAATTGTACAATTTTTTTACGTACTGCCACCAATCGTAAAACATCTGCTTTTGGATCTTCCATGCGTTTTAGAAATGTCCTTCGCTCAGTCGGTTGGAGGAGTACTCGACTACAGGTTTTACAAATGGTTTGTAAAATTTCTATAATGGCTTTAAAATACCCAATATGAAATACCGGTAATTCCAAGGGAATGTACCCAAAATGACCAACACAATCAGAGAGTTTGAAATGACACGTAGCACATGTGTCCTTCTTATTTGATATTCCTAAACGTTTATCCAAGACACCATTCAATGCTGGTTCTCGTGTTTGTAATTGAAATAAATCCTTTGAATACACGCGTAATTCAGACATTCGCATCATATCGATGTCGGATAAAAGACCAAAATTTAAATGACTAATCTTTGCTGGACGATCATTCTCAAGCACTAGCTGCTTTACAAGTGGATTCCGCCGCTCGCCACGGCTACTACCAACACGTCCACTTTGCATTGGTATGCGAGCTCTTAATTTAGAATGGCTAGATTCAAATGAATGGTCACGATTAACAGTTAGGAAGAGGAGAAATGGATACATTATAAGATTGACAGGAGTATTAAGTTTTAGCGACAGAATCACTTGCAAAATCAATATTGAACCCATACGAATAGACATGGCTACATACTCTACGTCTCTTCATGCTCTACTTGTGCTGTTTGCGGTATTCGCTCTTCTGAACTCGACGTTTTCCTCGTTCTTTGCGTCTAATATCATCAGCAAGACGTTCTAGAATCTGGTGCAGTGTCAAATGAGGCAGTGAACACTCATCGGAACATTTCAAACAATGAAGTCGAGTGTACAGGTCGCTAGCCGTGAGTGGAACAGGTGGTGCCTTGTCTTCACCACAAAATGCATACTTCAGCAACGCTCTTCGTGGACGACTCCATACGTGAGGTTTGGTGTGCGTAGACGCCTTCTTCAACATGACAGTGTAATGATCAAAGGACCATCGCTTTGCTTTCATCAGTTCCTTTGATCCACGTTGTTCCGATAAACGGAGGTGAATGTAATCACAAGTTTCGTCCTGGGACACGTTTGGACAAACACCATCAAGAAAAAATGGTACACAGTACATACCCGTCTGAAATGTGTAAGGGATACGATCATAGAGAGTCCAAGCTGGTAATACCGAAGTGGCGTTCGAGCTAGTTGCTACTCCATCAGCACGTGTCTTTGGCATGAAACTGTACAAGTCAATTGCACCGGTTTCAGCCACAGGCTCGGCTGTAGCCATGAGAACTTCAATAGCGCTACTTCTTTTTTCAAAAGTACTTGGTCGACACGCATCTTTTGGCCGCAAGAGGTAGTTCCCAACTGGAAGATCCACCAGTCCTGTGAAGAGCATAGACAACCACTTGAACTTTGATGACGGGCTAACACATAACACACATGTTGTCAGCTCACACACACTCATACGACCGAAAAAAAAACCAAGTCACAGGATTGCCGTTGTAAGAAGAACTTACTCAAAAAGCTCGAGTGGAACACATTGATCCTTCTTGTCACCAAAGATGAGTGACGCTGGCAAGTACGTTTTCCAAGAGCTGACAGTATCCTTCGTAGGGTTCACCCGTACGACAAGTACGGTCGAACCACCGCGGAGCCATGAATGAAACCAGAAGCGACATCGCTCACTAGTAGTCAGCTGCTCCTCAACTCCCAGCAAATGGTAGTCTGGCTTGACGAATACGCTTAGCGGTACAGTTCCCTCTTTCTTGTGCTGTTCATCTTGCGGCATATCTGCAGACGGCGAAAGGGTAGGCGTGATCATGTGCACATGCGTCGTGCTGCGCACAAGAATCCGTTTTTCGTCAAGTTGCCAAATAAAATATACCGTGCGTCCACCAGTTGATCCTTCAAGTACAGACTCGACCTATAACAGCATTTTTAGACTCCTCTACTGGTGTGTGCAATTGATCAGTCACTGATAACCTCACCTCAAAGCGAGAGAACAGTGCAGCACGTCCAGCCTCTGCTACTTTCTCTCGCGTGCGCGGACTACTACCTGGCAACGGACGATCTAAATAAATACGCTTTTTTTTCACTACTGCTTTCGAGAGCGCTTGCTCGGTTTTTCATGGGGATTCCCCAACCTGACGGCTACATTTCAAAGTCAGAACTTGAACAAACCAAATCATAATCAAACTTTTGCGCTCAACTTACCACGTGGCCAAAATGGCTTGACGTATTACTGTCAAATAATGTGACCAGCGTAGACGACGAGATGGCGATATCGCAGTCGTAAAGCTCCATCAACTGCTTTGCCTGTGCGTCTGCCGAAATAACGTGGCGCGGCAATGCAGCGTCCAGTGCCAATCCATCGCTCTCATCCGTCATACTCTTCAGTGGCTGACCAGCAGCAAGTTTTGTTAAGTCAATTGTGCAACAAATGCCACGAGTAGCAACCTCCTTAGCCTTAATCAAATCAGACGTAGAGCTGTTGAGAACGCGACGACTTGGTAGTTCTATTTCCATACAAGGATGAAACCAACGTGTGTATAGACGATAAATGTCGTTCCAGCACTGCGTCAGCATTGCGTTATACTGTAACAAGCACACATACAGTCACTGACCACATTACAAATACAAGTCCACCCCCACCGACAAACACGTACCCACGACGCAGCAAACAATGGCACATGAGTCTCATAAAAAGCAGCTTCTGCTGCCAGACCTCTTGTCATCAATGAACAAAACTCTACTTGTTCAGTTTCTGCATACTTTTTCATTTGTTGCCACTGTTTTGCTTCATCTTCTGATAGTGCCAATTCCTCCGGTAGTCCACGCTTTGTATTCAATGAAACAGCAAAAGCCCACCACAAAAACAAACAAACAAACAACCACCATCCATCAACTCATCACTTGTTGTTACCCATTTCCAAGCAATAATCAATCACCTAAATCTGCACCTGTTGAGCTTGATAGATACTTCGTTGCAGTTGGAGATATTGATCATGTTCTGCCACTGAAATCCTCGAGATTCTTCGTCGTACATTGTCAAACACTGCCAGTAACTTCTCTGGCGCTTGAATTCGCTTCATTTGAATCGCCTCGAACAGTAATTGCATCAAATGTTTTCGTTTCTTTGTCATGTCGATTGTCATGGAGCTTTTATGCTTCCATTGCAACGGTTTAGCCGTTGTAACAAGTGTCCGTCGATGGGTTTCAAGCTCTCCATAGAGTTGTGATTCAAATCCATCACCACGTATGGAATATGTATCGAAATCATCAGCCGTGAAGAAAGATGAGCTCTTAGGGTCATGACAAGCAATGGCACGGCGTTTATGACCTAGAAGAAGCTGTCGTGGGACAGCAAAAGCTGTTGATGCACTCGTCATGTCCATGGTCATGGATGTTGATTACTAAGCCAATCTTTGGATATTGTAGCCACTCATTAAAATGGGTACATCACGACTATATAGATTTGTACAGGTTAGGAATGACTGTAGGCATATAAATGTATGCGACAAATTTATTGATTACGTAGTATTTATTACTTATGGCAAAAAAAGTTATGAACGGATGAAAAACAAAGCGTAGGTAGTATGTGATTGGTCACATGTCATACGTGCAACATAAGACGCTCTGATCCTTCATTATGGCAGTTAAATGCCTTCTCTATACCGCTTTTGAAGCACCCAAATGCACGGCAGCATGAAGTTTCTGAAAGATGCTCTCATGACAGCAGTAGTTCTATGGTATATATGATATGCGGGGTTTGCTGAACATCTTTTTTCGATGCACGTACCAATGAGCAAGTACAACATTGCGGTATGTCGCCAAGTAGATTGGTGTAGTTACATACAGGATTAATGAAAAGCACACATCAATTTGGATCGATTATATACGGAGATGAAACAGTGATACGTCAAGTAAGCAGTGGTCAATGCAAACTGTCACATTTATAACGCTTTGCGTGAGACATGCAGTTTCATTTGTTGAAGATGGCAACTTTTATTTGCGTTATTGATGAGGTTGACAAAATAAAAGCAAGTTTAGTACAGCAAGTTACGTTATGACTTATTGAACATACGGTTGAAAAAAGAATGACACACTATGGACGCACACGTCAACACTAAAGAAATTAGCCTTCATTTTTAAAGTATATACCTTGATTTGAGACATGTTTAGTTAATGATCTCTTTTCTATCATGATGAATCAGTAAGAGAGTCAGATATCATACCAAATCTTACAACAATTGAACACTCGTACATTCTCTAACAGCATATAATGATTCATTTTTCAAATGCATCACTAGTTTTTCCACTTATAACCATCTTGTAAATCTTTCTCTGCCTACCTCGCATTAATATTGCCAACTTTGCTTATTACATTACAAATAAAGAGAGCCGTTAATAAAAACCCCAGCAACAACGAATCTCTAAATCTGTTTCAATGCCGCCGCAAAAGAAATGACAAAAACAACCAAACGCTGAACTTCTTAACCACCCATAAAAAAACAACACCTAAAATTTGCTTGCCCGCTGTTCGTAGACGCAACTTAAGCTTCCATTTCACCCAAATTCTGGCAATTTCACCCACTTTTCATCTCCCCCGTCTTGAATCAAATAAACCACACTATACAGAAAGAAACCCCTTTACTGACCGTCAAAAAACATTTCCTCTATCCCTCTCTATCCCTCTCTATCTCCATGGCTCACCAACGTCATGGATCCATAACCTCTTCCTCTTCTTCCTCCTTTCTTCATGATTTACCTGGTGCTAATCCCATTCTCTTACGTAGTATGATGGATTGTGTTGATACAAGTCTCTTTTCACCTCATCAACTTGCAAACTGGTCACACATGAAGGCTCGTTTACTCACCGCAGCAGAACAAAATCAACCCGTTTCATTCACTGGACGTGATTTAGCCATAATTAAGACGGAATTTGCGAAAACACCCACTTTAAATGAAGCCATTGGGACAAATACCACATTATCACCCAATCCTATCCCTTCCTCTCCTCCTCCTCCTCCTCCTTCTGCTGCTTCTGCTCATAATTCCGATCAATCGGATGAATATCGATCTCCTTTACATCGTGAAGCAAGTATTCAAGATGTTTTAGCGTGTCTATTGGATCAACAACCACCACAACTACCACTAGTCCATTCAGGCTCAAGTGAGACGCTTTATAGTCCAAACTCTTCTTCTTTAGTATCAGAACATCAGGAGGAGAGAGACACGTATCAGACAACAGGAACACCAGCAGGAGCAATAACAGGGTCAACAGGATCAGGGTCATCATTATTATCAGGAACAGGATTAAGAAAACCTTCTTTGAAGAAATTATTGAGCTCAACGACGTTTTCCATGACGGAAAAGAAGGAAAGTTTACGTCATTTATTAAGTTTCATTGACACTTCCTTTGCAAGTAATACACCCGAACCATTAACACAAGTCTATAAAGACTGTGAAGCAGGGACATTACAGCGGCTATCGAGTTTACAATTGATGCGAAGTTTCATGACACCACCACCATCATCATCATCATCGTCAGCATCAGCAGCTAATGGATTTGCATCATCAAGTGGCAATTATGGAACTCAAACAAGTACTGGACATGGAAATGGAGCTGGAATGGGTATGCGGACCACTAGTTTTGAAATTATTCAAGCTATGCTCAATGCAACGTCGAATCAAGCGATTCAAAAACCCATGTCGAGTCAAGATAGTTTTCGGTTTCAACATTTGGCGAGAACGCTGGAATCGATTGAGACGGATGTGTCAGCAATTGATAATGAAGATTATGGAGGTGATGACGTGGTGCAAGTGGATAATTTGGACAATTTGCTTGATTACCATGGATCGAATAACAGTGCAGCTAGTCATATGTCGATATCTTCGAATGCAGCAGTTTTAGGTAATGTTGTTTCATCGAGTCAGGGACAATCGGCAGGATTCGTTGACACACAGACGCTATTGAATCCATCGCGTTCCATTTACACTGAGATGACGTCAACGGCACCGAGCTTTTCGACGTTTGGACATAGTCTGGATAATTTGCAGCATCTTGGATTTAACTCGTCGACGACATCGGCGTCTGGAAATTTGCCTATAATGGGTATGATGAATCATCAACCGAATACAGCGTTCCAACAGCAGATTTTGCAGCAACAATCACTACGTCAAGAGCAGCAGCAGCAAAAGCAGCAGCAACAGTACCACCAGCTATATCATAATTCAATGTTACAGCAACAGCAGAATGGAATCATGGCGTCGGCACCGGGATACGCTGGAGCGAACCAGCCGATGCCGCAGTTTCCGAACATGCTTATGCAGCCCGGAACTAGCTTGCTTCAGCAAAAGCAGCAGCAGATGCGTGGTGGACATCCACAGCAACAGATGCGGATATCGACACAGACTGGCAAGCCGATCAAAATGGACGCCAATGGTACACAATTATGCTCGGCGTTGGGCTGCAACCACGCCGCGCGTGTCAAAGGCATGTGTAAAATGCATGGTGGTGGCCGACGATGTAAGGTGGATGGGTGTATGAAGAGCGCACAGACTGGTCACTTGTGCATTGCGCATGGTGGCGGCAAGCCCTGCAATGTGGAGGGCTGCCCGAAGACAGCACAGTCGCGAGGGCTGTGCAAGCAGCATGGTGGTGGTGTTCGATGCAAATTTGAGGGTTGTACGAAGAGTTGCCAGTCGGGTGGTTTTTGTCGTGGCCACGGTGGGGGCAAGCGGTGTGAATACCCGAACTGTACCAAGTGGGCGCAAAAGAATGGCCATTGTGCCAAGCATGCTCAGGAGATTGCTGCGCAGCAGCTACAGCAGCAGCAAGCGTTACAGGCTCAGATGCGACAGCAGCTTGTGCACCATTGATGCTCAAGTAGCGTTCAACAACGAACGGAACGAAAGCTTGCACAACGCAATTTCGAGAAATTGCTAGATGTGCGAGATGAAAGGTCTTAGTGCAGAGAGGCAGCGTTGGAGAGCTTGAGCTTGCAGCGCAGCCGACAGGAGGATCATGAAGTAGTTGCTCAACTAATAAAAGCAACAGCCAGTTGGAGTGCATACATGTATGTAACCCGAGGTGGTCGGTGTTTTGTAAAGAATTCAGGCAAGATGAAGCTTAACGAGCTTGTTGACTAGTATCATGTGCGTAGAAAGGAGGTTGATCAACGATAGCTATTGCGTCAAAGCAAGTTTGAGTGAAGACAACAGGCAAAGACTTGACACCAGAATTGTACAAACTCTGCTGGATGGAGTTTGAAGGCGACACGTACGTACTAGCACAACCAAACAAGACATCAATGTAAATTACGTTTGGTGGATTGAACATACTGATCAACATTAGTCATCGACCTCTTTGCTAATCTGCTCGACCTTCCGACACGTATTTCGTTTGAGGAGTTCCTCTCTTCTGTTTACAAGCATAACGATCTTGGATTCTAGTGAACTTGTACAGCTCAAGGTATAGTACATGCATGTACGATAAGGAAAGAGTCTGATTCGTTTCAGCATTCCCGAACAACGCATACACGTGCAAACCTTGACACTGTTGTCGATGCACCTCCACCATTACAACAAGAGCACCGGAAGTTTGAAGCGGTGAAGTAAATCAAAGCAATGGATTTGTCGCACCACGTCCGCATCCTTCTCAAATCTCTCAATATGAGAAGACAGTATACCTCTTCCGTCGCACGTGCATTAGCCCGACGTCAGTTCTTCGCTCGTAGCTGAAAGTACGCACATGCCGAACAAGCTCGAAGTTGGTGACGCATGGGTTGTGATCTTGATTTCCGTACACTCGTGAACATTCACCGCAGACGCGTTGATGCAATCCAAGTACTTGTTTCTCAACAAACACGATGATCGGCTACGGTCAAACGTCAGTTTGCAAAATCGTCATTACTTTGTACAGACATGAGCTTAGTGATCTAACGGGCATGTTACCACTTGACCCTAGAGCGAACAACAACAACTAACACATGAGGGTTAAAGTAGCACCTCGCACGACGAAACAAACCGTTTTGACGTAACAGGTTGTCGGCCGTCTGGTATGACCATAGGCTGTGATGCATTGGTCTTGTATCAGACAAATGACGTTGAATGTCAACACATTGCGCCCATCCATTCTATCAGAACAGGGGTGCGACGTGTGACTTGAACCCGTAAGAAAGCCAATATGTCTTCGTGTCCATGAGCATCTTTTGAGCGATTTAAGTAGCAACCTGGCAGCTTCTGGTTGTATCAACATCCACTCAATACCATTCTGTGTCATTTGAAGCACTTCAAGTGAGTGCTCTATTGGATCAGTGCCTCTTCTAAGCTAGCGCGACAGAACACCAGGTCGGTCTGGGCATCCTGATATTCAATTCTGTTGCCTTGAGTCTTAGTAAAAGTAGTTTGTTCGAGTGCATGCATCCATTCATCTAACGTAACATCGCAACCGTTTGCTTGCGGCTCATACTTTGCGAATGCAATCGTTCCAGAGTTTTGAAGATCACCGAGACCGTCGTATCATCAGCCATTTCAACTATAGACCGCGTGTGTCGTATTCGGTACTGCATACATCAGTTCACGGGTACAGCTGCATAGCATGTTTTCATCCAAGCCGGCATCCGATCCGTTCGTGTCGTATTTGCCAGCTCTCCAAATCGCCAGGCAAGGCAATGAAATTGTTGAGCGTCATTGTGGCTGCTGTGCACAATTGTGCTTCATGACTCGAGACATCAATCTTACACTGCTTCAACTGATGGTCATATTGGTCGATGCAAGTGTCTATGTGAATGCGCTCCGGTCATAAGCATACTGACGCAATGAACTCCGATGTCAGCGGTGACATTGTCAAACCATTACATTCTCATGACGAGGACCTCATGTACACGATGCTTCATGATCAATTCTCGTGAAGCAATCGCAGGTAGCAGTGAGGGACACATGACGATCTCAATTGCACCCGCTTCTTCTGAATCAACGATACCTACAATTTGGCAGCAGTACTACCCCACCGGATTACAGTCTGCATTGACGTGTGCATTCAAATACTTCCGTGCCTTTCGAGTATCCATGATGGTGACCTGTGATGATGCTCGAAGCTATGACGGAATTTGGTTGAAACGAGCAATCTTCTTCAATTTCGTCTTGGCAACGATCATGTTTCTTGCTTCTTTGTCGTCAGTGTAAGGAATTGACATTAAGAGGCACATTCATTGAGTTTATTGTAACTGAGGCGACACGCACCTGTCATGTCGGAGCAGTCCCATTCAGAAGGACTGGCAACCTTTACATGACAGTCTCCACCGGACTTTAATGTGGTCGCGTAGCTGTCTTCAGCCTTACTCGATAATAGGCAACGGACAACGTCCAGTGGCCGCTTCTTCGCAAGCTACAAATACCTCTGCACTGCAAGACATGGCTGACAAAAGCCTCATCAACTTGGTGAGTACGCAGGAGCGGCAGCAGACGAGATCTCATCGTTCAAAAAGAAGTGTCGTAAGTATCCGGCATTGTCCGGACATCTTGCGTGCAGCGTGCCAAGTGACATCTAGTAGGCTAGTTGAGACAAACTTACAGTAGCGTCAAGCCAACTCATGGCAGACGGCCATAGCTCTTGCAAGTTTTTTACGGTTTTACGAAACTGCATCGAATGAGAAGGACCAATGCATGGTACAACATGACTATTAGATCTCCTCATCGTAGCTTTCAGTGTACAAAAGAGAATGTGCGGCCAACTGCACGGCTGTGATGCAAAACAACGTGGATAGAGATGAAAATTCGCGACGATCGTCGCATACAAGTCACCTGTGGAAGAGCGTTAATAGCGAAATGTCATTTTAGTCTTTGTAGTATCCGCGACTGTATCTGATCACAACACCTCCAAGGAGTAACAAACGTATCGTTGGATAAGCTTCACGCTTATCTACTATCTCACGATACTTTTGTAGTGCTCTAAAGCAGTCTCATTGACCAAGATCAATCACAACCACGTCCCCATGCAACAGCATTTTCTACTTACGGATTGTCAACACGTTCACCCTCTTTACGTTGTCTCTTGTCCCCAAGCTAAACCCGTCATAGCCAGCACTTCGTGAGCAAAATCATCGTACAATTGCTTGTACTTGAGCGGAGGTGGAAACTTGTGTCCTTCTTCATGCTCCAACTTGACTCTCCTCATCTGTGTAAAACTCTGGACCAACTTGTTCGAATTGGGGGCCAACGGATCCTCTCTACCCACCGCATGCACAGATGGTACATCAATGGCCCCGTCAGCTGAGGTTTTAGCCGCATCCAAAAGCTCCTGTGTCTCATTATTACGAGGATAGAATCCTCCTATGAGTACACAGGCTTTCCAGGGCACGTAGGCTTGGCTGATATCAGTCCTGTTGCTATGCGCAAAAAGGTGGAAGCGTTTCTTTTAACGCGTTTTGACGTATTACGTCGCGTCAAAGACGCTATGGCTGAAAGACAGGATGTTCAGAAGGAACACGCGAATGCCAAAGGCAGGAAAACGAACATGAGTTTAAAGTGGGAGATTTGGATATATTAAACGCTAGGAATTTACCGACACGTGCCGTTTCGGCGGTATATAAAACTAAATTACGACCACGTTTTATTGAACCTTTCAAAGTCATAAGCAAGAAAGGCTTAGCCTACACGCTGAACTTTCCGAAGAAGATGAGAACGCATCCTGTGTTCTATGTGGGCTTACTAAAGCCATACCTCAACCCGGCCTCGGTGGACTTCAAAGGGTTGTCCCCGTATCCCCGGCCGAAGGAGGCGGGAAGTACTGCACCGGAGGTGCATATGGACGCTGTAGGCGTACCAGGAGGTCGATCTGACATCGCAGTTCGGCCTGAGAACGCTCAATTGCCGTTAAGCGATCCGAGGTCTCAGAGCAATAACGCTCAATAGACCGACGGTGTCGATCGACACGGTCATCGAGCGATGACAGGTGAGACCTCATCGATGCAAGGGCATCACGCTCTAGGAGCGTCAGGCGACGCTCAATCTTGGAGAGATGAGAAGTCAATGGGTCATTGACCTCCTTCGACGTTGATTGATGACCAGGGTCATCAACAGTTCCACGTGGAACGTCTCTTGGCTCGGCGTCGTCATCTGGGTCATACCCAATACTTCGTGAAGTGGAGGGGTTACCCCCAGTCGTATGACTCGTGGGAGTATGAGGTACCCCTTCGGCAAGATTGCCCCGACGCCGTTGACGCTTTTGACTAGGACGGTCAGAAGCGACGACAGCTGTCGTCGACTCTTCCTAGCACTAGATGCTGTGGAAGTAGGGTCAGTAGGCTGACTTTGCCTCTGACCTTCAGAAGAAGCCAATGTCGGTACATTGCTTGAGTGAGAGGTACGGGCAACAGCTGCAGAAGCTTGTCCCCCATAAGTCTTTGACCTGTATGTGGAAGGTTTTGACGTTTCGCTTTAGTTTAGCGAAGTTAAAACGTAGACGACGTTCTATCCAAACGTCTTGCGCTTTAGCGCTTAAACGCAAGTTTGACATACTTGAGAGCTTACATGCTTGTTCTACCCAACGGGTGAGCTGGTGATCATCTTGTGCAGATGTTTCACCTGGTGCAAGAACCACTGGTATGCCGTTTAGTGGGTGCACGGGCACCCCACGTGACTGTTGTGACATTCGCTCCTGATACGATTTCATCGTAAACTACTGGCGAGTAAGGAGCCTCTCACGAAAAGCAACAGTATCTGCATTCTCGCAGGCCGTACGGGCATGGGATCCAATGGTGTAGGTTTCACAAAGATTGCGATGCAGCTCGTCGAGCTTCCTCTCATCGTCAAGAGGATTGGTTACCTCTTCGTCAGCACCCTCTCGCGAGGGAAGAGGAGGCGATTGGCGCAAAGAGGTTGACTCGCATAGAGGAGAAAACACAGAATGGGACCGACGTCCCTCTCTTGGTGAGCGTGATGATCTTGGGTCACTTTGACCCGCAGGTGACTCGACTTCACCACCCATAGAGGCAACGTCACTGTCATCGTCCCCAAAAATGTCGTGACGCGTTGCTCCATCCATGGTGGAGCAAGCGCTATTGAGACAAGTGCTTTATAAAAGCAAGTGTTTGTGAACACTGTGATGCTTAAAGCAAAAGTTGTGAACACGTATTGCTTAAAAGCAAGTTCTAGGCATCTTTTGCTGTGAAAGCAAGTGTTCGTGAACACACAAAAGGGTATTATTACCAAGTGCTTGGCACTTAACGCTTATAAGCAAGTGCCGTAACACTTAATGCTTTAGCGTGAGTGCGATGCACTATATGCTCAAAGAGCGAGTGTCGTAACACAAGTATGCTTATGAAGCGTGTGTGCAATGCACGGGTGCTCAAAGAGCAAGTGTTAAAAACACAGAAGCTTTAGACGCAAGTGCAAGCACTTATTGCGAGACAAGCAAAATGAGAAGAAAATGAAATCGATGCCTCCAATTAAGTGCAAAAATTCGTGGGTTACGGATTGGTGGGGGAGAGTGTAACGGGGTTACACAAAGGTGTGTATTTTATATACAGGCCTGCCACACCAATGTGGTGTGGCTGTACCTTGGGTACAAAGCAGGTGATGTGACCATACCTGAAGTACGAAGGGTCACATCGTACTTCAGGTACGGTCACATCACCTGCTTCGGGCAGAGACACGTGGTCACTATACTTATTTAAAGTATAGTGACTATGCATATTTGCATAGTAATCAAAAGGCTCAAGAGCCAGTAATAGTGACTAGCACTAAGTATAAGATAGGTGCTTCTATATTTAGTGTTAGAAGATAAACATAAATATATAGATCAGTTTCAAACCTGCTCTGTATAGCACTAGTTGCTTGAGCGTACTATTCCTCCTGAGAAATCGTATCTTTGATACTAGTCTCTCTGAGACACGGTTACAACAACCGATAGGCACAAGCTTACGAGCTAGCCTAGGAGGGTTAAACACCCTAAGACGTAGAAGTTCTCTGAGCTTGTCTTCCTCTGCACATAGTGCATACGTAGCTTTGCTACAGTAGTTTGACTACTTCTTCTGCAAATAGTGCATAAGTAGCGTAGCTACAGTAGCTCGGCTACAGAGTAGCTATCATCATACATTGAATACTATAGAACAAAGACTAACTAGTACTAATTAGAATAAATTAGCCAATGAATAGCTTCTTCTTTTGTAAACCTTTTGTTTATTCAGAGTGAGACCCTTTATTCGCTCTCTCTATTTTCCTATTATAATGCACCAAATACCACTTCATGGCAAATGTCAAGCATTTTGTCCTTTAAACGAAGAGATGACACGGGTTCAAACCCATGAACTCAGTCGTTTTGAGCAACCAAGAGCAAATTTCCAAGGACTTGTAGCGATTAAAAAATATCGTCGAGCTGCTGCCGGTCGTGACGTTTGGAACGCATCAGAATTCAGACCACCACACGTGCTTTTGCGTACATTGAAGCATTTATTTACGACAGTATTGTCGTGGCCTCAGAGTGGTTTTAATTGCCGTAAATGTGCTCAACTGGACGAATTCCTAGCAGTTTATCACTTTGTGAATGATCGTGTACGTAGTATCCGACAAGATTTTACAGTTCAGGTAGGAGAGTTGTTGATTGAATTTAGAGAGAGAGAGAAAGAATGACGGAAAGAAATGGACTGATTTGGTTTTGCTTTTTCTTGTGCACAATAATATAAAAAGAGGATCGAGGATGTGTCACTAGTGACGGCATTGCAACAGATCACACGGTTTTATCTAGTGGTGAGATTACGCTCGGTGCAATTATTCGGTGGTTCCAAGGCACAACAAGATTGGAGTGATAGATTGAATGATGAACAATTAATGTCAGCGCTTTCGCAACTTGAGACACTGTATCGTATGCATGAGTTTGTGCCCGAGAGCGACCAAGATGATTCAGAACGAAAGGATGCCGAGGAATTTATTGGGTATGATCTGCTGTTGCATGCTGATGAACCGCAACATGTGGCCTGGATGTTGCGCAAGCATTCATCAAAGCTACGTAGCTTACCAATGGTGCAACGTGCTTTGCGGACGTGTGTGGCATTGCAGACAGATGACTTTAATGCGTTTTTTATCGAGTTTCACGCCATGACGCTGCTGGAACAAGCTGCGTCGCTGCGTCATCTTGTAAAAGTATGGACCCGCAGTTTGCACATGATGAACAAAAGCTTCGGCAAACAGGATCGCTTTTCGCTGGAAGAACTCGCACGCTGGATGAACCTGGCTGACCCGAACAGTCAAGACGAGGGTGGCCAACTTGCGGAGAGGCTTTGCAACGGCTTGAACATCCAGACACAGCGGTATCCACCATCATTACCACCACCACCTCAAAATGATGCCGGCCGTGTAGTTGAGTCTTGGGAACTAATCAATGAGGATCTTGCTGATCAAGTGGCCAGTGGCAAAACCATCTTCGCTCGGGTTTGCTCAATTCAAACATTCACCAGTGCATGACCAGCTTGACTTGAATGCGGTGGAGATCTTACTCTGCAATGTAGCTCTTCGAATAGAGAAGAACTCTGCTCAGTTGTCGATAACAGAGCTGATCATGGGAACAGTTTAAGAATCGTCGCATGTTGTCAACATTCAACAATCACTTAGCGTTCGTGAAAAGATTATTTCTTTGTTTTTAATTGATCTCTCACTCTCACGTACAAGAAAGCTCGCTCAAAGGCAGAAAAACACAGTAGCTCACGTAAAAAAAGACTGTCATGCTTCTCCCTTGTCGCTCTCACGACACCTTACCTTTGCCCAATAAGTTCTGCGTGCTGCCTTCGTTGAATCGTTACTTTCGATGGTAGTCGGTATCTGTAATATGTTCCGTATCAAAGCGCACGAACGAGCTGCGTTTTCATGGGCAGCTATGCAAAACGTGTCTACCCTGAACTTGGTGGAAGTGCGCAATCAGATCACACCTTGGTTTTTTTCTTGGGAGGCGGCAAACTGTCAAGTGCATCGAAGCTCAGCTCCACCTTGGTATCTTGCAAGTTGTCCAAGTCGCGGTATGACGTTGATACTTGGCGAGGGTCCACTGGCAGCTCGCTGTCTGGTACTCGTGGCCCAGCAGGGGGAGGACCACGTGAAGGCGAGCGACCATAGCCACCACCGCTGCCGTTGTGTCGGGGAGGCGAGCGCGGTGGTCGATCAAACGAACCTCTTCGCATGCGATCATCACGCATCGGCGGACCGCGACCGCGGTAACCATCGTCGCGGTAAAACCCTCGGCCACCGCCACCTCCACCAAAATCTCTGTCAAGGCGTCCACGGTATCCACCTCCATTCCGGCTACAATTGTGACCTCCGCGTCCACCAAGCAAGGCACCACCTGGCATGGTATTGATAGTTTCAAGGGGGGGCATCGGATGCTGTTCGTCCTCACGGTACTGCTCCCACATGTAACTCTCGCCAACTTCGGCAACCTTGTCTACCACCAACTCCGGGTGCTTGTTGCGTATATGCTTCTTTACAAAGTCCATGGCCTTAAAGAGCTTAGTGCACAAGCGGCAACGATGCTTGCCGTCATCGCTGGCTTTTTCTCCATAATTTGCGTACGTGCTTTCAAGTGCCGCCTCTTCGCGAGCTTCTATCTCGTCAACTAAAGCACGATTCTTGGCACGCTTAGCCTCCACGACTTCCGGAGCAAGCTCCTTTAGGTACGTTTGCACCTTTTCATCCAAAGCTGATGCCCATCCGCCAATAGCTTTAGCTGTCTCTCCTGTCGTAACTGAAGTTGACTGATCTCCTTTTTCTTCTGATTCTACGCTGGTCGCGCTGTCCTTATTTCCTTTTGTTACGGTATCTCCCATCGATATTGTCATGCTACTTGCCGCAGCTTCCTGTCGAGCCTTCTCTTCTTCAATATCACGTGCTGAAGGTGGCGGGCGGCAAAAGAGCGCAGGATGGGCGTGCATGATATCACCCATGTCAAGGCACTGTACGCCGGCATAATAAATATAGTGGTGCACCCGACGCAAATACGCCACAATCACATCTAGCTTCTCCTTGTCACTTGAATAACTCTGCCCAACCTCTTCAGATGCCAGCAGAGTCTCAATACCAAAGCGGGCCAGTTTATCTTCGGCGCCATAAAACAGACGTGCGTCCAAGGCCTTAGCCAACCCAAGCGACTGCTTGTAATCGGCAGTCAAACGTTCAGGCACTGACAAATACGAGGGAGTTTTCAGTGGTGCGCGGGTACGGTGAGGAGACACCTGAAGACGGAATGGTGGAAATTGGTTACCATCTTCCACGAACGTATTGTGGATCTTGGGCATGGCATCACTCGCAGCTGCCGCACTCTCGTAGATGATGTACGCTGAGCGGTCAAAGTCAAACGCACTTTTCTTGACCGGATCTGACAGGTACAAATGCACAAAAGGACCTCCCTACGAAAAAAAGGCTCATCAGTCCAGCTGTACTACCTTTTCCCGAGAAAAATATTACACATACCGCCTTTTTGATCGTCTCACTGAGTGTGCCAACAGGGCAAGCACATGGCACACGACGCACGTACAATACCCGCGCACTATGCTCAAGATCATTGGCAAAATCCTCAATCATCGGAGTCACACAATTTTCACCAGGTACTTGTTCATCCAAGCAGATTTTAGCTGTTCCAGATCGCAATCGTTCACCAAACTGTTTTGCTTCGTTGATCTGCTGCGTGGTCTTCTGTTTTTCCACACGATAACGCAATGCTGGTGAATAGCGTTCTTGCATCCATTCTTCACGTTTATGAAGCTCAAAAAATGCACGTAATACTCGCTGCACGTGCTTCTTTTTATACTCTTCATACCGCTGTTGATAAACTTCAGGTGCTGATTCATCAGTCTGTCGCATCATCCAAACTTTATACGACACTAATGGCTCTGGAAGTATTGCAAATGGCCGTAAATCACGACGAGAAGGTCCCACATCATCAAAACGAGGTCCAGCATCCCAATCCATAGGTCCACCACGACCACGACGTGGTGGACTACGACTACGGCCACGAGGTCCACGGAATCTCATCTCGTGATTCTCTCGACTATCACTGCGGTACCTATTGTTACATATAAAATTGTAGAGGTTAGAAGAACAAAAAGAGATTGAATTTCCACAAGAATCAATCATTAATCATCATCAGATGACGCACTGGCCACGAAAATCATCACGTCCATATGGTGGGCGATGATCTGAATGCGGGGTATTCATTGACAAAGGACCAGGACCTGGTCCACTTCCTCGGTGGTCTATAGGTGGATAATCTTCACGCATTGGTCGTTCTCCCTATATAAGAAAATGATTTGAAGAAATAGGGGGGACGAATAGAAAGACGTTAGAAATGGATAGTTAATCAAAGGTTTTTTTTTAAATTTAGAACTTAGATATGTCTAAAAAAGAGGATCAAAATAGGTGAAGCTAGCAAACACAGATACTCATAAACATACCATTCTTAATTTTATCGTAGGACTATTACGAAGGAGGGAAGAGGAGAAGGTTGACGTATACAACACAACGTCAAAAGCTCGAATAAACTGCGTAAGAACTGGTGCTTTGAAGACTGTAGAATGCCGTCCACTACTTTATGCTTCGTTGTACCGTTTTAACGGTACAGTACCTGCACAAAGTAATGATATCAAATTCGAAACTCACGTTGATTTTGAAAAAAGTGCTTTTTTATAGTGCAAGGTAGACACTTTTTTTAAAAGACGAAACAAAGCAGCACTAGACGTTTTCAAGTAGACTAATCAATGTCCGTCTGTCAAAAGCTCTAATAGAGGAAGACTACAACATTATGAAGAATTGGCAATCGAGGAAATAGCTTACCAGATAGGAACCAATCGTGATAAAAAATGCAGCTTTGATGATACAATCCTGATAGGGTCGCTAGTGCTCATTGAGGTATAAAACTTGCTGCTGCTGCTGCTTGAGACTGCTCAATGTGCAAAAGATCAATTGCGTTGGCTGGACAAGTGATAAGTAAACTAGATACTTTCAGCATTGCATGAAGCTTATAAGGTTTATTGCAATGCTAATTTGTAACAGTGCTGAGCATTGTTGACTGTTCTCAAAATACTAGCGGCTCAACATTATCATATTGAAGCATCATCGCAAAAATCGCTAACGGATGCATTTTGATTCTAGTTAATTCAATGTGCCATCACTGCAAGACCAGATTTGAAAACCTAACGACAGAACGTATTGTCGCCACCGCTCAGGACGTCTCGTTGCAAATGCTATGCTTATGTCAATGTGCACGAGTTGCCTTACAAAATACTACGGGCTCCTTCTTCACCCGCACTTCAGCAACACCTCCACCTTTGATCGCGGAGAGTAAGGACGCACATACCTTGCAATTAACGCCATAGTATCGCACGTATCAAGCTCGTAGGACTGCGACGACGCACTTCAAGTTAAAACATTGGGCTTGCACAGCTACCTTGTCGTACTTGACAGACACTTCCCTAAATGAATGCTTCGTTCTCGTGAGCTTTACCAGTAGCAACGACCGTACAAGCTCCGTGATGCGGCGGTCGACAAAACGTTCACCACAGCGTTCTGCAATGTGTGTACATCGCTTTCCAAAAAAACATGAAAAAGCTGTTGCTTTAATTGTCAATAGGATGGGTCAACAAACGCGTCGTGATCGTATTTTTAATGTGGTGACAATGTCCTACTCTTTAATGTTGATGCAGCGGATATCGCATTAAGAAGTATGCATTCCAAGAACACTATGTATTGGCCAAGCACAATATTAAAAACAATCGTGTAAATGTGGTGATAAAAAAGTTGGTCCCTTACATGACTCCTTTGCTTTTTGCATCTTGCTGAGACGATCCATGTCGAGCCACGAGGATTAGACAGTTGATGCTGGTGCAAAAGGTGTCAGAGTCAAAGAGCTCTTGGTCGTGTGCAAACGTTATAAACATACCCGCGCGCATCTCCGATTTATTCTCAGCCAGTTTGAGGCTGTTCGTCGCACTACTTATGTGGCAGCTTGATCTTGCGTGCTTTTCTCGTATCTGCGTAATCGTTTACAAAAAATGATAGCCAACATACGCTAAAACGAACCAGGTACAACAAAACAGATTGTCGTCTATTCTGCACGATAAAAATCATCATGTATCGCTACTAACCACCGCAATAAGAATCACTTTCTTGTGAAAGGACTGTGATCGGTATAGCACTGATCAAACATCCTATCAACTTCATTATGTGCTCCTACAGGAAACATGGACTACATCATAGCACAATTTAACAATTCAAAAGCAAAAATAATATCTCACCACACGTAAAACATCAACTTACACTTGTAGAGCGGACAGCATGTTCACGAACACAACGTGCATTGAACCACCGTGCACTTTTTTGAAAAAATTCCATATTCGGCAGTACTGCTTCCAATAATTTGGCTTTCTGATAACACTCGGATTCACGCGCAGACCGAATTTCACTGTAAAAGTCAAAAATTAAAATCGTAATTAGCACCCGTTTCAACCTTCTCCATATAAACTAAGAGAGGATTTTTACCTGCAGGCTAAAATATCCAATTTTGTAATATCCATCTTTCGGACCGTAAACTAGCCAAATGTTTCGATATTAGGAACGTGTTACATATTGTGTCAACCTTTGACACAGAATTGTTTTAGCCAATCAACGCACATCATAGGCATGAATAAGCTCATGTACCATAGTCTCCTCTACTTCCTTAGCTGAATGCAGACGATTCGCACAAAAAACGACTGTAGGTGGTGGTGCTGAAAAGAAACCACGAGCATTGCCTTCAGGTCCTATAGTAATTAAAATACACACAATAGGTGAATATACAAATTTAATATACTATTCTTGTTTACAAATGACATTAACGTACCATCATTTCGACAGTCTAGACATACAAAATCAATTGTCGATACGGTACTCTTGCCTTCAGTATGTTGTTGGGCTAAGAACTAGGAAGAAGAGCATTGAAAAGGATCATTATTGTTATACAAAGGTTTAGTTTGGACCATTATACATACAAGAAGAATATATATTACTCGTTGCTTACTTTGTTGATTATACGAACAATGTGCTGTGGTCGACGTTGTTGCAGTGCCACTTGCACTGCATCTTCACACTCATACAGTTCCATGCGTTAAGATCTTGTCTGTCCGGATATAAGTGTCTCAACACCTTTGAGCACGACGGATTTATCTTACAAGACATATCTATCCGGACACGAGGAATGGCGACTGTGTTACCACACCAATATTGTGTCCACCACATCCGAACGTTTCGAACTTTGGGATAAAAAACTATAATTTGATTGATATGCGCTTCGGGTACATTTTTCCATCTGCCTACATACTTTTTTGTTACTTAACGCCCACATACGTCTATTGATACTATAGTAGCAGTTATTACCGGTTCTGGCAACGGTTTGGGTCGTGCATACGCTCATTATCTGAGCAACTTGGGTGCCAACGTGCTAGTCAATGACCTTGAAGCGCCTGCTGCAGACGCCGTCACTCAATGTCTCGGAGGAGATGATAAGGCTGTAGCTAACTATGACAGTGTACTAGAGGGCCAAAAGATTGTGGATGCAGCTATGAACAAGTGTACGGACGATTAACATCAAAAGCCAATGACTTTGACAGTTTTTTATGTCTAACTTCAAATTCCACAGGGGGCCGTGTGGACATTCTCGTGAACAATGCAGGCATTATATTGGACAGTTCATTTGCCAAGATGGCTCAACAGCAATGGGATGATGTATACAAAGTGCATTTGGAAGGAACCATGAGGTATGGGAGATGAGAAGGAGTTTTTTGAGAGACAGAGCGAGAGTTTAATGGTATGATGACATTTTATGCTGTGGAATTATCGTTAATTGTAGGGTGACAAAAGCATCGTGGGGCATCATGCAAGAGCAGGAATTGGACGCATTGTCAATATCGCGTCGGCGTCGGGACTGTATGGAAACTTTGGACAAGCTAATTACTCGGCGATGAAAATGGGCATTGCGGGGCTGACGTTCACACTATGCAAGGAAGGTGCAAATTGCAACATACTGCAAATGTTATGGCTCCGTTGGCAAAATCGCAGATGACTGAAGGGTTGTTGGAGAAGAAGTTGAATGAAAAGCTGACGCCGGACAGCGTTGCTGCTTTTGTTGCGTAAGTCAGACAACTATTACATTCTTATCGTGGTAAAAGAGCTAATTCTTTGATGCGATTTTGCCGATACTTAAGTCATGAAAGCTGCGATAGAAGTGGCAATGTATATGAAGTCGGTGGTGGTTGGGCAGCTCAGACACGCTGGCAGCAATTGCACGGTGTAGCATTTTTTTTCGAAAGATGAGCTCACGCTTGAGAACATTGCGGCGCAAATTGACAAACTTGAGGGACATGTTGTACTTGGTATTTGCAGCTAGTGAAAGCTTCCACTGATGTGTGCAAGTATTTGGTCTTTTTGCTGAATCAGAACTTTAATTTGAAGCCACCGCGCTATCCGAGAAGCTTGCAAGACACTGTCGCTTACGTTCAGAACATGCTTATGCAACCATGACGTCTGAGTTGACCACAAAATGCTTGGGTGCTGTATCCGCTTTACCGACATCACCACAGCTGAACAGGCCTTCCGTACAGAAAGCCTACATAATTTCGTTTACCAAGTCTTTTTTTGTGGGCTAATGACGAATGTCATGTGCTTTAAAATGAGACTACATAGTTTTTTGTCGAACAGCAGGTGATCCTTTAGTAATTGAACTTTGCTTCATGAGAAAGGTTGATGAGTTATACACTGTAAATGTTGGAAAGCTTTACTGATAAAGTACGTGCTGCCGAGACCAAAGTCTAGTAGATACACGGCTTTGCTGTCAAGTATGATACAATGGTTGCTTGTACTCTTTCACATGTAGCAAGCAATGCAAGTGCTACAACTGAATGAAGATGATGACGTAAAGGACGCTGTACTGTAGCCGTCGATAAAGTTTTGATGTCTATGACTGTAATTTGCTTTAGTGTCCGTTGTCAAACTGGTCGATCCTTCATTAAGGTATTAAATGCCTTGTTGTACAATCTAAGTGTGCGCATATATCATGTCAGCAAAGTAAATGTATTTTCTTGTTGATTTTTTTGGTTGTATATACCAGTACGAGTGTGTGAGACTTGTACAGGATATCAAGGAAAAAAAGGGTAAGGAAGAAATAGTTCATTCTATGTATTAGTCAGTACTGCAAGACAGTGTGAGGTAGTGATGATGCATTACCGTTGCTTACATGAGCTTAGAGCTAGCAACATCAAATGGATTCTTTTGCTCAAGTCTCTCACCTGTCTGAGAGCTATTCGAGCCTAATAGATACTCGAGCGAGAACTTATCCGCGATACGCTGCTGGGGTGTCATCGACGGCTTCTTTTTCACTTGTAATAACCGATTACTCGACACAACAAATGGACTTTTGCCGTTATTGAGTGAGGCCAAAGTGAACTTTTCCATTAGCTTCGGGTCCTGACGATGACGCAATGCAGCAAGAGCAGGTACTTTAAGACGGGAAGACATCGTTTAGTCAGTTTGTCAGTGTACTAGTTGAAGAATGAGGAAAGAAGCCGGATAATGATGATTTAGAAATAGAAGAAACACCTTTTTATAATTAAGAAGTTTTAGTATAACCGCTTTCACATAAGCATGGTACCGAGTTTGTGGTACGAGAAGCAAGTTTTGGAAACTATGCAGAGTGTCGCACTAGATTTTTCTATTTTTACTTGTAGCATTCACAAATTAAAACAAGCAATTTTTCATATCTATACGACCGAGTGATCGTACTCGAGCTATCGTGTTTTGAAGACTCAGAAATTCTAAAAATACAAAAGTAGCTTCGTATCAGTTTTGTCTTTCTTTATATCTTTGAAACGTTCACTTTGTTGTCTCTCTCCTACACCAATTAAACAAGGCTTCGTCAAAAAAGAACCCATTAAATTTGTCCTACAGGTCAAGCTAGAAAAGAGCCGCTGAGTTTTCAGATACCATGCTGTAAATCAAGATTGCTGCCATATCCATAGATCCTGAGACAATTTGATCAAGCTTGCTGGTGTATTATGTTAAGAAAAAGAAGATCTCTCTCACCCTCGAGTTAAGTGAATTTGGCTCGCGGCTGCGGGAAGTTCCTTAGAACCAGCTGATTTTCGATATCACCAAATCGTTTTTTGTAATCTTTCTTAATCCATTCGTTCATACGAAATCGTCGTCATGTTTTTTTCTAGATTTCTTAACGTCCAAAAATCTTCTACGCTAAGTACTAAATCTAAAAAAGAACCTTATTTTCTTGTTTTGTCATCCCAATTTTCTAAACCAAATTCAGTTTTGCGCGGTCAGCGTCATGTCTCGTAAAATGAATGAATTCACGCCGCTTCTTGTCCATGACACTGTCACTTCGTCACCCCCTCCACACCACTACAAAAGCTCATGGCAGTTCATACTAGCAGGAGTATTAAGTCTTGGTATTTTGAGCCTCCTTCAGCATGAGAACTCGGTTCCTTTGGATTTTGCTGACGTCGCAGTGTCATTCAATGAGACTAGGGCTGGCACGAATGACACAGACGACGTGGTTTTTTTATCCAATATGGAGACCTTTAAGGATCTTACAGTTGACCCGTGTGTAGATTTTTATGAATACGCATGCGGTGGTTGGCTAAAAAGCCATGAAATCCCAGCTGACCGTCCAAGTATTGACTCGTCCTTTTATGTCGTTTCAGAATCGAACAAAGACATGATTCAACAGATTTTCAATCAAAATCCGCCTCAAATTGGACCATTTTACCATTCATGTCTCAGGAATGACGAACTGGACACAAAGGCACTTGGATTTGTTACTCAATTGGTCAATAATGTCCATCAAGTTAATTCCACTCTTGCTTTAATGGAATTAGCAGGTAAAATAGACCAAATGCTAGGAATTAGTACATTCTTGAGTCTATCTGTCGATGCAGACCCTCACAATTCAACCCAAAATATCCTTAGTCTATCACAAGGAGGACTAACTCTACCATCAAGAGAGTACTATTTGGAACAAAGTAAGGTGGACACTTATGCAGCTCTCTATGTAAATTACGTGACCAAATTATTTGCAGTGGGAGATTTAGACCATCATAATGTCAGTGAGTTTGCAGAGGCGGTACTCAAGATTGAGACGGCTTTTGCCAATATGTCGCTACCAAATGCGGCACTACGCGACCCATGGACGACCACCACGGCGTACCCGTTTGCAGAAATTGCCCAACGATACCCCTTTATAATGGCCTATTTGAATGGAATTTACAAACAGGAACCGTTCCCGATGCTCCATGCAATCATTGCAACGCCGGATTTTTTCAAAGCACAGAACGAATTTTTTGAGCGATGAGGCATTGCTACCACAACTGAAAAACTATCTGAGTTTTCATTTAGTTGACTCATTGAGTATAGTTCTCGGTGAATACTATCGCCGTGTAAGTCATGACTTTCATGGTAAAGCTCAAGGTTCACGAGATCTTGTTCCACGAAATCAATTTTGCATGCGGCTGACAACGGCGTTTTTAGGAGATGAACTGGGAAAATACTATATGCAAAGTGTGTTTGGTCCTGACGCAAAAAAAGCGGCTGAGGCGCTCGTATTGGAAATTGAAGAGTCGTTGAAAACCTTATTGCTAACGGAAAAGTGGCTGGATAAGGTCACATACGATGCAGCTGTAGAGAAGTTGAGCAAGGTCAAGAACTACATTGGAGGGCCAGATGATGTGCCGCCGTTACCCTTTGAGCTCCAAGCCGACGCGTTCTTTGACAACGTAAAAAAGTTGATGCAATTGGGTGCTGCGCGCGCGATACAATCTGTTGGCAAGCCTGTAGATGAGAAAGCTTGGAATATGTTCCCTTCCACTGTCAACGCTTACTACGATCCGAGTGCAAACAAGATGGTCTTTCCTGCAGCTATCTTGCAGCCACCATTTTACAGTGCTGACCACTTTCCTGTTGCAGCAAACTTTGCTCGAATCGGAATGGTAATGGGCCATGAGCTTTCGCATGGATTTGATGACCAAGGACGAAACTATGATAGCATTGGATCTCTCCGTTCCTGGTGGACTCCATCAGTTTCTGCCAAGTTTGCTGAGAAGGCAAAATGTTTGGCAGCTCAGTACTCAAAGTTCCCTGTTGTATCTACTGAGGACAATAGTGTGCTTGGTACTGTGAACGGCAATTTGACGTTAGGAGAAAACATAGCTGACAACGGCGGTATTCGTCTTGCATACGAGGCGTATCATCTCTGGAAAAGTACGTTCGAATCTCCACCGATCGTGCCATCCTCTAAGGTACCACCCGAAACAGGCAATCCAAAACCTGTGGCAGTATCCTCACCAGACAAGCTAGGGCCGAAGCCGACGCATTCTGTTCCCAGCGGCGATATTCCAGCAGTGACTGCAGCTCCTCATCTCCCCGTCTCGGTCCCAGCGCCGACTAAAGCTGGTCCAAGTGGACATAATCCTGTGGTGCCGGTGCCTCCCCCTGTTCTTCCAGGACCCGGAGCTGCAACCCCAGAAGCAACACAAACTGAGCCGAATGGTGGAGTCTCTGTTATTTCCAAACCACCCCTAGTGCCCGAATCTCAACCAGCCGGCGTCGGACCAGGTGAGGTGATTCCTCACAAAAGTACTCCTGCTCCTGGACTACCTTCTCCGGCGGAGCAAACACCAGCACCTTCTAGGCAAGAGTCTGCTACAAAGGCACCAACAGTGACGCCTGTCTCGCCAAAGCTGCCAGATGTGCCTAATAACCCAACGCCGCCGCCGGTTTCTGACGTGCCTAACACCCCAAATACGCCTTCTGGCTCCACGCCGCCGACGGTTCCTGACGTGCCTCATACGCCAAGTTCGCCTAACATACTGCCACCATCTAAAGTACCAGCAGTTGTGCCGCAGCCGCAGCCACAACCAGGTGATGTCTCCCCTGACAATGCTAGCAAGGACAAGCGCACGAAAAAAGAGGATGAGCCTTCAGCAAAGCCCGAGAAAAAGGACCATACTGAAAAACAGAAGCGTCAAGAGAGCGAGGATGAGACTGGTAAACCCGACTCAAAAGTAGCTGATGATAATAGTCACGTTAGTCGCGACAAAAGCAAGCACAAGAGTGAGGATCGTAAGAATAAGGGTGAAAACGACGATCATGCTAAGCGCAGCACTGGAGATGACGGGAAGGTTGACCGGTATGAACACCGCAAGCACGAAAACAAGGAAGAACGTCGTGAAGAACGCAAGGAGCGAAAAAAAGAAAGGAAAGAACATCGTCATCACGAAAAGGAGAAACATCGCTACCATCATGATGAGGAGAAACATCGCTACCATCATGATGAGGAGAAACATCGCTATCATCATGATGAGGAGTACCACGGGCACCATCACAAGCGCGAAAAAGAGGGCAAAGACGAAAAAGAGTACCATGAGTGCCGCAAAGAAGATGCCGACTGTGGATCGGAACGGCCCACATGGACTCTTTCAGAAAGTAAATATCCGTTTTCTGGCGGTGATACTAGGATGCAAAGTATGGTGATGAAGCTGGCACGTGCAATTGTGTACCCTAACGATCCGGTAGCAGACGATCGTTTGTTTTTTACGGCTTTTGCCCAGAATTGGTGTGAGAAACGAACACCTGGATACGCAGAGCTGTTACGAATGCTTGACCCTCACTCGCCCGGGAAATGGCGTGTGAACGGCCCGCTGATGAATTACGACAAGTTTGCAAAGGCTTTTTCATGCTCTTTAGGGACTCCAATGAACCCTGAGAAGAAATGTGTTGTTTGGTAAGGAATTAAAAGCCCAAAGCCACATGGAAAAAGATTGACTCTGACAAAGAAGCAAGAGACAGCAGTGGCAGCGCTATTAAAATCATAGTGTTATTATACACTCGACCTTCTTACTCAAAAGACGGTAGTGATGACTGATGTTCCACCTTGTGATGAGTTTACTGTGAAAACAATAAGCAAATGTCTCTTTCACAATCGAAAATTGTCATTTTCAAGTGCATCTGATGCCTACAACGTAATGAATGGATCAAGAAACGTTTCAATTGATTCGTTAGTAAACAAACGATAAGAGACATTATCACCACACCGTCAATAGCAAAATCTATACTGCAAATTATGCTGCTGTCTCGTAGAGATACGTACATTTTGCATTGCAGTTGCTTTGAATAATTTCTGTAGTGTTGGATCATACTCATTTTCATCAGTTTTTGCATGTCAAATGCGTATGTTTCTGCTGAATTGAGTGAAGCAATGTACAGGTATTTGCGTGGTAAAGGTGAGTTATTATGTTTAGGCTGTCCCAAAGCTACGTACACGAAACAAACGTTGGATGAGGATTAGGATTTTCTCTTACTTTACAAACTGCAGATAATGCGATTGTACGCAGTCTTCTAAGGTCAGAGAAAAAGAAAAAACTCTTGACCAAGAAATCTTAGAAGAACATCGTACCAATCTCTTTGTATAAGCCAGTGAGAAATGATCATTACGAACGTCTCCCATATCCGTTTGCCTACGATACATCAATCTCCTCTTGACATCCTACTTGACCAGTACAACCTTCGCCTTTAATTGCTCCGACATATTCAGCCTCTCGAGATTTTGTATCAAATCGTAATTTCCCACTACTTGCAATGTCTTGAGCTTCTCAAGCGTCTCTAGCTGCTTCACCGGCAATGTCTTCAGCTCATTATCGCATACGTTGAGCATTTCTAGCTCCGTGAGCTTTTCCACGTCCGTTGACAACGTCGTCAATCGATTTTGCTGCACATTCAGCGTCTTTAAATGTTGCAGTGTATATACGGCATCAGGCAGTGTACGTAGCTTGTTATTAGATAGATCAAGACACTGCAATTGTGGCACGCGCTCTAAGGCAAGTGCCAAGCGGCACGCGCAGGCGTCACTTAAGTGCTCACACATGATCTGACGACAAACCAAATCGTTGGACTTGTGCAATTGTAACGTTTTGACACGAGCACCCAAGCGTGCAATATCACGAAGCGATGTAGCCAGGACCAATTCCGAGGTCTTCGACAAACAGTGACGCTTGAAACGCAGGAATAGAGGCATGAAAGCTCGGCGTAACAACATGATGGCGAATGAGTTATGTTTGGTTGTCTATGGACCAGATGCCTTACCAGTTCAGTACAGTATACTACAAGATTTGTTCCCATCACTGACATGAGCCATAAAAGACTAGGCTCATGTGTCAGGAGCTACTAATTACAAGGACTTGCAAGTTCATATGGAAGAAGGCGAGTGTAAAGGTGTCTTCAAGAGCTTCTTTGCAACGCTTTGAATGCAATGTCATGAGTCTGAACATTATCAAGAACTTTGACTTGTAAAACTTGATTCAAGCACGATAAAGACAGTTGAAGAAAGAGAGAAATGATCTGACGTGAAGCTTCAAGCTCAAGGGATTACATGTTTATTGCAGCAACTCTTCAAAATCGTAGCTCATTCGTACTGGAAGACTTTTCCAAACTCTTGTAATTTACAATTATTCTAGGACCAGTTGTCACATTTCCTGGAGACTAGCTATACAGTATCATCAAAAGTATCCTTGACTGGTAAAGCCTCTGCTTTCCGGCTGCGCAACTATGATCTTCAACACACACCCGTTACAGTTGCCATTCTGTTGTTCCAACCCAGTGCACGGATCCAGATCACAAGAAGAGCTATGACTTGAGGTACAATAATAAACCGCCGAGCCCTCGTGGTTGAAGTCTGAAAATACTGCGGCTACCAGAATTCACCTTCATGACCAATAATCGTGTTTCTTCAATTCGTCTCGACTACTTCATTCCATCGTCCAAGTTGATAATTCTAAAATAAGCAGCCGACGACTTGTTCTCAGGTGATCCTCGTATGATGGTAAGGTTGTTGCTGCTCCTTGATCCCTTCAAGGCGATCCAACCGCCAAACCCAAGGTAGCTCGATAGCGAAAAAAGAGGAGTGCTGGGTTTGCATTCGATGAGAAACTGCTCATACGAGTTCAAATCTGCGCCTCGCACCTTCAGATTGCCATACCGGTTGATACCCAAAAAGTAACTTGACTTCTCACTCTGAAAACCCCAAACATCATCATCATCGCCCAGTGTATAGGCACGAAATGCGCAACCATCTACCACAACACCAGCACTAGAGAAACGTCGAATCACCAATTTGTCAGTAATAAGGCACATACTACATGACACACCTGCTGCACACATACCCCAGCACCGCCTCTCCATGCTCATCTCGCAAGAACCTTTTACTTTGCACCTCCTGGAATGCACATCGAAATCGAAAGACAAGAGAAGTCTTCCTCCCTGTAAATCTAGTCACCTGAATCCCCACTTTTTTCATATCCTGGTGGACTTGTCCAATTTTCAAATCCAGTCGATCCAGTTGTTCATTCTGCATATCCAATGCGTCTCCAATCGCCAGTGATTGTTCCTTCAACTGTGCTAATTGCGGCTCCAGATCACGAATAAATTGGTCATGGATATCATTCGCCATAGAATTGCCACCTATTTGACTTGCATCTTGCAATAACTGACTTTTGCAATGTTTCGCACCCCCATTTACACTTATCTCTCCTTTTTTCTCATGAATACTGTCATAGTGCATTCCCAACTGCTCAGGAGACTCGAATTTTACTTTACACTCGGGACAAATGAATCCCATTACAATCTACGCAATATTTAGAATGAAATATTAGCGAATTGTAACCGATTCAACTACTTGAAATTTGTATGTTTTTACCTTCTCTGGCTCCTTATTGGTCGAATATTGAGGAAACATCAGTAATTTATTATAAAACCAACCGGACCAAGTCATTCCTCGGAGAACACGTTTCGACATGTCCACAGTCGCTTGCGTCTCATCCACCACGTGCTCCGTGCAGCTGAGCTGTTCAGCTTGCATACAAAGCATATGTGCTGTAGCTCTACCTATATGTACAGATTCAACCGTGTTCTGTAACGTCTGTCTATGGCGCTGCTGCCACTCCAGACGCGAAGTTGATTCCTCTCGTTGCGAAGACATTTTTTGTTATTTTTCTTTCTTAAATTTCAAGTTTGACGAAATTCAAATTGTTGTGTGTAATTATTAGTTTTGGATAGAATATTACAGCTAAATGTGAGCATTTATGACATGTATTGAATAGATAATTGCTTTAGCTTATCAAGCTTACCTTATTCTGTAATAAGCACGACGTTCTCAATATTATCATGTACTATTCCTTTTTCTGTCATAATTCCAACGTATTAGGTGCAAAACCTTTCAAATTCCATAATCAGACACGTAATGTACTACCACAATAAAAAGGATGTTGCAACTGAGGTTTAAAGTTGTTCAGTGGCAATGGCTACATGTATCTATAGCAGTCAAAGACAAAGGTAGCATTTTGTCACGTTATCTAGAAGAACTGGAAAAGAAGGTAATAACATCGTTTGAAACGATTGCAAGGCAAACAAAGGTTGAGTAGCATCGTTCTTTCTCTCATAGAACCCGATTTTGATTCTCCCATATTGTTATCATATGTACATGGCCATGCTCGCGGGTGGCATGATGATCAAAAAACTGGTCAAGAGAAGCTTCACGCGGCCTGAGGGACAGGGAGTCAATTGTTTTGCTTTTCGCGTCAAGAGCAACAAGGTACGCTATAGCGGGACATTCTGATGGTGTATAGTACGGTAACATGTTGACGTTGTCATTGATACTCTCCAGACTCTTCGTGACAAGTTAAAGGACGCAATCAATACAACTTCCCGTGACGAAGAAACCACGAAGCTTCTTTTGACCGAATCAGTAAACTGCTTCAAGATGAACAACCAGGTCGTGCGAAGTCTCGAGGGCACTGGCAATCATGTGATGAATTTTATCTTGAAGTGGACCATCATCGTCAGCCTCATCTTTGTGGTGCGTTCGCAGTGTGTGTGTTGTTTCCACACATGTAGTTTTTCACCGTACTATTATATCCACATATTGATACTGACGCAATCATTTGTTCACATACCGCGTTTATTTGCTTGATGCTCGTGCAGATTTTCCTTGCTTTCGCTTACAATTTTTCCAGCCAACAGTAAAATAAAGCTGAACGCAGTGCACAATTGATAGTGTAGCCACTATCAGCTTGCTCTATATTATCCGAATCGATTTGTGTGAATGGTTTATTCCTTCAAATTATCAAAAGAATGAATCTGCCGCTAAAATGGGTACTTGCGATCAAATTTGGGTATGCTAAAGCTTATGCTCTTATAATTTTTATTTCGAATCAAACCCATATTGCTGAAAACCTACATACCAGCATACATTTTATCAAAATTTAAAAATAATAACGACATTCAGAAGACATCACTGCCAGATCCTGTCTGTGAAGTAACAACAAGTCAATTTCTTCCAATGACATGACAGTATAATTTCTACCAATCCAATTCATGATCTGCCACTACCAGTCATACCATTAAGCGTTTCATCATCATTCCGTGCAATTGTAGCCATTATGCGTGTCCTCGTAGGTGATGAAACGGGTTTACTGAAATCTATAGAGCTTGAAAAGAATGAACAGCATATATTATCAAGTATAAAGCAACCACAATCTCGTTCTCAAGGCATTCAACGTCTCTGTTGGTACGCAGATGAATGTCAGGAGATTAATTCCCAGTGGAATGTCGTATTGGCTCGGATGAATGGTGTTGTGGAGAGCTACGAGGCATCACATGGTAATAAATTAAGCATGAGGAAAGAACCTGATTGGTCCTGGTCAGATACTGAATCCAAATGAGGACAGAAATCGTTGTATAGGACTTGACGTGATCCAGAAGTTTGGGTCAGTGGTACAGTGTGCAGTTAACGGCGATGTTTTGGTGCGTAGTACATTGCCAGGTGCAGGAAAACCTGCAAGATTTAATGTTGGTGGTGATTTGAATATTATGAGACTGGAAAATACAATGCAAACGGTCATTGGAGTAGGTGGTAAGGAACATGATCTGAATTTATGGTCACTAGAGACTCAACAGGTGCTGTTTAAAGCAAAGAACGCACCACATGATAAGCTGAACATGAGAGTACCAGTATGGATCAAAGACTTGCAATTTCTATCTGTGCCTGGCAACAGCAATGGTCATCGAGTTATAGTAGGTACAGGCCACCGTCATGTTAGGATCTACGACTCTAATACCAAGAGGCGACCAGTGCAGCAGCTCGAAAACTTTGGTGAGAATCCAATTCAATCGCTGTGTGCATCGCCCGATGAGACGCGGGTGTATATCGGTGATACAGCAGGAAACTTGGACATTTTAGATCTACGGACGCTCAAGCACATGGGGCGATGCACTGGCCCTGTCGGCTCCATCCGCGACCTCGCATGCCATCCGACACTGCCGTACATTGCGGCGGTCGGACTGGATCGCATGGTGCACGTGTTTGACGTAAATACGCGAAAGTATCGCCACACGATCTATGCTAAACAGCGTCTTAACAGCGTTTTATTCTGCTCTGATGGTCTCAAGGATCTTCCAGTTGCTGATGATGAACCTGCACGGAAAAAACACAAGGCGGGCGACGACGAAATTGACTTTGCTGATGACGATGAGGAGGAGGAAGAGGAGGAAGTATATGAAGGTCTTGAAATTAGCGAAGACGATGATGACGATAATGACTACGATGACGACGAGGACCCGGTAGATGATAGTGGCTGAGCTGTCACTCAGTTGTTTGACTTTATCACGATCGAGTGTACGTACTTTGAATAGAATAATAGTTACTTCATGAACGAGTTGAGCTTCTTTGTCAAGTTCACGTGCAAAAAGTCTTTGCCCTGACGCTGCTGTCAGGTATGACAAAGAGGTGTTCGATCTATTGTCTAGGAGTGTCTGCGTATCCTTTTGCATGATCTAGTAAATTTCTAACGTGTCATATGGATCAACAACAAAGACGTTATGATAGCAAATTGCGCTTGGTATACTCGTGTACCTCTTCTGGTGATGTGGTCAATCCTCAGAAGATAAAGCAGCTTCTGTTGACGACAATGATAAGGTCGACATCATTGCATGGTAGGTAAAGTGCCAAGTGTGACAAGAAAAGAAGTTCCAGAGATATGAATTTTTTGACCACAATCACAATCACCGAAAGGACAGAAAAGCATGGTGAGTGTTGTTTTCTTGCAAGCGCAACCGGTGCACTTGTTGTCATACAGCAGTGCTGCAACTAGAGCATGTCATAAGAGACGCATGATGTTTGCTTTGTTGCACACTGTGGCTTCCTCTCTGCTGACGATCAAATTGACGCATCAAGTACACACATCAGTTTTTTCGCGCAGCTACTAGTTGTTAGATCATGCAAGTGTGTTCGACACGCACATCGTCGTTCTGGAAAAGCCTTCGACAACACGTCGCAAACGATTGTCATATGCACATGACGAATACGATCGGTTACTCGATACATGAAGAGATCAGTGTTCATTTGATTGAAGAAGGCCTGGGTCCACTTTCTGATTGTTTACAGCTGCGTGTATGGTATGTTGACATTGTTCCAGTCGCACGCATTCGCCATAACGTGTGCCACCTTGACGAATGTACGTTCGTCTTCTGCCGAGAATCCGCTCTTTTGTGGGCAGTCCATATCAATGAGAGCAACGACGTCTCCTTGCTTGCTGAATACAGGAACGACTAATTCGGATTTCGATGCATTATCACATGCAATATGACCGGGGAACGCATGCACATCCATGATACGTTGCACTGACTTGGTCCTCCACGATGTCCCGCACACGCCGCTCTGATAACGGATACGACTGCACGCCGGTTTGCCCATGAATGGTCCAAGGATCAGGATATAATCATGGTCAGTCTCCTTGGGATTGACAAGAGGGCGGACAAAGTAGAGCCCTACCCAGTTAATGGGACGTCCGGCTTCCACGAAGGCGTGCCAGATGATAGACGACACATTGGCAGCGTTCGCTACGTAGTCACGCTGACCAGACGCGGTAGTAAAGGCCGCAATGTCATCCAGTAGCTCTTCGACGTTGATCGGTGATAGGTAGTTGTGTAGCTGTGTCTCATCGGGACAATCCGGACTCCAGCCAATTTGTTCCACTAGTTTGTTAACACGGACCTGGAGTTGACTGTCCATTGTGACAGTAGCAACTTCCTTACCACCCTTGAACACCACGAGACTCGATTGTGCACTCTTATGTGAAGGTGATTGTACAAGTGTCTACAACATCATTTGTCATTAGTATCAATCATCACTTTCTCTCTGTTAGTTAGTAGAGCAAACGTACAATATCATCACGATCGTGGAACAAGAACATGACGGGAACAAGGAAGTCTTGTAGCTCACGCTTTTGCTTGTGATCGGACTCTTGGGGCACGTATAGAACCACTACCGGTTTTGTTGTGGACATAACGACAATATTTGTGCTGGTGTTCTGCAGTGTAATGAAGAGCTGCAAAGCGGCGTCCAACGGAGTCAATTTCAACGTCATGGAGCTTGTTGTCTTGGGTCTAACAATTTGAAGATGACGCGTTAGCTGAGGCTTGGTACTGTTTGCGTTCGTTTCGAATGAAAGTCTCAGTTTAAACACGAGTGGCTGGCAACGTAAGACACGGGATTGTCATTGATTCTACGTAGGTCGTTACATAACTCCATACGTTACAGAGACCACAAACGTGCTCTTTGTCTTAATGTGTCAAGATGGAAGTATTCATTGCCTGCCGGACAATAGTAAACGGCATTTACTATAGATCGTCTATGCTCTAGAGCACATATCTTGACTATGGTACGCGCTATTCACCTTTCCTCGCATTGTTCTGTTTTAATGGCTTTTGCTGACTTAAGCCGCTTAAACGGCAGTGCCACACAACTATCGGCACAGCTTCGTTATAGCTTAACGCGAACACCTGTGATTCAGCCACAATCAATCAGGGTTCATCATCGTATCAACTCAAAACGTTCTTTATGAGCGACTGTGTAATGATCGGAAGTGCTACGGCCAGGATGTCGATATCCGGGTCCAACTGTCGACCAACGGCCTCCAAGACTGCAATCGAGACGACGATTGACGCAAATTTTCCTTCAAGTTGGACTTCGTGCGTACAGCATAACTCCATGACTTGGCGAAGCAGGGATCCAACATGCACATTTTTCAAGTTGAACCTCCAGCTCATTGCTTCGTCTACGATTCTCTCCATCGCCGTGCAAAAAGACTCGAGATCTTTGCACTTGGTGTCTTCATTTGGCTTGCTTCTAGTCACAATCAGTTTCCCAGCCTTGTACCCATTACCTGTTGCTACTGCATAGAACAGTTCTACAAAGTTACGCAGATCTTGTTGCTCGAGCTTCGTTACGATCCCAGCATCAATGACCACAACACCGGCGTTTCGAATAGCTTCAGAGCGTGACACACGAGCGTTGCTCTCTCCATCATTCTTTTGCTCATCGAACAAAAGGTTGCCAGGGTGTAAATCTCCATGTGCAAAATTATCTAGAAACACCATCCGGAGATATGCTTCAAGCACAACTCGTGCCACTGCTTTACGACGTGGCGCTTCCATTTGTGAAAGAATCTCACTGAAATGTAATCCACCTTCAAAACTCTCGACCAATACATTTTCTGTCGTATAGTCCATGAGCGGTACAGGAAATCGTAGTCCCTTACGATTGGAAAAGTATTTGCGAAACATTGTAAGATTTTCTCCTTCGACGCGCAAATTCAATTGACGTTCCATGAGCGATGCAAACTCAATGACACTATTTTTTCCTCCAATCCACTTGAGTTTTGGTATCATTTCCAACATGGCGACAAGTCCATGTAACAATTGTAGATCCAGTGCTACCATTTCTTTCACATGTGGATGAATGACTTTAATTGCCACTTGTTGGTTAGTTGTTTTCAAACGTCCTCGATAGACTTGTGCAATACATCCTGATCCAATCGGATGAGACTCAATCTCAATCACATCCTTCCAATGGTCACCAAATGTCAGTATTAACATCTCTTGAGTTTGTTTCCATGAATGCATTGGTGCATGTTCATGAAATCGCTCGAAACGATCACAGAATGACGAGGAAAACATATCACGACGTGTACTTGCCCATTGTAGAAATTTCATCACGGTAGGTGATGAATATTGTGCAATCCATAGTGCTATTTCCCACCATTGACTTGTTACTTTGGGTAGCATCTTACCAATTGTATATACCATGGGAGCTGTTAGTAATAATGGTAGGGCAAGACTGACTAATTTACTAAAATGCAGCATTAAACGTAAGAAACGACGTAATTTAACAATCCATGACTCTTTAGTAATAATAATAGTAGGAGGAGAGGATAGAGAGAGAGCTAAGATATGAGGAAAAACACGTTGACACTCTGCCTTTTGACGGCTCCATACATTTCGAGCAGTTTGAGCATCAAGTTGAAGCTGATAGCGGGAGTGGACCACATAAAACTGATGCGGAAGAAGACGACACCATGATGATAGTGAAGTAGATTTGAGTATAGGACGTAGTAAGACATGGGAAGAACCACCAGTATAAGCACAAAAGAGAACCTGTACGATGGAAGAGAGATTGCATTGTCATGGGTACACACAATATGGGAAGAAAAGCCGGCGACGATTCAATAGGGGATTTTATAATAGAGTATCGTTATTTTCTAAATGATGTTATGTACATGAAGTTAGGATTTGCATTTTAGAAAACAAGTGGGTTTTACAATTTGTTGTTCACGTTGAGTTCATTTTTGCAAGAATGTTGCACAATGTTGCTTGTAGACGAACATGTGCATGGGGTTATCATAAGATGCGTCTAGAGTTACAGACTTCGAGTCGTCTTCTTCGAGGTGTATTGTTACGGTTTATCTATGGTCTTTTAGTGATTGGATCAGTGTTCTTCATGACCTTGTTGCTCTTTACTAGCTTCTGGTTACTATATTTAGTCTATCATGCCGTATTGAATGGCATTTGGACACCATTACCACTTGTAGTACAAATAAATCTAACTGCAACAGCCATATATGAAGGATATCACTATATAACGAGAGACTCACAGCATACGTGGCCATTCATGCGACGTATGACTCGCTCTATGTTTCTCCATTATCCCTATTTTTGTCTAAACGCCGTCGTGATTGAAGAGCATCAGGAGCAAGATGAAGACAAAGAACAAGAGAAGAAGAAGAAGCTCCGAAGTGTCGATGGATTGAATGCACAAAGTGCAATTGATGCCGTTAAAGAGAACAATGTGTCGCTGTGTTTTGAACCGAACAAACACGCACTCTTTACATTCCATCCACACGGTATCTTGTCCTGTGGCTTCTTGGTTAATGGTGTACACCACATGGTCTTTCAACGTGCAGCTTGTCGTTGGATCGCGGCCACAAATCTCTTTTTATATTCCATTCATGCGTGATGTTTTGAATTGGATGGAGTTTAGCAACAGTTCAAAGACATGTATGCAGCGTATCATGCGCACTGGTCAGAACTTGTGTTTGTTGCCAGGAGGATTTCAAGTAGCTACATTGTATCAACGAGGCAAACATCGCGTGTACATTCAAAAACGCTTTGGCTTCATCAAGTTGGCCTTACAGCATGGCTATAACATCTATCCAGCGTATACATTCGGCGAAGAGTATACATACCACGCATTTCCGTATCTGGAATGGCTACGACTTCAGTTAAACAAATTTTGGATTCCCGGTGTCATTTTCTTTGGCATCCCTCACTGTTTCTACTTGCCACACTCTGACGTGGATTTGATCACCGTCATTGGAAAACCACTGCAGTTTTCCTCATATTGAAATGTCAAGCAAGGAAGTTGTAAAGGAATATTAAGACACGTACGTGGAAGCACTTCAAAATCTCTTTGACTCGTACAAAAGAGTTTACGCTGTTGATCCAGACGCAAATCTTGAAATAATCTGAGTTTCAAAGGCATTATGGCAAGGAGGGTTGATCTGGTGCTTAAAGGAGAAGACAAAACTCAATAGAGAGACAACTTGGTGGTTTGGCAAATGTATTGCCTGTAAGGAGGATTTTCTTCATTACTGTTAGTTTATAATGAGACGTCGTCACCTTGTGGTGTAAATCTACATACACTTTTGACCATGTTCAAACGCTCTCATTTTTTTTTCGTACGCTCTCAATTATTTGTACCCAATTAATATTGTTGATCTTCTTTGAGCAAAATTGACTCCATTTAATTATTTCATAACTAAAGGACACTATTTTAACATGTCGATCCGAGGGACAAGCGCCGCTCAAGGCGGACATTACTTTGGACAGGAGAAGAAACTATTGGCTAAAATGACATTCCCTTCATGCTTTAATCAACGTGTTGATATGAGAAAAGTACAGCGTGACGTGATCATTCAGTGGATTACGGAACGAATTACGCAATTATTGGGTTTTGAGGACGATATTGTCGTGTCAATGGCGATTAATTTGTTAGAAACGAACGTTGATGAGAAATTAGATCCAAAGAAACTTCAAATGGCTTTGACAGGATTTTTAGAAAAACAAGCAGGAACGTTCATGGAGGAATTATGGCAATTGCTTCTCAGTGCACAAAGCAATCCAACGGGCATTCCAAGCTCGATTCTGGACAAAAAGAAGAAGGAAATGCAGCAAATTGCACAAGAAAAAGAAAAACTCAAGCAAATTCTTGATGCCAAGAGGACTGAAAGCCAACGACAAAGCAGAGATGAAGATAGACGACAACACAATGAGGACAAACAGACTGGTCGTAAACATGACCGACCGAATTCTCCTGGACGTGATGAACGTAGAAGACGATCGAGAAGTAAGCCGCGACGTCCACGTGAGAGACGCTCAAGGAGTTCACGTAGACGTCGAAGATCACCTAGTCCACGAAAAAAGAGACGACGATCGCGTAGTTTACTGCGTGATCATTCGAGACGTGGCGGGTCGCGGTCACCGTCTGTTAAACGCCGTCGTAGTCAACGGTAAGTAGCAAGCAAGGCTGTGATTAGATTGAGAGAATTTGACAATGCGTTTGACTGTCTTGTTGTCAAGTATGTAGGTCACTGTCGCGATCGCCAGACAGAGCGCGCCAACGACGTTCTACACGTCGCGGGAGCTCTCCGACACGAGAAAGCAGGTACTGAGTCTTTTTTTCGGCATTATTTTAAGGCTGTTTGTTTTAGTAGTGTGTTTGCTCATCGTCGTATTGATGATCGATATCGTAGCCGTCGTCTTCGTCGTTCGTCATCAAGCTCTTCATCAGACTCCCGCCATTGCTCGCCGTCGTCTTCACGATCGCCATCGCCTGGTCGTCGTCAAAAGAATTTTTCTGATAGTGGATCGGAGAGCGATTAATGCCTTTTACTGTCTGATATTGATTTGACAAGGTTTGGAGTTTAGATCAAGGAACCAACTGCAAAAGTACATACTGTCAACTATTCGACACAAAGCCGTTGTCGTACTATATTGCATTATGTCATGTCAACAGCGCCTTAGAAGAATAGCACTAATACGCTCTATCGTCGACGTACAGGTCACTTGAGGCTATTATAACCAATCGATTCTCTCTGATCAGTCCTTATTTTTATTATCATCCAATCAACTCACTTGAATTTTGTCATCCACTGAATCCTGTTTTTATGTCCATAGATCATCATCCTCACCACCCACCAGGAGCCCATGGAAACATCATCATCAGCTACACGTTCAACTGATTGGAATGGAAAAGAAACACAAGACGAAATTAAATTAATTGTAATGAATTATGGCAAATGGAAAGATGCTACGGTACTAAGTAAATTACTTCGCTCGAAAGGAATTAATTTTCATAAAATTCAAAAAGCACGTCAATTATCCTTTGGTTTTATCCATTTTCATACCAAGGAAGAGCGTGTAGAAGCATTTCCACTATTAAAAACAATTGAATGGAATGGAGAAATGTTAGAGGTGAAAAATGCATTACCCAAGAAAAGTACAAAATCGTTACGTCGAGGAAAAGCACAAGGGCATTCAATGGAAAAACAAGAGTTCGAACAGGACAAGAAGAGCATTTTTTTGGCACAGGATGTAGTGACGCCATGGGCACATGTACCGTATCAGAAACAATTGGAAAGGAAAGAAGCAGAAATGAAGAAAGTGTTGGTAAAAATTGTACGTCAAACGAGAAAGGAGTTTGGAGAGAAGGAGAAACGTATTGCACAGAATCAACGGAATCTTGTCAAGAAAAAACGCAAATTAGAGCAGGAAAAAAGACAAGAAAACAAGGACGTGGGAGAGGAAAAGGTGGCGGATGGGATTTATATGGACGATACAAAGCCACAGTATATGTGCACAATTCCCAAGTGGCTTAATAGCCATGGATCACTCTTTTTAGTGGCAAATCACGTGTTGTACTCACGTCCACATGAAGGAGATTTGGATACGAAGTGGACACGTATAGCGGATGCGACAGATGTGGTGGCGATCATATCGTTTGGTAGCGAATTAGTAGCTGCTAAGAAGGATAATGTCTTGTACGCTCTGAAGGCGAACTTGGCGTCGACTGATGGATTGTCGTGGGAGAAGATTTGCAACGGACCTGATGGAGCGCAGATCACATCACTCTCTTCTTTGCGTGGTACATTGCTGAGTTGCACTAGCGATGGAAAGATTTATAAACAGGAGGGCATGGGTAGTTTTGCATCGGGTGAATGGAAGTTGCTGGGTGAAGCACCGGGTGTCACTAGTATAGAGCTTTACAATGGTTATTTGTACGCGCACAACCAAGCTTCAAACGAACGTATATCTTGGTCTCGCGCCCCGCTTGATGCAAATGCGCTAGAGGCTTTGGATTTTGAACCATGTGTCGTGCCGATGTCTAAGTCGTTTGGAATGACGTCGCACAACACGCTGATGATTCTCTTAACACCAGAAGCAATGGAGTTTGTGCAAGAAAATGGTGTCGTGAAAGCCAAAGTACCCTTGCCGACGGATCTGAAGGGAGGAAGGTTTACCGGTTTTGCCAGTCACAAGGGATTATGCTGCCCAATGGACTGCATTCGGCCTTCCCCCGTGACTGAAAGCTATCGCAACAAGTGTGAGTTTAGCTTTGGCTTTGATAACGAGGATAAGCCGTGCGTTGGTTTCCGCCTTGGTCTCTTCCGTGAGGGCTCTGTCGTTGTCAGCAAGCCTGATGAGTGCGTGAATGTACCAACTGAGATGAAGGCGGTGTGCGCCGTTGTACAGAATATCCTAGAGACTTCGGGTATTCCCGTGTACAATGTAACCACGAAAACTGGCGTTTGGCGTTTACTGACAATCCGTCAGAGCGTTAGCACGGGTGAACTCATGATCATGATGCAGGTGAACCCAGCATCCCGGACGTCAGATGAGCGGGCTGAAGTCAAAGCCCTGGTTGTAAAGCAGCTAACTGACAGCAGCAACTCTTTTAAGGTGACTTCTATCTATATGCAAGAATACGACGGTCTGTCGGCTCCTTCGAATGCCGACCCGGTAGAGCACGTCTTTGGAAAAACTAAGCTTGAGGAACACTTGCTGGGTATGCGGTTCTTAGTGTCCCCGAATGCCTTCTTTCAGGTTAACACGCGTGGTGCCGAGGTCTTGTACTCGATGGTGAAGGAGTACGCTAAAGCGGATGAGCGTACGTTGCTGTATGATGTGTGTTGCGGTACTGGTACAATAGGCATTTGTGCGTCAAAGGGAGTTGGCAAAATCGTAGGAATCGAGATTTCCAAGCCTGCTACTGACGACGCTGAAGCAAACGCAGTACTAAACGGCGTCACTAATGTGAGCTTTGTCAACTCCAAGGCTGAGGATGTGATGAAGGATCTGCTGCATAAGAAACTTGAGGAAAGTGGGAAGCACTTGAACCGCGTTGTAGCCATCGTGGACCCGCCGCGTGCTGGTCTCCACCACCAAGTGCTGCGTGCACTTCGTGCTTGCCCGCCGGTGGAGCGCATCGTATACGTGTCGTGTAATCCGGCTGTGTCACTAGTGCGAGACGCTGTAACGCTTTGTGGTCCCAGCACCAAACTTCTCCAGGGTCGGGCCTTTGAGCCTGTGCATGCTGCCCCGGTTGATATGTTCCCTCACACGCCGCACTGCGAGATGATCATTGTGTTCGATCGCGTCAAGTCTGAGTAGATGTATGGATCAGTATTCTAATGCCATTACTCGTTATTGAATTCTCCTCATTGTTCTACATCCTCAAAGTCGGCCTCTACGAAGGGTGGAACTTCGTCGATCATACGTGACTTGAATGGCTTTATCGATCGTTTCACTGGAGCATTTGTCCCGTTACTTGGCTCGGTGGGCTTCTTAGCTGTCACGGTAGCCCCTTTGACAGGTGCCTTTGGCTGTGCAGGTCTCTTCGGTGTCTTCACCTTTGCGGCTTTATTCAATGCGCGTAGGGTCTGTAGATCTGTCAAACCAGGCGTGAATAGTGCGAGAACCTATGTGAAGGCATACACGCAAGTCAGCTTCTGTACTTAAATACTAGGATATGATTTCAGCATGACTCTACCCGATTGTACATTCGATTGCGTTCTTGGCGCTGATTGAGAGGTTTGTAGTCTGGTTCCTTCATGTGCTTCTTGTCTTCCGTCTTCAACATTTGTCTGCCAAACAGAAGATTAAATAATCAAAGCATACTCAAAGACCATGCAAATGTAATCGTACCGGTAGTCATTTTCTTTGGAAACCCATTCATCTTGAAGCTCCAACAGTGCATGCAGCATCGTACCCAATTCCTTGTCTTTAGCAATGTCTACAACAACAGAGAAAATAATCAGAGCAAAACGTTCGGCACATTCGTACATTCTCAAAAACAACTTTAACTACTGCAACGCACCCTCCTTGATTGCATCAGCTGACTCTGACGTAAACCGTGCTTCGTACATAGCAATATGCTGAGCCAGCGTTTCAAGAGTGGTATCCAGTTTTTCCTTCTCGTTTCGTGCTACATCTCGAGCTTCCAGCCGTAACATATTCGACTACACAAACCAAGCACAGCAACCAGCTCATTTCGTCAAGACAAACATTCCACCAAAAAATACCTACAACAAATAAACATATCCAAACCTTCAAGTATTGCTTGGTATACGGCAAGAACGTCATGAGCGTGGCAAAATATCCCGTCACACGCCACTTGTTGGGATGAGCTTCCACTACCAATTTGTCCACCGCACGTAGAGATTCATCTAGCGATCTTGGGAAAACCTTTGGAATCGGCATTGTCTCTGCTACTACAGCACGAAACACAATACACGTCGTCACTTTCCCTCTTCCTATCCCAACAGCGTCCAATACCAGCCACTCACACTCTTGTACCGCCATCCGTAATACTTCCAATCTCCTCACTACCTCTTCATCAGGCTGCCATTCACTAGCAGCATCTGATAGTTCCTTCATAAAAGACCCTTGTGGTCCATCAATCATTCTCTTCTTGCCTCGTTTCGTCTTCCCTGCTTTCTCGCCACTAATTTGGTCTTCATCTTCTTCTTTCTCCAGCGTCTCAATCTTGTCTCCAGCATTTACAAAAAATCCCGAATGCTTAGTCTTTACCTTATTCTGTCCCCAAACATCTTCAATATTCTGCTGTAGCTCTGCGTCATCAATGAATGAGTCTTCTGAGTCATATAAATCATCGTCGTCTCGACGATCCAAGCCTCCACCTACATCACTTTCATCACCATCATTCAGTATAGAACCACCTCCATAGCGTTTTTCCAAATGCTCAATGATATTAAAGCGCTGTGAGCGCGTTGTGGCCGGTATAAGCTCTGGTTTTCCCATTGACGGCAGCGAATTCGTCGGTACTGTGTTTGACGAGCTGGTCCTGGGTGTTGGGAGCTCTGATTGGCTTGCACTTTGTATCATAAGCTGCTTGAAGTTAATCTCTACCGGTAAACTGCTATCTAGCTGCACACAGAACGTCCGTCGTGGCTTTGGCGCAGTCGCCGATGCCATCTCCTCCGTACTTGGCATGGTCAATTTCGTTTGGTAAGGACAAGTTTTGTGTGAAGAATGTACAATTTGTAATAAAACTGTGACGTTGGTGATTCAAGAGTGATGGTCGTTGAAGTTGACTTTATGAATAAAGACAAAATGATTACGAAGATGAAGAAACAAGGAAAAATAAACACGATAAACCAATGTTGAGGTTGGAAAGTGTTGTGAGAGTGATGTTCTTTTCTTGAAGAACGTAGATATTGTATGTCAGCACTTTTTTCAGCAACTTGAGGTTGCTGATGAGGGTGAAAATATGAGGTTAAAAGTAACAAATATATCTCACTTATTAAAATAATGACGTTATTTCACATTTTTTTGTATCTGAGTCTACAATCCCTGTGCGTGACTTCCACCGTAATAGAACTCAAAAAACAATTCCATAAGCGGTGGCTTAATATAGTGAAAAGTAATAGAATCAGGTGCACAACACATTTCTCCATTCTGCCATCCAATTCCATTATGATCGGAAAACCAATTATTCTCCTGGTATATGGACGAGAATAACTTGTGATCATATGCTTCTTCATCATGGGATCTTGTATACAAAACATTCGGATCATATTGATGAAATCTTTCCCTCTTCTCGTGATCTCTTGTATCCAATGGTGTTATACCCAAATGCCACATACAAAATGAAAGAGCCCAATCATCTGGCACCACTTCATTTGGTAAACAATATGGTTCATCAAAACTTCCTTCCAGTTTCTTCAAATATGACCAATTCATTGCATAACCTCCACCACCGGGAGTATATATCAATCCTCCTTCATTTATAGTCTCCTCTTTTACTTTCAGCATTGCTGCTACATGCTCCGGATTATAATCTTCAAATGGTTCAAAACGACGTTGCATTTCCCACCATTGTAACGTCATTCGATGACCTACAAGAGTTGGTTTCGTTGTAGCAATTGCTTGAATCTTTGGTGAATTCAATAAAGTCTTCAGATTCTCCATGATCAAGAACGTATCGTCGTCGCATTTAAAAACCCAATCAAATTCTTCTTCGTCGTATTCTCTTACCAAGAGCTGTACAATCTCTCGATGCTTTTGCCACAGCATTTCATGTAATGGTGGAGCTACAATTTGAACCGTTGGAATACTTAAATCTTCTACATTACTCATAAAAAGTAATTTATCACACTTTTTACCCCAGGTTTGTTTAATCGCGTGCAGGCGTTTCTCGTGGTTCGTGTGATACGTACTGACCCAGCATAACACACGTAATTTTGAAGTTTCATGTGATATCTCGGATACATTGACAAGCTTCATAGCGCGAACATTGTCTCCAAGTTGTGCAAGGAGTCCAGCGCTGTGGCTTTCGGCCGTATACGGGATACAAAGCGTAACCAGGAAAAGTGCTTTACTTAGCATGAATGATTTTAACAAATGAAGGAATAGCTCAAAAGGTCGGCACAAATTAATAGTGTGTCAGAAGCCTAAAGTTGGACGACTTTGTGTACTGTACATTATTTCGAAATCTAAGAAAACTCTTTAGCTCAATAATACTATTTTTAAACTCAAATAGACGACAAATTGACGTAGTAGTCAAAATACTATGGCAGGGCTTGTGGAAAAGCTTGTAAACCTCGTAGGACGGTGCGTCACTAGCTCTCTGACCTTTACTCTTGTATCAGATTACTCACACACACGATTGGTTTATCTCTTTTTCGTTCCCTCTAGTGCCTTCTACTCTGATGAACATGTTGTAGTACTTGGCGCTTTAATCCGTGAAAAGTTTATGAAAGTCTGTGTTTATTTGAGTAGTACTGTTTTTAAATTAGTAATAGATATAGTATTATTTGTAGTAATATTTTTATGCTATTATTATTGTTCTAGGACGACGATATGGGGAATGCTGTAAACCTTCAGACGCGTCAAGTGCGCAAAATAATGAACGAACTGCATCAGGATAATCTCGTCTGCGAGTATATTGTGTCTTTAAGAGATACATATAGTAGTGCTACTTTTGTGTGACATAGTAGTCAAGTCTCTAATATAGTATCATTCATTCATATGTTTGTGAACAGAGAGGTGCTAAATGATAAAAGGTTGGGTGGAAGCTCTTCGACATCGTACTGGTACATTGACTACAAATACTTTGTTGATGTGGTGCAATATCGACTTTATTTGATGCACGAGCATCTCAAAGACATAGAGCAATTGGAAATTGAAAGGCAGACTTTTCAGTGCAGTGATCCAGAATGTGGACGAGAGTACACTGCATTAGAAGCACAGCTGTTGCTGATGCCAGGACAATTTCAGTTTCGTTGCGGACACTGTAACGAGCTTCTGCTTGAATGTGACAACAATGACCGATTGCAGCGGATTCAAAACTTGCAGCGCAAGTTTAAAGACCAGATGAACAAGCAGAACGGCATGCACGAAGGAATCTACGAAGTGCTTCGTCGAATTGGTGGCTTTGTAAAGGAAGGCCACGTATTGCCAACTAACTTGCCGAGCGATAATAGGGCCGCTGGAATAGGAGGCAATAGTGCTCGTGTTACCAATGGAACTGGAAGAGGTGGTGGTCGTGGTGGCGGAGGCAGCAATAATGGTACCGATGAGCAGAACAGCCAGTCATATTTGTATCCATATCATGCACAGGACAAGGAAATCGTTGTGGATATTTCTGGCAGCAACCAGGCAGACGACGAGTATTTAACAAGTAGAGATCGGAATGATGACAAAGAGGCAGCAAATCAGCAGGTTGCAGTCCCCCGTGCACTGCCAGAGTTCCTGCTCGGTAGTTCTATTAGTGGTCATATGGCAGCTAAACACTTGCAGCCCGCTGTTGCAGAAGAAAAGATAGTTGCTGTAGAAAGTATTCATCGCATTGTGGACCCTCTTACAGAAAGTGAAATGACGGAGGAACGACGGCAGGAGGAGTTCAAGCGTGCGTATATGGCAGAGCTTGAGCGCTACAACGAAGAGAACCGCGAAGGGGAGGTGCAGGTACAGGTAGACAAGCAGGGTTGGGATGCCGAAATGAATGAAGATGCTATGGACGAGGAAGAGTTGGAAGACGTTGAGTGGGAGTGGTGCTCCGATGATGAAAGCGTCATCACCAACGTTGAGGTCACGATCAATGGCCAGCCCAAGCGATTGGATAGTGTGGATGACAACGATCTGCTAAGCATGACAGAAGAAGAGTTTTTGGTAACAATCTACTATGCTTTGATTAAGCGAAACAGAGGGAGTATGTACTGACATGGTTTGTATTGCTTTTGTTTGATGCACCTGTAGAGCTGCTACCAGATGTGCCTAGCTGAGAACGGTGAGTCTCGTAAATTGTGAATGGAAGTATGTACAATTAGCACAAAGCGCAACGAGCAAGCAGCTGTGAGATTGATCAGCGAAGCATTAGGAAGAAAGAAATGGAAAGAGTCACGCTAGAATATTCGTGCTTGATGATCGCGATCAGGTCTTTTCATGGATAGTACACTGAGACAGCCCAGGCCGTCGTCAAATGAAGCTTCTATGTGGTGGTGGCATACAAGACATGTAATGGAGGTTATCTGTTGTCTGGACTCATTAACCTTGATGTTTGTTTGCTGCAAAGGTGTTTTCTTTTAATCTCGTGTACAGCAAGCTTCTGCATGACGGTTATCACCGTGTTGTAAGACAACACCTAGGATCGCTGAGCATATGATTCCTGCTATGGCTCTGCGTGCTTTCTGTAGGACTGACCTCTGTCAACGGACACAGCTTTGCCACTTTGACAGCTTCCACTGGATCTACCAACAGATCATCATCTCGGCAGCTGAAGTGTACGAATAATAAGTCAATGCAAAATGGACGATCCAGACTTGATACTGCGGTGACATTAAACGCGGTCAGGTTTAGATTCGGGACCAAACGCAATAAGCATTAGCCTCGGCTGCAGTCCACTACAGCCGTTGGTTTATTGCCTCGTCGATGGTGCCATCGCAGTTACAGAAAATGCAGAAAACACGATCACTTGTGAGAAGATAGACATCAAATTTCTGCAAATGTAACACCAAAAGAGAAACCTTGTGTGCGTGCGTTCAATCACTATCTCAACACGAGGACCATTTCACTTGAGGTTCGCGCATACAATGGCGCTGGATTGAATCATTTGCACGTGGCAGTGGAGCAACATACGATGCTGTTAGTGGCTACTGTTGTGATCTCATCAAGAAATGCGGCACGACGAAAAGGGTATACTTTGCTTGTCACCGCATTTGGTAATCAGCCCCTTTTGACAAAACATGTAGCGTTAGCAGCCGCCCCCCCCCCCCCCCCCCCCCCCCCCCCCCCCCCCCCCCCCCCCCCCCCCCCCCCCCCCCCCCCCCCCCCCCCCCAAGATTGCGAGCGCAATCTTACCAAGTTCAGCTTACCAATTCATTGTGTTGAGCTGTTTCCAACGCTCACCCTCATGCTGCGCTGCGATGTGGAAGACATCCACGTTAACAAGCGGCCTTGTGCTGAATTGGCTAACGAGTCTCAGCTGCAAAATGTGGAAGCGCAAGACGTTTTACAGCATAGCACAAGCTTTTATCATGTGCTGACTGGGCCACGTAAATTGCGCACGGGCGCTGTTTGTTTTTGTATCTAGGACAAGCTGTATGCCGCACACATTAAACACGGCGTCCTGTATGTGAAACTTGCGCGTCTCGAGAGCGTTCTACTGTTACAAGACTGCTGAATGTGATGACGACGCCACTAAGAGGCCTGAACCGGTTTCGCAAAAGTTGCGCTGCAAGCCTATACATACGCGCCAGTCGGATCACTCTTTGTGGGCAAGATGATGTCGTTCTGGCGTACTAAATAGAGCTCTCTACGCTTTTGATCTACAGAAGGACGTTCCACCTCAATTTGAGAACGATGACGGCATGAAGGAAGCGAGAAAAAAGGTCTCAGAGGGCGTGGACATGCACGCTTGGGCACAATGGTAATTCCCCGCAGAAATTGGTGCTGTTTCTTGAAAGACATTCAACAGATGGTAGAAGTGACGCATCTACAGTATGTGCAATAGCACTGCATAGGCCAAGCATTACAGCAATGAGCAAATTTGGTATGATCCAAGCTCATTATATTGGAGGCTTTATCCAAGTTATTCAGTGGAGATAGATATGTCGATGACTTTCCATGCTGTGGGCACGCTGTCCAAGACGAACATTGAACGATGACATCTGTTTAGTTTACTCGTGAATTGTGTCACGACGACAAAATTCACGAGTAAACTAAACTCCTATGTGATGACCGACTCAGTGAGCATGCTTGATCAGGACGATGATTGAACTAGAAAGTGTAAAACAGGTATGTACAGGGTACCGCAAGAACATCCATTATGATAGGAACGCACTAATTTAGGGCAAACGATAAAGTCAGTGTTATCAAACGGTAAGTATTGACAGCATCAATCCCAAGTTGCATTGCAAGTGCCAATTTTCGACGTACTCGATTTCCTCGTTAGATTTCTGCTTCCTTATCGTTATGACGAAGCCACTTGTATATCATCCCCAATGCATTTTTGTCACGTACGCATGTCGGACGAAACTTCGTGCATATTCGGGACCATTGATAAAAGATACTCGCCAAGCTTTTGCCGGTAAGGATCATCTTCAGGACAAAGTATTCCTCTGTTTTTGGGGCGGTTGGCTATCTGTTGACTGCACCAAAAACTTTCTCTTTTAGGGGGCAGTTGGTGATCAGCTAGCTTCTCCGAAGACGTCGTCATTGTTGAGGGCGGTTGGTTATCGGTTGACATCTTCGTAGGCTTACTCTTTTTTCGGGGGCAGTTTGCTATTGGTTGATGTCACCAAAGACTCGGATTTGTACCTCAAATCCCTAATTATTTTTAAGCACTTTACTAGTGTGCCATCAGCAGGATCATTCTGAAGTGAAGCTTTTATAGCTGCAAATAGCTCTTCATGGGTGCCATTGTACCATTTCACACTGCCTATTAATTCCAAAAGCTTCTCTCCACTTTTCGAGTTCAATGCCGACATAATTGATACTTTTTCCTCCTTGAACTTCGAATCGAAAGCCATAAAATACCTCAACCATTCATGGAAGCGAGTGCTGCTAAAAGATGACGTATCTACAATCTCTTTAACGAGAATCTTGAAGACGTCTGTTGGAGACATTTTCTTTCCAAGCCAATCCTCATTCAGATCGTTCAGCACTTGCCTCATGGCGGGTCGAAGGCGGGGATACGGCGCCTGATTGTACAAAATATCTACCAATACTTGGTCCTCATCGGGAAAAATACCACGCAGGGATTTCTTGAAATCGGGAACCTCTTGCTCATACAATTTCACATACTTCATCAAGCCGAGTAATTGCGTGGTTTTAAGAATCTGGTATCTTGCTTTGTCAAAGTCCAACGCCTCGTCCAGTTTCTTCTCCTTGAAGTCTTTCTCGGGGTCCACTTCTGGTTTCAGCTCCTTCAATTCTGCGTCGGTTATTGGCGGGACATTCTTAAGACCCTCTATCTTACGTGAAAGTTCATCCACCAACTTCCCATCTTTGCAGTAAGCCCCGAGAGTATCACGCAGAGACTTTTCGCGCTCAGGGTGAACCTTATTGAAGTATATCAGGTATTTATACCACGTCAACCAGTTGTCGTGACCCAGAAAATTGGCGACCACGTTGCCACGCTCTATTTCTTTGCGAACCTCTTCGGGATCTTTTTTTTCATGCAGCATCTGCAGTTGTGTGGCCAACTTTTCCGTATCACGGTTCTTCTTCCCAGCTCGAATCATGTCGTCCCAACGAACGCCTTGGTAAAAATGGCCAAGGGTATTGAAGAGCGTCGTCTGACTTTCAGGATGGTCGATATTGTACCACTCCAAGTAGTCGATCCAGTGCGATGACTTTATCACACTCAGAACGTTAGTGTTTTTATGGTTCACCATGAGCTGCTCTAAAACAAGTTCAGGATGTCGTTTCTGATGCAGCCACTCCAGTAATTCAGCCTTCTGTTTTGTTTGAATGTCTTGTTTCCCAACGGCAATGACTTCAGGAAAAACTGTGTCGTCTCCATTGGCGTAGTAGTGCTGGACCGTTTTCAAAGGCGTGGTTTTTTGGCTGTCGGGTTTGTCGTTAAAGCATTTCATGTAGCTCATCCAATGTTTCATGTATGGATTGGCCATGATACTACCTTTCACTTCGTGAAGTTTGAACCACTCGAAAACCTCGTTTGTCGTACGCCCCTTTTCGGGAAATACTCACTAGTTGATTGGATAAATTCTTTGTGCCGATCAATGTCAAGGTTATAGGAGCCCTCTCTTCTTCGTCGTTATGGTCTCTCATGTGACTCGGTATACGGACTTTAAATTGATCTACAGGGAGGGAAAGAGCTGACATCGTGAAGTTTTGAAGCTTTACATGTGATTCAACACGCAATATCCACGAAGTCATAGTCACCCATATGGCAACGGGGAGAAGGCGCATGACTGTACCACTGCTGAGCTTATGAGTGGACTCGATGAGCTTTGATGCTAACGAGTAAGATTTTATGTGATGAAATAGACCTATTAATTGTTAGTTTGTCCTGTACAATCTTATATCTGATCGGGGAAAAAACAAAATCGAGAATAACAGGGAAACGGATCAGGTTTGTACAAGTGATGCAATCATTGCGACTTCAGTTGACAGACATCAAAGCCAGTGGTGCCCCTTTGTGACCCCGACAATGCAAAAAGGGCCTTGGTGCCACAGAGATACAATACGAAAGGCAGAGAAACGTTGCCGTAAAAGGAGAGAGATCTTAACTTGTTTCAGTATAAAAGTAGCTACGATGTTTGACATTTGATGGGCGGCATCATTGACGGACAAGCGGATGGATACGTCGTTTGTCGACGTCAATAGCAGACTCACGAGGTTTAGTTTAACATTCAGCTTTGCGATTGCCTAAGCACGAGAATGCCTGATTACAGACGTATCTTCGATTTTGAGGAGGACGAGCAGGGAAGTTGATATAGCGTTGAGACTACACAAGACCTGGTTGTTCATCTTTAAACGAGGTCATTAGTTTGGCCAAATCAAACTTCAAAGCTTCTTGGTTTCTTGTCATGTGAGACCGCATTAGTTGTCCTTTATCATATATCACAAACGGGTAACACACATATGACAACATGACAACATGAACAGCTACCGCGCCACACATCTTCGCGATATCCCACTAAATGCACCTTGTTATCTTGTGACTCCTGACGCTGAACGCAAAACAATTGAGTCCCCTGCTCCTCAGGCAGCGTGAACCTTCTCCTGACCGTTTTTGACCAGCATGCCACCAGCGAGCATCCCCATGTACATGTCATGACACTATGGCAAAACCAAAGTTGGGTTCTGCACTATGAAGAACGGTGAGCTAGTGAGCCTTTCTTCAACGCGCAAACCTTTTCAAACTACGGATATAGTCTTTCTCAGCTCTTTTAAATACCTAGAAGGGAAACAAATACCATCTCAATCCAATAAGCCTCGATTACGCATCAACAGCTTTCAAGTTCAGATTATCAACGTACTTGACATAGCCTTGTACAGCTTGAGTTGACTGGTACGTTTTAGTACTCCATTTCTCGCCAAAAAAAGATACAAATTGTAGGTCGTTTGCAGTGTTATCTGTCTCCATCAATAATATCAAATACTAATCAGCAATATTGTGGCAGTACTGAAAAAGAAATCTCACGATAGTTACCGACTCACTCTGGCAATCTCACGGAAGATCTTGTACAATCCAATCAAAGACTCATGGGGCTTATGGACCTTGATAATCAATTCCAATTGCATGTAGACATAGTTTTCATGATAATGCATACAAACATGACATAGTATAAGGAGTTATACAGTCGTCCTATATATTACCACCTAAACAAAAGAGCATCAACGCGCGACCATAAAGTTTCGTTCTTGTTTATATATCAACGCCACCATCACCTTTAAATTCACAAGTCTACAAGGCAAATTACCTAATTTATCAGTACAAGGTACCATACTTACATCAAGTACTGTGCTTGTTCGAAATACTGTGGATTTCGCGCGTCGCAGCGCGCATTTGCTCCGTCAATAATGGCAAACTCTTCATCGTTTCTTGCATAAATTTCATGGATTTGGTAAAATACGGTACGTTTACTGTATAAATTACAAGCCATTAGTGGCTATCATCATCATACATTGAATACTATAGAACAAAGACTAACTAGTACTAATTAGAATAAATTAGCCAATGAATAGCTTCTTCTTTTGTAAACCTTTTGTTTATTCAGAGTGAGACCCTTTATTCGCTCTCTCTATTTTCCTATTATAATGCACCAAATACCACTTCATGGCAAATGTCAAGCATTTTGTCCTTTAAACGAAGAGATGACACGGGTTCAAACCCATGAACTCAGTCGTTTTGAGCAACCAAGAGCAAATTTCCAAGGACTTGTAGCGATTAAAAAATATCGTCGAGCTGCTGCCGGTCGTGACGTTTGGAACGCATCAGAATTCAGACCACCACACGTGCTTTTGCGTACATTGAAGCATTTATTTACGACAGTATTGTCGTGGCCTCAGAGTGGTTTTAATTGCCGTAAATGTGCTCAACTGGACGAATTCCTAGCAGTTTATCACTTTGTGAATGATCGTGTACGTAGTATCCGACAAGATTTTACAGTTCAGGTAGGAGAGTTGTTGATTGAATTTGAGAGAGAGAGAGAAAGAATGACGGAAAGAAATGGACTGATTTGGTTTTGCTTTTTCTTGTGCACAATAATATAAAAAGAGGATCGAGGATGTGTCACTAGTGACGGCATTGCAACAGATCACACGGTTTTATCTAGTGGTGAGATTACGCTCGGTGCAATTATTCGGTGGTTCCAAGGCACAACAAGATTGGAGTGATAGATTGAATGATGAACAATTAATGTCAGCGCTTTCGCAACTTGAGACACTGTATCGTATGCATGAGTTTGTGCCCGAGAGCGACCAAGATGATTCAGAACGAAAGGATGCCGAGGAATTTATTGGGTATGATCTGCTGTTGCATGCTGATGAACCGCAACATGTGGCCTGGATGTTGCGCAAGCATTCATCAAAGCTACGTAGCTTACCAATGGTGCAACGTGCTTTGCGGACGTGTGTGGCATTGCAGACAGATGACTTTAATGCGTTTTTTATCGAGTTTCACGCCATGACGCTGCTGGAACAAGCTGCGTCGCTGCGTCATCTTGTAAAAGTATGGACCCGCAGTTTGCACATGATGAACAAAAGCTTCGGCAAACAGGATCGCTTTTCGCTGGAAGAACTCGCACGCTGGATGAACCTGGCTGACCCGAACAGTCAAGACGAGGGTGGCCAACTTGCGGAGAGGCTTTGCAACGGCTTGAACATCCAGACACAGCGGTATCCACCATCATTCCACCACCACCACCTCAAAATGATGCCGGCCGTGTAGTTGAGTCTTGGGAACTAATCAATGAGGATCTTGCTGATCAAGTGGTATCGCGGTCAGTGGCAAAACCATCTTCGCTCGGGTTTGCTCAATTCAAACATTCACCAGTGCATGACCAGCTTGACTTGAATGCGGTGGAGATCTTACTCTGCAATGTAGCTCTTCGAATAGAGAAGAACTCTGTCCAGTTGACGACAACAGAGCTGATCATGGGTACAGTTCAAGAAATCGACCCATGTTGTCAACATTCAACAATCACTTAGCGTTCGTGAAAAGATTATTTCTTTGTTTTTAATTGATCTCTCACTCTCACGTACAAGAAAGCTCGCTCAAGGCTGGAAAACACAGCAACTCATTTGGAAGAATTGCTCGTGTGGTTTAGACGATGGTGTGGACGAGAGTGAATCGAGTGATTCAAACGGCTCGGACTGGGAGTCCATTGTAGACGAGAAATCACCATCCGAGGTACAGTCAGAGGAGGAGGAGGACGCGCCGTCCTGGGACGAGCTTGAGAAAGAAGCACAGGCTTTCGATCGTATGCGCAGCGAAAAGCGTGGACCTGATGATGAAGATGAAGACCAAGACTACCGTTGTACGTCCAAGGAGAAAAAAATGCGTCGTCGCTGAACGAAAATAGCATCACGACACTCGTACTGTGCCGTTTTGTACAGTTGTCCTAGAAAGGAACCAAATACGATTCCAATCCAATTAATTGATTCTCAATTACCATATCAACAGCTTTTGAAGTTCAAAGTTTATTAACGTACTTGACATAGTCTTGTACAGCTTGAGTTGGCTGATATTTAGTACTCCATTCCTCACCAAGATAATAGTGTAAGTCTTTTGCAATATTATCTGCCTGTATAACAACGATATTCAATACTAAGATCAGCATTATTATGACAGTTGTATCATCACAAGAAGGAAAAATCTCATGGTATTTTATCGACTTACTCTAGCAATCTCATGGAAGATCTTCTAGATTCGAATCAAAGATTCATGGGTCTCATGTGCCTTGATAATCAATTCCAATTGCACGTAGATGTAATCTGATTCTCATAGTAATATATACAACATTACACAATATAATTTGTACAGTCTCGTCATATATATTACCACCTACAAAAGAGCATCAATGCGCGGCCATAGAGCTTCTTGTCCATTAACGCCACCATCAACTTTACATTCACAAGTCTGCAATGCAATCACGTAATTTATCAGTACATGAAGGTAGTATACGTATAACAAGTACTATACTTGTCCGAAATGCTGTGGACTTCACGCGTCGCAGCACGCATTTGCTCGGTCAATAACGGCGAACTCTTCATTTTTTCTTGCATAAATTTCATAAATCTGGTAAAATACCATTAACATCTGTTAATAAATTACAAGCTATTGATTGGCTAATATTATTTTGTCTTTATTATTGCTCAATCTTCCATTGATCAGAATGTCCTCATCGATCGAAAATGCTGCTGTTGTAGCGCCTTCTGTAAAGACCACAGCTGTTTCAGATGCTAATAAAGATATGGAAGAAGAGACCAAGATCTTAATGCATAATGTAAGACTCTTTTGACGGTCTAGCTCGTAGTATTTATAAAGCAATTCTCATTTTTGTTTTTTGATGGACAATTACCATATAGGAACGCTCATGCATTTTTGAGTCACGCATTGAGCATGCAGATTGCTGTCGTCAACGAGGTTCCATTTATTTTAAAGATGGAGATACAGAAAAAGCAGTGACGTGGTATGAGCGTGCACTTCATCATGTGGACTTTGATGAGGGCTCGTGGCACTTTGAGGTAATGTAGACTGCAACAATGTCAAGGGGTTTTAAAACGATTACAAGTAGCTATTCACCTCGTATGTATGAGTACTTTTGATGCAATAGTTTACAGAAAAGAACCGAGAAGACGTGAATGTAGTGAGGCTGCCAGTGTATCTGAATCTGGCAGCTTGTTTTTTGCGTCAAGGAGCTCCAATTGATGGCGAGAAACATGAAGGTTTTCTGGCAAAAGTAGTGGAGAACGTGAATCTCGCGCTTGCAATTGACCCGGAAAATGACAAGGCGCTGTATCGTGGTGGGCGGGCGTTGTTACTGATGGGAGATTTGGAGGGAGCGAAGGAAAAACTGACTAAAGCAGTGAAACATCATCCAACGGATAGAAATATACGCGAAGCGATGGTGACGCTGAAGAAAAAGTTGGCTGAGCATAAAAAAGTTGAGAAAGAGTGTTGGGGTGGCCGACTACTTGACGAGAAAGAGACGGACGTGATTAAGATTGCGAGCAAACAGCAGCAAAAGCAAGAGCAGCAGAAGAATGAGTCCAGTAATGCACTGTGGATGTTTGCAGTTGTGCTTATCGGTATCGCTTTGGCTCTGGGTCAGCTTAGCTTCGTGGAGTAGGTATGACGTTAAGCATTTGAAGTTGTGTGCTTGACTAGCTCAACCATGCGCATATATAGTTGCTGTAAAAAAACAATAATACATGTGGCCCTGCCGCGACTACGCTACACATTTCAAAAAGTCGTTTCGTTAGTGCTCCAGCTGGCCACACGTCTCATGTATCTCATTGATATCGTACACCCGCATTTCTGCACACAGTACGCCTCCTCGTCGCGGAAAGTATCACAAGACGAGTGCATTGCATTGTCTTGGTGTTATGACTACAGGCTGCAATTGCGCGGCGTTATTGTTGCCGGAAAAACGTCTTTGTCTATCCTTGTTTCAGGTTTGCTAGCTGACTGATTGTCCCTTAGTCCAGTCAGGCCAATGTGGGTACGAAAGGAATGGGAATAGAAAAGACTGGTCAGTATGCAACAGAGCGTTGCAACATTACGGTTTCTGCAACAGCTCCACCCCCAGGTAGCATTCATCAGTTGTACTGAAATGCAATGCTCGATGGACCCACTGCAACGCTGGTCTAAAAAGTGTACTCAGTCGAGCCATCCTCGCTTTCTGTCTCACACATGTCTGACTCATCAGCAGTGGGTGTTACAACGGCTTCATTTGTACGACCTCGCGAAGATGACCAAGGCGCGTGAGCCGCATTACTCTCAGCTTGCTCACCAGCGCGGCCGTTGTAAGAGCTTCGCTTGGTATGGATCTTCGTTTTGCGAGGGTCATGTCTGTGGATCGATCGTCGACGAAAGACAGCAGTCGTCTGGGTCTTGCTTGCTTCTTCTACCACTCGACGATGTTTTTCATAAGCGTCTGGATCCAAGTACTTCCAGCGTCGACACACTTGAGAATTTGTGCGATCACCTAGCTCAGCAGCAATTCGAGGCCACAGTCTGGAAGATTCCATTCCCCACTCACGCACTCGCGTCAGTATTAGCTCGTCTTCCTTTTTGGTAAATTTACGGAACGATAAGTCCGGATTCAAACAATTTGTGTATCGGTCCCGTATTGCTGGCTGCGTCCGCCCAGGAAGATGGTGACCGATATCATTCCACGACACTTGATCCTGATTGAACTCGCTGTTTTTAGGCATATACGCACGGAGTGCTAACAACATACGCCGATCTTCAATGAGCGAAAACTTGCCTCGCCGAAGACCTGGGGCGAGCGAAAGCTGCCATCGATGACGAATCTGCTCTGACACGCGACCATCCAGTAAGTCTGCAATCACATTCCACTTCTCTCCAAAAACTGGTACAGCTTCGCGCAGTATCTGATCTTCTTCCGGCGTAAAATTCGATCGCGTATTGCCCGCACACAGAGCTGTCTGGTATCGAGTAAGACAATGTGCTGCTGGTCTACCTGAAATCGGCATGCGTTTTGCAATCTCGTGCCACCGATTTACTAGTTGCTTATCTTCCTCACCTGTGGCTAAACGTCGAAGAGCTGCATCTTCCTCTTTTGTCCATGCACTAAGCCGCAACTTGGGCGACTCGTGAAGGTCGTACCACAACTTGCACGCAAACCCCGAGCGCTCAATCGGGAATTGTCTTGACTTTCTTTTCATTTGCCACGCTTGAATTTTGTTCCACACATCCAGTGACATTTCCACGTCTGGATCATGTGTCATATAAAAATCCTCTGCAAAATCCTTGACAACTTGTCGTTCTCTGGTTGAAAAGATAGTTGGAGGGGCAGCAATGAATGATTCATGACTATGAGCATGTAAACACTTGGTATCAGCATTAGAAAATGGCTCCAATGAATGTTGAAGCTTTGTCTGTTCTTCATCCTCGACGTCTGTAGCTTCCACTGTCTTTTGTTTCTTCTTCTTGGGTCTTCCAACTTTCCGTTTGCTTTCAACTTCATCTGTAAAGAACGAAACATGTTGACGAATGTATGAACGAGGTACAACACCTAGTGTTTTCTTCCTATTACGTCCATTCTTCTGATACTGCTGCTGGATTATTGTATGCTGTGATGATACACAAGGCAATAGTGTCTCCATAGCTTGTTGTGCTCTTCGAAGCGCCATACGTCGGCGAATTGAATGTATTTTAGTTACTAATTTCGTCTCTTCTTCAATAAGTGATTGAGCTAGAGATTCCAATTCTTCTACAAGAGCATAATTTGCTGTGAGAGCCTCTACAAACACTGAAGCTGAGCTTGAACGAGCGTCGAGACGTCGGGTCATTTAATGCTAGCTTATGAATTTAGATGATTCAGATATTTAGAATCTGTCTTAATCTACAGATATTTTGGAATTTAGATGACTGAGTTTTGCGAAAAGAACTTATGACGAACTTAATGATCTGATCCGATGTGAGACGAAATATAGGTACAGATAGCTTAAATGGCTACATGTTTCAGTCGTGGTTGTCTCTTAGTATTTATTACAAAGTGGCTATGACACCTCTATAATAATGTAAACTCTACAATATTTCGTCACAATAATTCATCAAACTGGATACTGTTTGCCTTATATTCACATCAGTCGATCCATCAAAACTATTCACACATGGAACAGCACCAGCCAGGTCTTCGATAGAACGCTTGCAGCACCAAAATGCCTAGCTTCATATTCTTCTTCAGTATGAGCACACCCATCTATTCGTATACTTGTTCGTGGCGTTAGTCATCTTTCAGTGTCGTTCAGCAGCACCAACAGGTTTACTATACCAGCATACGCGACAAGCCCAAGAAAAAGAGCTGCAATTGCAATTCCAGCAAAACAATTGTACTCGCCATACGAGCGGATCTCTTGAGCTTCCAGCTTCTGGCGTGGCAATAAATAGAGGATTGGGATCAATGCCAGTAAATTGATCCCGCTGTTTGCCATCACAAACGACAAAATCTGAGTGCGCGTTTTGGACGCGTCCTCTGCAATTACATCAGCTGCAAAGTCTTTTTCGAGCTGTGCGCTCGATGTGCTAATCACATCCGAGAATGTCAAAATCACCATATTGATCAGTGCAGTATATGACGATACAAGTCCCGTGGTCGCACCTTCCAGACAGTTCTCTGTAATCTCCACAAGCGGGAGTAACGTTACCAGTAATGCGGCTGCACGCGAGATTCCAAATACTGAAGAAATTGACATGGTGTACCAAGCGCTGCGGACACCGTCAAAGATTGTCGGGAGTGTTGCAATCAAATTCACTCCCACACCCAGTAGTATGCCTCCTACAGAGATGCGTATCCAACTGTAGTTGAACAGTGTGAGCTGAAACGCCAAGATCGAAAGAATCATGATAATCTGTTTTGGGATCTCACCCATACGCTTGTTATCCGGTGTAGTGTTTGCCCAGTACAATACGGCATCATCGACAAAAGTGAATCGAAATGAAGACAAAAAGACGCAACAGCAAACGAAAAAAATTATGCGCCACACTGCCTCTTGCTGCAAAATACGCCACAGTTGGCGCGTGAGTGATAATCGATCCACCGAATCTACCTTGAGCTGCCTAGGTTCTTCATCTAGTTGAAACAATACCGCTGGTATCGGTACCAATGTCACCACTGCCATGATCAAAATGATCACTTTCATTGAAATCAGCGCCTCTGTTGTTCCTGACTTTTCATCGTATCTCACCACGACCGCTATCATAATATTTGCCAACAGCGTTGCCGTTTCCTGTGTTAACAAATACTGTACCAAAAGCATGCCACGTTCGTGAATTGGCTCGCGCTGTGATAATTCCACCAAAAAGGCAAATGCAGCAACTGACGCCGCTGTGACACCTAAACTGGCTGCCATCATCAGAATCACGTAGACCGCACCTCCATATAAGCTCCTGACACCAGAGTTCATTAACCCCGTGCTATCGTCACTCAATGCTACAATAGCAAGCGCCATCAACGCCATGTAGGCAAAAATCCACCCCCCGAGCATATACGACTTACGGTGGAAGTTCCAGATCGGGTAGAAATCGGAGATCAAACCAATAAAAAAGCTGCTAGCTCCCGGTAATTTAAGAAAACGAAGCGTAGCCGCGCATTGGTCACTACTGAGGCTAAGATACACGCACAATAATGGCTGGAAGGTGTTAGCGAGGAATGGCACCATAAAGCCTGTCGCTGCCGCTGAAACCGCCAGTCCACAATATAGCGGCGAGAAAAGGTCAGCCAATATACCTGCACGTAAACTTCCATACAATAAATGGTTGAACATGCCTGATGCTGGTGCTGTAGCTGCTCGCCTCCTCTCAGACGGTCGGACAAGTTCCTGAAGCAGCTGAACGGACGGTGGAGCGGAGCTAGACCTGCCGACGATAGGAATCTCCGAGTCCGGTCGCGTCTGATCGAGCATGAAAGAGTCTTTCAGTCCCCATTGATGTATGTTTCTAGCTCCTGTAGCTACTTGAGACTGTGAATTAAGACTCAATAATTCATCGACATTGTCCGTCACCGTCGTCGAATCAGCACGTCTATCTCTCGGTACTTGAAGGCGATAACTATCGTCTCCAGCACCACCGACGCAGTCCCAGTCATAGGTACTACTGCTATTGACACAGAACGATCCTTCCGAGATAAAACTAAAGCTCTTGGAAGACGATCGCTCACTTTGCATGCTCCTATACTAAATATATGTCCCACTGTCAAATGTTGCGATTTTTCGTGCTATTACTTAGTTGTCAATGAATAAAAATAAAGTGGCCACGGGCCTTGAAGCGGCCAAAGAAGGCAAAGATGATACTTAAACCAATAAAGAATACACAAACGTCTTTGTTTGAATAGATACGAGGAAGAGACCAAGGAGATATTGAGGCTTTTGTAGTCGCATCAAACACTTTATCGTCGTCGACATGCACGGACTGTCGCTTGTTTATCGAGTCAGTATTTGAGTCACAAGTCGTACATTTTGGTCCCGACTCGACAGGGGTTATAGTAAAATAAAAATGGACATATGAACATTTAGATTACTTTCTATATACAAAACAAGACCGTATCACACAGAAATATCAGAAAAGTAGACGCTTTTTAGTAATTAGGATAGCACATGTATGCTGTTTTTTTCGCTCGTGAGAAGAAGATGAGATTTATTTACAACCGGTTCAGCATTATTTACTCTTGCGTTTGTTCTAGATAATGTCAAAATGCCGCAGCTGTAATGTTACGAGTAAAGCCACATTTTCAACGAGCAAAGGCAGCTAGTTGGCTCATGAAAAGATCACATAAGATACAAAACCTTCAGCTTCTATCTATGGAAATGATCACAATCATATACATGTAGGCTTATGTGCAGCTACTGTATTCACTATTCAGCACTATTCGCACTTAGGCTGTTGCCTGTTGTTTGATGCTTAATTATACACGTAAATTACCAAATTTACATGACGAAACCTGTTGTAAATGCTACGCGTTTCAAGATTTTGAGGAAACTATCGATTAGCATAATTTTTACGTCCCACAATGTATCATAAGATTCGGCTCAATAGATAGTATTAATATTTACAATACTACTACGTATCGCTGCAGGAATCATTAGATACGCCATATGCGCAAAATAATAAAGGAGTGGTATGAAGACAATTTAAACTCATACTCTACTACTTGTTGATGTAGTATACTACTCTGTAATCGTATTCGTGTTTGTGAACAGAGATACAAAAGGTCGGACACAGCTCAACGTACAGGTACATCGACTGCAAATAATTTGTGGATGTCGTGCAAAAATGATGTCAAAGTGCTGTCTTTTTCAACATCTTCAATCCTTGATTCGTTTTTATGCTGAAGGTCACCAAAGCAGACGTTGGACAGCTAAAACAGCAGCAGCTCAAAGGTCTTGCGAACAGCAGATATGCTGTTTTATGGTATATCAGACCTCAGGAAGGTGATGTAAATACTGCCAACGATGGTTATTACCTTTCCGTATTGCAAGCAGGTGGTCATTCATATGGTACTAAATCTAATCACCCACCAAAGCTTGACAAAAAATCATGCACTTGTTCATTCTGGTGGAGCCGCTGGAGCTTGCAGCTTAATGCAATGTGAAGGATGATCACAGCCCAACACATACGCCGTTTCATTTGAATGTCTCCAAAGAGTCATTCATTGCTATTGAAGCGTTTAGGACAGAAATTGCCACCTTATTTGGTGTTGATAAAGGTGGACCAGCGTTACCTTAATCCATGCGACGTCGGCACATCTTCTGTAGAACTAGCTGGTCGACACTTTCCTTTGCCGGATCTGCTGCCTGACCGGACGCATCTATTGCAGTCGGTGGGAAGGTGCCAAAGAAATGACCACTACAAGAGACGGATACAACGTCAAATCTAAGTGATCTCGTGACGACCAAATGCATTATTACGACAATGGCTTGCGCTTGTGAAACGTAGTGCGTTCCTGACCATGGAATTGCTGACTGATTTGTAATCTTTTTAGCTTGTGTAGATGAGCAGACGGACACCCCGCTGTCGTACGAGGTGTTGACTCGAGATCTGCTGTTTGTCAACTGCAATATTCGTATTGGACACGATAATATCGAGACACCGAGCACAGCCAGCCCCAAGCATATCCCTTACATATAGCAGTAGAATCAGCAGGTTGGGGAGCTAGACTACTGCTGGCTACATGCTTATTCATGACTGGCTTCCCGGGCTTTGGTCGATACAATTCAAGTTCTTATACGTGTTGGCGATAAAGATTGGACCCAATCGCTATTCGATAACTGTAAGCTTGTGGGACGCAAACATTGATTGCGCCCAGATCGCTACAGTTGCACCAATGGAGTCAACAAGGGAAAAGTCAGGTCATCGCTGACTCAAAGCTGCTGCCACATGCGGTAGACATTAATCTCACACGAAGCAACTGCAGTGGTAGGACACAACTTCCTAGCGCCACACAATGTAAACCGGATAGCAACCCTGTCCTTCCATCAGATCTTGCTCAAGTTGCGCGTCCCACGACAGTGTGTATATTATGTTTACAACTTTTACTGCACGAGCTCTTTCTAAATGGAGCAGCAGTGGCAACCTCAATCATGCAGCTTATTTTTAATGCCCATATGACGCAACGCCATATCATTCATTTGAGGGAGTTTACAGCAATGTTCAGCAAGCAGAGGGCCGGAGAATTTAGCAGACGCGCGCTGATAAAGCACGCAGTAAGTAGGATGGTAAACTTTGTATAACCGCTTAACATTCAATGGCCCCATATATATGAGTACACATGTGCATTCCACGCGGCTAAAATACTGGCTCACGTAGCCGCTCAATGAATTTCAACATGCAACATAAGCTTTCGGTTAGTCTATCACCGAGCCACCAAATTGAGTACACTCGCCACCGACGATGGATTTTTCCACCACTTGTCGTTGTTGCCTATAGACGCGTTTCTGTACTTTGGGCTGTCTGACGACAACCCATCCCCCCTGCTGACTCCACGCCGCACTCTATTATTACGTGCACCACCAGTCAACCTCATAATCAATTTTCCATTTTAGTCTCTTTACTGTTACAGCTACCTAAAGTGAATACAATATGGAGATACTGTACAAGCAAAAGATGGAAACAGGCCTTAATACAATAAAGAGCGAGACCGTAAAGCAAGTACGGTGGGGTGCCGTGAGTGTGCTGGAGTTTGACGTGAGCTACAACGCCAGCGCCGTGCCGGAAAGCGGCGGTCCACCTGTGGGTCTTATTGGGCAGCCAACATACCACTCGTACTCGATACTTCCAGTCGAAGATGACGCAAATGTTACAGACAGTGAATACGAAGGTGCGGAATCCGATCGGGACACTGAAGTTGCAATGTTGAACGCGCCGCGGTCTTTGGGCTATAGTCGTCGTAATCGCAAACAATTGTGGTTGAACCCGATGGAGCGTGCACGCATTTTGGCGGAGGATCAGGCGTTTGCAATGGATGACATTGCATTGATCTGTCAAGACGTGCGGGCGACTTTGGATTTGCGCGCGATCTCACGGTGGGATGAGGTGACAGAGTTGCTGAAGGTTTCACGTGCCCCACGGCAGGACGCAAATCTACTTCGGTGCGATATTGTCTACGGTTCTTCACGAGAAAAAGTGCTGCTGTACTAAGTGCAACAAAAGCTGTTGCGACTGAAAAGTGAGGCAGAGAAGCATGAAATGCACAGCATGCATAAGAATATTACACGGAAGGGAACGTGTGGGATGAGAAAGGTGGGGCCAACCGCCAGATTGCGGTACTACTAGTATTACCTGGACCTTGCGCTCTTCAAGTCCAGTATTTATCACCCCAATTATATTTGTGGGTACAAGGAGACATCTATGACAAGCAGTACAGCTATTGACGATGTTCTGGTTTGCTATACATTATTGCGCAAGTAGTTTGCGTAACGAGCTAAGAGGCGTGATGGGGTTAGCTGGAACACATGCCCATAGTACAGACGTGAAAACGAATTTCTCTTGTCTGAATAATGAATTACTAAATTAATACATCGATTGTCATTATATGGGCGTTTTGTTGAAGCAGCAGTCTTCCAGTTGATGATTTAAACTACCTCCTACGAACCAATTTGAATGGCAAATATAACAACACAACAGGCTGGACATGTGTCTGTGTATGGTAACACTCTATGTTGAGCAAGACTATGGACTAGGACCACCGACTTGAGGCTTGAACGAGCACAAAACAGTGGTGGTAAGCGCCCACCTTTACTGACGGTTGTCAAGGCACCTAAGCGAAGCAGTTGCGGCTGCTGTCGATCAGATGACTTGAGAGTTGTATCGTGTAGTAGTGCCACGTATGGTTGGCTACCCAACACATAGACCCTGTTGTTGATATCGTCATTTGGCGTCGCTCAGCCTACGATGATTATGGGCGCATGACGAAGGGGTGCACGATTAGTGACCAGAGAACGTGAAGATTTGACTCATGAATTAGAACACCCCGCGGGAATTGGAAATGCAAACGCCTGTGCCAACTGGCGTACGCAATGCTATTGACTGCAGTCAATCGTGTCTGTCGCGTTTTCTTGTAACCAAGTGCAAATTCTGCAGGAATAGCAACGGTTCTTATCTTGTGTTTGTGGCAATGCATTGCGTGGGAGCACAGCTGTCAAGATCCATCGGAGAACATGGATTAGAATGGATGGAGCCGTGGGTAGGAGGTAATTGGACAATACTGGCAGCTTTTGGGGTTCCATACAGCAACGACCATGAAGAAAGGCTTCGACATACATCTTACAACGCGCACAACAGACAACACATACACTGCCTATTGTTTCTGCGCAATGAGGCGAGCTCTCGGTCCAAAACGTTCGTGCGTCGACGGTCTCTCTGTATCGGTTGTTAACAGAAGACCATCGTCATATGAATGACTTCATAGCGATGTGTCAAATTGATTGTGTTTTATGTTTGCTGTTGAGTGAGTTTATCATAAAAAAATGAAAATATTTTACATACTGGTCCATCCATTGTGTGCTGAATGCTACTACGCTTAGCGTTCTGGGTACACAAGTACAAAACTTGCAAGCAAATTTTTGCTGCATAAGGGCGACAAGTACAAACTCATTCGCAAAACTATATGAGAAACGTCGCTGTAGATTACAAGTGCCGAGTCTAGCACGACAGCTTCGGCCGCAGTAAAGAGCTGTACGATGATAACATAGATTAGCGTAGGCACGGACAAGAACGAGGAGGAACAAACTGTGCTGACGTCTTCCAGGAGCAAGAAGAAAACATAAGCCATGACCTTGTTGGCCAGTCCTCACCTACTACTTTTCTACGCTGTCGCCCTTGACATCAATCTCGACGACAGTGTAAGTAGCGTGACTGCATCTGCGTTCATTTCATCCGCTGCACCTCCTGACTCCAAAAGTATCTGATAATCTCTCGCTGTTGATCACTTTCCGACTGTAGATAGTCGCTTTGCGCTGTTTTGTCCTTCATCAAGTACGTCAAAGCACTTCCAAACCTTACAAGATTCGGTTCAATGTCTGATCTCCACATTTTGTCGTCCCACAACACCTTCGTCATCTTTGTCTGTGTCTTTCCAGCATGTAAATGCTCCACCAACTCCCCTTCTCGCACTCCTAATATGTACAGATACGTCTGTAATTGGGCAATGTCGTACTTTGGCAATGGCGAAATGAACTTCTTGAGTCTGTTCTTGACCTCGATCACTTTCCCGTCCGCTTGTCCGTCGATTTTACCGCCCACCAAAACGTCAAATTTTCCTATTGCAGCTACTTTTTTCTTGAAAAACTTGAGATTTCTCTCCTTCACCACAACTTTTCTCTTCTGCTCGTACTGTTCGATACCTGCAGTCTCCTGTTTTACACCAAAGCCTTTGTGCATTGTCGAGGTGACGAACTGCACCACTTCAGCTTTGACGTCGACTGGAATCGTGGTTGGCAAAGATTGCGCTACTTGTGCTTGAGCTTGAGCAACCTGATGTATTGTATCGGCTGCAGATGCCTCTTGAACTAGCTTGGTAATGGCTGAAGAAACCCCTAGATCCTCGACGATAGCCTGCATCTTTGCCTCTGGACTAAGCAGGGATAACGCGAGCTGCTGTTGCAAGGCAAGGATTTGCTGCGGGTTTGTACGACGCCACACATCTAGGAACACGTCCTCAATCTTACGGTACGGATTTAGGGCGCTGATGACGGGCACTTCGCTTGCAAAGATCATAATGTTGCGCTTCAGTGCTCGTTGCGCGGCCATCATTGCAATCTACCGAATATCTAATTTATGCATGTTTGTGTCAGACCACGAAGGTATGTATTGTACATACACACCTGCCACACCAATGTAGTGTGGCCGTACTTTGGGTACAGTGGTAGGTTCGATGTGACCGTACGAAGGGTCGCATCATGGCAGAGAGCCACGTGGTCACTATACTTAGTTAAGTATAATGACTATACATGTTTCCATTAATATGTTACAGAGCCAGATAAATAGTGACTAGCACTAAGTATAGAGTAGGTGCTTCTATATTTAGTGCTAAAAGTTAAACATTTAGTAAATCAGTTTTCAAACCTGCTCTGTATAGCACACGTCCTAGAGCGTTCTTTTCATTTGTAAAAGGAATTGTATCTTTGATCCTACGCTCTTGGAAATATGATTGTTGCAACCAGAAGTCACAAGATTGCAAAGCTAGCCTTGGGACGGTTAAAAGCCCTAAGACGTATCAGTTTTCTGAGCTTGTCTTCCTCTGCACATAGTGCACAATTAGCTTGGCTACAGTAGCTCGGCAACATATGGTAGCACTTGTAGTCAATCCCGCATCTGGATTTGCGACTACTTCTCTGTGTGAGAATGGCATCGAAGAGAGGTCTGTGGTTGGCCTGTCACAGGCACAACTGGAAGGGTTGCAAAAGCTGCTCCTTACCATTTGCCCTAAGGGCGCGGAATATCTCATCGTCCAAGGCAAAAAGAGGTTAATAAGCGTATTCGTATGCTTGAAGAGTATAACAACGCTCTAGTTGAGCATGTAAAGGCACAGATGCCGTCTTCTGAGCCTTCGCTTATGGCGACTATGGCGCAGGAAGTGTTCTGCAGACCAAAACCCATACATACGGAAGTCGATAAGTTCGACCGCAAGTAAGTGACAGCCTTATACTTGTTGTCAAGACGTCTTGTTCGACATGATTGATTGATTGACTGGCTGTATGATTGACTTATTGACTGATTGACTCATTACAGAAGGGAGACGCTGCTATAGCGACGAAGATGAGTTTATAGACGTATTAGTGAATATCCCGGATGATGAGACCACTGATCACAAATCATCATCTCCACCGGATATTGCTAGTAATAACGACGACACTGTGCCTGGGTCCAAGCGTCACACCCGAGCTTCTTCGTTGGAACACGCAGTTGAAATTCCGGCGCCGAAGAGGCAAATTCGCTCACAGACAAGACGAGACATGTCAGTATTTGCGCCGGCACCGTACGATCTTCACGCAGCGTATGTTGTAGAGTCAGTGGGAGAAATGCCGACAACGTTCAAGTTGGCGATGGAATCTAGCAATGCGGATAAGAGGAAGGATGCGTGCGTCTCCGAAATTGACTCTCTCCACAAAAAAAAGACGTGGGCGTTGGTATCATTACCCAAGGGTCGAAAGGCGATCGGCTGTCAATGGGTATTTCGGGTCAAGGAGAAACAGGCTGGTGAGATTGAGCGTTTTAAGGCAGTCTCGTTGCTAAAGTATTCTCCCATTAATGCTGCATTGATTACGAGGAGACTTTCGCACCGGTGGCCAAGTTTACGTCAATCAGAATAGTGATTAGTCCGGCAGCCAAGTACAATCTGGCTGTGCATCAAATGGATGTCAAGACGGCTTTACTTAATGGAAATCTGGATGAAGACATCTATATGGTTCAACTGGACGGCTACATCGATCAAAAACACGGTCATTTCGTTTGCAAGCTGCAGCGGTCGCTTTATGGTTTGAAGCAATCGCCGCAAATGTGGAACAAGACCATCGACGAATCCATGCTTCAGCCAACGTTTACAAAGTGCAAATCTGACCATTGTATCTACATTAAGCGTGATGATGATCACATGATTCACGTTGATGACCTGGTCCATGTCAGTAGCAATGACAAAATGTTAAAGGAAACTAAGTACGCATTTAGTCAGCGGTTTGAGATGACCGACATGGGGAAACTCACATACTTTCTTGGCGTGGAAACTGATCAGGATGATTCTGCTGGAAATATGTAGATGTGGTAAAGCATATTCGTCAAAGATACTCTTGATAAATTTGGCATGGAAAACAGCAAACCGGTCATGACACCTCAAGACCCAAAACTCAAGTTGACAAAAATCATGTGCGAAGGAGGTTGCAATCATGCAGAAACGATGGCAAACGTCCCTTACCGGAATGAGGTTGTATGTCTTATGTATCTTATGGTATGTACTCGTCCTGACCTTGCTGCTGAAGTGGGAGTGCTTAGTCAGTTTGTAGCCGATCCGTGTCCAACACACTGGCAAGCCCTAGCGAGGGTATTCCGATACATTAAAGGAACGAAGACGCACGGGATCGAATTCAAGCAAGTGGTAGCTCACAAATATAAAAATACTCGGATGCGGATTGGGCCCGGCGACATTGAGACGCGACGGAGCACAAGTGGATACACGTTCATGATGAACGGTGGATACATTATCTGGATAAGCAGAAAGCAGCGAGCCGTAGCCCTATCATCAACAGAAGGAGAATACATGGCACTTGCGGAAGGTACGCAGGAGGCTGTGTGGCTAAAAGTATTTTTGTGCGAGCTTGGAGAGATGACAATCGATGAATCTGTCATAATCTACGAGGACAACCAAGGCTCGATTGCATTGGCCAAGAATCCGGAGTTCCACAAGCGCACTAAACATATTGATATTCGTTTTCACTTTGTACGCCACAAGGTTGGAGACGGTCAAGTAATGCTAGAATACTGTCCAACAAAAGACATGAAGGCAGATCTCATGACAAAGCCGATCACGGCTTTGCAATTTGAATATCTCCGGGACATGCTTGGAATCAAAGCGGTATGTCGCTAACGAGTCTAGTGGGAGTATTGTCAAGACGTCTCGTCTCGACAAGAGTGATTGATTGACTTATCATTGACTTGTTGATGCTTGATTAAATAATTGATGACCAAGAAATGCTATTATATTGTCATACCACTGCACCAAAATGGTCAAAACTTCTTTCCACATTGCTGTGTCAATTGATATTTCAACACCTTTATTCACCTTCGTGAGTCCATATGAAAGTCGACTTGTTTGGCAGTAAATTCATGCACCAGGTTTAGCCATTCAGCGTATTTTCGAGACCCCACCGACACAAAGCCCTGCGCCCTTGGTACTTTGTCCTTAATCAACCACACACCTACCGTGTAATATCAGGGATTAGACACTGACATTAGTTACTGTCAGGAACTTCCGACTTTCTACCCCTTGAATCACAGTCGTGATCCACCGTTCACCCCTTGTGACCCACATCTTCTATTGGTGCGAGGTCGACCTTTTCAGAGGCACTTCTTCGTACCTTGCAACCGATATCTGCACGTATCGACCCAACTTCACATCTCATACCCGGTTATCGTAAAGGGTCCTTCGTCTTGCTAACTGGACTCGAACCTCATCGGGAAGAAATAGTGTGCCGTCCGCCAGGTCCAGTCGAGTACCGGCTAGGGCCATAAAGTCCATGCCTAAAATCGTATCCTGACCCATTATCGGGCCCACACACACCTTAAAGATGTATTTTAAGTTACCGTTCAGAGTGGCCTTGATGCGAGTACGTTCTTTCGTGGCATACATGGATTCCCCGATACCAACACATTCTTGGCGCTCACTTTCGTCAACCTGGCAGCCTACCTTACGATCAAAGGCGATATCCTATATAGATATCTCGGCGCCAGTTTGGAACAACAAGTAAGCTCGATCGTTCTTAATATTCCCAGAGGTCTTGGCCTGTCTAAACCACTTCGTAGGAGCATGGTATTTCCAATACCCCTCTATTCTCCCGGCAATAGGTCCAACTCCATTACTGCACTTTCCGAACAAAATCGTTAGACGCACCGAAAGAAGCAACATGGGCCCTAGGGTAACTTCAAAACTTCTATATATTTTTAATCGCGTTATCTGTGTGCTCCTTTCTTCCTTGGGATGTTTTCCACACATGCAAATATGCAACAATTAGAACGCTCGGCTTGTACCAGATTCAAATGTGGCGAGAATCCTAATCTAGCATCTGCTCGCCCTTCTCCGGCAACATACCAGCGTGCTTGGTCGGGATGTACCACTGACGGATCAAGTTGTTAAACTCTTCCATCGGACACTTTCTAACCTCGTGGATTTCTCCACAGCCTCGACACACGAGCAGGCACGATCTGATGGATGAATCTTCTTTCCACAGCGATCTCAGGTCAGCCTCTTCCAACAATTCAAGTCTCCATGCTTCCTGGACCAAAAATGGGCACATCTTGCACTTGAAGTTGCTACACCGTGCGGGGTCCAAGGTCCTTGTTCGAGGGTCGAGACTGGTAGACCTCCCTGATTGGCTGGTCCCTCGGGGTCCTTGACCCTAGGTCCTTCTCCGCCTCCGTATCCATGAGTCAGACCTTCCGTAAATCACCGTCACTATCCAAACTGCCCAAACTGGAGTCTTCGGAGCTTGATCCCCCCCTGGGTCGCTCGAACTGCATGAAGAGAGCGGCAGTTCAACTCTCTTGGCCGATCAGGGGTAATCGGTGCTTTTTGGCGAACTAACTCGACCTGCCTCGTCGGGCCTTCGTCCGTTGACGCGCCCTCAGCACATCCTCCAGCTCTTCACATCAGCCAAACGTAACACGGCCAACTGGCCCGCCAGGTCGGGGTCGTCCAAAGTCTAGATGTAGTGCTCGACATGTTCTTGTTGAATTTTGGGCGGCTAATTCTTGATCTTCATTCGAAGTCTAATGAATCATAGACGGTATAGGTAGTCCAGCGGGGATTCGTCCGGCCTTTTCTTCGCGTGGTAATCTTGGCGGGCCACTGGTACCCCGAAACCACAGAATTGCATCTGGAATTCCGGTAGTAGGTCCTTCCCATTTCCACGGAGAGAGCGACCTAGTTGACGGAACCAGTGGGCAGGTACAGTCAATGATCCTCGAAAAACGAGACACTTACCACATCTGGCGCTTGGTTCCTCGTGAAAGCGGTCTTCAAAGTGGTCACCCAGCTGTGT